TCGTGCGAGACCTCATCGGTCCCAACTCCATCTTCGTTTCCCAATCCTCCACCTTCCCGCAAAAGTCCAACGACATTCCCTCGTGTGCCGCCGCTGAGCGCGCCTCTCTGGCCGAGGCCATGTCTCGCTCATTTCTCGGCGAGCCGAAGTGCAAGTCAGGCCGGCTGGTGGCCGTGCATCGTCTCCTGGGAAGCCTAGGTTCGCATGACTTGTCACTCATGAGAGAGGCATTTGGAGGTGTTCCGACACGCTGCGAAAGCGCATGGGCAAATGACAAGGGAGACTTTATGGGCGCACAGTTCGTCTATGCGCGCCGCGGAGCGGGGGGACAGGCAGAGGGAGAGTTTCGAGTCAGCTACGAGACGGGCATCCACAATGTCGGCGGTGAGTTCCTCTGCGAGGGGCTCAGGCGAACAGAGGTGTGAGAAGGCAGCCCGAGCTGAATCAAGTTGAACGAATGACAAGTGTTCGATGCGTTCATCGAAGTCTTTACGCGCGACAGAGTACTCAAGATCCAGTGTACGTCTCTCCCCCCCGCCCCTTCCCAGTTTCCTCCTCGCCCTCCTCTGACCTGACTTGCGCCATTCTGCAAACAGACGACACGCCCTACGTCAAAGGTCTGCCCATCACGCTCTCGGTGCGCGAGGCCGACGCAGACGTTGCCGGCTCGTATCAAGAACGCCTCGTCCGCCCGACGTATGCCGATGCCTACACGGCCGAGTTTGAGGCGCTGGCGCAGGCCATTGTGGAGGGCAAGGAGTTGAAGAGTGGCCCGCAGGTGAGTCTCCTTCAGCGAAAGGCGCAGAGAAACGAGAGAGGACGTGACACTGATGAGGAACATCGCGCGACGACGGCAAAGGATGCGATTCAAGACGTCGACATTTGGGAAATGATGCTGGCACATCTCAATTGAGCTCCGCGTCCCCCCCTCCCCCCCAAAGCAGAGCGAGGTGGTGTGCGTCTAACTAATCCCATAACGTCCTCCCCCACACGATCGCACTGAGCTCGCTCTGACGTGCGGCATTGACGTGCGCGGGGGCACGGGGCAAAGGATCGGAGATGTGGAGAGCGCGCTAGGACGGAAAAAGGAGGGGTGCGGCCTCGGTTTTTGTGGGCTTCGCCGAGTCTCGAAGGTTGTGTGTGTGTCTCTCTCTCACTCTCTCTCGATCGGGCGAGCGGAGCGAAAAGCAAGGCTGCGCTGTTTGTCCTCGGCCCTTGGTCGCCAGGGCAGGAGGCCGTGCTGTATGGGTCGTTCCGAGGCAAACGCTGCATGCTTAGCTCGCGCGGTGTCGTGGGCCTTGAGCCTGGCTTCGAAGAGGGACGTGGGAGACGGGCACGGCACGAAGGTAGATTGGGCGCGCCCGATGGAAATAGACGAGAAAACGTCGGGCTCTCGAAGCCCAGGCGGCGAAGCCCACGATCGATGGATGGCGAGATCGAGGGCGCAAGCCCATTCGCAACGACCCCACCCCCCCCCCCCTTCTCTCTCGGCTTGGCCCTCGTTTCGCATCTCTTTCATTCCTCCAACTCCGCCATCTCCGCTCTAACCTCTGCACACAGCTCCTCAATGTCCCTTCTCTTATCCCCCACCTCTCTCTCGCACTGTGCAATCTCCTCGCTTCGATCTCGCACTTTGTCGCGGCGCGCAGAGTCGCGCGCCACGATGGCGCGCAGCACGGCGTTCTCTGCGTCCTGCACTGCGTCGAGCAGCTCTGCGCAGTGGCGCGCCGGTGCTGATGATGCTGATGCTGATGCTGATGATGACGACGAGGAAGAAGAGGAGAGGGAACGTAAGGCGGTGGCGCAGGTGCGTACTTCGTGCGAAGCATCCAGTAGGCCGGCGGTGATGAGCGCCAGGATGCGAGGCAGGTCTTGCTCTCGCAACGGCGCCGCGACGTGCGAAGCGGCGACACAGCCACATGCGCCTGCCTCGGCGGCGTGCTCTGGTGCCGCTGCAGTGGGGTGGGCGCCGGGCGAGGCGGACGCAGCGAGGGCGGCAAAGGCCTCGTCGTACTCGGCCCAGTGCGCTCGGCGGCGCTGCTGTGCGGCGAAGAAGGCGCGCAGCAGCTCGCCTTGTGTCGGCTCGGGCGTCGGTTCAGAGGCAGAAGAAGCGCTTGCTGCCGCTGCTGCTGCTGCTGCTATGCTGGACAGCGAAGAGGAGGAGGAGGAGGGCACGGCGCAAGGCATGGCGGCGGCGCAAGAGGAAGTGGCCCGAAGAAGAGGCGGAAGCAACGAAGAAAGCCTCTCTGGCTGCTTGCTGCACCGCTGCTGAAGCGCGAGGCCGAGGCGAAGACGCCAGAAAGCGGGAGTACGTCGCAAAGGAGGTGTGCCGGGGGCGCTAGCGCGAGGTGGGGAGGTGCGGGGGATGAGGCTCGACCTGTTGGGTGTGGAGCGCAAGGCGAGAGAGAGCTGTGGGTGTGCTGTGGTGGAGGCGAGCCAAGCGGCGGCTCGCGCCCTCTTCGCGCGGCGCGCGGAAGCAAGACGCCGAGGCGGCGAGCGCTTCAGGGTCCGTGGTCTCGCCTTGCTCTTGCCTTTGCCGCCGCCGCGCCTCGGGGTTGCTTTCGCTCCACATCCTCTCTACCAGTCTACGCCGCGTCCACCGCTCCCCACCGCTCCACGCTCCCTCTCGCAGCGCATTCCTTGTCTCTCGGCGCGCGCCCCTCTCGTTCTACGCTCTGCCAGCGCTGCTCCCGGCTTGGCAGTCTCCTTGCCGCGCCAAAGCACTCCACTGGCCCCGGCGCGCGCGCGCGTGTGGCGCCCGCTCTCCGCCCATCATGGCGCCTTTGCCTTCTCCCTCGCCCGCCGACGTGCTGCGCGTGCCGCGTCGCAGCATCCCACGCTCGATTCCCCACCCTTTGCCCGACAAGGCAGAGCAGGCAAAACGCGCATGGGGCGCGCCGCTGCCCGGCAGTGGCCTCGTCGTGCCGCAGCCGGCCGGCGCGCGCGACTGGGTGCCCCAGGGGATACGCGTGGGAGGACGCGAGTTCTGGTGCGTTGCAGCGGCGCGAAGATGGGAGATGCGCTGGGCAAATGCTGGGAAGCCAAGAGAGCTGCCTGTCTGGGCTGGTCAGGGGACAGGTGCAGTTCCGTGGCGACGAGACTGAGCGAGGCACAAAGCATGCCCGATGAGACAGACAGAGAAAGAAACAAAGGCTTTGCCGCTCCCCACACCAAGATTGCGCGCCTCGCGTTCAGCGAAAGAGAGAAGAGAGGCGCTTGCGGCCTCGCCTTTTGCTTGCGCGCCAAGCGAGAAGAAAGGCGAGACGGCCGTATCTCTTCTCTCGAGCTCTGCACCACGCTCTCCGTCTTGCACATCTCCTGACGTGTTCCCCTGCGCTCAACAGGTATCTGATCATCATGCAATCCTTCGGTGCCGCTCTCATTTCCGGCGGCATCAACTTCGGCGTGGCAGTGGCTTGCTACAGGCAGCAGGACGGCACGCGCTTCTGGCCTTTCGTTCCTCTCACTGTACGTGCCTCCTTCTCCTCAGGCCCCCTTCTTCCATCGCGCGGACCATGCGTTACTGACGCAACGGGCTGGGCGTATAGGTGGCGGGAGACATGGGCGTCACAGTCGTCATTCAGCAGATCATCAGCATGCTCATCACCTCTGCCCTCTGTCACGGCGACATCAACGGCGGGCCCGTTGCGCCCTTACAGGCACCCTGGCCTCCTCTTCTCCACTTGCCCTCCTCTCCCTCTCCCCACGGGCATCTCTTCGGTCCTCTGCGCGCCTCTTCGCCAGACGGCAAGCCTCTGGCGCTGCCCATGGGTCGCGCGGCACACAGCAGCGCCAAGGGCCGCTGGTTCTTCTGGGCCCTTCGCGCAGCCTGTACCGGCTCGGAGCGCGACAATTGGACGGCAAAGGGCATTGGGGCAAGAGCACGCGTGCAGCGCATCCTCTGGACGGCAGTGCATGGAGGCGCGCTGTGCGTGCTGAGCTTCTGGTGGTATTGGCCCATTGCCATCGCCATCACGGCGCCGCTGTACGGCGGCAGGGATCTCGGGCGCAGCTGGATTCCTTGCGTCATCAAGGTGAGGCTCTGCTGGCGCCCGTGAGACTCGGGGCTGCGCGCAACAGGAGCTGCGGCTGACGCTGCCCATCGCTCTCCCTGTCTCCCGCACAGGCTATCTTCGGCGGTGTCCTGGCTCTTCTCACAAACCCCATCATGGCGCTCATGGCCATGGGGGCCGAGTACAACGTGCGTATGGCTCCCATGCCCCTCTCTCTCTTTCTTTCTTTCTCTCTGCAGCATGGACTCACTCCCTTTCCTTCATGGCGCAGGTGCGCCGCGCCTACCCCGATCACGAGCCCTTCATCTCAGCGCCCGACGGCGCGGCATACTACGCGGCGTGGCGCCGCGAGCTCGGACTGGACGCCGACGCTGCGATGCCCGAGGCGGCACCGCCGCTGAAAGACTCGGCGCACAGCTCGCCTGCCACCACGACACAGGAGCGGCAAGCAGCGCTGCCGGAGGCAGAGGAGAGATTCGTCACGCCTCGCACGGAGCTTGAGCAGCCGGCGCTGGACGCCGCTGCTGCGCGCTCGTGAGACGGACGACGCGCACGAAGTGACCCTCTCTGCTTCGCTGTCTGCTGCTCTCTGTTCTTCCCATCGTGACTTTACCTATTCGCTCCGCCGTCTCCTTCATGCGACACTATACCCTGCGCCTCCGTGTCTTCACAGCTCCATCGTGCATTACTCTCTTGCCCCTCCTACAGCGTAATCTCCTTGATGCCATCCCGATCCACCAGTCTGACCTTGAACGTGCCGAGATCGACAATGAAGCGCTTCTTCAGCTCGCCAATGCACATCTTCAGCAGCTCGATGCCCTCCTGCACACTCATGTCGGGCCGGTGGAAGCGGTCCATCGTCGAGAGCGTAAAGTGTGCGCCGTAGCCGTGGGCGGCAAACGGCACTTCGATGGAGGTGCCGAGGTAGTCGACCCAGTAGAGCGCGGGAGAGGAGGTGGGCATGTCGAAGCCGCCGAGAAGCAGGTTGACCTGGTAGGCGTTGCGCGTGCGCAGCGAGTTGGCCAGCTCGTTGCGGATCCACGCCGCCGCGGCTCGCGGACGCAGCTCGACGTGGTGCCTGAGGAGAACAAGGGGGGCGTCAGGGATGGCCCAAGGAAAAGTCGAGGGCCTAGGTTCGAAAGGGGGGCCGGCGCTTAGTCCGTGCAGTAAGCAGCGTGTAGGGGCTGCTACGGCAGCGCTTCCCTCCCCCCTCCCCCTCCTCCAGGCGCCCCAGCATGCTCGACGTCTGTCAACGAGCAGCGCCACCGTCGGGCGCGCAACTTTGGCTGGACAGAGCCTCGCAACGAAGGCGCTCGACATCGCCTCACAGCTGCGCGCAGCAGCGGGATGCCCGGACGGCCTCATCCGCAGCGGCGACTGCTGCTGCGAGTGCTTCCATCCTTGCGAGCGCCCTCGCGCGGTAGGTGTGCGAGCAGCTGCAGTCTCCACTGTGCTGCCCGTTGCTGCCCGTCGCGTGCCAACGTTGACCGACACGCACGCCACAAAAGAGAGCCACACTGCACCGCCCGTTCGAGCCACGAGGAGGCGAGAAAGCAGAGAAGGAGAAGGGGGGGGGGGGGCACAGGGCACTCACCGGATGCCGTAGAGGCGCAGGTTGCGCTCGACGTACTCTGAGAACTGCAGCGTGTCGCCTGCGGGGTGCAGCGGGCCATGGCATGCGTCAGTCTGCTGTGCACCGGCTACCTTGCGGCGCGACAGATGCCTCTGTGTGTTGCGCAGCCGCCGCCTTGCCTGGCGCGCCCTGGCGCTGCGCCGCCTAGCCCTCGTCCTGCCTGCCTGCCTGCCTGCCGCCGCTGCCGCGACGCCGCCTCACTCACCGCTCTCGCCGCTGTATGCCATGACGAGGTGTTCGCTGAGCACCTTCATCTTGTCCTCGTCGCCCTTCATCTTGACGATGGAGCGTGCGGCGTTGGAGTCGGAGGCAATGAGGCAGTAGCCCTGGCCCGTAATGCCGAAGGAACACTCCATCGCTGCGGCGCAGGACGGGGCGCGGCCGAGAGTGCGGAGACGGAGAGGGCGATGGGAGGAGAAAGTGCTGCTGGGAGCGTGGGTGCAGACACGAGGAGCAGAGCGATGGAGCGTGGTGGAGGGATGCAGAGCAGGCTGAGCCGGCGCATGGGAGGGCCGCGCGTCTCAGCAGCAGCCGCTCCCACGCGCCGTCCGCGCATGGCTCGAGCGCCCGCATCACGTGCGCCGCGCCGCCGCTCCCTGGCGCGTCACGCTCTCGCGTCGTGTTGATGTGCGCGTCACTGCGCCATCGCCGTCGCACCACCACCTCCCTCACGACGCTCCCGGCTGCGCCCTTCGCAGACGAGAGTCCCAGCTGCGCACAAGCCATGACTTCGCGCAAGTCGACGCGCGGCGTGCCCGTCGCCAGCGGCAGCGGCAGCGGCAGTGGTAGTGGCGGCGCGCATCCCTCCTCCTCGGCCGCTTCCAGCAGTCGCCCCGCAGCCGCTGCCTCTTCAGACGCGCCCTCCACCGATCCCCATCTGCATCTCCTCACCGAGCATCTCGGCTTCAATCCGCGCACCTTTATCGATGCGCTCGTGTACGTCGCAAACGAGAACATGTACATCCTCGGCGGCGGGCTGGAGGATTATGTCAAGCAGCATCTGGCGGCGAGAGAGGGCGGGGGCTTGGAGAGTGAACAGGTGCGTGTCGCTGTGCCTGCCGAGAGGAGAGCGAGGGATGCGCAGGAGCGGGTGCAAGAACGGAGGCAGCGAGAGAGGCACAGCAAAAGCTGACGCCTGGCTCGCACAGGGCGTTCACTCCATCCTCACGCTCCTCGAAAACGCGCTGGACCACACATTCGACACTCTCGAGCTCTACTGTCTGCGCTACGTCTTTGGCTTGACGCACGCACAGGCGCGCTTGATCACGTTGCCGCACCATCGAGGGCTCGACTTGCGTGCGCCGGACGCCAGAGCAGAGGCGGCAAGGGAGCGGGAGAAGGAGAGGGAGCGCGTGAGGCGCAAGGCGAGGAAGTCGAGGGCGAGGGAAGAGGAGACGGACATGCTGGATGAAAGTGCGATGAAGGAGAGTGAGAGACTGGACGCGAAGGAGAGGTCGCTCAGGAGACGCGTCAACGCGGTGAGTCGAGGCGAGGATGGCGAGGCGCGCCGAGCCGAGGTCGTGACTGGCTGGCAGAGGGCGGTCGGACGGAGAGGTTGCTGAGAGCGAGGAGAGGGAGGGATGAAGACGCCTCTATGGACCTGGCCGCAACTCTTGAGCCGCGCAGTGCCGCGAATGTCGTGCGACTGGCCAGCCTTGGGCCGGGCAGCGGCTCTGCCACCCCCTCCGGAGTTGGAGCGCGACAAGGGAGTGGGCATGATGAGCGCAGCCGAGGCATGTGCGACTCCCTCGCGCTCGGCGAAGCTAGCTTCGTCAACGATCGGATGGAGCGTCGGCTCGCTGCTGCCATCGCGAACTTGCGCGCTGACGTCCGCGCTTCCCCTGCTCTGTGCTGCACAGGCTCGCGCCCTCAAACACACTCTCTCACTAGCCTCGACGGCCGCACAACGTCGTCTTTCCCGCGCCGAGACACTCTCCTCTACCTTCTCATCGTTGCTGCATCGCGATTCCGACGCCAGCGGCAGCAGCACAGCCAAGCTTCCTCTCGTGCCTTCCTCCCTGGCCGTCTCCTCTCGCGCGCTGCATCTCTCTTCCTCAGAGCTCCTCTCTGCGCTCGAGGACCTGCGTGCAGAGGACGCACTCGGAGCGCCACTCGCAAAGCCGCAAAATGGAAAGGCGTGGACGGGCGGCAGAGATAGGTTTGTGGCGTGGGAGGCCAACAAGCTCGTGCGGGAGCACAAAATGGGAGAGGGCGGCAAGGAGGCAAAGGAGAAGAGAGGGGCGGAAGAGAAAGGCGGAGCGAGAAAGAAGAGGGCTTGAAGAGGATGCGCGCATGATCTTCTGCCCTGTCTCGCACCTCTCTTTCTCTTCGGACCTCGTTGCACCTCGTCTTCTCCCTTGCTTTGCATAGCCACGCTGCTCTCGTTCCGCGCCTCCCTTGCTTCCGCCTCTGCGCTACCACCGCCGCTTCACTCCTGCGTCACCTGCTCTATTGTACCACCAGTCCTGCTCGCAGCTTCCAAATCCATTCGCTATTTCCTCCTTCCTCTCTCCGCCTCTCATCGCCCTGCCTGCCTTGCCCAGCTCCGATGCCCTCATCACTGTCGGCCCCTGACACCTGCATCTCTCCATACGACCGCCTCTCCCACGCCTTCAGCGACGCCGACCGACGACAGTGGTGAAGCCGTCCTCGTCGACCTCGGGCTCGGGCCGTGGTGCGCGTTGCGGTCTTGCGGGCGCCTCATCCACCTCCATGCCATCCTCGTCGCTCTCGCTCTCCGAGTCTCCTCCGTCGTCGTTGGCCTCCCGGTGCGTCTTCATCGCCGTGCCCCTCAGCTTGCTGGCCGCCTGTTCCAGGCTCGCCACGGCCGCGTTTGCCGCCTGTTCGTCGTCGCCAAAGCAGAGGCGATGCAGCGTGACGATGCGTCCAGCGACATAGTCGGCACTCTCGTCCTCCAGACGCGTCTCGAACTCGTCGCCAAAGTAGCCCACGAGCACGTCTGCGAGATCGTCGAGGTCCGGCTCGGCAGGCAGGGCGCCGGCATGCGTGTCGGCGAGGTGCGAGAGGAGAAAGTCGGCCTTGTCGGCAGAGTCGGGCCCGCCCCACTCTTCGGCGACGGCGAGGCGCAGCGCGGGCCACAGGGCAAAGGTGGAGATGAGGGCGCGCGCGAAGAGCAGCTGCTGCGGCGTGGGCGGCGCCTCGAGAGGTGCGGCGGAGGTGGACATGCTGGGTGAGGTGTGCTTGTGCTGGGGAGAGAAGGAGAAGAAGACGAAGCCTCGTCGCTGCTGCGGGCTCAAAAGCTTGCTTCGTCTCGGCGCTGGCGCGTGTGCCTCGCCCGACTTCCGATGCGCCGCGGCCGTCGCTGACCCAAGGCGCGCATCGACACGTGCCTCGTGCTTCCCTCCACCACTCCTCTCTCCTGTCAGCCTCATGCGCGTCGGCTCTTCGTTCCGCTGAGCCACTCGCCGGCAGCCTCTCCTTCGATCCGGCGCCATGGCCACGCGCGCCGCCGACGACTCGGCGCAGCAGCTGGCGCGCGACGCCAAGGCGCGGCGCGCCACGCTCAAGGCGCTGCTCGACGACGCCGCCGCCCAGCCGGGTGCGGCCGCCATCGACTATGCGCGGCGCGAGTGCCGGCATGCCTACCTCAAGCTGCTCTTCGCCTGCACCTTCAGCTCGCGCGCCCAGGGCGCCGATGCTGCACTGTGGAGCGAGACGACGCATCCGCTCGTGCACCTCTTCCGCAGTCGCCTGGCCGCGTACGAGAAGGCATTCAAGGCGAGCCATGCCCGCAGCGCAGACGCCGCAGCGCCTTCAGATCCGCAGCCGCCCAAGCCTGCCGTGGGCGGGCGCACCGCCAAGCAGGCCCAGGCACAGCAGGCACAGGCCTATCTCCGCCTCGCAACGGCCTTTCGCGACTTTCTGCTCGCAGAGGAGAACTTCTGGCGCGACTTGGCGGGCCGTGTGGTGCGAGTCTTTCGGCTGGACGAGGCGCGTGCCAACCTGCGCGCCCTAGACATCCCCTGCGACGCAGACGCCGACTCCAGCTTCGCCTCCGACACGTCTGCCTCGACCGGGCTCGATCGCATTCCTGGCGCTGGCGCGTCGGGCGCTCTGCCTGGTGCCGCTCTGCTGCAGGCGGCCAGCCTGCCGGGCAATCGTACGCGGCTACTAGAGGTCGTGCACAAGGCACTTCTGTGCTGTGGCGATCTGGCGCGCTATCGCGAGCTGTACCGCGATGACCGTGGCGGCGGCGAGGAGGGCCGTGGCGGCGCCGGAAGCAAGCGTGGAGGCGCCGGCGCAGGGAGAGGTCGAGCGGGCAAGGTGATTGCCGCTGCAGCCGTTGCGCGCACCAGCAAAGAGGTCTCGTCACGACGGGACTTCTCGCGTGCTGCCGCATGCTACGAGCAAGCGCGCCTGCTGCTTCCCGACAACGGCAATCCCTCGAACCAGCTCGCAGTGATCGCCACGTACTCGGGCGATCCATTCCTCTCGATCTACCACTACTACCGCGCTCTCTGCGTGCGCGTCCCCTTCGACACGGCTCGCCAGAATCTCGAGCTGACGCTGCGCAAGGCCGTGGCGGCGTGGAGCAAGGAGGGCGGGCGAGAGCGGCTGCTTGCTGGTGGTGCGAAGGAGAAGCTAGACGAGACGGCAGCGGCTGTCCTGCGTGATTTTGTTGTTCTGCATGGCTTGTTCTACACGCGCGAGAAGTGAGTTCTGCCGCATCTGTGCGCAGCCTTGACTGGCTGTTTGGCTCGCCCTGAGGCGCGCAGGACAGCTGACGCTTGTCCGCACACAGGTTCGCCATCATCCAGCCCTTCGCCGAGGAGTTCCTCTCGCGCTTCTCCCGCGCCATCGTCAGCCGCACGCTGGCCGCCGATGCCATTGTGCGCATCGTCGTCACTGGTCTGGCAGCCTCCTGGACTGCGCGTCTGTGGCGCAGTGGTGCTGCAAGCACTACGAGCTCTCGACCTCGACCAGGGCGTGGCGCTGAGGCCACAACCGAGACTTCCTCGGCCGGAAGCGCCGCGTCGGCGGAGCATCAGAACCTGACGCACGTGCTCGGCATCATGCAACGACTCGTCAAGGCCGGCACATCCGAGACGCGCGAGGCACTCGATGCAGCACGCAAGAGTCCACCAACAGCACCGGCTCGTATGCGTGGCGGCGCTGGCGAGGCAGCAGCAAGCGCAGCACGCCACATCTCTGCGGCCTTTCGGCGCATGCTGCCCGCGCTGCGCATCCTGTCGAAGTGGATGAAGAGCCACTTGGAGTACATGTCTCGCTCTGCCGATCGTGCCGCGGCGCTCAGTCAGGAGTCTTCGCTCAGTCAAGACCTCGGCGAGACGGAAGTCGAGGAGGCTCAAGCGCGGGCCTTGGCAGATGCAGCGCTCGTACAGACGACAGTCGAGCTGTGGAAGAGCTACGTCTCGTTCATCAACACTCTGCGCTTCGCGTTTCCATTCGACGCACTGCCGAGTCTGGGCGCCATGGGACAGACTGGAGCTGCGCCTCTTGCGCTCGAGGAGGACTCGGACATGCGGGGCTTCGCGCCGACTCGCAAGGCCATGCTTTACGTCAACGGCTCGACGCCGGGCTCGTCGCTGGCACAGCCTCGCGCTAGTCAGGTGCATCCGAACGAGGAGCAGCTGATGCGCATTGCAGACTTGCTCATCGACGCCAAAGTCATGGCCGAGTCCGACGCAAGTCCGATCTACTTTGACGACGAGCGAAATCTCTTCGCTCTGGACGAGCAAGGGCCTGGTCTCAACGCCACGCAGGAGTCGTTGCGCGGCGGAGGCGACGCAGCAGAGACGCAGTCTGCAGAGCCGCAGAGCAGCCTGGATCGCATTGGTCTGCGCGACGCCCTGCCGCAGCGCGACGACGATCCCGAGATTGCGTCCGAGTCTACAGAGGACGTCGTCGACATGGCCATGCGTGCCGGCGTCGGCGAGCTGGATGACTCAGACGACGATCTGATCCTCATTCCTTCGGCCTCTGCCGCCTCGCGCACGGCCGCAGCTGCCGTGCCGCAGCCGCAAGATCCTGGCACTCCCGCTGCTGCGCGCAGTCGTGCGCTGGCTCCTGCCTCGGGCGCATCGACGCCCAGTCCCATGACGGCGCAGCATCTGCTTCTGCAGGTGCTGACAGGTCGATCGCCGGCACAGTCTCCCTCTCAGCCACACGCACCTGCTCTTCATGCTCCGAGTCTCGCCTCCGCACCAGCACAGCAGCCGCATCTCCTCTTTGGCGGCGTAGCGCGCACCTCATCTGACTTCAGCGGAGCCGGTCAGGCGAGCATCTGGGCCTCGGGTCCCGGCGACGTGCACCACTCGCACGCACGCGCCTTTTCGCCTCCCGCGCGCGCCTGGGACACGCCGGGCGGCTACGCCTCGCCGCAGCAGCAACAGCAGCGGCACTTCAACGCGCAGCAGGAACACGCCAGCGGCTCGCCCTTCGCGGCCGGGCGCGCCACGCAGCATCTGGGCGGCGCGTTTGCAGCGGCGCCTGGTCCGATGTCGTACGCCGGCGGCACCTCGCAGGCCTCGCATGCATCGTCGATGAACGGCGCTGCCAGCGCGCCGTTCGCATCGTACGCGAGCAGCTCGGGCTTCGCTCCGCCAGGCCCGGACGCATTCGCCGCGCCGCAAGGCCAGCACACGTCGCCGTTCGCGGGCAATGGACACGCGCAGCAGCGTGCACCGCACGACGCGGCCCAGAGCTTCCTCAACGGCTGAGGACCTGGACCTGCTCTCCCGCGCATCCACGCCTCTCCTTACAGAGCGCGTCGCTCTAGCGGTGCGTCTCTCCTCCCGTCCCTAAGCCCAGCTCTAGCCAATGTTCGCCCGCCTCGTGTGCCACCAGGCGCATGCGGCACATGTTTTGCGAGGCGAGACATCAGAGAAGCTGGGACGGGCGCGCGCATCGCCATCACGTTCCTGCACTCGCGTCACTCGAGTCTGCTTGGCAGTGTGCGCATTCGTGGTCGTCGCACAGTCTCGCAGCCGTATGAATACATGACGAGCCAATGCTCTTTGCCACCCTAGAAGCCGCGTCCACGGCCTCTTGGTCCGCCACGTCCCCGTCCACCACGGCCGCCGCGTCCACGATCGCCGCCGCGCTTGAGACCGCCGTCCTTGCGCACGCCCTTTGGCTTCGGTGCGTCGTCGACCAGCAGCACGTCGAGCGGCAGGGCGTCGGGCAGGATCCAGTAGCGCGTGTTGTTGCCGCGAATGGAGAGCGTGTCCAGGGAGAGTGGCTCGCGCCCCTTGACCGTCATCTTGACCGTCTTCAAATGCGTGTTCATTTGCACATCCACGCCTAGAACAGCGAGAAGTCAGTGCGAGTGGGGAGTGTGCAAAGACTGAAGCTTACCAGTGACGGTGCCGTGCACCACTGTGCCATTCTTGAGCTCGATCGTCACCGACTCATTGTTGAGCTTCATCAAGAAGCTGGAGCAGGCAGCGTCAGCACGAGTGCGCGCGATTCGACGCAGCGGTGCGGCGGATCTGCAAGAAGTGCAACTGCGCAGCGACCACACAGCGTTGCCAGGTGTCCAGCACCTCGAGACACGGCTGCGATTGCGGCCAGGTCTCGTGCTGCGCCTCGAGCGACTCTAGCGAGACGTCTCGCCTCGCAAGACATCACAGCGGCTACAGTCGTGTCCATCGCACGAGCAGACATAGTCCGCTTGCAATGGCGAGAGCTCTTACCGCAGCCCGACGGTGATGCGAAGACCACTCGCCGCTGCGACACGGCAGTCGTCTGCGAGCTTTCGGGCTGAGCGCACGCTGCCGTGGGGCAGCTCATGCCGGCAAAAGCAGCTGCTCTGCTCGCATGAAAGGCAGAAGCACGCCTGTCGTACCAAGCCTGCGCATTAGTCTATGGCTTCGCGAGTCGCTTCTCCGCCGTCGAGCTGCGGCTGCTTCTCCGAGCCGCCTCGCATGCGACCTGGCGCGGGAGCGGCGCTCCTGCGCAGCGCGACACACCCAGATCCCTATGCTGCGTATCAGCGCTTCGACTCACCGAACGAGGTTCATGGCTGCGGCGGGTAGCGGTGGGCGAAGGAGAGGACGGGCAGACGGGAACGGCGTGCGCTAGGAAGCAGGAGAAGGCAGCGGCGCAGAGGCTGGCGGAAGAGTGAGGAGCGAGCGGAGGTGTGGCCGTGACCCTTTCTGCGGTAGGCTGCGATGCACGTGAAGCGCCAGCGCGGCTGTATGCGAGGATAGGGAGTCGGGCAAGAGGAGGGTGGTGGAGGCGGGGGATGAGGGCGCCGGAAGCTTGAGCGCCGCGCTCAGGCTGGAGGTGAGACGCATGCGCGGCGACAGGTCACGTGCAGGGGCGCGTCGCCGGGCCAAGAGGCGCGCGGCGGCGCGCGGCGCGCGCGCGAGGCCGATGGCCTGCCGCCTCCGCTCGCTGCCTCCGTGTTGGTGCCGCCGCGCGGCCAAAGTAACACCGCGCCGCCGAGCTCGCCGACGCCGTCCTGACACCCTCACACGACCGTCGCTCCTTCGCCACTCATACCCCTCGCACTCACTGACCGCCGCGGCCAGCCCTCACCCACTCACTCGCCTCTGGCCACCTCTGCGTCCAGTGTCGCGTCTGCGGTGCGGCCATGAGCGTCGCCGCTCCCGCCGCCGATCCCGACACGACCTTCTCGCTCGTCGATCTCAGCGTCTGCCCGCAGCAGGCGCAGCATGACGCCTCAGCACCACACACGCCTGCCTCCGCATCGCGCACACGCGATCTCTTGACGTCGTCGCCGCGCTCGCCCGTCTGCCTGCTCGGCTCCACGCCGACGATGCGCAGCGGCATGCTGCCCGAGCAGCACCTGCAGGCACGCAGCGTCTCGGCCTCGTCGTCCCGCAGTGCCAGTGCAGCACCGACACTCCCCTCTGTCACTTCCTCGCCAACCTCATCCTTCTCCTCCCTGCCCTGTTCCTCCGACGCGCCGACCGACACCGAAGAGGAGTCCGACGGTGAAGGCGAGCCGGCCGAGCCGCCCATCTACTTTGGCACGCCGTCGCGCGAGGAGCATGCGCGCCGGCGCAAGGTCAGCGCGCGCATGCGCGAGCGGCGACTACTGCGCAAGGACAGCTTGGACCTGGCGCGGCGACGCAGCATCGGGCCGATGGACATGCCAATTAGCGAGGCGGAGGCGCCCGTGTCCGACGCTGCTTCACCGGCCGCTGAGGTGGAGCGCGAGGAGGAAGAGGAAGAGGAGACAGGCTCGTACGGCGGCAGAGAGGAGTCGGTGGGATGCAGGACCATCGGGCAGCTCGATGCCAGTGCCGAGCCAAACGCCTCGTGGCCAGTCTCGCAAGAGCAGGACGACGAGCCGCAGCTCACGGCGGACGCAGCAGCGCACGAGGAGCTCCTCGAGGCGCAGGCAGAGCCGACGAGCGAAGCTGCTGCCTTCGACGAGCAGGAGCCGGCGGCTGGCGCTTTTCACGAGAGCACCTCATCTTCGTTCGCCGAGCCCTCGACCGCCGAGCTGCCTCTTGTCGTCACGGACGACACGCCGTTCGAGGCTAACTTGAGCTACAAGACCGAGTCGAGCTACCGGACAGAGTCCGAGTCGGGCGATGAGGAGGGGGAGGGCCAGGCGGAGGAGGAGCAGAAGCAAGAATGGCAGGGCGAGGAAGAGAAGGGACCGCAAGGTGGCGCAGAGTCCGACGAGGAGCACAACGCGAGTGACGACGCAGCGAGCGAGTCTGGCTCGCGGCATGCACTCGAGGCGGAAGCAGCGCCAGATGCTAGCGCGACGGACCTCGATCGCACTCTTCGCCTGTCTTCTCTCGGCCAGCAAGACGCCGCTCCCGCCGCAGTGGATCTTGCAGACGAGCAACGTACAGCGAGCCCTGCTACAGAAGCAGCGGAGCTGGACGAAGACGCTCCGCTGGACGAAGACGTTCATGATTCTGCCGACATCTGCGTTGATGCGTCCATCCCGACGGCAGCAAGCGCCTCGTCTCGGCTCGCAGAGCCCGACACACCTCAGGAGCACGCGCAGGTCGAGCCGCCGAGCGAGATGGAGCCGACGCACGAGATTCCAGCTGCAGATGCTGAGCCGCTGCAGTCGCCAGAGCTCTCTCAAGTTGAGGTCGCGCAAGAGCCCGAGCTTTCTACGCGCAAAGCTGAAGTCGAGAGCGAGGCGCCGGCTGTGCAGAGTGCTGCCGAGCCAGAGGCTTCTGCAGTGCTGGCCGAGGCTGAGCCGGTCGAGCCAAGGCAGGCTTCCGCCTCTGAGGCCGACGAAGCCCCGCGGGTTGAGTCTCCGGTGCTCTGCCCGACGGACGACGACGAAGCCGAGCAAACCTGCAGCGCCAGCCTCATCGATGCAGATCCCGAGTCCGAGCGCTCGACTGCCGATGTCTTCAGCTCAAGCCCCATGCGCGCCGCAGTGCACGTCGCGGCGCCGTCGTCGTCGCAAGCGCCGTCGCCGCCCTCCACGCCAATGCGCATCTCGCGCGGCGCGATGCTCACGCCGCAGTCCTGTGCGCTTGCAGCCGGCTCGCCCGTCTCGTTCGACTATGCGTCGTCGCCCGGCGTCGCGCTTGCTGCGCACGGCACGCGCGCTGGCGACTTGAGCCTGTTGAACAACCTGCGCGCTGAGGCGCGACACGACTCGGCTGGGCCGGAGAGTCCTTTTGTGCTGTCGCGTTACGCAATGGAGCGGCAAGACTTCATCGAGGAGGGCCTCGAGCTCGCAAGCAAGCGATCCGGCCCCGCTGAAGGTGCCAGTCCAGTGCGTCGGCGCAAGAGCGCGCGCTTGAGCATGCGGTACGACGAGGAAGAGGCCAGACGGCAGCAATCGCCGCACAAGGCAACTGCACTTGTCTCGCCGAACAAGTCGTCGCCGAGCAAGCCGAGGCCTGCAAACGTCGCCGATGCACTCAATGCATGGGCAGATGCAAAGACGATGAGCCCCGTGAAGCTGCAGCCCGTCTCGCCGCCAGCTTGGTCGCTCGGCGCAGCTAGCCCTCGCAAGCCTCTGCGCGCTCTGGAGCGCTCTCAAGGACACGGCAGTCCGTTCAAGGCGAGAGAGGAGAATGCGTCGTCGCCGTCGCGCATCCCGCCTCCGACGCGCGTGCTCGAGATCGCTCGTGCGGTGCCGCTGCCTCCGAGCTCGCCCGAAGCGCCCGAGCAGCCGAAAAGCTCCGCGCCGGTCAGTGAGGCCGACGGCCCGACCGAGGAAGCGGTCGCTGCGCCATCACAGGCGAAGGCAGGTCCGTCAGCACGACTGGCAGAGTCGCTGCGAGCTGCTCGTCTCGCTTCAGCACAGCCAGCGCCGCATCTAGCCGCGCCCGCTCCTAGCGCTGCTGCAAAAGCTGCTCCTGTCGCTGGACCCTCTGCTGCCGCGCGACCGCCGACAGGCGTGCCCGCACCTGCTCGTCAGCTGGCTGCCAGTGTGTCGGGGATTCGAGCGCCGACTGCCGGCCCAGCTGTATCGTCGCGTCTGCCCAAGCCAGCAGCAGCGTCTGGCATCGCCCGACCCGTGGCCAGCGTGCCTCGCAAGGTGCTGCCTGCACCGAAGCCGGTCGCAAGCTCGTCTCTGCGGCGAGCAGTCGCCCCTGCCCCGGTTGCGGCGCGCGCTGTGCCTTCTGCAGCCGCCACGGTCCGCAGACCAGCGCTGGCCAAGCCGCAAGTCGAGCGCAAGGCGCATCTCGGGCGACCTCTGCTGGCTTCGCGGGCGGCGTCCGCTGATCAGCCTCCTGCGACGCCCCTTGGCGCTGGCGCCTCCGCTGCGACATCTGAGTTGAGGCCAGCAGTCGCATCCGCGCCCAGCTCGTTCGCCGCTGCAGAGCGGCCTCGTCTGCCAGCGCCCTCGCCTGCTCCGACGGCGCCAGTCGCGGCAGAGGCACTGGCGCCGCCGCCTGTGCGGACCATCCGCTCCGCCGCTGTTGCAAGCCGCGGCCCCGCGAGTGCAGCTCCTCGTCGACCGACGCCGGAGAACCAGGCCTCTGCTGTGCGCCTACAGTCCGCCGCCGCACCGAAGCTCGGTGCTCTTGCTGCCTCTTCCTCGCCAGAACGGCCCGTGGTGCGCAGCGCAGCAATGCGTGCGCCTGTCATCCGAGACGCGCGTCTGGCCAGCAGTGTGCCTGCCAGTCGCGTGTGGGACAGTCCGTCCAAGCTCAACCGTGCGATGTCCTCCTCGACCAGCGCACTGCCAAGCGCAAAGCCAGCCTCTTCCTCGTCCTCGCCCGTGCGAGCTGCCTCGCGCGAGGCACGCGCCACTCAGCCTCCGCCACCGCCGCCAGAGTCGTCGGTGTATGGCCCGCAAGCGGCACCCGGCCGAGCACGGCGCGTCCCAGCCGGCTCGCTTGCCGCGATCAAAACGCCGCCTGCTGCTCCTGCGCAGCCAGTCCAAGCGCCCGTGCCTGCGTCGTCGTTGCCGCCGCTCAGTGCCTCTACAGCTGCCGCTACATCGACAAGCACTCGCGGCGCTTTCGGTGCATCCGTCCCGCAGCTGAGCAGCGCAGCGCCGAGCGGGCCGAGCGTGGCTGCGCGTGGCGGACGCCAGCCGCTGAGCGCAAGTCAGGTGCAGAGCGCCGCCGCCATCGTCGAGGCCGATAGCTCCGTGTCTCCGATGAAGGCGGCGCGCCGGGCTCTGCAGTCAGGCGAGGCGGCGCCCAGCAGCGGTGGCATCGATGACGGTGAGGAGCGCGGCGCCAAGTCTCTGCGGCCACGACGTGCGGTGCCCGCGACCCAGGGCCAGACGCTGGCCTCGCAGCGCCTCTTCCCCTCTGCTGCGCCGATGACAGAGGCGCCGGTGGCTCCGAGCATGCCCGTACCTGCTCCCGTCAAGCGCAGTGCTGCACGTGTGCCCACCGCCTCCTCGGTGCTCAATCCCACCGGCGCCGGCGATCGTGCGCCCGAGATCCCCATGTCGCACGCCGAGCTGGTGCGTCTGACAAATCAGCACACGCGGCGCAACGAGGTGTACCTGGCCAAGCTCGACGTCGTCTCGATTCGCATCGAGGGCCCGCGGCCGCCAAGCCCGACGGCCAAGGTGCCCAAGGTGACGGGCGCACGCATGGACCGGGCCGAGGCAGCCAATGCGCGCGAGCGGCGCGCTCGCAAGCGCGGCAGTGAAGAGTCCGACGACGACTCGTGCTCGTCGCGCGCACAGTCGGCCGATCCGGAGCAGCACATGCGCGGCGCTGGCGAGCTCGAGGCGTACCACACGCCCCAGCGCGAGCCGGCCGCGGCTGCGGCACGCAAAAAGAGCGTGCGCTGGCACAAGGCGCTCTTTGTCGGCCCCAGCGAGGCGCCCGCAGACCTCATCGCCGAGCCGGACCGCAGTCCTGCGCGGCGCGCGGGCGCAGCGAGAGGCCGGAGCTCGCTGGCTGCAAAGGTGAGTTGCGCTGCGAACGCCAGAGCCTGAGGTCGACGTCTGACGCCCCACCCCGTCGCAGACCTTCCCGCTCGACCGCAACGGCAACATCGCCGAGGCCGACGCACCCCTCTCGCCGCGCCTGCGCAAGGTGCGCGTCAAGATCATCAAGAACATCTTCGACGACGACCTCTGAGCGTCGCGCTGGGCTCCTGTGCTGCTCTGGAATGCATCCTTCGGCGGCGGCACGCGCCCTGCCTCTGTCTCTCAACCGCCTGCCCGCTTTGTTCCTCGCCTGAGCCAGTGCACGTGGTAAATTGGATGTCCGGGGAAGGTGTACAGCAGCAGAGAGAGGCGCCGAAGATGGGCTTCGGCGGTGATTAAAGAGAGACGCTGGCCTGCGCAGCAGAGCCAGGCCAGAGGCGCGCCGGCATGCAACGCGTGTAGCAGGCGCTTGCTTGGATGCTAGAGGCATCTAGATGGCGTGCTCGAGCTGCGGCGTCGTCGGCCGCTTGCGAGCGTCGTGGTCGGCGTGCGGGGGACGAAGGTGTCCCGTGGCGCTGCCCTGTGACTTCTCCGCCAGCAGCGGCTGCTTCTCGGCGACGCGCGCCGCCGCACGCTTGGCGGGCTTGTTGTACGTGCGCGCGTAGAAGGAGATGAAGAGCAGCAGGTACGACGAGAGGATGATGACGCCGGAGATGGCGGCGTGCGGCACGGCGGCGGGGCAGTGGCCCCACTGCGGCAGCGAGGAGTTGAAGTACGTCGTGAAGAACTCCCACGTGGCGAAGTAGACGATGGAGAGATCGAGGATGAACTGCACGATCTGCATCGTCGTCTGCACACGCTGTCAGCGTGTCGCAGGAGAGAGCGGAGCGAGGGGCTGCTCACCACAGCGCGCTTCCAGGGGCAAGGGATGCGCAGCGTCGTCAGCGCGTAGTAGGCGTACTGCAGGGTGCATCGAGTCAGCAGCGGCAGACAAAGAGAAGCAGCCAGACAGACGCACCATGATGAGGTGCACGAAGAGGTTGAGCGTCTGGGTAAGGGAGCTTGTCAGCCATGCTCGCGGCTGCTCTGCAAACGAGCACGCACAATGACCACCCAGCTGACACTCGTCTTGCCCAGCAGCTGCGAGAAGCACAGCAGCGCGGTGGCCGAGTGGTGGTACACGTGCAGGAACGGCATCGGCTTGCCCTTGAGCATCATGAAGACGGTGTCGATGAGCTCGAGGCTGCGGGCCGGGGAGAGTCAGCCAAGGCAGGAGCGGACACGCACAGGCGCGCCGAGCTGCCCGCGCGCGAATGGGCTCTCTCGCGAGAGTCTGTCAAGCCGAGCTCCTCGATGGGACATCGTCTGCTTGTGTTCTGCCACAGCTCCCGCTCATCCCTTTCATCAACCCTAGCTGCTTGGACCCTCGGCATGCGCCGCGCCAGAGATTGCCGGCTTCTCCATGGCCTGCGCGCCTTGGTCCAACGCCCCTCCGCTCGTGCTTCCACCTGGCCTTCATTGCTCGACTGCCGCTTTTGTTTCGCACTCACTACTTCATCATGTAGTTGATAATCTGTCCACATCTCTGCATCAGCACCTCTCCGTCCTCCACATGCCGCGCGGCGCACTCACGTAGAGCGTCTCCATCGTCGGCGTCCAGCTCTCGCGCGCACAGATGGCGTGGTAGAAGCCATGCTGCGACCAGATGGGGATGATCTCCTCCAGGAACGCAGCGAGCAGCAGGCCGGACATGAGACTGAGCATGATGTTGTGCGCCACAAAGATGCCCTTGATCTGCAGCGGCTTGAGGCCGAAGCGCTTCTGCAGCGCCCGGCCGCCGTGGATGACGGTGAGGTAGATAGCGCCCGTAGCGGCGACGGCGGGCGCAGTGCTCCAGGGAGTCTGCCCGGGAATCCAGCGCACCAGCGCCTCATTGCGCCCGAGGAACGCGGGCAGCACACGCGGCAGCACCGCCGAGAGCGTGTCGTACACGGGCGAGGCGTGCGCGGCGAGCATGGCGGGCAGAAGGTGGAGGGCGAGGCTCTCTCTGAGATAGAATAGGGAGCAGAAGGGAGACGCAGACGAGACCGAGGCTTGCAGATGATGGTCGGGAGTGGAGCAGCGCCAATAGCGCCGCCTTTTGAGGCGCCCTGTCAGGAGCAGCAGGGCGTAGCGGCACGTCACTGCGGCTTGCTCTCGCAGCGCCGTCCCGACAGGAGCCGGGCCGATGCAGATCTCGTTTCTCTCTCGCAGGCGGCCTGCAGCGCCCTCGTCGGCGTGTTTCGATCTGTGTCGCAGCGCCGGAGCGCCGTCAGCGGCGTGGGTTGGGCAAATTTCGAGGAGCGCCGTCCGCGGCCCCACACCTTGGGCGCCGAGATGGACGATGCGCTGCGCTGCACCCGACGTGCCGCGGTGCGGCGGGCGCCACGACAACACGCTTCCGCGGCAGCGGCAGGGTGCAGCAGCGCCAGAGCCGTGCTGCGTGATGCGTGCCGCCGCGCCAGAAGCAGCGAAGCCACACCGGCGCGCCGGAAGCTACGCCCGAGCTCGTCGAACCGCGAGGGTGCGCTCGAGGCAGCGCGGAAGCAGCAGCAGCAGCCAGCAGCAGCAGCGTCGGCTGCAGCGTCACGAAGAGGTCTTCGTCCTGTCCTGGGCACCTTTGATGCAGGCGCAGCTCTTCGCCCCTTGAGGGGGGGGGGGGGGGGGGAGAGATGAGCTTGGCGCCTGCTTCGTGGCGGAAGCAGCGCGGGCGCACTTCTGCTCCCGCCGGGCAGCATTCCTGCTCAAGGCACAGTAGCTTGCGCTTGCACAACCTTCTCGCCCTGGAGCACCACACCTGCTCTACAGCGCTGTACGACCTTCTTTTCTGCGAGCAACAGCGCCGGGTGCAGAGTCAAAGAGAGCGCTCAGTGCACGACGGCAGCGGCAGGGCACACCCCAACATCTCGGAGCGAGGCGCCGATCCCGGTGCCGTTCCCACGCTGCCGGCGCAGGCTAGCGCCGCCGGAGCTGCCCTGCCAGATCCGCGGCTCTGCCTTCCCTCCTCCTCCTGGCTGCAACGTCTGCCACCGCCGTTCCTGACCTCGTCAGACTCCTCCTCTCACGCAGTTCTAGGAAGAGGCCGCTATCACGCATGCGCTGCCATTGCTCCTCACTTCGTCGGCGGCGGCGGCACTCTTCTCTTCTGCGGCGCCGTCGAGCTGCGCTGTGTCCCCGATGCATGAGCATCATCCGCCAGTCCCAGGCTGCCACTCGGGCCGCCCGCAGAGTCGCCCAGCAGCTGCTTCGCATCTTCTTTGCTATAACCCGGCGGCGGGCCTGCACGTCCCGAGGGGCCGCTGAACGTGGCGCCGGGCATGACAAACTCTGGTCGGCGGGTGCAGGGCGTGAGCGGGCTGTCTGCTTGGGTGGGTCGTGAGAGCAACTCACCGTCGTCGCCCTGAGGCGCGAACGGCAGCTTGCCGCGCTGCGACGATGTCGGACTGCTTGGCCGCCGCGGGTCGGCGAGACTGTACGTCTGGTCTCGCGGCAATGGCTTGCGTTCGCCGCTGCGGAATGACTGCTGGCGCTGCGGGCAGGAAAGAGCTGGTCAAAAGCAGCTCAGAGCGAAGCTTCATTATGCGGCACCGCCTCACCTTCTCCAAGTCATGAGCGTACATGGCCGCGCCCACACGGTTGCTGATGCTGAACGCGAGGCCAGCGAGCGGCACAGCCTCGAGCAGGGAAGCGGCGAGACCGAAGATGCGATACTCGAACTGCCGCTCGGTCATCCACAGCTCGATCTGCAGAGGCGTCATGCGCTTGTGCGCAAACATGTCCGAGTGCAATTGCCGGCCCATGGACAGCGAACGGATGCCAGCGGAGACGATGAGGCCGAGAACTGCGGCGGGCGTGTCAGACGAAGACTTGACTGGATGCGCGAGCCTGGCTTACACGGAACAAAGTCGAGCGGCAGCAGTACGACTGAGGGCGCCGTGATGTCAGCCAACTGAAGAGACACGAAAGCACGCAGGGCAAAGCTGACCCTTGAGCAGAAAGATGCGAATGACGGGCGACGCCAGCTTCATGTAGAAGGCCTGCTTCTGCTGTCCCTTCTGCGCCTTTGCCAGCGGCGGCTCCTCCCACCTGGCCCGCGAGGGTCAGCACTGGGCGCTCCAGTCGTTTCCGGACGGCAGCACGCACTCTTCAAAGTACGGCGTCCACCACTCGTCTCCCTTGCCGCGCGACTTGACCTGCACGCGCATGTCAGCCAAGCATGCTGCGCAGCGCTCGCCCGCTTCGGCACGCACTGTAGCCTGATACGCCTCGTTCCTGCACTCCTTGAGCTTGCGCCGCAGCCAGAAGTCCATGATCGAGTTGCACTGTCCCAGCACGAAGACGAGCGCGGCAAACGTCGTCAGACTCGGCATGGCGAAGCCGAGGAAGCTCGAGTCGCTGGCGCCATCGAGGCGGTCTGCGCGGCCCACGACACTGCCGTACACGCTCGAGAGACCGCTGATGCGCGCCGAGCCGGACATGAAGTACCCGACGAACCAGCGCTGGACGGGCCACGTCACCACTGCCTGTGGTGCGATTGTGAGCGGTGCGTCGTCGGGCGAAGCTGCACCGCGCCTCACCCAGATGACGGCGATCAGCCCGGCCCGCTTGGCGGCCGAGGCGCAGCGCTTCCACATGGGCTTCCACAGCAGCGGGTCGCGCGCCAGGCGGAAGGCGCCGACGACGCAGTACGCCGGCGGGAAGGTGAGCAGCTCGGACGGCATTGCGGCGTGGTGATGAGAGGCTGCCTGCTGACGGTGCCGGGGAGGAGGAGCCAGGTGCGAGGTGGAGCAAGGCCCGAGAGGTGGGCCGTGCACCGCCTCGGCGCGCACGTGACGCCGGCCGCGCCTGCACAGAGTGCCGATGCGCTCAGTTTCGCGGCAGCTGCGGCGCTGCGTCATGGACGCTGGCGATCTACACGGCGCATTTGCCCGCTGCCGGCGTGCCTGCCGCTGGGGTGCCCCGTGCCCCTCGCCAACGAGAAGTTCGAGCGAGCGCCGGCACCGACAGCCCAACGCAGCGCCGACTCCAAGCTGCATCGGGTCGGGATGGCGCTCGTGCTGCTGCTGTGCCCGAGGTGCTGCTGGAAGAAAGGTGCGAGGAGGGCTCGGCTCGGTCGAAGCGCAGGCGCTCAGGCACCCTGATCTCGCGCCAGCGAGACATCAGGGTTTGCCGCGGCGCGCGCACGAAGCACGCTCGGTGCGGCGTAGATGCGTCGGCGTGCTGTCGGCCTGCCGCTGCTCCACTGCCGGAAGGTCCTCGCTGCACCTGCACCCTCAGCGAAGGCTGCCGAGCGCCGCACGCTGCTTGCTGCGTGCGTGCGTGCGTGCGTGCGTGCGGCTGCAGCATGCAGCAGCTGAGTGCTGCCAGCAGCGCAGCGCTGCCGCATCGCGCCGCTGCACCCGCCGTTGACGTGCACGCCGCCAGCGGCCGCACCGATAGGCCGCCGCCGGGAATCGTTGCGCACCGCTCGCGCCTCGTTCGCGCAGCTTCCTTAAAGCTGCCCTTGCCCGGCCGCTGCTCCTTGCTCCCGCCCACCACCTCACCCATACACCTTGCAACCCCAACCCCTCCCTTTGCACAACTTCCGCCATGTCGACCGCTCTTGACGCCCTTAAGCAGTACACCGCCGGTGAGTCGCCCCTCTCGTACCCTGCCCTGGCTAGGCTCCACTGGCGCGCTCGCTGTTCTTCCCGCCGAGCTGCCGCTGATGCGCTTCGCGCTGCAGTCGTCTCCGACTCCGGTGACTTCGAGTCCATCGACGCCTACAAGCCGCAGGACGCCACCACCAACCCCGTGAGTGCGCCGGGCGAGACGCAGCAGCGGCCGGCAATCTGTGCGCGTGCGCTGCAGCGAGCAGGCAGCGCGCCGCAGCGCCATGCCCGACCGCCTTGCCGAGCTTGATCTGTCGCAGCAGCCCATACTCACGCCTCTTCTCCCTCAGTCTCTCATTCTTGCTGCCATCAAGCAGGAGAAGTACGCGCGCCTCCTCGATGTCGCCGCAAAGTACGCCAAGGAGCAGGGCGGCAGCGACAAGACGGCGCAGATCGACGAGGCGTGCGACCGCCTGCTCGTCGAGTTCGGCGTCGAGATCCTGAAGCTCATCCCCGGCCGCGTCTCGACCGAGGTTGACGCGCGCCTGTCGTTCGACAAGGAGGCCACCAAGGCCAAGGCGCACAAGCTCATCAAGATGTACAAGGACCAGGGCATCGACAAGGACCGCGTGCTGATCAAGATCGCCTCGACGTGGGAGGGCATCCAGGCCGCGCGCGAGCTCGAGGCCGAGAGCCAGATCCACTGCAACCTGTGAGTGGCGTAGTGCAGTTGAGGTGGGCGCGAGTGGACCCTTCCTGGCCTGCGCGCGCATGAGCGATACGCGCGCGCGCGCGAGGTTCATGCGCGCGCGTGCACGCGCCACCTTGCACCGCACTCACACCCTCTCCTCCGCTCAGCACGCTCCTCTTCGGCTTCGGCCAGGCCGTTGCATGCGCCGAGGCCGGCGTCACGCTCATCTCGCCCTTCGTCGGCCGCATCCTCGACTACTACAAGAAGCAGACGGGCAAGGAGTACGCGTCGCACGAGGACCCCGGTGTCGTGTCGGTGCAGAAGATCTACAACTACTACAAGCAGCACGGCTACAACACCATCGTCATGGGCGCCTCGTTCCGCAACATCGGCGAGATCAAGGAGCTCGCCGGCTGCGACTGTGAGTTGCGCAGCAAGCGGGTGCATGTGGAGGTGGCGGGAGGTGGAGCGGCGCAGCAGACGGACGCGCACTGCCCTGGGCCGCCACGCCACCGCGCCAGCCCCGCAGAACTCCCATGCTGACCCTCTGTCTAGTCCTCACCATCGCTCCGGCGCTGCTGGAGCAGCTGAAGAACGAGTCGGGCTCGCTCGAGCGCAAGCTCTCGCCCGAGAAGGCCAAGTCGGAGGACCCGCAGGCCAAGGTCTCGTTCGTCGACAACCAGGGCGACTTCCTCTTCGAGCTCGCCAAGGACGCCATGGCGTCGACGAAGCTGTACGAGGGCATTGCCAAGTTCGCCGAGGACGGCCAGGCGTGAGTGGCCCTGACGTGCGCTCAGTTGCGATGCCTTTGCTCACCCTTCTCCCCCCCGCCACAGCCTCAAGGACCTCGTCGCCAAGAAGCTCTAAGCGCGCCGTGCCCTGGTCTCCCTGCGATCCCCCTTCTGTCACACCATTTGGCCGCTTAATGACTACTGAGACAACATCAGACGGCGCGCGCTGAGGAATGTCTTGAGGCGTGTTGCAGGTGTGATGATTGAGTACAAGTGACAGAGGGGACGGAGAGGATGACAGCGGGCACATGGCAGGCAATGGGACAGTGGGTGGCGCGCAGGTGCGGCGCCATCACAGATAGCGGCGGCAGCCTGGCGAGCCGCAGAGACAGGCAATGGCGTCGGCCTGGTCGCCGCCTTGGAACTTGTAGTCGTACGTCAGCTCGTGCCCCGGCAGGATCGTCGTGCGTGCGTAGAGGACAATGCGCTTCTCGCCGTTGAGCGTGAGGATCTTGGCGTTGCAGTTGGGCGTGCAGCAGTGCTGCGCGGGCAGGGAACGGTGAGCGGGTGAGAGGGTGCGCGCAGGCATGCGGCGGGCACACGCACGTTCATCAGACGTGCAATGTTGCCCTTGCGCGTCGCATCGACCACGAGGTCGTCGTCGACGCGGAAGAGGTAGGTGCTGAAGTTGCCCTGCGGATCATGCGTCAGCCGCAGCAGCAGACCGCACTGCACACCCCACTCACCTGCCGCTCGTAGGCCTTCTCGCGCTCGTCGGCAATCTGCTGCCGCACCACCTCGCCGACGTACTCAATGACCATGTCGCCCGCGGGGATGAGCTCCATGGCGTACAGGCCCCAGTCGTGGATGGGCGACTTGGCGAACTTGAGCTGCTTCTTGCGCGTGCGCAGCTGGTTGAACTTGAGGATGTCCGTGTCGCTGGCCGTGTCCTTCTTGTGCTGCTCAATGCCCTGCACGAAGCGCCGCGAGTCGGCGCGGTTGTCGCGCGCCGACGCCAGCCCCACGGCTGTGGCAGTGTCGACGATGGCGCGGTTGCGGTCCGGCTGGTGCTGCGCCTTCTCCTCCTGCGGGATGAGGAAGAAGCCCTGCGTGCGCGCGCAGCCCGAGCTGTTCGGCTCGTCGTCGTTCTCCTCCAGATCCGCCTCGAGATCCTCGGGCAGGTTCTTCGACGTGACGGCCTCGCCCTTGGCCATCTGCTCGAGCGCCAGGCGCATGAAGTACAGGTCCTCGGGCGTCTCGGCGATGCCCGCCTCGAACGGATCGGGCGTCGGGCTGCGCGGCCGCGCGGGCTTGACGACGACCTTGGCCTTCTTGGCCGGCTGCGCCTCCCACTGCAGCGCCTCGGAGTCGTCGCCGTCGTCCGGCTCGGCAGGCTCCTCGACGACAGGCTTGGCGACGGCGGCCTTCTTGCTCTTCTTCTTGCTCTTCTTGGCCGGCGCCTCGTCGTCGACCTTGATCTCGTCGAGCGCAGGCGTCTCGTGCTTCACGACGACCTCCTCGAAGACGGCCGCGCTCGCCTTCTTCTTGCTACGCTTGGGCTTGACCGCGACGACCTCGTCGTCCTCGCTGTCAGTGAAGACGGGCGCGCGGTGCGACGGCTGCTCGTGAGTCTCTGGCTTGGCTTGTTGCTCCTCGACTGGCGAGCTGCGCTCGGCCCGCTGCGACTCTCGGCGTCTCTCCTTGCGCACATCGAGGCTTGGGTCCGCCACGCGCGGCTGTCGCACCGGTTCGATGCGATAGTCGCCGCGCTCAGCGGCCCACCGCGCCTGCGGCTCGCCCACATTGGGGCCGAGGGCGCGCTCGCGGCCCCAGCCGTTGTCGCGCGGCGCAGCAACTGGCACAGGACGGCCACCCACGCCGTTGAAGATGCGCCCGCCGCGCCCGCCACGGGCGCCACGAAAGGCGCCTGCACCGAAGCGCGCGCCTGCAGCGCCCTGCTCTGCACGAAGAGGCGTGAAGGTGACCTCGTCGGCCTCCTTCGGCGCCCACGTCATGGCGGTGTGCATCGCGGCGCGGATGAAGGGCATCCGCACCTCGATCGAGATCTGGATGTTGGCGCTCGTGACCTTCTTCTTGTCGAGCACCGTGCGGCAGCGCTGTGCGCCATCGGCCGTGTCGAAGGTGACATACCAGGCCGACGAGTCGCTGAGCACCTCGCACACGCCAAAGGCGGCGAAGTGCATGCGTAGCTTCGGCGCGTTGACGCCCGGCACGTGCGGTACGACGGCGTACGGGAACTTCTGGTCGTCGAGACGCTGCATGACCGCCAGCTTGTCCATGATCGTGTCGGGCTCTTCCGCCGCGGCAGTCGTCACCCGTGGAGCAGCTCCGTTGAACGCAGCCACAGCGGCGCGGCCGGCCGGCAATCGCTGCATGCCATTGCGCGGGCCAGTCGGTGCGCCAGGCACGCCAAGCACGCCACGCCCGCGTCTGCCGTAGAAGACGGCCAGTGGCTTCGGGCGGTAGTCGTCCTCGTTGTCCGAGCCGAGATCCATGTCGTCTTCTTCGCGAGGCTCGAGGCCTGAGCCCTTCGCGGCGTCCTGCGAGGCTGGCGACGAATAGCCGTGGCCGCTGCTCGGCGGCGTGTGGCCCATGGGTGACGCAGTCGCAGGCGACACGAAGCCTCGCCCGTACATCTGCCCACGTGGGCCGAGCGGCATGTTGACGCCCGGGCCCATCGGCCGCTGATTGCGCGGGCCGCGCGGAGCGGTAGGCGGCGCCATCGGCGAGGCGCTGCCAGATGCCGCTGCGCCGAGCTGGCCATTCGGAGAGATGGCACTGCCGGCGCCAGCGAGCAAGCCCGCTTTCGGCCCGCTCGGCGTGACGCTCGCGGGCGGCTTCGCCGTGCGTGGCGGGTAGCGCTTGGCCAGCAGCTCGCGGTACGCACGCACGTACTTCGAGCGCTCGAGGTCGTCGAGCACGACGGTGATGACGTCGCTCATGATGCGCTGTCCGTTGCTCTGCGTCATGGCCTTGCGTGCCACCTCGTCGCCGCGCTGCGGGTTGCGCGACTGCGTCGGCTTGCCGTCCTCGTCGTAGTCGTGCGCAAACTCGATGTGGTAGATGCCCAGGCTCTGGCTCGTACGCGGGTCCGTCTTGAGCTCCGTCTCGCGGATGCGCCCAAACGCCATGAAGAAATTGTCGACCTGGCCGCGCAGCGTGAGAGGCGATAGGCCCGTCACGAGCAGCGACCGAGGAGGCGGCGGCGGTCGCGGGCCCACCGAGTTGCCATCCCACTGCAGAGGCACACCGCGTCAGCAAGACGCCCAGTCCGACATCTAATCCAGCCCGCACAGCTCCACCACACACGCTCTCCATTGGCAACGCTCCTCCACCTTCGCCCGGCCCGGCTCCTCGGGAAACACTCACCTCCCATACAGGATACGCCAACTGCGTGCGCACCGCACCCCTCCCATGCTTGACCGGCGGCAGCGACTTTCTCGGGTCCACTGACACCGCCGCCATGTCCTCCTGGGTCTGGTAGCGGCGCACCGCTTCCTTGCCCTTTGCGCTGCCGCGGTCCAGATTCGGATCATACACCGTCTTGAAGCCGCGCTGCGAGCTCGAGGGCTCGAGCGGCAGCTCGTGCGGCAGCAGGACGTGTCCAAAGGACAGCGTCGGCGGCGGAGGCGAAGCTGGCGCTGGCTCCTCGACCTCAGCAGGCGGAGGCGGAGGCGAGCCGGGCGGCGGCGGCGGAGGTGGAACCGAGACGTCATCTTCTTCGGCCGGTGGAGGCGGCGGCGGAGGAGGTGAGGGCGGAGGCGGCGGTGGCAGAGCGGCTGGCGGCGGAGGCGGAGGCGGCGCACCCGGCTTCGGCGGGCTCGCAGCGGGCTGCTCTACGCGCATGAACGCCCGAGGACCGCTGGGAGTGCGCATAGCACTAGGCTGCTTTGGCGGAGCGGGCGCGCCAAAGCGTGCAGCTGCGAATTGCGCACGAGGGCCGGTGGGCGCCGAGGGCGGAGGCTGCTGCGCTGCTGGCCGCGACATCTGGCGCGGCCCAGTCGGCGGCGTCGAACCTGAGGCGGCCGAGTTCGGCGGCGACATCGCTCCGGGTCCCCGAGGCGGCGTGGCAGTCGCGGACAGAGGCGACCGCACGGCTGTCACCGGCGAGAATGGAGGGCGAGGAGCGATGTCTGCCCTTGCCGGCGGCACGAGCGAGGCTCGTGGCTGTAGAGGAGGCACCTCGGGCCGCGGCGGTGGCACAAATGCTTGTCGCGGCTCCACAGGAGGAAGCTCTGACCGCGGCGGCGGCACGAAGGAAGCTCGCGGCTCGAGAGGCTGAACGTCTGCTCGCGGCGGCGGCACGTACTGCGAGCGAGGCGGAGAGCGAGGTTGCGGCGGCTCTGGCCGCACTGGCGTGGGCGTCCGCACAGCGGGGCTCTCTGACGCCTCGCGCGAATCGGCGCCTGCGCTTTCGCGCCGGGGCCAGCGTGGCACTGCCGACTCAGACCGAGGCTCGAGAAACTCGGCTGGCCTGGGCTCGGCTGGCACCTCACGAGCTGGCGGGTCCTGCGGCGGAGGAGCCACGTGCGCGGCCTCATCATGCTTCTCGAATGGTGCACGGGAAGACTCAGCTTGTGGCGCAGAGGGCACCGGCGAGGATCGTGGCTCGGCTTCCGCAGGCAACACCTCGGTCCGGTCTGCCATCCTCGCATCGCGATCCGCAGATGCTGGAGGATCAAGCCGCGAGGGACCAGGCGAGGCGGAGCGGGCAGGCCAGCGATTCGCCGGCGCTCGCTCTGCCGACCGTTGCTCGCTGAAGCTGTCTCGCTCGGGCTGTCGCGACGGCCAGCCGCCGTCTCGATCAGCGGGCAACACCGGGCTCTGCCGTCGCTTGCGACGCGCACCGCCACGCTTGCGGCTCTTGCGCGGCTGTGAGCCAGCGTCGCCGCTGCGCTCGTCGTACTCCGCCAATGTGGAGGGCTCGCGGCGCTCCCAGCCTGATGGCTCGGCGTGTCGTCTGAGCTCAGAGCCGTCGCGGCTGCGGCTTCGTGGGGCGGGTCCCGGCCCTGCGCCGTCCGAATCGGCGTCGGAGAGCTCGCCTTCCTCGGGGCTGCCCTCGCGAGCGCCGTTCGAGCTTGCGGCGCGCGCTGGTCGGACAAGCGGCGAGGTCGGCCGGCGGAGCGGGACAGCAGGAGCAGCAGGATGAGAAGGCTCATCTCGAGCCACAGCCGAGGCGCGCGGGCCCCAGCCGTTGTCCTTTGGCATGGGTGCGCCGCGCGGACTGCGCTCGTCGCGGCTGCCGCTGCCCGAAGCCGCGGGCCAGCCGTTCGCCGAAGGCCCGGGCCCGCCGGGACGGTACGAGTCGACGTCGCCGGTGTTGCTCTTACGCCCGCCGCGAGCGCGCGACGAGCCGCTGGAGGAGCTGCGTGCGGGCCATGAGCTCATGGCTCGCCGCTCCGGCTGCAGGCGGGGCGCAGGATGCTTGCTGGCTGGGAGAGGGCGCGAGATGAGCGTCAGCAAAGGCTCTGACGGGCGCAGGCGAAGGCAGTGTGATTGCTCGGGTCGCTTGCGATCTGGCTGCAGCCTGCCGATGCCGCGAAGACAATGGCTCACGAGCTGCTCCACTCACACTGGCGGGAAGACTAGGGCGCCTTGACTGTGGTATCAGGGCTCGGTCGGCGGCGAGAGCACTTGTGTAGCGGCGCCAGCAGTATGATCGCAGTAGATGTAGGTGACGGGGTATGGCAGACGGGAAAAGGAAGACGTGCGGGGCACGCAACCAGCTGGAGCGGAGCAGCACAGCGTCGAGCGGGCCTGTCCGTGCGGTGCGAGGTGCGGAGAAGTCGGCGAGCTGGAGCGCGGTAGGCGAGCCAGAGAGCGTCAGTGCTGCCGGGCGTCGGGGCAGTATGCGCAGCGCTGAGGCTGCGAGACGATCGCCGCTGGGCCGAGTGTATGCGGCGTGTGCAGTGGAGGGTGGATGAAGAGGAGACGAGGCAGGGTAGCAAAGTCGTCTGGCCGCCTGCTGAGCTCGCGCGGCACTTCACCGCGCCGCGCCGCACACACTGCTCGCGTGCCCGGCCTGTATTGCTCGCTGCTCGTGCGAGAGACCCGCGCTGCACCGTGGACACTGCTCATGTGCCCGCGAGGCACGCCGGCGCTCGGACGCGCCTCGAGCGCGACGCGCCTCGCTCGCCCTCTCCGTCCCGCCATGACCACAACATCCTCAGCGGCCGCAGTCACCTCCTCACACATCACGGCCCAGCTCAGCTCATGCATCATCATTAGCCACTCCATTGCCTCGCTCAGGCATCGTGCTGCTGCAGAAAGGCGCCAATGACACGTCTGAACTCCTCCGGCTGTTCGAGGTGGCAGCAGTGCGAGCAGCCCTCAAACACGTGGCTCGTGGCACCAGCGATGCCATCGACGAACGGCTGCCAGGTGATGGGTGTCGCCTCGTCGTGCTCGCCGGCGGCGACGAGCGTCGGCACGTCCTTGATCTGCGCCAGCCGCTCGGTGATCGTCCAGTCCTTGAACGTGCCGACGACGTGGAACTCGTTGGGCCCGTTGAGCGTGCGGTAGACCGTCGGGTCGGCGGCGCACTGCGCCTCCGAGTCCTGGAAGTCTTGCGGGAACGGGTCTTGACGCACGACATGGCGGATGTCTGGGTGGAGGGCAGCGTCAGCAAGGCGATATGCGATGCACCACGCAGCAATCTCACAGAACTCGTGCGTGGCAGCGAGGTACTCGGGGTCCTCGTGCGTGCCTGCCTTCTCGTGCTTGTCCAGCGCCTCGCGAGTCTCCTTCGGCAGCTGGGCCCGCAGGTCTGCCGCGCCCTTGAGCCAGAGCTCCATCGACGCCGGGCTGTTGCAGATGGCGAGGGATGCCGGGCGCAGGCCGCGCACTGCCAGCTCAGCGGCAAGCATGCCGCCCCACGACTGGCCTAGGAGATGATACTTCTCGATGCCGAGGTGCCTCATCAGACTGTGATGCTCGTCGACGAACAGCTGCACGCCCCAGAAGTCCGTCGGCGCCTCGGGGCGATGCGTGGAGCGTCCGCAGCCAAACTGGTCGTACAGCACCACGGCGCGCCCCGTCTCGTCGGCCAGCTCGGCGAGGTTGTGCAGGTAGTTGGACGCCATGCCGGGTCCGCCGTGGAGCACGACGAGCGGCAGCGCAGAGCTGGGAGTGTCGGGCTCGACGAGACGATACCAGGTGAAGCCGTCCTGGAACGGCGCTTGTCCTTCAATGACGCGAGCCATCTTGGCGGCACGGAGCGGGCGTGGTGGTGTGGGATGAAGTTGAAGCGGCGGAATCGTCGACCGTGTGCTTGTCTTGAGGGACGGCGAGGCGAACGGCGCAGGCCAATCTAATCAGCCCCGTCCTACGTGGGGTCAGAGGGAAGCGGAGTTGGCGGCGCGTGGCTTCGGCGCTGACGCCGCCGCCGCACCGCCGCTGCACGTTGGCCGCACCTGCGTCTGCTCCACATGCACCCGCCCCGGACTCCCTCACTCGTAACCGCGCCCGGCATGGAGGAGCGACCGCCGCACACAGACTCGCTCGCTGAGCCATCCTCGTCCCGCACTGGCGGTCAGACAAGCGGGCTCTCGTCCAGCTCGCCTCCTAGCACGCCGGACGTCGAAACGCCCGAGGAGCTCTCACGCGCCGCCTCGCCTGGGTCATTGCGTCCGCCGCAGGGTGCTCCCGCACTCAGCGACAGTGATGCGCCTTCCGCTCCAGCAACAAGCACTGCCGCACCGACGACGGACGAGCTAGAGGCCTTCCGTCGCGCATGGCAGTCAGAAGTCAGCGAGCGCAAGCGCGCCACCGCAACGGCGCCCTCGCAACCGCCGCCTGTGCCGCCGCCGCTGCCGGCAGACAGCAGCGCCTCAGCGCCGCTCAGCCGCACAGAAGAGCACGAGACTGCGAGCGATGACGAGGAAAACGCAGCAGCAGACGATGAGCAGCCTCACTCGCACGTGTGGCCGACAGCTGGACCCTCTTCGCCGCAGCGACCACGCACCCTGCCCGACCGAGCTCTGGCAGAGGCGCTGCTGCCGCCACTGCCGGCTCCAGCATTGGCGCCCGAGCTCCTCGCAGCTCGCGCAGCTCGGGCGCGTGAACACGCAAAGGCCGACGCCAAGGTGCTGGAGAGCGAGAAGGGCCGGAGAGAGATGGAGGAGGGCGTGAGACTGTACGCGCGTGGCGTGGGCGCAGAGCGGAGAGGCGATACAGACGAAGGTGAGTCAGACGACGAGACAGCGGGGAAGGTGCTCGCTCGGGACAGACTGCCTCCAAGTGCTGCGCAGCGCCACGTCCTGAGCTGGAGATGGCGTTCTCGTCGACTTGCGTGAAGGCTGACACGACTCTCGCACAGCGATCCAGTTCTACCGCCGAGCCTTTCGGCTCTACGAGGCTTCAGACCGGCTGTACCAGCGCGCGGTGATCCTGCTCTCCTCGCGGCCCGCCGACGATCCCGATCAGCCGATCGATCCCCTGCTCTCGACGGAGGAAGTCGTCTCTGCGGTCTGCTCCGCGCTTGAGACGTCCCCGTCGGACGCCACACGCAGCGCCACCCGCACCTCGCCTGACGTGCCTCGCGCTCAGAACCATGCTGCACCGGTGCAGAGCGGTGCAGTGGGCAAGCGTCTGCCGCTTGTTGCGCCTGCCGCTGCGCCGCCCGCTCCGATGGCTGCTATTCTGCCCGACGACCAGCCTGATCTCGCAGAGCTCCTCTCCAAGCTGGCACTTGCCGTGCCATCCGACGATGCGGAAGCAAGCCGAGCCATGCCAGCGGCCTCTGCCGAGCATGCAGCCTTGCGAGCCCGCTTCACGCCAGAAGACGAGGAGCAGCCGGTCTTGCTCGATGTGCTCCCGGACGAGGTACTGCTGCTCATCTTCTCGCACCTCGCCGCTCCGCGCGGCAAGCGCGGCGCCCGCATCGCGCCCGTGCCGCCAGGCGAGCCGCCGAGTCGCAGAGGCATCGGCGTCGTGCTGGCGGGTCCAGACTGGATGAGTCTCGAGACCGCCGGCCGGACGTGCGTCACATTTCGCCGCTTGACTGCAGCGTGGAGCATCTGGCGGTGAGTGGTGTGTACTGGCAAGCTAGTCATCTTCCGTGCTGACAGAGCTTGTGCAGAGACGTCGCGCGGGACACGTTCTTCGTGCCGCAGCTGCCGCCAGAGATTCCGTTCGAGACGCTGCCGCAGCTGCTGGCGCTCTCGCATTGGCGCGATGTCTTCGTTGCGCAGCCCCGCCTGCGGCTGAATGGCTGCTACATCGCCGCCTGCCACTATACGCGGCAAGGCATGCATCCCGACAATCGCTGGGTGCAGGTCGTGCATGTGAGTCTTTAAGCCGTGCCGCCTCTCTCGACACGCGACTCACACCCTCGCGCTCAGGTCGTCGAGTTCTACCGCTCGCTGCGCTTCCTCCCCGACGGGCGCGCCCTCTCGCTCCTCACCACCGACGTGCCGGCCGACACGGTGCGGACAATGGAGCCCGGCTTGCGCGCCAAGGGCTTCGCCATCGGTCGCTGGTCGCTCGAGCCGCTCGGCCTGGCCGACGACGAGTTCTACGGCCGCGCGCCGGGCCCCAAGGTGCTCATCGAGGACCTCAAGGACCGCAGCATGGAGAAGTACGCCTTTCGCATGGTCTTTGCGCTCAAGCAGACGGCGGTGAGGCATGTCCGTGGCCCCGCGAGCGAGCATGCGCTGACTGCCTCCTTCAGCGCGGCCGCTGGAACAAGCTCGAGATGCTCGACTACGAGTCGGTCAACCTGCAGACGCGCGCCGTCTGCACCATCCCGCAGAAGCACGACAAGGCGTTCCGCTACAGCCCGGTGCGCTCGTACGGCGTGTAATGCTATCACGCAGTCAGACGCAATGTGTGTGCAACGCGACGCGCCGCAGCGATCAACGCGCGGCGCGGTCCAGGTCGTATTGCGGGAGGTGGTGGAGTGTGTGCGGAGAGAGGGGTCATGAGTGTATGCGGTCGGGTCGAGAGAGAGCGAGACGAGCAGCTCGGCACAGCCGAGCGCAGGGCGTCGGGACAATAGGAAGAGAGAACGGTCCGGCGAGGCACGAGAAGGACGAAGCGGCGGGCGGCGACTGCAGATGCACAGCATCATGCGCGGACAGAACACGAGACGGCGGCGACGAGACGCTCAGCACGAGCCGAGGTTGTTGTACACCTTGAGGTCGTAGCCCGTCTTGCCCTGGCACCAGCCGTTGAAGAGCTGGTTGAGGTAGTCGAGGTTGTTCTGCGCGTTGCAGCCCCACTGCTTGTTCGTCGCCGAGTTGTAGCTCAGCTGCCCGTCCTGCCAGCCGTTGTAGGCGCCGGCGGCGGCGAGCACGTTCTGTCCGCGGTTGTCGTACTCCGTCTTGAAGTACTTGGCGCCCGTCATGATGTTCGTCGCCGCGTCCCAGCAGTTGATGCCGCCGCACTTGTCGGGCGTGAGCTGCATCATGCCGATCTCGCCGTTGCCGCCCGTCACCGACGGGTTGCACGTGCTCTCCTGCATCGCAAACGACATGAGCAGCACGGCCGGCACGCCCGTGGCCTTCTCGGCGGCGCTGAAGGCGCCCTCGTACTTGGCGCACGGCTTGAACGTCGCCGACTGGGCGGCCTGTGGTGGGGTCTGGTGAGTGAATGCGCATGGCAGGGACATGTGCGCGGCACGCACCTGGTGGGCGGAGATGACGCGCAGGTCGCTGAGCTTGACGTTGGGCGCCTTCCACTTGGAGTTGGGGTTCTGCTTCGAGACGCCGCAGTTGAGGAAGTTGATGTTGCCGTTGGGGTACTCGTCCGACGCGCCCGGGTCGGTGCACTGGCCGGCGAAGCGCATGCCGAAGAGGCCCTTGCTGCCCGACGCGTCGTTGTTCGACGACGACGACGACGAGGTCGACTTCTCCTCGGTCTTCTGCGACTTCTGCTCCGTCTTGTGCTCGGTCTTCTGCTTCTTGACTGTGGGCAGACGGGTGAGTGACCGTTGACAAGCGAGGTGCGCAGCCACAGAGCGCGTCCATCCAGGCCTGCAGCGCCAGGCGCCGCGTGCATCCATCATCGCATCACCGCACTGCGCCGAGCAGCCGTCGCCGTCCGCACCACTCACCGGCCTTGGTGTCAGTCTTGGCGGAGGCCTGCTCCGCCGCCTTCTTGGCCGCCTGCGACTTCTTGTTCTTTGACTTGTTCGTCTTTGCCTTGCAGCTCTTGGTGCTGCCGCGCTTCTCGATCTCGGCGTCGGCGTCGGCGTCAGCGAGGTCGCGGCGCGCCTCCTCGGGGTGCTGCGCGTAGTACGTGTCGACGAGGGCGCGGCGGCGCTGCTCGCTGAGCGGGTGGCGCGAGCGGCGCGGCAGGGCGACGCCGTTGGGCAGTGCGTCGGCGTCGTAGAGCGAGCCGAGGGCGCTGGAGGCGCCCATGGCCACGACGGCGAGCGAGACGAGGGCAGAGAACTTCATGGTGTGCAGGGAGTGTGAGGGTGGATGTGGGTCGTGAGGAGTGAAGTGAGAGTGAGATGGGAGGTGCGGCGGTCCTTCAAGGGCGTCGGGGTGGAGTGGATGTGGCGATGGAGGTGGAAAAGAGAGACGCTGCGTCGAGCAGTGCTGTTGTATGCGGAAGGAGGGCGAGGGACAGGGGGTTGAGGTGATGAGGAGAGGGGCGCCAGGTGGCCGCCGGCGCAGCAGGCTGGCAGCGGGCGAGGCGAGGAGGCGCCGCCGCCCGCAGCGCAACAGACGCGCGCCGCCCGCCGCCCGCGCGTGCCAGCAGCCTTGGCACAGCGCGAGGACAAGCGAGGCGTCAGCGGGCACCTCGCCTGTGTCCGCGTTTCGAGGGGCCGCTGCAATGCCCCCCTCAATCGCAGACGCTCATCTCCGCTGCTGCTGCGCCGCCGCCGGCCTGCCAAATCGAGCCGCAGGGGCTTGGTCCGCCTCGCGCGCGGGCAGCCCGCAGGGGAGCACAGCCGCGGCCACCGCAGCAGGCCATCGGCCGCCGCACCGGGAAAGCGCCCGAGCCGCACCAACGGCCGCGGTCACGCCTCGAGCGAGGCTCCGCGCTCTCGCAGATGGCACTCTGACTCGTGGCAGAGTAGGAGTGAGCGCAGAGGCTAAGCGCACGCCGCTTGCATTCAGAGAGGCGCCGTCGGATGCGGGTGCGGAGGCATCGCGTGCGCCAGAGCAGCGAGGGCAAGAGCGAAGCGCTCGGACTTGGCAGGCGCGCACCCGGCACGCCCGATGGGGCGCCTTGTTCGCCGGCCATCTCGCATCGTCACTGCACACACTCGCCGCCTGCGTCCGCCCCGGGGCCACTCGCTGCTCCTCGCCAGTCCCCTCTTCTTGTGATGGAGAAAGCGCCACCGACGCATTGACTCTCAAGTGGGCCTCGATCTGGCGCTGCGCCGTAAAGTGCTCCATCTGCGGCTCCGCCTCGCGACTCGCGTGACAATGGCCTCGGAGCCGCGATGCCGTCCCTTGGGTGTCGCTCGAGCCGCTATCTCGGATGAGTAGCATTCTTTCTCGAAGCAACGATTGAGCAGAATAGCGCACATACCTCGGCGGAGCGGGAGGATGGTGCTCGAGCGTTGATCGCCATCGCGATCCGCGGATCATGAGGAGAGAGCTTACGGGCGTTGCCAATCAATAAAGCGAGAGAGAACAAGGCGCCCCATGAGAGGGGTCACGACACAGGCAGACGCAAGATGACAGTTGCTTGCGCATTGGACGGATGCATGAGGAGGTGTACAAGTATGATGGATGATAGGGCACAAGTTGCATGAGAAGGATGGGAGGCTAAGAGGAAGAAACGAGGCCCAGACGCTGGCGCAAATGCAAGCCGGTGAACGTCGGCGCTGCAGCGGCTGCGGCTGCGACGGAGCGCGGGCTGCGGATGGCTGCCTGGGCAGAGGCCAGGGGCGCAGAGGATGAGAGCTGAGCCGTCTTGCTCGCCGAGAGACGCAGCAGAGCATGTGCGCTGTGCGTCGTGGCTGCAGCGGCACGCCACGCGCGTTCGCGAGTGCTGCGGCGCAGCACAACAAGCAGCACGGCGACCAGAAGGAGCCAGCGCTTCTGCGGCAGCGTAGCGATGGGCTTGCCCTGCAGGCGCTTGCGCTCCTCGAGAGCACGCTGCTGCTGCATGCGCACCATCGTCTCCGTCTCGCCGCGCAAGCCGGCGTTGCGCAATCGCTCGTAGCGTCGCTCAGCCTCCTGCCAACGCCGCGAGCCTTCCTCGGCCTCGCCGCGGCTGCCGAGCGCCAGCAGGCCCACGACGGCGTGATAGAGACGAATGAAGCGGGCGCGCACAGAGCGGTGCGCCGAAAGAAGACGCAGCACGAAGAGGTACGCCAGCGTGCGCATCAGGTCGCGCTTGCGTCGGCGCGCGTGCAGGTGGCGAGCATGGCCGGTTGTGAGGTCGAAGCGCTGCGGCACCTCACCGGCAGCGCCCTGGCTCACCTCGATGCCAAGCGCATTGACGTCCGGCCTGCCGCTGGGACCAGCTGCGGCGGCGCTGTTGTTCATCGCGTACGCAGGGTAGCCCCAGAAGGGATTGCTGGCGTTGTACGGCGATACGACGCCCGGCAGGCGCTCGTACTTGCGCGTGCGCCGCGAGAGGAAGCGCCCAGCGCCAATGCCGGCGCTGAGCGGCGGCTCCTCGATGAACGGAACCTGCAGCTTCGGCGAGCTCGGGCCACGCTCGATCTCCTCGTCAATGGCCGAGCGAGGCGATGCCTCAGAGGTGCCCTGTATGACGGCAACGGAGGCCTCACCGAGGCTGCCCTCGGCCTGTTGCGCCTGCTGCGAGCGCAGCTGCTCGCGATATGTCCGCGCCTTGTCCTCCTCAGCCGCCTGCTGCCCATGGCTGCCGCTGCGCCAGCGCGCAAAGAAGCCGAGCTTGGCGCGCGTGTCGCGCGGCTTCGTCGTCTCGGTGACCTTGCTGTCGCTGTGGTCCGAGTCGGGACTCTCGGCGCGAAGAGGATCCACGCCCTCGCCTGGCGTCGAGCCGGGCAGCGAGAGTCGAAAGTCGCGCAGTGAGCCGACTCTGCGCACAGGAGAGTGCGAGCGCGAGGCGGCAGGCGACTCGTGCGGCGACGTGCCAAAGTGCACGTTGCGCGCGCGGCGGCGCTGGGTCGGTGCGCCAGGTGGGGCCCAGGGCGCACTCGCGCCGCTCGACGAGCGCAGCCGCTTCTGCCGGATCGTCGGCGACGTCGCAGCGGATGCACCTGGCGTCATGCTCGGCGACACTCCGGCGCTCTCGGAGATGGTGCGCGAGCGCGAGCCCGAGGCCGTCGGCGTGGCATCGCGCGCGCTCTGCGTCATGTGCAGGTGCTGCAGCTTGCGCGCTGCCTTTGGCGTCATCTGCAGGTGTCCGGCGGCGGGAGACATGGAGAAGCCAATGGGCTCGGACGATGGCGTGGGAGGTCCAGACGGGCGCGGAGTCACTGCGCGAGATGCCCAGGGCTGTAGAGAGGATGTCAGCTGGCGGGCATGTCACGCGCAACATGCGACGTACCGAGGGCGCCACGCTGTGATACTCGTCCAGCGCGCTCTCGAAGCTGCCCGTCCGGCTCAGGGCCGGCCGTTCGCGCGTCGCATGCAGCGGCGGGCTGCCAGGTGGCCCGCTAGCAGAGCGCGCCGGCTTGGCGTACTTGCGCATCATCTCGTTGGTGCCCTCGGTGAGCTCAACCTCCCAGTCACCGCCAAACTCGGCAGGCAGCGCGGAGGGGTCGAAGTGCTCCTCGGCGAGCTCCTTGTTCGAGGGAAAGAAGATGCGCGAGAGAGCCTGCTCGGGCAGCACGCGCTTTGCGAGGCCCCACATGCCGGCATGCACCCAGCCGTAGTGCAGCACGTACACGGCGCCGACCATGCCGGGAAAGTGGTTCTTGAGCAGGTCGAGCAGGAACGGCAGCAGCTCCATCTCGAGATTCGCCATGCCCGACGAGAGCAGCGAGATGGCAATGACCATCTGGAATGGCGGCGGCGCGCCCTCTGCACCCTCCTTGCCATCGCGGGCGGCCGACTCGCGCGCATACACGTGCGCGAGATGGCGGCGCACCGACTCCATGCAGGCGACGATGTACTCGCGGCACTCGTCGAGCGAGTTGCTGTTGGCGCGCTCGAGGGAGCGCAGCGAGATGACGCCGCAGGGGCGCCCGTAGCGGTCGACGAAGCGCGGGTGCGCCCAGAAGAGTGGCGGCCGCGCGGCCGGCGGGTCGACGTAGATCGGGTGCAGCGACGAGAGCGAGAGCGAGGCGAGGTCGGTGCGCAGCCGCCAGAGCAGCGACTCGGTCATGAGCTTCAGCGCGGCACTCTCCGAGTAGCGCGAGCGGCGGAAGAAGCGGAACACGGTGGCTAGAGAGGTGTCAGAGTGCCCCCCTGGCTCCCGCTGTGCTGGCACTCACCGCGGTCGTCGATGAAGCCGTCGCACTCGGCCTGCTCGCGCTCGCCCAGCTCCTCGCCCAGCTCGGCCTCGAGCGCCGGCGGCAGCTGCTCGCGCGCCGCCTGCTGCAGCGCCTCGATGTCTGGCGCATGCGTGGCGTGCGAGCGGGCCAGGTCGCTCTGGCGTGCCGCGATGGCATCGGCAGCTCGCTGGCCGCCCATGGCTAGCAGGAGGAGCGGCGGCGGGTGGGGTGCGAGTGACGCCGCGCGGCGAGGTGTAGGATGCCGCGAGCGAAGCTCGGTGTGGTGAGAGGGAAGCGACGCAAGGCAGCAGCGCAGGTGTGGAAGACGCAGAGCCGGCACACTCCACCTTTGCGAGGTCACGGAGAGGAGACGCGGAGCCGTGAAAAGGCCCTCCCCACACGCCGCGCCAAGGAGCGCCGGTCCCTGCGCCGCCGGTGCCGGCTCGGCGGCCGGCGCTGATCGCCGCTCCGCCGGACCGGCGGGCGCCTTACGTAAGCCATCACACCTGCCCTTAGGCGCCGCCCAATGGATGGGACACCTCATTGCCCGCTCAGGGCTGCTCGGCGTCATCGCAGCGCATGCCGAGGCGCTGCAAGCGAGCTCCGCCGTGCCGACGCCTGCCTAGATGGGATGCGAGGTGGCAAGAGAGGGGCAGTGCAGCGCTGAGCGGCGGCTTGACGGGGCCGCGCGTCGCGTGCGAGGGACGCGTGTGTTGCTGCACCGCCTCACGACGCGGCGAGAGCTGCAGCGCCCGGTGCCGCGAGAGGTGTTGGTCTAGCGTCTGGCGTGGTGCTGCAGCAGCCGCAGCGAGGGGCATGCCTGGCGCAGGATGGCGTCTCTCCGCTGCGGCTAGCGCCAGATCCAGCTGGTCTGGACTCCGAGGCAGCGACAGCATCAGAGGCCGCACGCCGCTGCCTTTGTCCGCTGAGGGGCAGCGCCGGGGCCCGGCGGCGGCGACAAGGGCATTCATTGCTCGGCGACAGCGCCGCTCCGTCCTTTCCTCCTCAACACCACCCTCATCACTCGGCCAGCATGGCAGCGCCGCCGGCCGCGGCCGCCAACCCCTTCATCAGCGCCGCCGAGGGCGCCGGGCCGTCACGCCGCGCGCCGCCGGTGCCGCCCAAGCTGCCTGGCCTGGACCTCGAGCTGCAGAGCGCGATGCACGACGCCGCCTCCAGCCCGCTGCTGCTGGACGAGGAGTACACGCAAGTCTCGCGCTTCAGCGACGACGGCGACACGACGTGTCCGCGCGCCGTCTCGCCTAGTTTCTACTCGGACGATGCCTCCGGCGAGGCCTCGCGCGCCTCGACGGGCCCGTCGATCAGGAGCACCACGGGCGGCATCCGGCCCCCGCCGCCGCCGCCTCGCAAGGTCTCCAGCGGGCCGCGCGACGCCAACTTCCGCGTCAGCGGCATGCTGCTCGGCGCGAACAGCAACACCAGTCTCGGCAGGCACGGCTCAGAGCCGATCCAGGGCTATCTGAACATCGCGGCGCAGTGAGTCAGATCAGTGAGGGAGAAGGCGCGGCAGTGCTGACTGCCTCGCAGTCGCAACGATGTGACTCGCACGTTCAGCCTGCCGCCCTCGTCGCTCAAGACTCTCTCGTCGACGAGCCTGGCACACATTCTCGAGCTCGACATTCCGATCAGCCGCTCGCGCTGGGACCCCGAGACGCGCAGCGGGCGCGCCGCTCGCACTCGGCGCGGCTCGTGGCAGAGCCTGCGCACTGTCGGCGAGCGCATCATGCTCGCCGCGCAGCCCGCCGAGGTATGGATAGCCTACCAGCCGCGCATCGCCGGTGCTGCCGGCGCCAAGCCGCGGCATCCCAGATGGCTTCGCCTCGACGACTTCGCCCTCGCAGAGCCGACGCTGCAGTCTGCTGTGCTGGAGCGGTATCTGCGCAGCTACATTACCGTCGAGGAGGAGCCAGAGTGGCTCAGCCTCATGATCCGCGAGGCGAGCGAGGGCGCGCCGCCAGCGTCGGACGACCGAGGTCCAACAGGCATGCAGCGCGTCGGCAAGGGCCTCAGTCGGCTCTCCCTCGGCGTCGCCTCGCTCTTTGGCGCGCTCGACGTGCTCGACGGCGGCGAACGGTCCGAGGCGCGTCGCCGCGCTGAGCTCGAGGAGCTCGGCTTCGTCGAGATCGAAGGGGCTCAGGGAAGCGAGAGCAACGCAGCGCCGCCTCGCTCGCCAAGTCCGTTTGCGCGTCGTCTGGGCGGCTTCCGGCGGAATAAGCCCGCGAAGCAGGGCGGCTTCGTCGGCATGTGCAGGTCCATCATCGATCGGGCGCTGGGTGCCGAGAATCCGTCGAACATGATGGCGCCGCGGGAGCAAGTCGATGACCTCGAGGCCGACGCACAGCCTCTCACCGGGAGTGCTGTGGCCGAGCTGGCTCGCGCGCGGCCCGAGATATCAGCCCCATTGCCGGCAGCAGCAGCAAGTCCGCAAACTAAGCGGCGGAAGGAAAGCGGCGCCGACAACAATCGCAGCGAAGGCACAAAGGAGCCGTTCCAGCGTCTGCGGCGAGCCTTCTCCACGAAGGACAAGGAGAATTCGCCGCTGCTGAAGCCCGGCCTTGGGCTACAGCCGACTGTCGTTGACGGCTACGGCGCCGTGGTGCAAGGCGGCGGCTGGCCGACTGGCAAGCTCGCAGCGTCAGGCTCGAAGAAGAAGCGCAAGGAGGAGCGGGCAGACACGTTTTGGCGGCCACGGGGCGAGGCGGCACCAGAGAGCATGACCAGCTCTTCGGACTCGCAGGAGGCAGAGCGCATCCGGAACCTCGGTGTGAGTCTGCGCAGTTGCCGTCCTAGAAGTGCTGCGTTGACACAGGCTCGCAGCGACGATGGGCGTCGCCGCCGCCCGAGGGACAGGTGCGCGAGTCGAAGGTGCTGCGCGAGCGCCTCGATCTGAATGCAGAGAGCCTGCGGCAAACGCTCCCGCTGCCTCCGCTCAACGACTCCGCTGCTGTCGCGGTGCCGCGCCCGGGCGGTGCAAGCGTCCGCACAACCTCCGAGCACAGCGCGCGCGTGCCACAGGCGCGCCTCACGATGGCCGACGTGCCCATGAGCTGCCAGTCGATCACGGACGTGCCTGCTGGATCTTCCGCTGCCGGTCACGGCCAAGATGATGCCGACAGCAGCGATGACGGCAACTACCTCGAGCCAGGCTCGCGAGATGACGAGCGGCGAGACTCGGCTGCCACGGCGCGGCCGATGAGCCACTCCAAGACGAGCGAGTCGATCGTCACGAGCGATGCGCGCGACGGCCTCGTCATTCGGGCGCCCTCAGCATCGCCTTCGCTCAGCCGCGCGCATCAACTAGTCTCCGACACGTCGCTGTCCAGCTCGCCCGGCAAGGCGAAGCGGTCGAAGGTGAGCCAGTGCAGTATGAGGCTGCCTCGCGCTTTGCTGACTCTGCACTCTCTCGTCAGCCCTCGTCTTGGCGACGCTTCGGACGGTCCAACAACGGCGACGCCGACACAGGGGCCAGCTCTTCAGACGAGAACCAGCTGCCAACACCTCGTCGGCGCTCCTTCTCCCTCACGCGGCCGGCCAGCAGAGGGGCCGACTCGGCTCCCATGCGGCCGGGCGGCGCGCAGATCATCGCACGGCCCGCCGATGCTGGCATCGCCGTCTTCAGCGGAGCACGCTGACATACCAACGAGGAACGATACCATATGCGTTGCCGCTGCGTCGCTTAGTCGTCGTCGATCGCGTCAGAGTGCTCCTGCGAGTCGTCCTCGACGATGCTCTCTGAGACGTGCCCATCGTCCACAATGCTCTCGGAGACGTATGCGTCGTCGGTGACCTGCGCTGCTTCGTGCTCGCGTGCGAGGCGTGCAGATGCGTCCTGGCCGTCGGCCATCTCCTCATCCTCTGCATACGCAGCAGTCATGGCGGACACGAAGTCTCGCTGCGAGTCACGCGTCAGACGTGCGCACCGCGATGCAGTCGTGCGACTCGCCTGGATGCTGAACAGGAAGGGACGCATGTCCGGCAGCGTGCAGTGGCGCACTGCTTGCGACAGCTGGGCTTGCAGCTGTGTGGCGCACGTCAGCCTGGAGACAGCCGGCGCAGCGCTGACGCACCCTCAGCACTTCGTTGCGGCGCAACAGAACCTTGCTGCTCTGTTGGCGGGCAGCAGCAGCAGTCTCGTCGTGCTCGAGAAGCTCCGCCATCTCTGTCGCACGCTCGAGCAGCCGTGGAGGCAGGCAGCACGATCGCGCCATTGCGATGCCGTAGTGTGGCCTGATGCAGCGTGAGCGTGATGAGGGCAGCGCATGAAGCGGCCGCTCACTCCTTGCATGCTCCCGACGTGAGGCGGTGGTGGAAGACGAGATTGAAGTCGTCCCGGACCTTCGAGTCGTAGCCAACCGCGAGGTGCTGCGACGAGACGCCCGGCAGATGGGCCAGCGTCGTTGGCAGCGCCTGGAAGTGCGTGGCGAAGAAGGTCGGCGCCTCGATCGCGATGAGCTCCTCGCTGATGGCCTGGGCGATGCCGATGCCGTCTTGCGGCGAGGTGCCGCGCTGAGAACGGGATGTGAGCATACAGCCGCGCAGGCAGCGCTGAGACTCACGCCTAGCTCGTCGATCAAGACAAGACTGCGCTTGCTGGCGAGCGACAGGACGAACGAGGCCGCGCGCATCTCGTTGGCGAAGGTGCTTAGGTTCGCCTCCTGGTCGTCGTCGTTCGACAGTCGCGTGAGGATGCATTCGAGATCCGGAATGAAGGACGCGTAGTCGGCGGGCACGCTGCAAGCCTGCTTATCAGCAAAGCTTGACGCACCACGACCGAAAGACGCACAAGGAGCCAATGCTAGCCATGATCTGCAGCATGGCAATCTGACGCAGATACGTTGTCTTCCCCGAATGATTGGCTTGAGTGCAGCAGTCAGTCGCGCGGTGGGTGCGGGAGATGCTGCTATGGCTCACGACCCGTGATGAGGAAGAAGGACTGGCCGCCTGCGACGTATGCATCGTTCGGCACCGCGCCGCCGCGGATCTTGACGTCGAGGATGGGATGCCGGCCGCCTTTGATGGCCAGTGCGCCAGTGAACTCGGGACGGACGAGCCGATGCGGCTGAACATTGTGCGCCAGCGACACGAGCATGTCCAGAAGCGCGACCGCTTCGGAGGCCTGAGAAGCGGCGCTTAGTCGCGGCCGAGTGTGTGAATCGCCTTGAGACACACCTTGTACAGACCAGCGACGCGCATCACGATCTGCTCCCTTAGATCCTCGACGAGCCCAGCAGACAGCAGCAAGACCTGCGAGGCTCGTCAGATGGATAGCTCCCGGGCCTCTGCGCCGCAGCCTCACCTCGTTGAGCGAGTCGTTGAGTCTCTGATTGCACTTTTTCTGCGACACGTCGCTCAGCTCTGGTTCAGATCAGGCACGACGCTGGCCGTACCAGAGGAAGCGAGGAGAACGTCAACGACTTGCCGTTCTTGGTCGGCAACACGTTGGTAAACTCGGAGGGGAGGTCCCGCTGGGCGATGCTCTCGGCGCCTGACAGCTCGAACTGCGATGTCTGTCAGTGACATTCGGGCCAGAGGCTCACGTCACGTACAGAGAATCCAGTCGCCGCAGACTTAAGGCTCACGTCGAGCTTGTAGCTCTCTGAGTACCTGCGCGCCAGGTCGTGTATGTCGCCCATGTTCTGCAGCGAGATCAGCGAGGGCGTATGAGTTGCACGCTTCCGACGCACCTCCTTGTACGTCTCGCGCGCGACGTCCAGCAGCGGAGAGTGTGCCGCCTTGATCGCATACAGGCGCGCATTGCGCGAGCTGAGCGACTTGCTGCCGCCGCTCAAGAAGAGGTCAGGGTTGATGCTGTCCGCGCACAGGTCCATGATCTCGTCGAGCTGCGAGTTGCCCGAGATGAATGCGCGGATAGCTCTAAGCAGGCCAGAGCGTGCGCCGCTCAGGGCAGCGCGCACAGGGCCAAGGCTCTTCAGCGTGCTGTCGAGACTCAGCAGCTGGCCGATCTTGTTCTCCGTGCGGGACGGCTCGCCGGCGCCAACACGCGGCTCAGGCGCCAGGAGCTGGTTGATGAGCTTGTCGAGATCGACCTTGGAGTTGCCGAGCGGCGCCATGCTCTCCCGCAGCGCGAAGGAGCGCTCCTCTTCGCCGACGATCTCCGTAATGGCGTCGAGGCGGGACTGGATGGCGCTCTGGTCCGTCATTGGCGCCAGCAGGTTCATTGTGAGCAGACGCGCCGCCATGGGCGTGCGGGTGTGATCGAGCACTCCTGCAAACGCACGTCAGCTCTCGTATCGATGCGCTGCTGGTCCTCGACCCACCGAGTAGCGAGTTCTTCGACTTGCGCTCGATCGAATTGGACACGAGCTCGAGGTTGCGCGCACACTCGGTGTTGATTAGGATGGTGCCTGGCCGCTCGGCATGAGCCCACGAAACCCCGTCAGCTTGGACTCTGACTCACCTTCGGGCGCCGCATAACGAATGCGCAGCGAGCGCGAGGCGAATGCGCGGTTGTTGATGCGCTCGAGATACCTGATGTCGCGTCAGCGTCCAAACGGAGCGCTTTCAGTGCGGCGACGCACTTGAAGAGGGCACAGGCGGCGCTAAGAGCGTAGTAGCGGTCGCCGATGGCGGTCAGGATCGCGCTCCGGGTCGTCGCCTCGCCGTGAATCTCCGAGCGTCCGGCGTGGCTGCTTCCGTGGCGCATGTCGAAGTCTCCCTCCGTGCTGAGGTCAGGCGTGTCGGAGACGAGCAGCTTGTCCAGCATGCGTCCTGCTGCAGTGTGAGGAGAGCTTGTAGGAAGAGCGAGCATAGAAACGCACCGCCTTCCTCCGAATCCCAGTCTCTGCGATTGATCGGCACGACGTCGAGGCTGAAGCTGTCCTCGAGCGTGCGCACCAGCACGGAGCTCTCGTGTGCCTTGCCGCGCTGCTGCGGGTCAGGCTTGTCGATCGACGAGACGGCGGTGGCCGGTGCCAGGATCGCCGCGGGCGAGTGCAAGGTGAGATGATGCACTGTCTTCACGTAGGTCTGGGAAAGGGTCAGTCAAGCACGGCGTCGTCTGCAGCCACCAGCATCACTTGTGTGTCGGCAAACTGTGCTCAACGAGAGGCATACATGAGCGGCGGCAGCGACGGGCGTGAGCAAGGGCACCTGAGGCAGGCAACAGCGACAAGCTTGCCTGGGTCAGGATGCAGTGCCCAGTCTCCTTCTCCATCATGGCGATGCCGACCTCTCTGCCGGTGCCTCTGTTCTCCAGCACGGCGCAGATCCACGCATTGGCCGGCAGGCCGCCGAGTGTGGAGGCAGCGGTGGTGGGCCGGGCCGTTGTGGGACGCGCGCTGTTGCCGGTGACGGGTCGCGTCGCCGTCGAGGCCCTGGCAGAGCCGGGGCGCTTGTTCCGAGGAGCGAGCAGCGACGTCGACGAAGAGTCATTACTGTCCACCCTGCGCTTCAGCAATGGCCCGGCATTCGCCGAGCTGGAGCTCGCCAGAGAGCGCGCGGCAGAGATGGGACGCGAGGCAGGCTGGCCAGCCGCGCGGCCGTCAGACAGAGCCGAGGCTCGAGGGTGCTCGGAAGGAGCCATACGCGACGAGGGCACGCCGGTGCGGCTGGCAGACGACGCAGCGTGCAGGCTGGGCAGACTGGGGATGCGGAAGGCAGACAGAGCTTCGGGCAGCGCGGGCGGGCGAGACGGGCCCGCGCGGGACTCGCGTTCGGATTGCATACTGCGGCTGTCAGGGGCAGAGGGGAGCGAGAGAGCAGCGACAGCGTAGTGGCCGAGCGAGCGCAGCGGGAGGATGATGGCGGTCGGGAGGCAGGCCGCAGCCGGGCGCGGCGTAGCGTGGCCCACTGGCGCGCGGCGGCTGTGCAGCTCAGGCGCGGCGCGTCCGTGCGCGCAGCCCTGCTTCACGACTGCCACTCCCCTCTCTCTCATCATGCTTGTGCTGGTCATTGGTGCGTCGCTGTCCACGCTCGGTCCGCGATCGATCGCGGCAGTCCCTTTTGCTGATGCGAGCGCTGCCAGGCGATCTGCATCTGCCCTTCCGCGCACACGACTTGCCGGCCAAGTTCCGCAAGCTCCTCGTGCCCGGCAAGATCCAGCAGATCATCTGCACCGGCAACGTGTGTGACAAGGAGACGTACGACTACCTGCGCACCGTCGCGGGCGATGTGCACGTGGTGCGCGGCGACTATGACGAGGTGAGTGCGCATCGCGAGGAGGATGACGCCCGGCGTGGCCTGGAGAGCCGAGTCGCGGGTTGAGGAGATGGGAAGAGTGGGCGAGGCATGCCGCGGCTTCGAGGTGGTGCACGCCGCGCACCACAGCGCCGACGCTGGCAAACGCTATCGCTCTTGTGCTGCAGAGAAGCAGTGGTGTTCCGCACTAGGCCTGGCGACCCGGTCAAAGGCAACGGACTGCTGACTTGCCGTCACTGCTGCCGCAGAACCCACACTTTCCGACCTCGCTCCTGCTACACCACCCACCGCTGCGGATCGGCGTGCTGCATGGTCACCAGGTAGTGCCAGCAGGCGATGCAGATGCGCTCGCGGGGCTGGCACGGGCGATGGACGCCGACATCCTGCTGAGCGGGCACACGCACCGCTTCGAGGCCTTTGAGAGCGGCGGGCGCTTCTTCGTCAACCCCGGCAGCGCGACAGGCGCATGGAGCGCCGTTTGGCCGATCCGCGACGCGGCTGATGAGGCGGCGGAGGCGGAGAAGGCGGAGGCAGATGCAAAGAAGAAGGAGGGCGCTGCCAAGGACGAGAAGAGCGCCGAGGCGCCGGCAGCCAAGGCAGAGGCGAGTGATGCAGATGCCAAGGGGTCAGGCAGCGCGAAGGATGCACCGGCAAAGGAGGACACCAAGGCCACCGCTGCTGCGACGGGCGCGGCGAAGGCAGAAGAGAAGAAGGATGCGGCCACACCCGCTGCGCCGCCGGCAGAGCCCAAGGCGGCCGCTGGACCGGTGCCGAGCTTCGCATGTGAGTGTCCTGAGCAGCGGTGTGCCACGCCGGTGCTCACGCCTCGCCGGCGCAGTGCTCGACATCCAGGGCGCCGTCGTGGTGACGTACGTCTACCAGCTCATCGACGGCGACGTCAAGGTCGAGAAGATCGAGTACCGGAAGCGCATGGACTCGACGGCCGCGCCGGCCAACGGCACAGGGACGGCGTACGAGGCGGGCATCGGCGTGCGCTACTAGCCGGCGACCAGCAATACCCATTTCGCGGATCAGATGCGTGAGGCACAGTGCTGTGCATGGCAAGGGGAATGAGGAGACAAGAGAGCAGGTGGGCGTAGATGGTGCACCAAAGAGGGAGCGGAGAAGGAAGAGGGGTAATTTGCGGGTTCGGGCTGCCTCTGCACGGCAGCAGCTGCGGGGCGTCGCGGCTCGGCTCGGCGGAGCAGAGGGGGGATAATTACTTCGGCGGCTGGCCGAAGAGGTAGATGAAGGCGCCGCGCTTGGCGTTGGCGACGGGCAGCAGGTGCCACTTGAGCGACTCCATCTGGATGAAGAACTCGCTCTTGATGAAGACCGTGCAGACTGCGGCGGGGGTCAGCGCGTGAGCGAGGCGGCGCTTGCAGCCGGCGGGGCCACTCACACAGCGGGATCACGGCGAGGAAGAAGGTGTGCAGCATCAGCACGGCCACCAGCGTCGGGATCTTGGCGTTCAGCTCGGGGTAGGTGCGGCGGAACCAGGTCGAGGCGACGCTGCGGGGCAGAGATGTCAGACAGGCACAGCGGTGCAGCGCACGTACGCTACCCACGTAGCAACACCGTTGGCGAGGAAGAAGAGGAACTGCGGCAAGGGCAGCGTGAGCACTGGCCGCCGCTGAGGCGCCCGCCTGACTCACGTTGAGGCCGTCTGCGATGCCCATCGTGTTGTACGTGATGTGCTCGTGGAAGATGCCGCTCATGCCAAAGGTCACGATGGCAGCGGCCGCCTTGGGCAGGAAGCTCGACTTCTTCGCCGGCGGCTTGCTGGCGGCGGAGCTCTTCTTGGGCGCCTCGGCCTGCTTGCTCGACGTCATCTTGAGGCCGCTCTTGCGCGCGCGGGCGCCGCCGTCCTCGTCGTCCGTGCGGCTCGTCTCGGCCTCGGTCTCGGAGAGGTGGTCGAGGTGGCTGCGCTTCTCCTGCGCGAGCTGCGCGACGCGCTTGCTCGCGGCGGCCTTCTGCTTGCTGGCAGCCTTCTTCTTGCCGCCCGCAAAGATGACGCGGTGGAACACCGCGGCGATGGCGCGGTTCCAGTGCGACCAGAAGAGGCGGATGTTGATCGTGCTCAGCGGCGACTCGCTAGGGCGGAGAAGCGTCAGCGTGAACAGGACAGCGCGGCGCACGGGCCGCAGCGGGTACGCACAACATGTCCTGCATCTCAATGCCAAGGATGATGCCCATGCCCTTGAGCAGGCCGTCGCCGAAGAGCGCCAGCGCCATCAGGATCTGGCGTGCGGCAGTCAGCATCGCGCTCTTGCGGCGAGCCCGCAGCTGCGCTCACCGAGATGCCCATGGCGTCGCAGTACAGGTGGTACTGCAGCTGGCTCATCGTCTGCGCGATCGCGTACGGCGGCAGGATGTAGAGCGTGCCAAGGAAGATGATGCCCTCAATGAAGACCTTCGGGTAGCCCTTCATGTTCTCCCAGCGCGCGTTGCGCTTGAAGCCCTCGCGCTTCTCGCGCTCAGCGATGTCCTCCTCCTCCCTGCGGAGCGTGCACGCCGTCAGCTACGCAGCCACGCCGCGCGTGCGCATGCACGCACATCGGGAAGGCCCAGAGGCCGCAGAAAAAGCGCGCGAAGCTCCAGTTGTCGACCTCCTCGCGCGTGCGGATGCAGAAGATGTCGTAGACGACTGGATGGGCAGGGCGGTGAGACTGCGCTGCGTGGCCTGTGGCTACGTCTCGACTCACGCAGTGCAGAGCGGAAGCCCAGAGCCTGCACACAAGCTCATGCGTTAGTACGTGCACCAGGGCGATGCTTCACACAGCACGCACCGGGCGCCAGAAGTCGAGCATCATGCAGCCCGAGCGGCCCGCGAACACGGGCCAGGCGAGCAGAATGGCCGAGACGAGGCCGACGCAGCCGACGCGCGCCGCGTACGTCTTGCCGACGGTGTAGTAGAGCACATAGGAGAGCACCGTGGTGCCGACCATGAAGCCGAGCGTCGAGAGCGCCTGCCAGCCGGCGGTGACGAGCGGATAGGGCGGCAGGTCGTACTCGACGACCTTGAAGCCCGCCTTGCGCGCGAGGTCGAGCAGCGGGTCCGTGTGGAAGAGCGGCATGCCCCAGCTGTTGTACTGGCGCTGGCCGAGGGCCTCTGGCAGGGCGTGTGTGTGAGCATGCTGTGTGTGCCGTGAGCGACACTTGCGCGCCGCAAGCCGGCGCGCTCTCAGGTGGAGGTGCGCATCTCGCATGCCCAGCCGCTGCCACAGCGCGCACTGCCCACTCACGCGCCGTCGTGCCCTTGAGCTTGTCAGTGATCGCCTGCATGGCTGCGGACGAGGGGTGTGGTGGATGGAGGGCTACGCGGGGCGAGTCCGGGGTGATGGAGGGAAGGAAGGGCGCGGGGCGGCGGAAGTGAACTCGGCGGCGCGCCTCGCGTCGCGGTTGCCTCGCTCGCAGCGCAGCGCTGCGGCTGCCTTGCGGAGAGAGGCAGAGTCAGAGCGAGTGGAGTCGGGCCGAGCACAGGTCCCGTGCCGGGCTGCAAAGAGAGCGCTTTGCAGCATGCAGCACAGCAGCCCGGTCTCGCAGCCGCGGGTGCCTGACTGCGGCGGCTCAACGGCGGGCCACGCCTGGCTGTCACCAAGCCGGGTCCCCCGCCGTCAAGCCAGCGCCCGCACCGACTCACAGCCCAGCATGCAGGCCGAGCGCTGCTCCGCCAGCTGCAGGGCTGGAAGATTTGACGGCTGCGGCTGCGGCGTGAGGGCTGCCTCTGCTCTCTCGCTGCTCTGCCGCGGCAGGTGCGGGGTACAGCATACGAGCGCAGCGGCGCCATGACGCAGCCGCGGCGTCTCGGCACGCCGCCAGTGTGCGCATCCCTGCTTTCTTCTCACGCGCGCACGGGGCACGCGCGGCCACCAGCACGACGCTCGCGAACTGCTCGGCGATGGCTCTCGGCGCCGCAAGAGATGGCGGCCACTCCGCATGCCCGAACCTCGCCGGCAGCGCCCGGCGGTCATGCGCAGCGCAGGTGAGTCGAGCCCACGCCTGCAGCTGCAGCTGCGGCACCGGCATGGGTGCGGCCCAGAGCAAGTCGGCACCGTTCACGGAGAAGAGAGCGTGCTGCGCTTGCGAAGGTGCGTCGGAGTCAGGCCGAAACTCCGGCGCAGCGGCTGATGCGCTCGCCTGCGAGGAGCCCCGCCGTGGAGGGTGAGGAGAGCGCGTGGAAAGTCGGCGCTGCGGACGAAGCCGAGTTCCGCCGCGGCCCCATGTGCTCCTCCCATGACACATGCCGTGGCAGAAGCAGCGCAAGCCGCTCAGCGCAGCCGCAGGGATGATCGGCAGGTCTGGCCGACCTCGCCAAGGTGACGCCAGGCCGATGCCGAGCCTTGACGCGTGAGGGCCTGCAGCTGCGGCGAAAGGCGGGCGAGCCGGTCACTCGGGGCGTCCCCACGCTCGGCCCGTCTTCGCGCCGAGCCGCCCGATCGGACGTGGCCTGCTCGCGGTCGTCTCGTCGTCTCGTCTGCTCAGAACTTGCTCGTCCTCGCCGTCATTACACGCTGTTCATTGCTGAATCCTCGTTGGCAGTTGGACGGTGCTGCGAGCGGTTTGGGTTGCGGCCGGCGGCGAGCGCGAGAGGACTGCCGAGTCCCGAGCGCGCTGCTGCGGCCGATGTCGAATCTCGCTCTCGCGCCGACGTCCTTTCCATCTCCCACACCTTCTCAACATGCCGCTGGCAGACATTGGGCCCGCCGCGCTGCGGTCGCCGCTCCTCGCGCTGCTCGCCAGCCACGCCGAGGCGCTGGCCGTGCCGCGCGGCTCGTACGTGCTGCTGGCGCCGCTGACTGTCGCGCACGCCGTGCGCTGCTCCATCGGCGCCCGCTCCGTGGGCCAGAAGGCGCGGCCCTCGCTGCTCGTCTCGACGGCGCTCAACCTGCTGCTGCTCTTCGGCAGCCTCTCCGTCGTCTGCGTGCTGCTCAGCAAGCCCAACCCCATCCTGCTGGCGCCGCGCACGATCGTGCTCTACTCGGCGGTGCATGTGTTGCTCGATGTGACGGGCATGGGCGGGAGACTGCTCGAGGCGCAGAAGACGCGTGGCGGAGCTCTGGCGTGAGTGGTGCGATTCGCAAGGCACGGCAGAGGCCTTGGACGAGGCAGCATGCTTCGCCGATGCTGGTGGCGCGCCGCTGACGCGCTCGTCCTCAGGATTCACCTCTACTGCTCGGCCGTCGACGCCCTCTGCCGGTCAGAGGGCATCGCAGTGCTGGGCGTGCAGGCCGTGCGCAGCCACCCCGACCCGGCCATCGCGTCGAGCGGCTTTGCGACCGTGCTCATCGGCTTCCTTATCGGCGGTGGCAGTGAGTGCAGCCGAGATCAGATCGCACACCAGGCGCCTGACGTGCCTCTCTGCAGCCCCGCTGCTGATAGGCCTGCTCGGCCTCGACACGCCGCACTGGGGTTGGCGCGTGCCGTCGTGGCTACAGCGTCCGTCTCTGCTGCTGCAGCCCGACATCTGGTCGAGTGCGCTCGTCGCGGCCCTCTTCGCTGCGATGACCTCGCCCAAGGGCTTCGCCTCGCTCTCGCAGGGCTTCTCCTCGTGGGCCAGCAAGCAGAGCCCGGCACCCATCTTCACGGCGCCGCTCAGCCTCGGCCGCGCCCTGCTGCGCATCGAGGAAGCCTCGCCTGCAGCCTTTGGCGCCGTCAAGGAGACGGCGTACCTGCCCGCGCGAGAGGCGCGCATCCTCGTGGGCCTGATGCTCTTCGCCATCCTGGCCTCGGCAAAGCTGCACGACGCAGTAAGCTACGTGTCGCCCAAGGCCACCAGCGTCTTCGGCGGTAGCAGCAGCACAAAAGTGGGCGGGCGCAAGTCGATTCCGAGCCCGAGCGCCACGCTCGCACAGCGGCGTGCGCAGAAGAAGCAGCAGTAATCTATAGATGTCCGCAGCCTGCAGGACTCGCTCTTGCCGGCGATTGGAGGCAGCGACGCCGCGAAGCGAGCGGCAGCCGCTACCAGATGCGGCTCTTGATCATCGAGTAGCGGCTGACGTCCATGAGCGAGCCGATGGGGCCGGCCTTCTTCTTGCTGTCCTGGCCCGCGGCACCCGGGTCCTGCTGGCCGTGCAGCCCGATGCGCGTGGCGTCGTCTTCCTTGTGGTTGACGAGCTCCGCGATCTTGGCGTCGTACGCCTGTAGCACGGAGGTCAGCAGTGAGACGGCCAGCTGGTGACGCACGGCACGCACCTTCTCGTCGCGGTCCACTCCAATGGGCGCGCGGTCGCGGGCGTTGAGCTCCTCCTCGCGCTCGCGCTGCTGCATCGTGGCGTAGCGGTGCGAGGCGAAGCTCACCAGATTGGTGCCGAGGATGAGCTTCAGGCCAACGAGGCTGCGAGTTGGTGTCGTTAGTGTGAGGCCTCCAGCCGATGTCCAGCGCACTCACAAGACCCAGGTCACTAGCCCTGTCAGGATCCACGCTGCGCTGCGCACCACCACCTCGGCGGCGTGGTTCACCGCGCTCTCGGGGTCGCGAGCGCCGAGGATCGCAGCAAAGAACTGCGCGACGCCGTGGCCCATGGTGAAGCGCGCCGGTGGGCGGTACGGCGCGGCGCACTCGTCGTAGTGGCTGGTATCGCGGAGCATGCCGAGGATCTGCATCGTGATGCGTACGAGTAGACAGGCGAGCGGGAGCGCCGCAAAGCCGAGACGCCGCGCAACGAGCGGGCTCTGGTCGACGAAGGTGTGCTTGCGCGTGCCGGACGACGAGGAGCGTCCCGTGGCCGGGCCTGCGACGACCAGGTCGCGGCAGAGGACGTCCATGAAGCGGCCGTACACGGCCGGGCGGATGTGGTTGAACTTCGTGATGAAGGCATGCTTCAGCCAGTCGACGATGCACTCCGACGCGAGCACGATGGCGACAGGCGCGATGACCGTCTCGAGCGTGTTGAAGCTGGGAAACACGGTGAAGCTCGTCGGCAACGGGCCGGTGCCGCCGTCGATGCTCGCCGTGATGCCCGCGACCTCGATGAGGTTGCGCATGCCGATCGCCGAGAGCATGAGCGTGAGCTGGAAGCGCTCGACGATGTCCGCGCACGTCAGCTGGAAAAGGTTCTCCTTCTCGAACTTCTTGAACACGCTGCCCTTGATCTCGACGAACTGGTTCGAGAGCAGCAGCGTGAGCAGCGCATTGTCGTACGAGTTGATGGCAACGTTGAGCGTGACGAGCTGGTAGAACAGCACAAAGGTGTGCGCAAGCACGTACGCCAGCGACAGCAGGAAGAAGCCTGCGGGGCGCAGGTATGGCTGCCGCCCGTCTTTCCGCCGCGCCAGAGTGATGCGCGAGAAGAGGCTGTCGAGCAGGTCCTGGCCGAAGCTGCAGCAGAGGCGGTCGGCGATCTCAAGCACGTTGAAGATCACGCTGAGCTTGACAACGTCCTGGCCGCGCACGCTGTGGTACATCTTGCTCGCGTCGGTGATGCGCGACAGAATCGTGCACGAGAGCACGATGAGCGCCGTCTTGAGCAGATCGCACTTGTGCGAGGAGTGCAGGTGCCGCCTCTGGCCGCCGAGCGCCCAGACCACATTATGCCGGACCAAGGTGAACAGCGCCACGGCGAAGCGCAGCGGCAGGATCGTGAAGGTGTACAGGAACGAATCGAGGCAGACGACAAAGCCAAAGCCGATGATCTGCGCAGCACGGCGGGTCAGCAAGAGCGGTCCATGGGCCACGGACCATGCGCACCTTCTCCATCCAGAAGGGAATGGCGATGAAGTTCGTCACGCGCTCCCACTTCATCTCCTGCGTGCTGTCAAAGTCGGTCGCCAGCACCTCTTCACGCAGATAGTCCCAGAGACTGCTGGGCTGCGCCATCTGCTCCTGCTCCGCGCTGCCGTCGTTGTGGTCGTCGACCGGGCTCCGCTGAGAGTGGTCCGACGAGGAACGCCGACTCGAGCTCGAGGCTGGCCCGTTGTTGTCGCGGCTTCTAGGAGAGGACGAGATGTGGGCTGGGGACGACAAGCTTTCGCGGCGAGAGGAGGAGTCAAGCTGCTGGCTGACCGACTGCCTTCTCCCGCTCTGCGCCGAGCCGCGACGCCGCACCGAGCCTGTCGGCGATGGCGTCTCATCCACGTGCAGGTGTAGGACCTCGACGTCCTCAAGTCGCGAAGGGCGACGCTCTGCCGTGGGCGTGCGAGGCGAGTCGCTTGCGTAGCCTTCTGTGTCGTCTCCGCTGGACGTGGCGCCTCTCTGCCGTCTAGCTGAGCGCGGACTGCGAGACCGCGATGCGTAATCCGGCGGAGTGATTGGCTGTAGGCGACCGTTCGTCTGCAAGTGTGGACTGCGAGCGTTCTCAGATGAACGCTTTTGCGGCAGAGCCGGACGCGTCGGTCGCAGGCGGTCCTGCTCGTCGTGCGGGTGCAGCGGAGACAACAGCACGTCGTGCGCCCGGCCCACTGGAGCCGCCTCGTCTGCAGCCTCTGCTGATCGGGCGTACGGATCGAGCGGCAGCTGCAGGCCTGGAGAGGCAGTCCTGTCGCGCGAGCGGCCGCGCTTGAGCAGGCGTGTCCGATGTGGCGGCGTGGTGCCAACCGAGCTGGCTTCAGAGTACGACCAGTCGCCCTCGCTCGTCCACGACGGGCCGCGGTCTGAGCTCGCGTGGATAGTCGACGTGGCGTCGTCGCTATCCAAGATGTCCCCTGGCACATATGTATCGGCGCTCGAGCCAGTATATTCGCCGTCGAGCTCCTGGCTCCCGTCGAGGCTGGAGCTCTCGCTGCGCATCAGTGCGCGCCGACTGTTGCGGTACTGGTGCAGAGCGTCGCGGTAGCCGTTCCGCTGCCGGCCGTCACTCCGGGAACCCGAGGCGCTGTCCCCTGATGACGAACCTTCGTGCCAGGTCTCATCCGCCGCCTCCTCATCCTCTGAGCTCAGCTCATCCTCCCACATCTCATCCGCGTCGTCGTGCTCGGTGTCGAGCACAGGCCCCTCGCGGCCGTTCTGCACGCCCGCTCTGTGAGGGCGCGCTGCGGGATCAGGAGACACCGAGCGCCGTCGCGGATGATGCGCTGGCTCTGACGCTCCTTCAGCGGCCGGTGTTGTCTCCGCACCGTGGGCCGCACCGGCTGCGGATGTCGCTGTCACCGCCGTGCGAGGCGACACATCCCCGACCTGCTGCTGAGCATCCTGGCTGCCGCGCGAGCCGGGCGTGCGAGGACTGGACGGGCCGGCCGTCGGATGAGCAGCGCGCTGCGGGTCTGATGACATCAGCTGCAGCGCTGCTGCTGCGTTGCAAGCAGGCGCGAGGGCGCTGGCAGAGGACAGGGCGCGGGTGAGGTGGTGAGGTGGATGGAGAGCGGCGCGAAGGCGTGCAGGTGGAGGCGGCCCTCGCTGCGGCTCAGCAGCGGGTGCAGAAGCGCCTTTGCCGCCTCACGCCCCGCATCCGAGCGCCCTAGGATCCGCCTCACGCTGCCGAAGGTGACAGGCCTCATCAGCAGGCTCTCAACTCGCAGAAGGCGGCACCGCGGCAGTATCATCATCTGCCATTACGCAGGCCAGCAGATATCGTGACGAGGAGAGGTGGAAGGTATGGTACAGCCGTGACGGGCGGCCGACGCCCGGCGGCCAGCCGGTAGTGAGAGTGGAAAGTCGAGTCAGGAATAAAAGACATAGCGAGCGGATCAGGGGTCTCTCAGAAGCCCATGCCGGGCACGTCGGGCATCGACCATTCTGCAAGCATGAGCGTCAGCGAGCCCTCAAAGGCACCATGCATGGCAGAGCAGCTCACCGTCGGCCCAGAGGTGCTGCTGCGCAAAGAGCGTGTCGAAGGGGTCGTCGAACATGCCCGGCGCCGCCGAGCCGCTGCCGCCGGGGCCTGCAAAGGCGCCCTGGCCCGTGCCGAGCATGGGCGTCAGGTCCGCCGCGCTCGGCAGCGAGAAGTCCATCTGGCCGCTGCCGCCGGGCGTCTGGCCGAACATGCGGTTGATCTGGTTGCCCGTGAGCTGGCCGTTCGCGTCGGACGAGTTCGGCGGCGCAAAGTGCTGCGCGCCGTTGCCGTTGAACATCATCTGCGACTGCTGCTGCGCCGATGCTTGGTCGCCGTGGTGGAAGGTCGGGTCCTGCGTGCGCGAAGGCGTGCTGCCGGCAGACTGCGTGTCGCTGAAGGCATCGACGAGCTCGCTGGTGGACAGCGGCAGCGGGTGCTCGACCAGCGAGCTGCTCGAGCTGTTCTGCGCGCGGCGCGGCGCCCCGTTCGGAGAGAGCTTGCGGCGCACGGCGTCGATGTCGCCAAAGTCCGGGCCCTCCTCGCTGTTCTCGTTGTGCGCACGCTTGATGCCGCGCTCGAGCGGCACAGGCAGCTCGGAGACCTTGATGAGACGCTCCATCAGGTCAGACTGCTTGCATGCGATAGCCCAGTGCTTCTCGCATCCATGCAGCACATCGAGGCAGCGGCGCACGTCCGCCATCGCTGACGTCGAGGCGTGCGCTCCGCTGCGCTTCGCTGCCCAGACGACCAGCAGCAGGACGCAGCCTGCCGAGAAGGCGCGGAACGAGACCTGCAGACCGCCCTGGTTGTGCAGGTCGCGCTTGAGCAGGTTGTAGAGGATGTGGCTGGTGGAGCGCGCGGCGTTGGTGCAGATGGCGAGCGAGGGGAAGTTGAGCGAAGGCTTGGCGCTCGGGCCGGGGATGAATGGGCGGTGCACGAGGATCTGGCTGTGGTAGTACTTCGTATGCAAGAGACTGGACTGCAGCAGCCACTCGCTGTTTGGCTCGCGCGGATCGTAGCGCAGGTGAGACGGCACCGTGTCGAGCCACTTATTGAGCGCAGAGTCGATCTCTGCCACGATGAACTGATCCCACTGGCGGCCGACGAAGCCGCGCTGCACCTTTGCCTTGCCGATGGCGTAGATTGTGCGCAGCGTGCGGCCGATGATCTGATCCAGACGGATCGAGCAGAGGAAGTAGCCGAAGGCGGATGGCACGCCGGCCGGCTGCTCGGGAGTGGTGCCGAGCTCAGAGCTCCTCATGAGCACCTCATCGTCGACGGCCATCGGCTCGAGGACGTCGAAGTCCTCGTCCTGGATGCAGACCGGGCGGCCGAGTCCGGCGCCGAACTCGCGGTCCAGCGAGTAGACGGCCCACCACAGACGGCGGTGCGTCTCCTGCGTCTCGAGCGAGTAGCCGAGGCGCTGGCCAGTGATGTTGCGGTGCGCGCCCGCATCCTGAAGGAGGCGCACGGCAACCGCAAGCAGTGCCCAGGCGTACGAGTTGGCCATCGACGTGCCCAGCATGACTGTGGTGCCGAGGTCAGTGCTGCTACCAAGCGAGAGACCGGGTACACTCACAGATCACGTTGAGGATGATGTGCTGCGCATGCCTTGCGCCCATGTTGCCGCCCCACAGCCGCATGCCGATGCGGCGCTGTGTGAGCCACCACTGCACGCCTGCAGTGTGCGCCGTCTGCCCGTTGAGTCTCTCCTCCTCCTCGAAGCACACGCGCGGGTCGTCGACGTAGCGACTGGCGACGGCGAAGATGCCGAGAGCGAGCGCCACGTGCTGGATCTGACGCTCTCTGCCAGGAGGCCCCGCGTGGTCCTTGCGGAACTGCAGCTCGTTGACCACTGGGAAGTCGTGGTGCGGCCGCGCAAAGTAGGCGTCGATGAGCCGCGCCTCGAGGTCGGGCTCTGGCCAGAAGAGGTCCTCGTCCGTCTCGTTCCAGTTCGCATCGTTTTGAAGGCTGACGATCTCGAACATGCGGCGGCGAGACGTGACGCCCATCTCTTCCAGCGCGAACGCCTTGCGCAGCGCGCCATTGCCGCCGCTTGTGCTGCCGCGGCGCCGGCCCTCGTCGAGACTGATGCGGTCGAGCAGCTCAATGAGGTGGAAGTCCGACGCCTTGCCGAGAAAGGCGCTGCCGTCCGACACGGGGGCGCCGTTCGGCCCGACCTGTCCGCCGCGGCCGATGAACTTGGCGTCGGCCCAGCTGAGCGGTCCGGACGCGATGCTGATCGCCGGGCAGGAGTCCACCTGCAGCGCGGTGCCGGTGCGCGATCTGTTGGATGCCGGGGTGAACTGCTGCGAGATGTATGCGATGTCCTCGTTCTCCTCTTCGTCCTCGTCGTCCTCGTCCTCGCTCTTGAGCCCGTTGAGCGCGCGCGCCGCGGCAGGGTCTCGTGGCCCTGCGCTTGCGTCTCGGGCGCCAAGTGCGACGGAGACGGGCAGTATGGCGCCTTGTGGCTGCACTCCCGCCGAGGCCGGCTTCTCGTCGCCTTCCTCGCCCGGCAGGCGGGGCATCGGACCGATGCGGTCGGTGAAGTCGACACCCGGCGCGAGCTGAGCAAGCACCTGCTCCATGCGCTCCATGCGCGCCTCGAGCGCGTCGCAGTAGCTGTCGCAAGGAGGCGTCAGACGGGCGGCAAGCAGAGCAGTGCACTGCACGCACCTGCGAGGCGGAGCGCGGCGTTTTGCTGCATCCACAAAGGTACACTCGTGCCCGTACGTCGCACTGCGAGGCACATACGTCAGCACCCGCCCGTGCTCATGCGCAGCGCTAGCCTCACCAGTTGGCGCAGGTCGTCTCGCCCGGCGCAAGGCCATTGCACCGCACCTTCTTCTTGCGACAGCCTGAGTGAGCATCTCGTCAGCCACGAAAGCGCGAGTCTGGCCAGCTGACACGTGTCCAGAGGCCCATGCACTCTGCGTGCAGCAGTACTCACTGTCGCAGGCTCGCTGCACCCGCCGGCGCTTGCCGTCCGCCTCATCGTCGTGCTCTTCCTCTGCCTGAGCTGCTGCTGCCGCCGCTGCAGCGTCAGCTGCCGACGCCTTGCTGCTCTTCTTCTTGGCGCCGCTGCTGCGCTTCGCCGCCGACGGCTTCGGCGCCGTGGGCGAGCCGTTGCCGTCAGTCGACCCTTGCTCGGGAGAGGCGAGCGGGCGCCCGTTCGACGGATACACAGGAGACTGCGACGAGGACGACTGAGGCATGTACGGCGCCGAGGGGCCGCCGTTGCTGCTGCCGCCGGCGCCGTAGAAGTCTACAGGCGCGGCCGGGAAGCTGTACGCGCCCAGCGGGCTGGCCTGCTGCTGTCCGTTGGGGTACATGCCCATGCTGGGGCTGCCGAAGCCGGGCTGCGCACTGCTGCCGTGCTCGAACTGGCGATCGAGCGGCATGTACGTGCCGTAGCCATAGTTGCCGTCGTGCGGCTGCTGCATGGCGGGCAGCTGCGAAGGGCGAGCGCGCGCGGCGTGTTCTGACGCGGCGCCGTCGGAGTAGCGTCGGAGAGGCGAGAGCGAAGGGGGTGCTGCTTCTGCCGCAGAGGGCGAACGACAGGGGTGGGACTGGAGTGTGCGGTCGGGAAATGCGGGGTAGGGCGGGGTGAGGAGGTGGTGGGGGTGAGGAAGAAACAAGGGTGCGGGCGACAGGATCTGATTGAGCGCGAGCGCGAGGTCTCGGGAGGTCAGCAGCAGCAGCATGACGCGGCGTCTTTCATGCTGCGCGCGCGCCGCGGCGCTCTCTCGCAGCACCTCGTTCCTCGCTTTGACTGCGCGGGAGCCCAAAAGAAGGACGCTATCTGGACACTCGGTGCTCCGCCAGACCGGACGGGCCGGCAGAGCAGGCACGGCCTGAGAGTGGCTGCGGAGGCAGGATGCAGCACGAGGGCAGCGGGCGGTGCGCGCACCTCGCCGCGCATCTCACCTCACCCCGTCGATCCGCGCGGCCCAGCGAAGTGCCGCGGCCCGCGGCCCACTTTGGCCCCTCTCGTCTGCGGCAACGGCGGCAGGCCTGGGTCGGCAGTGCAGCCTCTCCTTCTCGCAGACGCAGCGCACGCAGCCCAGCGCATGCTCGGCGTTCCTCGAGAGGAGTCATGTCTTCACCTCAGCGGCCACGGGGCCGAAAAGGCAGATCTCAGGCATCGCGCAGCCACGATGCAGCCCGACTCCGCAGCACAGCGCATGCGGCGGTGCGGAACTGGTGAGCCGGCGGCGTGTGAGCGGCGGAATCCGCGCCTTCGGACTTAAGCCGCGGCGCCTGTCAGCAGCGGCATCCGCACAGCGCAGCGTCCAGCGCGGGTCGCAGCATCCACAGCATCTGCATGGCGGCCCTCGCCCTCCAGCGAGTCATGGCCGGGCCACTCTCCGGCGCTACGGAGGCAGCCAAATATAGGCAGGGGTCGCGAGTGCGTGAGAGCGAGCACGAGAACGCCAAGGGCGGGGCTCATCTCGCGGATCATCTCGCTGCGGGCCGGCAGCGAGGGGGCCGAAGGCTGGAGCTGACGGATCTCTTGCAGCTCCTCGACGCCGAGAAAAGCACACAAAAGGGGACAGTGAGGGCACGAGAGTGTCGAGCAGGTACATGTCGTGATTTTGGCCGCAAAAGCTCCCCACGAGGAGGCGCAGCGATGGCCGACAGCAGCGTTGACGGGGCTGTGCTCGCCCACGCGACCGGATCGCAGGCTGTGCAGCGCCTGCGCTTCTACGTTTTGTGTCACCTCGTGAGAGCGCCAAGCCTGTGAAGCTTTCTTTGGCGTGGGCAGCTCATCTCCGCACTCTCACCAGCCGAGCCTCTCCCTCAGAGCTAGCTCGATTGCTGCGTCCTCGTCGCGCGCGACCCGCACGGCCCGGCCGCTCGCGGCGGCGGCTCCTGGCGTCCGTCGCGCACGCCTCAGCCCCTCGACGACGACGACGAGCGATGCAGGACAGCTCGACGTTCATGTGCCATGATGAAAGCTGTCCGGAGAGAACCGGGGCGGGTGCGCCACGCATGAGCGAACAGCATCAGCATGCACAGAGGCTTGCGGCGTCGGCGCAGAACGCCGAATGGATGAGGACGGCGCGGAGCCGCGCTCCGGCGGCGCTCGGCCAGCAGACCCGCGGGGCGAGCTAGGCGCGCGGCTGCGCGGATCCGGCACCGGGCGGAGCCGACCCGCGTGCCTCGACCCTCACGCCTCGGTCGGTGCTGACGCCAGCTCCCCGATCTGCCGAAGAAGCAGCACCTCGGAGAAATCAGCGCAATGTCGCCCACTTCTTCGCAGATCCTCGCACGAAGCAGCAAGTACGCGCCGCCGCCGGTTCGCGCTGTACCGACGGCCAAGCTGCGCAGCCGGCGGGCAGAGCGCGCGCGTCCACATCCTCCGCGCCCTCGATCCTTCTCGCTGCTCTCTCAACGCCGCACCCTCATGCCCCAGCTGTATAAGACGCATCGCATTCACCGGACCGGTAACCGAGAGACAGAGCAGTGTAGGTCCTCCGGCTCCGATCGACCCTCTATGAGCTCAAGAGAGCTTTACTTCTTGAGCACCTTGGGCGCCTGTGGAAGCAAGGCGCGTCAGTGGGCTGCGCAGGACACGTGCAAAGGGGCGCACGCACAGCGTTGTCAACGGTGAAGCCGTTGATGCCGGCGTAGGTGATGTCCTTCTCGAGCCTGGAGGGGAGTGAGGCGTCAAAGCGGAACGGGCAGCGCGGGGAGGCGCTAGTGCTCACGACTCGATGCGGAGCAGGGCGTTGTACTTGGCAACGCGCTCCGAGCTGTAGGAGATGAGGAAGGGACTCGGTCAGCCGGGGCGTGCGGAAGCAAGGCAGAGTCTGCCCACGCACCGGCACGGGGCACCAGCCTTGATGATACCGACGCCGAGGGCAACAGCTGTGTGACGCAGTCGAGTCAGCGGCAGCTCAGGCGCGCGCGACGCAGTCAAGCTCACCCAGGTCGGCAATCGTCACGTCCTCCGTCTCGCCCGAGCGGTGCGAGACCATGACGGCCCAGTTGTCGCTCTGCGAGAGCTGCGCGGCCTGGATCGACTCGGAGATCGTGCCGATCTGGTTGATCTTGAGCAGGAGGCCGTCGCAGGCCTTCTTCTCAATGGCAGTCTTGATGCGCAGCGGGTTCGTGACTGGCGCGCGGGGTCAGCTGCTGGTGGGAGCGGGCGCATCATGCGCGCGCGCGTGCTCACCCGTGAGGTCGTCGCCGATGACAGTGACGCCCGAGTTGGCGCGGAAGTACGTCCACGACTCCCAGTCGTCCTGGTCGAAGGGGTCCTCGATGGAGGTCTGTGCGCGCGCGACGTCAGCCGCGTGCCCCTGACAGCGCAGCGCGCGAGCGAGCACGCACGATGGGGTACTTCTTGATGTAGCCGAGGTAGATGTCGGCGAGCTCGCGGCCAGTGACGAGGTTGGGGTTGCTCTCGTCCTTGAAGTTGAGGTCGTCTGCGCGCGGGGCATGAGCGAATTGCGCGAATGCGGACACTCAGGCACGGCGGCTACTCACACTTGCCGTCCTTGTAGAACTCGGACGAGGCGACGTCGAGGGAGATGTGCACCTGGCCCTCGTAGCCGGCCTTCTTGATCGACTCGGCGAGCACCTCGAGGGCCTCGTCGGCCGACTTGACCGGCGGCGCGTAGCCGCCCTCGTCGCCGATGAGCGACGAGTCAAGGCCGTACTTGGCGACGATGACCTTCTTGAGGGTGTGGTACACCTCCGAACCGACGCGCATGGCTGTGTAGGCTCTGTCAGCTGCTGCAGCGCGCATCTAGTTCTCGCGTGCACTGACCCTCGGTGAAGGTCTGGGCGGCCGTGGGCACGATCATGAACTCCTGGAAGGCGCTGCAGCGGGAAGAGCGTCAGGGACTGTACAGCTATCACTATACTGGCCTGCTCACAGGTTGTTGCCGGCGTGCGAGCCGCCGTTGATGACGTTCATGGCCGGGGCGGGCAGGATGTACGGGCGGCTGACACCGGACAGGCCGGCCAGGTACTCGTACAGCGCGACGCCCTTCTCGCCGGCACCGGCCTTGGCGACGGCAATCGAGACACCGAGGATGGCGTTGGCGCCGAGGCGCGCCTTGTTGGGCGTGCCGTCGAGCTTGATGAGCAGGTCGTCGATGGCCTTCTGCTCCGTCACGTTGAGGCCGGACTCGAGGAGGGCCTTCTGGATCTCGCCGTTGACGGCGTCGACGGCGCCCTGGACACCTGAGCGAGGACAACGTCAGCACAGGCGTCGACCACATCGCCGCAGCCGCACGCACCCTTGCCCATGTACGCCTTGCCGCCATCGCGCGCCTCGTGGGCCTCGTGGATGCCCGTCGACGCGCCCGAGGGCACGGCGGCGCGGAAGAGGCCCTTGGCCGTCCAGAGGTCGACCTCGACGGTGGGGTTGCCGCGCGAGTCGAAGATCTGCGGTGCGTGTGAGCAAGGTGCACGCGGGTAGTGGAGCCGCGCAGCCGCGTGTACGCACCTGGCGAGCGAGGATCTTGGTGACAGACATGATGAGATGTGTGTGAGGTGTGGTGTGGTGGAGGGAGGGCAGGGTTGAGCGTCTCGGAAGAATCCGATGAAGCGAGGCGGCGGCGCGGGCGGGCAAAGGCACCGCAGCGGTGTTCAGGTTGCGCCCTGACGGCGCGCCCCGAGGCCTGGGCGCGGCTGCAGAGACTGGCCATGTGCCGTGCCTGGCGCCGTCGAACCTGCTGGCACACGCGAAGGATAACGCACGGACCTGCCGCTGCCACGTGGAGTCCTGCCGCCCCAGCGCCGCCTGCGCTCACCCCTCTCGCCTCGCAGATCTCCGTGCGACGACTCAGAGGCGTGCCCAGGTGCAAGCGGGGACGCAGACAAGGTCTCCGGAGTGCGAGAGGGGCCCAGGCTGGCCGCAGGGGCTGCCCATGGGGAAGCGCACAGACGCACGCCCACCTCGGGCGAGGCCGGGGTCGCCCGACCATGCGGCACGCCTGCGGCTCTGGCGCGGCTCCGGCGCGGTCCGCTCACCGGACCCTCCGCCTGTGCTCGCCTCCGCCTCCGCCTCCGCATCGGCCGCTTGCAGCAGCCTGCAGGTGCAAAGCAACGGCAGCAGCGCAGAGCTGGCACATCTGTGCCCTGAGCAGCCGAAGCGGGGAAGTTGAGCTCTGCGGCTGTGAGCAGGAGGCGGTAGTAGATCATCAGCACGTGATCTGGCTAGATTGAGGCCCATGAGCGGCGGCACCTTCGCTCAGCAACGCTCACTCTACTCCAACTACAAGCATGGCGCTGCACGCCGACGTCGGCTGGAGCGTCCTGGCAGGGCTCGCAGGCCTCGTGGCGGCGCTCGTGCTGCTGGAGCGCATCCGCACGCCCGCGGCTCTGCGGCGCTACCCGGCGTACCCGCCCGGCGCCGGGCTCAGCTCGCTGCCGCACCTGCTGCTCGATCTCTGGCACCCGCAAGGCGTCTCGGCTGGGCTGGTCGATGCGCACGCTCGGCTACGGAGCAGCGTCCTGCGGACCGGCCCGAAGCGCTTGCATCTCTCGACCGCGAGCGCACAGGTGCTCAAGGACATCGGCTCGCTCGACAAGGCGCCAGCTTACGCCGCCTTTGACCTGGGATCAGCGACGGTCTTCAGCTCTCGCAGCCGTGCAGATCACGGCGCCCGAGCATCCGTCGTCGCCTCGCTGTTCACCAAGACGGCGGTGCGCGACAAGGCCGACGTCGTCAGCGACGCAGTCCACGCCACGCTCGACGTGCTCGACAAGAAAGTCGGTAGCGGCACAGCGCAGGTCAATCTGCTGGCCCTCTTCCGCGCCTTTGCCATCGATGTCGCAGCCACGCTGTACTGTGGCAAGACGTACGGCGCTACGCATGCGCTGCGGCACGGCGATTTCATGTCGACGGACATCGGCCTGATCCATGATCACTTCAACGAGGCGGGTCAGTCGAGCCTCTGCCGTGCTGCCCTCCTCCTGCTGACCGGTGACACAGTGCCGCTCGGGCTCTGGAGCCCTGCCTATGGGCCGAAGCTGCGGACAGCGCATGAGAAGCTGACGACGGCTTGGCGCAAAGTGTCGCCAGCCAAATCGAAAGCTGTGCACGAGCAAGACAAGCTCACCGCAGCGCTGGCGCACTACGAGGCCTTCGTCGACGGCGCGGTGAGCTCGCCGGACGCCGCCTACCCCGCCGCGATGGCTCGCGCTCCGGCGTATGCTCAGCTCGACGCAACGGAGCAGCGAGCGGCAATCAGCGTCGAGTGCTACGACCTGCTCTTCGCGGCAAGCGAGAGCCTCGCCGCGACGCTTGCAGTCGGTCTGCTGCGACTGCACACAGCCGAGGCCTCGTCGTCTCTGGAGCGCGTGCGCTCAGCGCTCCAGGCTCAGGGCAGCGGCGAAGAGCAGCTGCTCCAGGCCACCGTCAACGAGTGCCTGCGTGTCACCTCTCCGGTGCCGCGCGCTCTCGATCGCATCGTGGGAGCCAAGGGCCTCAGACTGGATGACGGCACCTTCCTGCCTGCCGGCACCGTCATCGGCATTGGCCAGCAGGCACTGCATCAGCCAGACACGCCCTTCTCGCTGTCCAAGTGGCTCGACGAGGATGGGGCGCCTGCGTCAATCGCGTTCGGTCTGCCCGGCGCGCCCTCCCGCGCCTGCCTGGCCAGAGCGCTCGCCGAGGAGGAGCTCCGACAGATGCTCGCGGCCTTTCTGCGGCGCTTCGAGGTCGTGCAGCCCGTACTGCCGCGCGGACGGGACATGTTCAACGTGGGCTTCCCGCGTGGCCTCGTTGCGGCGCAAGTGTCAAGGCGGAGGGCATGACGCAGAAATTGTGCATTACAGCCTTCACCAGCGCGTACCGATTAGACGTGGTCGAACTCGCCCTTCTCGCGACGCAGCAGGGTCATGCACGCAATGATCGCAGAGCCGACACTGTGGAGCGATGTAAGCGACAGTCAGGCGCAGCAACGGCCTCGACGCGACGCACCCGCTGCCGTCCTCGGCCTGGTGGCTGTGAATCTTGCAGTCCTTGCCGAATTGGTCGCGCAGCGCCTCGTGCAGGCGGTCGGCAAAGTCTGCGGCTGGCTGTTAGCTGTCGTGCAGGCGCACGCATCGCAGCGCCACACTCACGCGGGTATTTCGAGTACAGCGAGCCGTCGGCGCCGACCTCGCATCCCTCCTTCTCGTAGCCCATCTTGCGCGCGATGGCCGCAATGCCGCACGACGAGAGGCGCGCGGCGCGCGTGCCGATGAGCTCGGCGAGCTGCCGGAAGAACTTGCGCTCCTCCATCGTCGTCTCGAGGCCGAAGAAGTGCGCAAAGAGGCCCGTCACCGTCAGCAGCTCGTCGGTCGGGTCCGACTCGATGAGCGAGAGGAAGGCCGTGTCGAAGACGTTTGGCTTCTCGATCTTGTACGTGTTCTGGCCGAGGAAGAGCACGCCCTCGTCGACGAGGTCGCACATGACGAGGCGGAAGATCTCGCCGAGGTACAGGCCGGCAATCATCTTCTCGTACGACTGCTCGTGCGGCTTGTTGCTGTGCAGGTCAATGTACTCGTCGTACTTCGTCCGGATGTCGGCCATGTGCTTGTGCTCGAACGAGTCGAAGGCGCCGTACCTGGTCCGTGCGTCAGCGGCGCCCACGCGCGCCTGCAATGCCGAGCCACACTCACTCGCAGTTGATCGCCATGTCCCGGTCGCCCGGCAGGCCGTGGTGGTCGATCTTGGGGATGTTCGAGATGTGCTCCATGTAGGCGGCATTGCAGCCCGTGCCGAAGATGCAGGCGATCTTCGTCTTGTTGCGCACGTAGTTCGAGGCGATGAGCGTGCCCGTCGTGTCGTTGATGAGCGACGTCATCTTGATCGGCACCTCGTACTTCTCCAGACTCTTGCGGAACATGGCCGCGCAGTCGTTGCCCTCGGTGTTGGGGTTGCCGAAGCCCTTGGTCCAGCGCACCAGCTTGCCGTGGTCGATCTTGTCCTGCTCCATCGGGTAGCTGAACGTGAAGCCGAGCGCAATGTCCTCCTCGAGGTGCACCGTGCCGTCCGGGCCGCCAAAGTGGTCCGAGATGAACGTGTTGAGGCAGTCGGCGCAGAAGTCAAAGAGCTCCTGGCCCTCGATCTGCTTCTGCTCCTCGGTGAGGCGGAACTTGGTCTGCGTGACCTCGAACTGACCGCCGCCCTTGAGGATGACGTGGCACACGCGCAGGTTGGTGCCGCCGAGGTCGAGCGCCAGGTACGAGCCCTTCTCGTCGCCCGTCGGCCAGCCAAAGACGTAGGTGGGCAGCATGGGCTGTGCAGCAGCACGTGAGCCACCAGACGGCGTGTGCTGTGATCCCCAGCGCTAAGCGGCTCCCTTGACATGCGCTACTCACCACAGTCTCGCCCTCCTTCTTCAGGCCGCGCTCCAGCGTCTCCACGAAGCGGTCCGTGATGCGCGTGAGCGTCTCGGGCGTCAGCTCAAAGAGCTTCTTGAAGTGCTCATACTGCTCCTTGAGCTGCTCTGCCGAGGCACTCGGGTTCTCGCGCGAGCTGTGCGTCGAGGTGTGCCACGAGACGATCTGCATGATGCCCGAGAGTAAGTAGCTGAGGAAGGTGGAGAAGGTCTGCATGGAAGCAGATTCTGTAGAGTAGGGCCGCATGCGAGTAGTAGGCGGGGATAGTCTGTGTGCAAGCGCAGCACAGCGCAGAGCCTAGTCCATCATATAGGCCACGCCCGAGGCAGCACAGGCCGTCGAGCTGCCCGTGAGCCATGATGGCCCAGGAGGATCGGCGCTCACGGCCCGAGGTGCCCAGCAGCAGCACAGCCCACTGGGTTGCGATCGGCGGGCCGGGCCAGGGCACAATCACCCGGCTCGCCTCTACCGCCGCCGCTGCCGCCGCCGCCGGCCACTCACGTGGTCGCTAGTCTTCTCGACGCCGCTGCCGCGGCGGCCCTTGAGTGGCGTGGTGTGCGAGACTCGGCGGCCCTTGGAGCCGGAGCCGGCGATGTTGGCGTCGGCCGAGGGCGCGCGCTGGGTCGTGGTCATGGTGTGTTGAGGCAGCGGGGACGTCAGAGAGAGGGTATCTGGCGTGGCTGCTGCGTGGTGGGGGTTGGAAGGCAAGGGGCGAGTGCGCTGAAGATATGGAGGCCAAGCCAGCACAAGATCCAGGGCGCGCGGCACAGGCACGGCAGCAGAGCAGCCAGCGTGCAGCGGCGGCGCACGGGCGCGCAGAGCCGGCGCCGTGCCGGCTCCACCTCGCGCCCGCGGAGGCACAGACGGCCGGCCTGCTGCGCCCTCGGCAGCCACCCTCCCTGATGCGCTATGTTGAGCTGCTTTTACTGCTCAGGGGTGCCGCTGCCGTTGTCTCGGACACAGCGCGCATGGCCGGCAGCGAGCATGTCGAGACAAGGGCTTGCAAAAGGAGAGACGCCGCGCGGCTGGCGCGCTCTGCTGCACCGCCAACTCTGCAGGTGGCCGGCCGGCATGCGGCTCTCTTGCTTTTTCGCTGCTTGCCTTTGCTGTGTGGCCCTCCTTTCTTTGCAGTCGACCCCCACAAACTGCGCAGATGCTCCTTTCGCAGGCGAGAGGTTGCAGCAGCAGCTGGTGCAGGCCAGCAGCGACCGAAGGTTGAGCGAGGGCCGCCATGGCTGCACGCTGCAGAACCGCGGCAAGATCCTCCACCCGCCTCGGCGAGACTCGCTCGTCGAGCGCTGGGCCTCCAGCGAGCTGGCCTGCCGACGCCTCGAGCTTGCCGCAACTCCTCTCACAGTCATCTCTGCGCTTCGCCCACACCAACGCATGCGGCGCTCGTCGCCCAAGGATGGCGGCAGAAGAGCCGGCTGAAAGGTGGCATGGCTGAGGGTCGTGGGCAGCACCTACGTCACCGGCCGCGCGTCTCCACATGGCACCGACGTGGCGGGCGCAGCTTCTCGCGCGGGAGAAGAGGCGTCACGCCGGACCCCCGCCCGTGCACCCGCTTCGCTTGCTCGGGAAGCCCGCGTCGCTTCGCCTTCCTGTCCACCACCACTTCGCAACATGCCGACAGCTACCGCGCCGCACGCCTGCCTGCTGCGCCCGCCGCACCAGCTCTACATCGGCCTCGTCGCCGTGCTCGTGCTCGGCGGCACGCTCTACTCGGCCTGGCACGGCCTGCACCTCTACAACGTCTCGCTCTCGTCGCCCACGTCGGCCGCGCTCATCGGCGCCGCGCGCCTGCCCAACACGCGCCTGGCGGACCGCCGCAACCTGCTCAACACGCTCGTCATCAAGCGCGCCTGGGCGTGGACGACGGCCGCGTGGCTCGTGCAGGCGGCGACGCTGCGCGGCCCGCTGGCGCCGGCGCAGCAGCAGCCCGAGGGCAAGGGCAAGCAGCGCGCCGATGCGCAGCAGGGCGCGCGGCCCGGTGCGCTGGCCAAGAGTGCCGTGCGCTATGCCGTAGCTACCGCTCTCTGGGGTGAGCACGCCGCCTTGCCCTGTGCTGTGGCCATTTGCTGACGCTCTGCCGTGCTGCTGTGCCATCGCTCCCTAGTGTAAGTGCATCGCGCTGACGCCGAGTGGCATCTTCACCTGTCCTGACGCCTGGTTCTGCAGTCTCTTCGCAGCCTGGTTCTTCGGCCCGCCGCTGATGGAGCGCGTGCTCTACTGGACGGGCGCGCAGTGCATCCCCGACATGCACAGCCTCGGCGGCCCCGGCATCGTGCTGCCCAACGGCGGCGCCATCGACCCGTCATTCTGCTACGCGCGCAAGCCCGTCACCGTCGCCTCTCACCCGCAGCTCTTCAACACAGCGACTGTGCTGGCAGCGCAGGGCACGGGCGGCAAGCTCAAGGCGAGGTGTGAGTGATGCATGGGAAGCGCACAGCCGCCGCAGTAGCTGACGACAGCACCGGCAGTCCGCGGCGGCCACGACATCTCGGGCCACACGTACATCCTCGTGCTCTCGGCGCTCTTCCTGCTCGAGGAGCTCACTCCGTTCCTGCCGTACCTCGCGCCGGCGTCGATGCGCGACTCGCTCGCCTCCTTCTTCCCTCGCGCCCTCTGGGCCGCACGCGACCCTTTCGCGGGCTGGACGGGCCCGCGCCAGGGCGCCACGCAGTCCGAGCGCGCCGCTGTCAACCGCGCACGCCTCAACCTGGCTGCGGCGGTCAGCGTGCTGGCCCTCGTGGCAGTCGAGCTCTTCTGCCTGGCGTGCACGGCGCTCTTCTTCCACACGCCGCTCGAGAAGGTGACGGGCCTGCTCGTGGCCCTCGGCGCATGGGCAGTCATGCCGCACGGCGGGTAGCATGGAGAGAGATGCATTAAAGGATATCATACTGCGGAGAAAGCCCGTCACTCGTCGTCGTCCTGGAAGACGCCGGCAGCCACGCGCGGCTGAGGCTCTGCCGGCTCCTGCTCGTCGACCCAGCCGCCGAGACGGGCGCGAGTGGTGCTCTCGTAGAGCCTGCACGTTGTCAGCATCGGTGGGGCCCAGAAGGCGCGCCGCACTCACTCGATGTTCAGAGCCGCAAGGAAGCACGGCACGCTCTTGGCGCCGTCGAGCCAGTATGTGCGCAGATTCTCGATGTTGGCCATGCCCTGCATCGCCTCGCCGTGGATCTTCATGGCGCCCATGTCGTCGCGGTCGGAGCGGAATGTGAGCGTCGTGCCCTTTGCCGAGCGCGCAAAGGACGACGTGAGCTTGACGCGGCCGTCCTGCTCCCACTTGACCTTGAAGCCGAAGAGCGCCTCGACCGTCTCGCGGTATTCGGTGCCCTTGGCCTTGAAGACCTGTGCACCGGGCGCTGTCAGCCGAGTGGCAGGGCAGTCCGTAGTGTGGGCACTCACCGAGCGGACTCTGTCGAGCACCTTCTCCTTCATCTTGAGGGCCTCGCGGAGCTCGAGGATGGTTTGCAGGCTCTGCTGGCCAGCCTGTGACCCACCTTCCGTGCCCGGGGCGCTGGCACCCGCAGCTTCAAGCTCGGCTATCCGCTGGATGAGCTGCTCGTTGTCGCGCTGCAGGCCCTCGATGCGCGCGCGGCTGAGGTCCATGCGCTGCTGCGCCGGGTTGATGAGCATCTCGACCACGCGCTGCTGCGCCGAGTGCTCGCCGCCCATGTAGCGCCGCCAGATGTCGTCGCTCTCCGTGCTGAGCCGCTCGCACTCCTTCTGCAGCGCCTGCACACCGGCCTTCGTCTCTTGCAGCTCTGCGAGAACAGGGCAGCGTCAGCGCAAAGCGCCGTGCGCTCTGATCCGAGGCACTGACCCTGGCTGAGCTGCTCGTTTGCAGCTACGAGAGCAGCGCGCTCGGCGTCGTCCTCTGCCGCCGATGCCCGGCCGGCATTCTGCGTGACCTCCTGTCGAGCCGCTTGCAGATCGGCAGAGAGCTGCTCGACCTCAGCGTGCAGCTCCTTGTTGCTTGCCTCCAGCCCAGCTATCCGCTCGGCGTTGGCTGCGTCGAAGGTGCTGGAGCGATTGGCTGCCTCTGCAGTGAATGTCTCCTGTTGAGTAGGGGTCAGCGCCCGGCTCGCGCGCATGGAGCGCGGCTCATGCTCACGTAGATGGCCTTGTATCGCTCCACCTCGTCTTGCGCGCTCTTCGCCAGACGCTCAGCTCGTGTGCGGGCAGCCGCGTCTTCGGCCTGCTGCGCGCTGAGCTTCTCTCGCGCGCGACCTGACTCCGTAAAGTCCTTCTCGGCCTGCTCGGCGCGCGCCGAGGCAACTTGCAGTCGCTGCGCAAGCACCTCGGACCGCGCAGTGAGACCCGAGACCGTGCCGCGGAGCGTGGCTAGCCAGCCGGGCAGCTGAGGGACGTCGAGCGGCTCCGGGGCGACGAGCTGCGGCAATGGCGCATCCGGGTTGGACGCAAAGAGCTGTGCCTCTTCGAACGACATCGGCGCGCCGGTGACGAGCTGCTCGGCCCTGCGACTGAGGCGTCAGACCTCTTTCGCGATGCAATCTGACGCGACTGCACTCACCTGCTCGACTTCTCGAGCTCCAGCCTCTCGATGCGCGCTTCTGCGTTCATCACCTTGGAGCGCAGCTCATCTGCGTTTCGGGCGCGCGTCTCGGCAGCGCGCTTCTCTTCGCGCAGCACCTCGACGCTGGTGTGGTGGTCGCGCAGCTGCCGGTTCTCCTGCTCCAGCTTTGCGACGTTCGCTTCCAGCGTTCGGACGTGGCTCGTTTGCCCTGAAGAACGGCGTCAGATGGCGCGCTCCGCAGTCCTCGCTTTGAGCAGCTCACGATGCAGCTCCTCGGCCAGGCGCGTGTCCTCCTCTTTGGGCTGTGACCGGCCCAGGTCTTCCCGCAGTTGCGTCTCCTTCGCTTTCCACTCCTCTTCTCTCCGCGCAAGCTCCTCCTGCGCGATGCTTGCCTGCTCCAAAGCCTCGTCGCGGTCGCCCTCGAGTTCCAGCACGCGGCCTTGCAGGGCGGTCTGCTCCGATCGGTTCTTCTGCGACAGTGTCGAGAGCGATGCCTGCAGCTCGGAGGCGGAGCGCGTGGCTGCTAGATTGCTCGCGTGCAGCTTCGTGATCTCTGACTTGAGTTGCGTCTGGCAGCATCGGCGTTAGGCGATCGACTTTCCTCGGTCCAGCGTCAAGCCTCGCGGGTCTAAGGGCGGCGCACTCACCTCCGCCTCTCTCCACTCGCGCTCTCGGTCCCTGTTCTCCGCGCTGCGCTCCTCCCACTCGCGCAGCAGCTCTCGCCGCTCCTTTTCCAGCCGGTCGACCTTGCCGCCAAGCTCGGCAAAGTCACGCTCCAGTGAGTCGTAGCTGCGCTGCGCGACGAGGAGCTTGCGCTCCGACTCGCTGCGCAGCGCCTCCATCTCGGCGGCCAGATTGACTCGCGGCGACGCTGGCGGCGAGTGCGCCCTCGAGGAGAGCATCGAGGAGCGCATGTGAGGCGCTGCCGGCCGGTCAGCATTGCGCAGGCGGCAGCCATGGCGTGCGGCGCTCACCAGGCGCTTGGCTGTCGCCGAGTCCGGCCACGCTGGCAGAGCGCTTGCCGGCGCCAGCTGAGGGTGCGGCAAGGCTGCTGCGTGCACCGACGGGCATGGCGCTGGGCCGCGCCTGCGCTGCCGGCGCGCCCGCAGACGGCACCCGTGCGGCGGGTGCTCCGAAGCCGAAGCGCGAGGCGCCTGGAGCTGCGGCGGGCCGGGGCAGGCCGCTGCTGCCCAGGGGCGCGCCGGAGCCCGAGGGGCGTGACATGGTGCGCGCTGCAGGCAACTCGCAGACGACGGAGACGCAGAGGCCGAGGACGTAGAGATGAGGGTCTGGAGCAAGAAGGTGAAGCGCCTCGCGCGCCCGACGTTGCTCCGTGCACCCCAGGCGCGTCTGGTCACGTGCTATCACTCTTCTTGAGCTGCAAGGGTGCTGCGAAGCCAGCTCCCCGAGGCACGCCGTCGCCCTCGCCGTCGCACCTCCCATGACACAAGGTGTCGCTTGTGTATGGCTCAGCAGCTCTCCAACAAGAGGAGCTCGGCCAGCATGCCACGAGATGGCAGCGTCTCATCGGCAGGCGCAGCAGGGACAGCCCCTCTCATCTCAGCACCCCTTGGAGCTGCCTCTCTCCTCGCCCTCTCATGCCGCGGCCTCATTTCAGGCTGCCCCGCCGTCTGTCGAAGTCAACGTCGTGCTCCGGGCCGACGCAGCCGGCGCACGCCAGATGCCCCAAGAGGCCGCAGCGAGCTGCTCGCCGCGCTCCGGAGCGGCAGGCGGCAACACGCCGGCACCGAACGCCACGCGCGCGCGGCGCCGATGCCCAAGATGCGGCGGCGAACTCAGCGCGCCGCCGCCGGCGCGCGCCAGCAGGGGTGCGGAGACAGGCTGGCTGCCCGGGACTACAGACGGGCGTGGGACGGCCGAAGTCGGCGCTTACGCGAATACAAGCCCCTTCGCGCGATTCGCTCGGCACCGCTGTGCCGCGGTGCGGGCGAGAGAGGCGGCGTGCCGCGAGAGACCCTAGGCGCGCTGCATCGCCGCCGCCGCGCGCGCGAGCCTGTGCAAGTGCCTGCCACACACACACCTCTTCTCACCCCTCATCGCCCCTCGTCCACCCGCGCGTCACACACCCACCTCACCACACACGCATCGCGGCTGGCCTCTCTGCCAGGTCTGCGCCTCGCCTGCGCACCACCCGTGCCTCGTCGGCCACCTTTGTCTCGTGGCGCACACAGCCACCCTGAGGCGCCCGCCCGTCTCGCACCATGCCCACGTGGGGTCGCCGCTCCGGCAAGGCCGGCTCGGCCGGCTCGTCGGCGGGCGCCGCAGGCAGCGCACCTGCCTCGGCCTCGCCGTCGCCCTCTGGCTCGCCGGCCAAGCGCTTCAGCCTCGTCTCGAGCTCGCCGCGCGCGACTCAGCAGGCAAGCGTGGCGAGCGCGCCGCGCAACCCCGCCACGCCCACCAAGGCCATCCCCACGGTCAGCGTCTCGCCGCCCGAGGTTGCTGAGCCGGCGCCGCGCTCGGCCAAGTCGCCGTCGTCGCACTCTGTCTCGCTGCCGGGCTCGGACGGCAGCTACAGTCCCGAGGCGGGCTCCAGCCCTGACGAGGAGCACGGCAGCGTGCCGCCGAGCCTCACCACTGGCAGCACCAGCACGAGTGTCGACAGCCTGGACGGCCCCTCGCCGTTCGACCTGCCGTCGCCGGCCCGGTCAGCGCTGGCTGCTGTGGCTGGCACGGCTGCCATCGACGACGGCACGGTGGTGAAGAGCCGGACACCCACCAGTGCCGTGGTGGTCGCTGCAGGCGAGACGACCGTCGTGCCGCCGACGTCGCACGAGAGCAGCTCGGACGGCAGTGCGCTGCTGCACTCCGAGTTCGGCTTCTGCTCGAATCCCAACTACCGGCACGTCTCGACACACCGCGCCGGCAGCTCGCTGCCCTCGCCCATCGAGGAGGAGCCGTCGTACTACGTCGTGCTCACGACGTACATCTCGTACCTGTCCCTGATTGTCATTGGCCACATTCGCGACTTTCTCGGCAAGCGCTTCCACCCCGCCGCGTACCGGCATCTCGTCGAGAGCAACGGCTACGCAGCCCTGAACTCTGACTTTGACAGCTTCTACACGCGGCGACTCAAGACGCGTCTCGACGACTGCTTCTCGCGGCCCGTCACGGGCGTGTGCGGCCGCACCGTGCTGACGCTGAACCGCTCGTCCGACGACTACTACAAGTCCTTCCGCCTGACGGGCGAGAAGACGCGCGCGCTCAACATCTCGGCGTACAACTACCTTGGCTTTGCCCAGTCGCACGGCGGCTGCGCCGATGCCGTTGAGGAGAGCCTGCGCCGCTACGGCGTCAGCTCGTTCGGCTCGCGTCTGGGCGCCGGCTCGCTCGACCTGCACGCGCAGGCCGAGCGCCTCGTGGCCCGCTTCGTGGGCCAGCCCGAGGCGTGCATCATCTCTATGGGCTTTGCGACGAACTCGACGACGATCCCGGCCATCGCTGGCGCTGGCACGCTGATCATCTCCGACGAGTACAACCACTCATCGCTGCGCTTCGGTGCGCGTCTGTCGGGCGCGAGCATCCGGCAGTTCAAGCACAACGACATGAAGGAGCTCGAAAGCCTGCTGCGCGAGTGCATCTCGCAGGGCATGCCGCGCACGCACCGGCCATGGAAGAAGATCCTGCTCATTGTCGAGGGCCTGTACTCGATGGAGGGCACTGTTGTCAATCTCCCCGTCGTCATGCAGCTCAAGGAGAAGTACAAGGTGAGCTCGCCGGCATTCCCTTGGCTTGTCCCCGCTCACACCCTGGCAGTTCTACCTGTACGTCGACGAGGCGCACTCCATTGGCGCCCTCGGCCCCAACGGCCGCGGCGTCTGCGACTACTTTGGCATCGACCCGCGGCGTGTGGACATTCTCATGGGCACGTTCACCAAGTCGTTTGGCGCTGCCGGCGGCTACATTGCCGGCAGCAAGGAGATTATCGACCGGGTGCGCCTCGCCAACCACGCCAACGTGTACGGCGAGACGCTTGCGCCGCCGGTGCTGACGCAGATCATTGCGAGCATGGCGAGCATCATGGGCGTCAGCCTCGATGCCAACTCGCAGCAGCTGCTGCCGAAGTGGGTCGACCTGCCGCCGCGCCTGCTGGACGGCAGCGAGGGCCGCGAGCGCCTGCGCCGGCTAGCGTTCAACGCGCGCTACCTCTCGAGCGGCCTGCGCAAGCTCGGCTTCATCGTCTATGGCCACCGCGACAGCCCCATTGTGCCGCTGCTCATCTTCCACCCGGCCAAGATGCCGATGTTCTCGCGCCTCATGCTCGACCGGCAGCGCAGCCTGCCGCCGCACCGGCGCGTGTGCCGCGAGGACGGGCCCGAGTTCGAGGAGCAGAACGCCAAGCAGCTCGCCATCCTCAGCGACCCGGCCAGCGCCGCGGGCGAGGCCGACGAGCCGGCGCGCCCGCCGATTGTCGTCGTCGTCGTGGGCTACCCGGCGACGCCGCTCATCTCGTCGCGCGTGCGCTTCTGCGTCAGCGCGAGCCACACGAAGAAGGACATGGACGACGTGCTGCGCGCCTGCGACGAGGTCGGCGGCCTGCTGGCGATGAAGTATGGCAGCGGCGGGCCCGGCGGCGTGTGGCCGATCGACAAGGTCATCGAGCGGGCACTCGACCTTGTGCAGTGGAACGGCGAGGACGCCATCTAGACCTGCCTGTGCCCTCTGCCTGACCTCACCCACACTCTTTTCTTCCTACCTCTCACTTGTACTTCTGCCCCGTGTCATGCATCACTCCTGATCCGCTCGGAGTGTGAGCCCGATGCAGATCGGCTCGCGCGCTGCGCAGCTTGAGAAGCTGCGGCTGTGCAGCACAGCGGAAGAGGACCACCGCCTGCCGGCGTCTGCGCTGCACGCTGCACGCTGCAGCAGCGCAGGCAACGCGGGCCGTTCTCCACGCGGCGCGACTAGCGTCAAGCAAGCGCTGCGCTGCAGCAGAGCTCCTGTTGAGGCGCGGCCTGCTGCCCTCAATCTGACTGAGGGCTGAGCCAGCGTCGATCCGGCAGCAGCTCGGACGGCCGACGCAGACGAAAGAAGCCGTGGCGGTCTTCGCCCAGATTCCGCATCGTTAGCGCGGTGGTGCATGGCAGCGTGCTCGCCAATGACGCCGACGCCGCGCCCGAGCGCCGCAGCCCGCGTCCGCAGCGCTCTCTTGCAGCGCAACGTAGCGGGCGAAAAGCGGGCGTGCTGCAGCAGTCGAGTCTGGTGCTGCGCCCCGAGCGTGCAGGCCATGTGCGGGTGACAGCATCGCATGCATGGTGAGCGGCCGAACGTCGCGTGTGCGGAGCAGAGGAGCATCAGCATCAGGAGGCGCAACGGCTACCCCGCAGCGTCCAGCGCGGTGCTCATAAGGCAGCCTGCTCGGGGCGAGCGTGTGCGTCTGCCCCACCACGGACCGGACCAGCCAGCCGCCGCAGCAATGCTCTTCTCCAGCGCCTTCGCAGCCCTCGCCCTTGCGGCCAGCGCCGTCGCAGCTGTGAGTTGCGCGACGAGATGGAGCGACGGACACGGCTAATGCGAGCTGCGCAGCCGACGTCGCCGCCGCTGCCCACCACCGATGCGCCGTTCAGCGTCAGTGCTGCCAAGCTCGAGGCGGCCATCACCTGCCCCAACGGCATCAAGGGCGCCGGTGAGCGCCTCCGTCTGCGCACGCACCCACTCGTCGCTGACTGCCTCGACCATCAGCTGGCGGCGTGGTGCTGCTCGTGCCCGGCACCGGCCTCACGGGCGAGGACAGCTTCCCGGAGGGCCCCTTCGTGCAGCTGCTGCCCACGGCCGGCCCGGGCTTCGATGTCTGCTGGGTCTCGCCGCCGAACAGCCAGCTCGGCGATGCACAGGTCAACGCCGAGTATGTGGCGCACGCCATCATGGTGAGTCAAGAGTCGCCATGCCCCGGCACGCACCCCTCACGCGTACGTCGCAGAGCCTGGCGCCTCGCAGCAAGAATGGCAAGGTCAAGGTGGTGGCGCACAGCCAGGGTGGCGGCCTCAACGTGCCCTGGGCAACGTGAGTGCTGCGCGAGGCTGCTGCCCATGCCGGAAGCTGACACATCTGCGCACCAGCATCTTCTGGCCGTCGGCTCGCAGAAAGGTGGCGTCGTTCGTCGGCCTCGCGCCTGACTGTGAGTCTTGGTGATGGGAGAAGCGCAGCTGGTCATTGACCACTCTCGTCTCACAGTCGGTGGCACCACGCTGCTTCCTCCGGTCGGCTGTGCCGCCGAGACCATTGCGTCGCTCGGACAGGGCTGCTCGGCTGCGATTCTGCAGCAGGTGAGCGCTGGCCGCAAAGCGGCCTGTCCGCCGTGCTGACACGATGCGCACAGGACTCGACCAGCAATTACCTCAAGGCGCAGCGAAAGATCTTCCCGAGGGCCATCGTCCCGTGAGTCTCTGAGCAAGAGGCGTGTCACGATGTCGCTGACACCGCTGCCACGCCAGCACGACGGCCTTCTTCACGCGCACCGACGAGATCGTCATCCCGCAGTTCGGCCCGAACCCCTCGTCTGCGCTCGCCGGCAGCGTGCAATTCCCGCTCCAGGACATCTGCGGTCCTCTGGCTGTGCGTTGCACCCATGGCGTCAGGTCTTCTCGCCTGCTGACCTGTGCTGCGCAGATCGCCGACCACCTGAGCATGCTGGCCACGCCGGCTGCGTACTCAATCGTGCTCAACGCCTTTACGAGCGCAGACGGCCGCGCAGACCTGTCCAAGTTCAACAAGGCCGACTGGTGAGCCATGCTGCTCGATCAGCCCACCGACGTCGCTCACGAGCATCCCCTCACAGCTTCAACTTCGAGAACTCCAACATCAACATCAACGACGTGGTGCCCGGCCTGAAGTTCGCCGCCAACCTGCTCGGCGCCGTCAGCACGTCGGGCGGCGTGTACGTGAAGCGCGAGCCGCCGCTGAAGCAGTGTGAGTCAAGTCTGCCAGACTGTGTAGCCGTCTTGCTGACTTGCGCACCGACAGACGTCTGCGATGCCGGCGCGGCCACCAAGTGCGGCTAGACCTGCAGTGCTGCTCTTCCATTCTGCCTTCTCGGCCCTCTGTGCTGCCTTCTTCGCGCGGACATGTCCCTTGCCTTCTTGCACTGCTGCGCCGCAAGGCTGCCGCGCCTCGAGCCACTGCCTTAATCTACGGCTACTCTCCTCTCTCGCCGGCGGTGCTGCTGCGGAGGCGTGCGTCGCTCAGCCGCAGGACGGCGCTGCTCCTGCTGCTGTCTCGGGCAATGCGCGTGCAGAACGCGGGGTAAGGGTGCAGCGCGGCACCTGCGGCTGGTGCTGGTCTCAGCGAGGACTGCTGGTCCAAGCGCCGGACAGAGCAGCACCGGCAGCGATGCCGGCTGGGACTTGGAGGGCGGGGAGTCGGCGGCGGGCGCTGCGCTGGCTCGGGCACGGGCTTGCCGTCGCGGTCTCATCCGCCGGCAGCGCCCAGCAGCTGCGCCTCAAGTCCGCACGGCCTCCGCTGCAGCTGCAGCTCTGCAGATGCAGCAGCCGTGCAGCGGAAGGCGACTGCGCTGCGCTGCCGGGGGCGGGGAGCGCGTGATCTGCGGCCAGCGGCGGAGCGTCCACTCGAGTGAAAGCCGAGCGGCCGCTGCGAGATCGACGAAGCCTTCCTGCACCGGCTGCCTGCCGCCGCCGGCCAACGTCGCAACGGCATGAGGGCCAGCCACGCTGCTCGACCAGCAGACAGGTCGACCTTGCCGCGGCCGCCGCCGGCTGCGGGAGAGAGCATATTCGCGAGACAGCGACCGCGGCGGGGGCCGTTGCGCAGCCGGACGCGGCGAGGCGGGTGGAATGGCCGAGGCGGACGCTGGTGCTGCGCTGCGCTGCACCCTGCCGCCCGCCTGCCGGCGCGCACCGCACACTGGGCGGCCGCCGGAGCGGGCAGGCCGCATGAGCGCCAGACACGATCTGCACAGCGTGCAGCTGACGTGCGAGAGACAGGGCAAGTGCGTGGCACAGGGCAAGTGCGTGGCACGGCACGGCGAGGAGCGAGTCTTGTTGCTGCGTGCGCAGATGGAGGTAGCGTGCCTGCCGCAGCACCAGAGCTCGAGTGCCCTGCATGCAGGCACCGTCGGCCTCGCAGACTGGCCGCGCGCTGCGAGGGCGGCCAAGCACAGCTGCTGTGCAGCAAAGCAGCGCTCGAGGCAAGCTTGCTGGTGCTGCTCCCGCGCCTTATGCTTCGCTCTCGCCGGCCGCGCGCGTGGGTGCAGTGCGGCAGCAGCCCCCAGGCGTGCAGCGCATCTCGGCCCACTCGCCTTCCCCGCGCTGCCGCTCCACGCGCGCCCTCGCCGCTCGCCGCCGCCGCTCGCCGCCGCCGCTCCTCGCTCTCGCTCGTCCAGCTGCGCCTTGCTCTCGACCCGCACCACCTCTACCATTCCCTAGCCAGCGCCGGCTCCGTCTCGCGGGCGGCGCCGTCCACAGACTCCCTCCAGCGCCCGCTGCGCCGCCCCGTCGCCGAGCTTCCGGCGCGCCCCGCCCGTGCGGCGCACTTTACGCTGCTGCGCCGCTGCAGCGGATCCATTTGCCTCGTCTCTAGCGCCCCTGTCGTGTGCTGCCGCGCACCCTCCTCTCCTCTCGCTCCACCGCTCCGGGTCCGTCTCGTGCGCCGCCTTCCGCACCGATCCTGCGGGGGCCCTGCATTCAAATTGCCGCCCAGCTGCGCGCACCCCCGTGCCTTGCGCTCCGCAGCCGCACGGCCGTGACTGGGCGCCGCAGCGGCCCGGGCCTGGCCGCTGCACCTCAGCCCCTGCTGGAGCCAGCTCGCGCTGGCCGTCCGGCGCCATGACGGCCGCCGTCGCACGCGCGCTCCTGCTTCTCTACCTCTCCGCTCCAGCAATAGCCTCGGGCGTGGCCGACTCGCACGCGCCTCCTCCTATCTCGCCCGCCGCCGGCGCGGCCTCGACGTCCAGCGGCCCGCTCAGTGCGCTGCTCTCGCCCTCTGGCTCTCGCCTCTACGGCGGTGGCAGCACGCTGCTCTCGCGCCTGCTTCCTCCGCCGGACCAGCCACGGCCGTTCTGGGTGGCCGTGGCGCGCGCTCGCTCGTGGGCCGCCAGTGCCTCGCCGCCGGCGCCGGCTGCGTCCATGGAGACAGGTGTGCCTCTTGCGGCGCCGGCGCGGAGCTTTGTGCAAGCCTTGCTGCAGTATGTCGGTCACCTGCTGGGCCTGCTCCTGCGCGGGCTGTGGTACTGGTACAGGGCGATGTGGAGAACGTGGACCGCAACGATCCTGCTTGCTGCGCCAGGTGAGTGCGCGGAGAAGCGCAGTGCTGCTCGGCGGTGCGGCTGCTGAATGCGCTGCTTTCGTCACAGTGACCATCGTTACGCTCGCATTCCTCTACATCTCCGTGTCGGCGGGCTCTTCACGCCAAATTGACTCGCTCTACGAGTTCAACGAGGGCCTCGCTGATGTCGACCCTGCCGAGCTGGAGCTCGACTCGGACGAGTACGAGTTTGAGGAGGACTCTGAGGCCGAAGTGCCCGAGGGCTCGACTGCTGGGCGTCCGCTGCGACGAGCATTCAACCTTGTTGCATCGCACCGGCGGCAGGGCAGTCGCGACAGCAGCCACGTTGTGCGCAAGCGCAGCAGCCTCGTGCGCATCACGAGCAAGGACCCGCGCTCGCGCTTGTGCGTCTCCCCGATCCAACTCGAGCTCGACGAGCGAGGGCGCCGTGCCAAGGCAGAGATGGGCTCGATGCACCGGGATGTGGACGGGACGCCGACGCGCAAGCGTCGCGAGAGCGGCCGTCTCACGTCGCCTGTCCTGTCTGCGCCTTCTGCTGAGGACGGCGGCGCGGCTGCCAGTCTCGACGCTGCTGCGGGCGCTGAGTCTAGTCCTGGCAGCGAACCCGCAGTAGAGGATGGCGAGTCGGCTTCCCTCTCGTCGCTCTCATCGGGCTACTCCACATCGTCCGGCTCCTTCGTCTCCCTGCAGGACGCTGCGAGCACCTTCGAGGAAGTGGCCTTCCGCAGCGCTGCCATGCGCCTCGTCCGGCGTCCGGCACCTGAGGGTCCGCCTTCCATCCTCAAGCGTCTGCCCGAGGTGTTCGCCGGCGTGCCGCAGTCCGCCACGGCCACGCCTCCGGGACTCTACCCATCTAGCCAGGGCTCGTTCAACGCCACGAGCGTTCCGTGGCACCAGCAAGGGTCAATAAGAAGCATGGACTCGGCGGCGTGGCCATTTGACGGCTCCTCTTCGTCATCGTACGTCGACTCGCCAGCACTCGGTGGCGCCTCGTCCACCACTTCCAGCCTGCCTCCCGGCGCAGCGCATTCGCAGGACTCGTCGCTTGCTCAGCCGGCAGTGCCACGGCTCGGCAGTATGACGCCTGCGCAGGTGCGCGCGGCTTGGCCGGGCAGCCGGCGACGCAAGTCGATCAAGCTCACCGAGCCTGACTGGACGCTTCACGCCGAAGCTCACGACCGTGCGCGCGAGCGACTCGAGACGGCAGCGCAGGTGGCAGCGCACCCGGACCCTGAGAGTCTGAAGTACGTGCCGCCAAGGCGCTTCGAGACCGACGAGCGCTGGGACTCCGGTGCGGCAGGCACGGACGATGACCGTGCCGAGGGAGAGTTCTGGTTCGAGCGCTTTTGCCAAAGCACGGCGGCCGCTGGACGAGACTGGGACTGGCGCAAGCGACGCGCGAGGCGCGCGGCCGAGCGTGCGCGCATGCTCGGCGCCAATGCCTCCACGACCAGTCTGCCGGCGATGGTCGGCGGTGGAACGCCTGGCGAGGAGAAGCCAGCGCTCGCAAACGGCGTCGGCAGAACCGATGTTCAGCTGCAGCAGGACCGCCAGGCGCACGCACGGCGCATGCGCAACCACCAGGAGCAGCTTGCCGGGCCGCTCATCTCCTTCACGTCCGAGGAGCTGCGTCGGCCCAATCTGACCGTGGACGTCAGCAAGCGCATTGACCCGCTGGCGGACGCCGCGCCGGCCTCGCCTCTTGGACGCGCTCTCAAGTCGCTGCGGACGAGCAGCTACAGTGGCGCGAGCCCTTCGCAGAGCGAGAAGCCGGCGTACGGCAGTGCGCTGCTGCAGCACAACGGCTCTGCGCCAATGTCGCCGCCGACGTACACGCCTGCCCTGATCCGCGCCGATAATGATCTGTCTGGCAGCGCGCGCATCCGCCAGAGCATGGGCAAGGCGCTGCGCAAGTCCTCGGTGAGCAGCAACGCCTCGACGTACGAGTCGTCGCACAATCGGCAGCGTCGCCACTCCGAGGCCGACATCCGTCAGTCAGACGCAGCGGACGGCCTTGATGTGCCTGGACGTGGCAGCAGTCTCTCGGCCGCCAAGCAGCGCAACAAGTACAGCAGCCTGGGCCGCAACGCCGGCGCGCAGCTCAAGGCGGAGCGCGAGCGCATCGATTCGAACGCCTCTTGGCTTCTTGCCGAGGCCGCGCTCGTCGCTGCCGACTCGGGCAGCGACGGCGACTCGCCGATCACTCCGCCACCGCCCGCTCAGCCCCAGCATCCACTCGAGAAACAGCGGGCCGGAGTGCTTCGCGGCGCCTTTGGCGTGCAAGCGAGCCCGACTGCGCTGGAGCTTCACCCTTGGGATGGGCACGTCGCGACACTGCCCGCATCGCAGCAGGCATGGAGCAGCGCCGATGCGTACGGCAGTCTGGGCAGCGCGCCGTCTACGCCGTCGCTCTCGCCGCCCGAGAAAGTCACGCAAGGCGCTGGCTTCAGCCCTGCTCCGCCGTCTGCTGGCACCCGTCGCAACGGGTCTAGCAAGCGCACCAGCACGATCAGCAATGATGGCAGTGCGCTCCTAGCACCTCGTACCGCTTCGCTCGGCGTGCAAGCGGCCAACGGTATCGATAAGCGGAACAGCCTCCGCCGGCTCGACAGTCCGGCGGACTCCAGCACGGGCAGCAGCAACTCCGGGCCCACTGCGTCGCCAGCGAGCAAGAGACTCAGCGGAACGGCTGCCAGCGTGGCGGACCCGCCGCACATCGAGATCCGGCCGCCAGTCGGCAGCCGCAAGGCGATCCTGTCGGCCTCGTCGACGGCCTCGGGCGACATGGACCTCGTCGCGCGCACGCGTGGAGCGCGACGGCCGTCGCTGCGCAAGGCCGCCGCCGAAGCCGCCTCGCCTCGTCCGGCACCCATCATGCAACCCGAGCCGGCGCCCTTTGCCATGGCGCAGCGAGCACGCTCGGCGAGCATCAGCTCGAAGAGCTCCAAGAGCAGCGGCAGCAGCTACCCGCGCTCCGAGATGGTGTCTCCGCCAACGGCGCTGCCCGGCACACGGTCAGGCCCACCGCGACCGCCTCGAATGGGCCCAACAAAGGTCAAGGGCCGTGCGGTGCCCGCAGAAGACATCACGCCGCTCTCGTACACCTCCGACTATGCCGCACAGTGGCGCCGCCGCTCGGCCGACGCCTCCATCTCGTCTCCGCCTGCCGAACCCCTGCCTTCCCTGCCCCGCAGCATGCTCTCTGCCTGAGCTGCACAGCGTTATTTCCTAGCCTCGTCACAGGTGTCCGAGCGTCACACCCAGGTCCGCATCGCCTCTATCCTCCTCCGCCCCTCACTCGTCTGTTCCTTGTGCTCCTACTTCGCATACCACTCTCCCGCACTCCTTGTGCCCACACTCATTCGGCTCCGCACTGCTCGGCATGCGCCTGTCACTGCTCTTCGCAGACGGGCTGCTCTCTCTCCGCAATACCAAAATCTGCTCTTCCTGTGACACGGGGTATCATTCGTGACCCGCGGGCAGCATCAGCCGCCACGCCGGGCCTGCTCGCGATGCCGCGCAAAGAAGGCTCGGATAGTGGCCTCATCGACCTCCTGTCCGCTCTCTTGGCACGGCCGCAACACCTGCTCAAAGAGCGCATCGCGCAGGCGTCCGTAGGCCTCCAGCGACTCAAGCATCTGTTCGCGAGGCAGACGCTGCAGCGCCGCCATGCCGCGGTCGTATGAGGACGAGGCGTGCGAGGCACCGCCAACCGAGCCGGCCTCTGATGAGACTTCGCTGCGCGGCGGCGAGTACGTCGCCTCGGACTCGAGCACGTAGGGCAGCGCCTTGAAGCGCGGGATGCACTGCACAACGATGCGATGAGCTGCTGCAAGCGCACAACCGTGATCGGCGCACTCACCTCGGCGCAGCGGCAGATGCGAGACCGGAAATCGTCGGAGAGAAAGATGTCCAGGCGCACGCCATCGACGTTGTCCTGCTCCGGCGCTGCCCAGGCTGGAAGAGGCGGAAGAGTGCACGAGGGGTCTGCTGATGCAACAGCCGACGGTCCAGGCACCGGAGCAGGCTCTGCGGCCTTCGCGCCTGCCTCTTGAGATGCAGAATGAAGCGGCTTCGCTTCCTGTTCAGAGGCTGCTGAAGCCTCGGCAAGGCCCTCATCTCCGTCCAACCGGGCCCTTTTCGATGCTTGTTCTGGCTCGGGCGACGTTAGGGCGTGCTTGGCGCCAGCGCTCAAGTCGTCGGCCGGTGCCGCGGACCGCGCTAGCTCTGTCGCCTCGAGCGCAAGGTCGACATTCGGCTCTAAGCCAAGCACAGTGTTCCCTCTCGCCAGAGGCGTTGGCTTCAAGCGCGCCTTGTCAGCAGGCACCACCGCGCCCCAGCCAGCGGCACCGACGTAGTGCCTCAAGATCTCGTGACTCGGAGCTCGGACGCAGCTGGAACACAGCAGCAGGTCGAAGGACTCGTGCGCGATGAGCGGCAAAGGCGCATCTTCTGCAGGAACGACGTCGATCGGCACGTGGACTGAGGAGGTGGTCGAGGTCTTGACAGGCACTTGCTCCGCGCCGTCTCCTTGAGGAGGCTTCTGCGGGGCACTAGCCTCTGTGCCTACGGCTTCGCTACCCTGTGCCGAGACTGTCCGACCCTCACCTCCCGACTGGGCCGGCTGCGACGTGGTAGAAGGACCCGCGCCGCTCGCAGCTGTGGACGCGGCAGCCGAGCCAGGCGGCGCCAGGCCGCCCAGGAGCGACGTGCAGCTCTCGTGGAACCAGTCCTCGCATGCCAAGCACTGAAACATGGTCTAGCGCTAGACAGTAAGCAGCAGGACATGGCCTGCACAGCGGCGCTCGACGCACCTCGTCTTCAGTCTCAGGATCGTACGTCTCGCCGCGCGCACAGCGGCAGAAGTGGCCGGCAAAGTTGCGCCCGTACGCATTGTCCTCGTTCTCCGTCGCCACGGCCGTCTCCTTTGGCCGCAGGCTGCACGGCGTCGGCATCTCTGGAGCAGCACTGCTGCTGGCACCGGCAGCACGGGTGCGCTGCGACATGGAGAGCGTGCCGCAGTCGCAGCGGAAGGAGCGCTTGGCGAAGAGCTCCACCAGGTCATGCTCTGTGCGCACTGGTCAGTCTGCCGGCCAACGCCGCAAGTCCGCTCCCACTCACCTGCATGACAGCCAACGCTGCACCCAGCGCACACACCTCCGCCGCCGCACGTCGTGCACGCCCACACGGGCTGGCGGATGTAGCCGCGGGCGTGGGTGCAGCCGCCCTTTGTGAAGCTGAAGGGCACGGCCTCGCGCGCCTCGCGCTCCAGTGCCGCCTGGTGCGCCAGCAGGTCGGCGGCGGTGAGGCCGCGCGGCTGCGGCGTGTCAGCAGAAGGCGACATGGCGAGGAGTGGGCCAGGCAGTTGCGGCGAGAGAGGGAGATGAGGGAGAGTCGCACGACTGGCGAGCGGCGCACTCGCACTCCACTTGGCGGCGCGGGCGTCTCGCCGCAGGCACGGCGCCGGTGTGTTGCTTGCGCCGGCCGCCGCGGCGCGTCGCGTGTCGCGTCGAGATGCGCCGCCTCTTCCCCCTCGGCACCGGACCTCGCTGCCCTCCGAGCCCTGCTCCCACATCCCTGGTGCTGGCATCAGCGGTCACGACGCTCACTCAGTTGCAGAGACAAAGGAGACGCCCGGCAGCGCTCATCCGGGCGCCTGCCTCTTATCATCTTCACCCCCGCGGCGAGCAAACAGCCCGCCGCCGGTCCCGCTTCTCCCAGGCACAGAGTGCTTCGCTGCACCTGCTTCGGCGCCAGGGCGCAACGCCGCCATGGGCACTCTGTTCCGGACGAGGGGCGTCTCGCGGCCATCGAGAGCGGGCGCAGTAGCCCCTGCAGGAGCGGGCGCTGCAGGCGGCGAGAGCAGCGGCGACGGCGCTCGTCGATCGTGCGCCCGCCGGCGGGCGTAACCTCCTGTCCGCCCCCCTGAGGAGCGGCGGTTCGCAGGCTCGCACCACATCCGCACCACCTCGCCCTCCTGAGCGGCGCAGCGTGTGGCGTGGATGGGCGTCTCACTCCGCCCTCCAGACGCCCACATACCCCCAGCTCCAGCGCCTTATAACCCGGCCGTCCAGCGCCGCCATGTTGCCTTCCCTCGTCGTGTTTCCCGCTCCGTTGCCCAGTCCGCCACCCGTCTCTGCCGTGATAATGTCCCACCCGTTCAAGCACAGTCCCGCCTCGGAGGCCACCGCCGTCGGCTGGGACGGCGGCCATGCCGGCCACCCGCTCGACAAGAGCGAGTCGCAGAGCGAGGTGCTCACGCTCGACCACTTCAGCGACGAGGAGCAGCGCGCGCTCGTGCGCAAGGCCGACCTGCGCCTCATCCTGCCGATGACCTTCGGCTTTGCGGTGAGTGAGGTGTGCGGGCGGCACCGCGCCTCGTCGTGCTGAGGCCGCTGCACAGATGTCGCTGCTCGACCGAGTCAACCTCGGTGCCGCGTACGTGGCCGGCGCCGGCTACAAGCTGCGCCTGTACAAGGACAATCGCTACACGCTCGTGCTCATTGCTTTCTTCATCCCATACGTCTGCTTCGAGGTGCGTCGCTATTGCGCTTCAGTGGTGGCCGCCTCTCACCTGCGCCCACAGATCCCTGCTGCGCTGCTCTTCCGCCGCGTCGGCGCGCGACTGTGGCTCAGCGGCCTCTGCTTCTGCTGGGGCTGCGTCATGATCGGCCAGGGCTTCGTCACCACATACCAGCAGCTCGCCGTCACGCGAGCGCTCACCGGCCTGTTTGAGGCGTGAGTGCTGCGCCGAGCTCTCCCTCATTCCTGCTCACCCGCCACCTGCTGCAGCGGCTTCCTGCCATGCGCCATTTGGACGATCAGCGGCTTCTATAACCGCCGCGAGATCGGCAAGCGCATGAGCTTCTTCTACCTGGTGCGTGTCGACGCCGTCCTGCCCCCGTGCCATGGCTGACGTCGCGTCGCAGGGCTCGGTCCTGATGGCTGCCTTCAGCAGCATCCTCGCTGCCGCCTTCCATAAGACTCCCGCCACTGGCCGCATCCAGGGCTGGGGCTGGATCTTCGTCTGGTCCGGCCTGCTGACGGTGCTGAGCGCCGTGCCGATTCTCCTCTTCACCAGCGACCTGCACCGCGCGCCGTGGCTGTCGAAGCGCGAGAAGGAGCTCGTGCTTGCTCGCACCGTCGCTGAGCGCGGCGAGGCAGCGGCTGATCCGCTGACCCTGGCCAAGGCTGGCAAGTACCTGTGAGTGTTGCGAGTGAGCGTCAAACGACCCGCGCGCTGACGCCCGGCGAAGGCTCGACCCTATCCTCTGGGGCTACTCGCTCCTCTTCCTGTGCGCTGCCATGCCCACATATGCTCTGGCCTACTTCCTCACCCTCATGTGAGTGAAGCTCTGCCGCTCTCGACCCCTCCCTAGCTCACCTCGCCCCGCAGTATCCGCGACCTGGGCTACAAGGGCGACAAGGCCCTGCTGATGAGCGCGCCGCCGTTTGTCTGCGCCTGCGCGTTTGCCTTCACGGCCAGCTTCGTCGCCGACCGGCTGAACAAGCGTGGCAGCTTCGTCATGCTCGGCAACGCCATCACCATGGCGGGCATGGTCATGCTCAAGGTCGGCAACAGCAAGGTCAAGTACGGCGGCACCTTCCTGGCCGTCATGGGCTCCAGCGTGTGCGTCACGGCGGCGCTCGCATTCCAAGGCAGCAACTGCCCGGCTCCGTCGAAGAAGGGCCTTGCCTCCGCACTGTGAGCTGCCTGTGCCTGTGAGCCCAGACCTGCACTGACACTGTCGCCAGCCTCGTCATGGGCGGCGCATGCGGCGGCATCATCGCCTCGACGACGTTCCGCTCGGCCGACGCGCCGGGCTAAAAGGTTGGCCTGAACGTCACCCTGGCGCTGCAGGTGCGTTGCCTGCTCGACGTGCTGCGTGCCATGCTCATCTCCACCCCGCAGAGCCTCTCCATCACCGTCACGGGCCTGATGATGGTCGTCTTCAGTCGCCGCAACGCGCTGGCCCGCGACTCTGGCCGCGTGTTTGAGAACACGCCCGGCTTCACCTACACGCTGTGATACTCCGCTGCACCATGCACTACCCTATCTGTAGCTTGCGATATGCCTGCTGATATCCATCTATCCTGCCTTGCGCTGTCGTGGTGGGGAGGTGCGAGGCCGGCGGCCAGGGAGACGCGCCGTGGCCGAGGGGCGGCGCCGCGCCCTCGCCCGCTCGCTCGGTGCAGCATGCAGCGGCCGGCACCAGAGCAGTGTCCGCCGCCCGCCAGCTGCGTGCCTGACACCGCGCAGAGAGGAGCGCCGCCGCCGTGCCGCCGCCGCGCCGCGTAAGGCATATAAGCCGGCCGGCGCCGCGCCGCGCGCCGCACGCTCCCCGCACACAGCCGCTCAGCCAGCGCCGCGCCCGCCTGCCAACGCCGCGTCCCGCGAATTCCGCCGCCAGGGCCCTCAGGTCAAGCTCAAACTCACTCCGCTGCGCACGGCCCCGGCCCCTTCGCCGCACGCGCCCCTCTCGAGGCACTGCCTCGCTGCGCTGCAGCACAAGAGCTGGTACATCGCGCAGCTCGCAGTCTCCGCGTGGGCTTGCCGTCGCCGGCATGTCCGACGACGAGAACTTCGGGCCGGCGCTCGGCGGCAGCAGCGGCGCCGACGACGAGCTCAGCCTGCCGCGCGCCACGGTGCAGAAGCTCATCGCCGGTGCGTCGCTTGGCTCCCCGTGCTAAGGCCGTGCACATGCTGACTGTGTCCGTGCGCAGAGCTCATGCCCTCGGAGATGAGCTGCGCCAAGGAGACGCGCGACCTCATCATCGACTGCTGCGTCGGTGAGCATGACATGAGCGGCTCGAGCATGGCCAATGCTGACACTGCCGCAGAGTTTGTGCATCTGCTATCTTCGGAGGCCAACGACGTGTGCGAGAAGGGCAGCAAGAAGACGATCGCGCCGGAGCACGTCGTGACCGCGCTGAAGGTGAGCATGCTTGAGCCGGGCAGGAGCTGAAGCGACGCTGACAGCCTGCCCCAGGATCTCGGCTTCGAGGCTTACACGACGGAGGTGGAGGATGTGCTGAAGGAGCACAAGGTGCAGCAGAAGGTGAGCGTCCTTCGCTCTGCTGGCTTGCGAGCATCGCTGACCCTCGCCCACAGGACCGCGAGCGGAAAACGACGCGCATGGAAGACTCGGGCCTTTCGCTCGAGGAGCTCGAGCGGCAACAGCAGCTCCTCTTCGCCGCCAGCGCCGCACGCTACGACCCGTCGGCGTCGGCAAGCTGATCCCGTCGCATGTCCTGTGGCACATCTCGGCTCGAGGTGCTGCCTGTGTACATAGCCCCACTGCGTCACCTGCCACTCTCCTCTGTATTCTAAGGCCGCTCCTAATCGCAAGGCCTCGCAGCGCTGTCTCACCGCCACTCGTGTCATTGCAAGTGCACGCCCTTCAGCAGCTGCAGCCGCTGTGGCAGGGTGCGCAGCAGCTCCTCGTCGACATTGGCGATGCTGACGCGCAGGCGCTGCGCCGCATCTTCTGTACTCCCTCGAGGCGAGAAGAAGGCGCCAGGCAGAACGACGACGCCGACGCGCGCCGCCAGCTGCTCGGCTACGACCTCGCTCGGAGTGCCGCTCCAGGGATGCGCCACGTACGCATAGTATGCGCCGGCGCTCTCGACGCGCCAGCCGAGCTCCTCAAGTGGCCGCATCAGCTCGTAGAAGAGCGTGCGCCGCTCGGCCAGCTCGCGCGCCTTGTTGAGCCGCCAGGAGACGTGTTCGGGCGCCTGCATCGCCCACGCCACGGCACGCTGCGTGTCGGTGCGCGGCGGACAGATCTGCAGATTGTCGAGCGCCTTGGCGACGGGGCCAAACTCGCCCTCGGCGGCGAGCAATTCGGGCGAGGCGATCAGCGCGCCCAGACGGTGGCCCGGGATGGCGTACGCCTTCGAGTAGCTGTGAATGTGCATGAGGGCTGGCTCATGGTCAGCATCGGACGTCTCTGCTTCTTGCGCATCTCGTCTCACTGTCACGCCAGTCAGCGTCCTCGAAGAGTCCGTGCGGGCGAGCAGGCTCCTTCGCGTCGTCCAGGAGGAAGTCTCGGTATCTGCGCATGCGTCCTGTCAGCCGAGATCGATCGGTCAGTCGGCAAGCACGCACGTCTCGTCGAGAATGAGCGCAATGCTCTCCTCGCGGCACAACGACGCGAACTCGCGCAGGAGCTCGGGCGGATAGATGGCGCCTGTCGGATTGTTCGGCGTGACGAGCGCGAGGGCGCGGATCGCCGGCGCGCTGTCAGAGCGCCTGGAAGCAAGCAACTTGCGCAGAGCGGCTGGAGACGGCAGATAGGAGGGCGCCTCTGTCGGCAGCGGCACGGCATGTACACCCAGGGACGAGAGCGTCATCTCGTGGTTGAAGTACTGTAGAGAGGGAGAAGGCGGAGCGAGTATGTGTGAGCTCCGCATGGGCGAGCATCTCGTGACAAGCGGCTTGAGGACCAGAGTCTCTGCATGTCCCACAAGTCTCCGTCGATGGACGCAGCAGCACTACTCACCCACGGCGTCGGCAGCACGACAGCATCGCCCCTCCGCGCGACGGCCTGGAAGGCCACCGCCGCTGCCAGGTTCGCGCCGGCCGTGATGGCCACGTCGTCCTCCGCACAGTCGCCGCCGTATCGCTGCCGCACGTCGGCCGCCAGAGCCTTGCGCAACTCAGGCGCACCAAAGACGCCGCCGTAGCCAGCCGCTGCCGCCGGCTCGCGTCCAGCCTCTTGCTGCATGCGCGCCAGCAGTGCCTCGCTCGGCAGGTGTCCGGGCACGCCCTGGGCGAGATTGAGCAGCGGCAGCTCGCGCGCCTCGGCGTGCGTCGCCTTGCCGGGAAAGGTGGCCGCCCAGGCGCGCGCCAGCGGCACGGGCGGCGCGGCTGTGGCTGCTAGATCGGCATTGAGCGTATATGCGGGCATCGTGGTGAGCGGCGAAGGCTGTGGTCGAGAAGGCGAGCGGACAGAGAGGCATCTCGGAGCACGGGCATGGTCCGTGCGTTCTCGCCCCCGCATGACCAATCACGTGCCTCGGCCTCGTCATGTCGCTCCCCAGTCCCTCCACCTCGCCTGCTCTCCCACCACCACCACCCATAGTCCTAGCCAAAGATGATGCAGCCCACAACAGCGCCCACGCACCCGCCGAAGGACGACCCCATCTCGCCCGAGGAGCTGGCCAAGCACGACGGCACGGATGAGAATGTGGCCGTCTGGGTTTGCATCAAGGGTGCGTCTTGCTGAGCTGCGGGCGGCGCAACGAGCAGGCAGGGGCGGGACACGAGAGCTGCGGGCGGTATGGTGAAGATGTGGACAGGGAGATGGTATGGAGATGGGCAAGTAGGGCGAGAAGCGACGGGACGGGAGCCGGAGAGCATGCCAGAGCAGCGTGGGCGGCAGGAGCAAACAATGCATGGCCACGGCTCGCTGCTGCATGAAGGAGAGGATTGCCAACAGGCGACCTCACTGCTGCCTACTTGGCGCTGCACACGCCTCGTACCAGATGCACATCTTGTCCGCGCCCTTGTCAGCGCATGAGCAGCGGCGGCGGCGGCGGCGGCTCGCGAGGCAGGCTGAGCGCCAGGCCGCTGCGTCGATGCTCGCGGCCTGGACTTGAGAGAGGTGCGGGCGTCTCTGAGTGCTCTCTTGCCGCGTCGCTCTAGCCGGACGTGTACCGTCGAATGTCGCAGCATGCCATGAAGAGCTGCGCTCTGGCGCCTTGCTGACTCTCGTCCCTCGTCTGCGCTGCTACACAGGACACGTCTTTGATGTGTGAGTCCCTACACCCTTGACTTGTGCGCAATGGTCTTGCTGACAAAGTGCGGACCTCAGCTCCGAGAAGGTCCGTCTTTAGGCTCTCCTTGCCTTCTCGAGAGACCTTTAAGCTGACGACTCTTCACAGCGCGAGATGTACGCACCGGGCAAGGGCTACTGTGCGTCTCGTTGCGCCCCTTTTCTGCCTCCATGCGCTATGCTGATCCCGCCACGCATCGCACAGCCATCTTCGCCGGCAAGGACGCCTCGCGCGGCCTCGGCATGAGCTCGCTCAAGCCCGAGGACGCCGTGAGCGACTACTCGACGCTGGATGACAAGCAGATGTGCATCGTGCCTTGCGTGCGAGCGTATGAGGCTGTGCTGACTGCTCTGTGAGATGTGCAGGAAGGTGCTCGACGACTGGCTCGCTTACTACGCCAAGCGCGTGAGTCAGAGCATGCTGAGCTGCCTCTGCGGTGCTGACAGCTGACGCTCCGCCGGCAGTACAACCAGGTCGGCAAGCTCACCAGCTCGTGATATCCTCGCCTGCCCTGTCGCTCCAGCTCGCACCACATGCCACGCCTCGATATTTGGGTGATGTCTAAGCAACGAGGCATTTTCATTCTCGGCCACGAACAGGGACGCTGGCGCGAGGCGATGTCGGAACGGGACAGTGAGCCAGGAAGTGGGATACACGGGTAGAGGGGAAGAGAGAGGGGAACTAAGAGAGGGTCGTACGTGCGTGTGGAGTGAAATGCGTGGGTTAGATCGAGGCAAGGGTGTCAAAGGTGTCTTTGACGCGCCGATGAGACGAGAGCGTGGCGCGTCGATGGACGTGGGGAAGGGGTCGTTGCGTGAAGGAAGAGGCAGCATTAGACGTCGGCAAGACAGGCGTCGATCTGCTGGTTGATGAAGGCCTTCTTCTCGGCAATCGACGCCTGGTAGCGCGCCTCGAGCTGCTCGCGCAGCTTCTTCTTCGTCACCGTCTGCAGGTCTGACTCGGCGATGACTGTAGCAAGGAAAGTCAGCAACGGCGAGACGTAGTATGGAAGACAGGCCACTCACGCTGCCGGATGTCGCGCGCGATCACCTCGTCGGACGGCAGTTGCCCAGGCGTGCGCACGTCGATGAGCGCCGCGTCGTTCGACGTGTAGCTGCTCATGCGGTTCGCCGGCGTCGCTGCTCCGCCCGCAGCGGCAGCCATGCCGTACTGCGACGGTGCCGGTGCGCCGTACATGCTCGGCGTGCCGCCGAACTGGCCGGACGGGAAGCCCTGGCCCATGCCGCCGCCGTACATGGATGGCGTCGAGGGGTACTGCGGCATGAAGCCGCCCGAAGGCGCGCCGTACATGCTCATCGCCGCCGGCGTGCCGTAGCCGGAGCCGGGCATGCCGCCCATGCCGCCGAGGCTGTACGTGCTTTGCCGTGCCGGGTCGTTGAGCGCGGCGGGGAAGTAGCCGCCGATCTGCGAGCCCGAGGCCGGCACGGCGCCGCTGGGCGTGATGCCGTACTGCGAGGGCGTGGGGCTGTGCTGGAAGCTCGGCGAGTTGGCCAGCAGCACGGGCTGCCCGTACAGGCTGGGCGTGTACTGCGAGCCCATCTGCGACGCGGCGCGCGACTTGTTCTCGGCGCGTGCTGCCTCGATGATGCTGCCGATGGAGCGCGCAGAGTTGCGCTCCCACAGCTCGTTCTCGTAGTCGGCCCATGTCTGCAGCGGGATGGACGACGGGTCGAAGACGCCCTCGTCGTGCAGCACGACCTTCTTGCCCGACTCGCCGACGACGACGCGCGTCGAGCCCCACGAGAAGTCCTACGGAGCGGAATGAGCGAGCGTTGCGGCAAGGGGTGACGCAGAGTACTCACATCCATGTGCCAGAAGGAGTAGAGCGGCAGGAAGAAGGCCCAGATCGGCGTCTGCGAGATGATGCGTCAGCCACGAATCGAGGGCTACGCAGGCGAGGCACGCACCGCCAGCAGGTACAGCAGCATCCAGATGATCATCTCGAACTTGCGGTTCAGCAGGAAGATGATGGCCTGCAGGCCGTAGATGGCCGCGAGCATGATCAGACTCGTTGTCGGCACAGTGCCCGAGTCGGTGGCGACGAGCACGATGAGGTAGATGATGTACACGATCGTGACGGGCCTGGAAGCGAAGCGTCAGCGCGTGCCAGGTCTGTGTGCTCGCGGGCGACTCACGCAATGACGGTCGAGAGCAAGTCGATGAAGACGATGAAGCGCATCGAGAACTGTCGGGAGCGTGTCAGCCAGTGTGCCGCGCCTCTGGACCGCTACTACGCACGAGACAGAAGCCGCACAGGCCCGAGCTGGTCGTCAGTTCGAGCAGGTTGTGCACCGTCGAGTTGATCCAGCGGCGCCGCTGCGAGAGCAGCACGCCCCAGTCCTCGGGCGCCGTCGTCTTTGCCTTTGCGTCGCGCACGAAGATCGTCTTGTAGTTGCCGAAGTGCTTGAGCACGAGCGTCGTCAAGTAGCGGTCCTCGCCCAGGTGCAGGAGATTCTTGGTGTGCAGCGTGTCGACGCGGTTCTCGGCATAGGCGTCCACGACGGCGTTGGCGATGAAGAGCGGCCGGTGCGTGTCGGGCGTGCGCACGCGGAACATGGAGAAGCAGCCGGGCAGACACGTGACGGAGCCAAAGAGACTCTCGAACGCCTTGGCGAGGTAGTGCGAGATGAAGTACTCGTACACCTGCAGCATGGTGATGAACGACTTCTTCGAGTTGCTCAGCGCCGTCTCGCCGCAGAGGCCGATGACCTTCTTGTCGTTGGTGAAGGCCGAGATGAAGCGGTTGAGCGAGTAGGCCTCGACCTCGGTGTCGGCGTCGATCTGCAGGATGTACTCGTAGAACGACGGGTTGACGCCGATGACGTTCTTGATCTGGTGGTACACCTCGAGCTCCATGGGGTTCATCGGGAGGCCGAAGTGCACCTTGTTCAGGAAGCGCATGAGGACGAGCTGCGAGTCACGCTTGCCGCGGTTGCCCGGGCGCTGCCGCTCCGTCGGCTTGCCGCACTTGACGACGACGACGTAGGGCACGACGTGGCCGGCGTGCTCGTACAGGCCGCTGTACACCTTGGCCATGTTGTGCTGCTTGTTGCCCTCGCCGAGCGAGAGGAAGCTGAGCGCCTCGGGCTCCAGGTTCGGGTCGGCGCCGAGGATGTCGAGCACGATGCGCGGCGTCGGGCGGTCGTTGCCCGCGCCCACGATGTTGCCGTCGCAGATGATGAAGAGCAGCTTGCGCTTGTCGTCGTACTTGAGCGCCGCAATCGAGTCGATCGTCTTGCGCATCGACTCGTCGCCCTCGGTGTAGCACGGCACCTGGCACAGCACAAACTTGTCGTGGTCCTCGGGCTTGCGCACGCGGCTGAACTGCAGCGCCGCAAGGAACTTGAAGCCGATGATCGAGATCATGAAGATGGACAGCGCCAGGAGCAGGTAGCGCGCAAACTGGCAGCGCGGCGAGTTGCGCGAGTCCGTCTTGCCGATGAAGAACAGGTTGCGCATGCACACGCGCTGCCGGTCGAGCACGTCGTTGCCGATGTTGAGGCGGTCCAGCGACGCGGTAATGTCCTTGCCCGGGTTCTGCACGATGAGGTCCATGAGCACGTTGCTCATGAACGCGCGGTTCACGCCGGCCGGCGCGGCGCTGCCGTCAGGCGCGTCGAGCACGCCCTGGCGGCCCTGAGCAATGTACTCGGTGAAGTCGTACACGCCGCTGCGGTACACGACAATGGCGCGGCCCTTGTCGAGTAGGTCCTGGATGCCGTCGGGCGTGTAGCCCATGAAGCCGACGCGGAAGTTGCTGCGCATGATGATCATCGACTCGTAGTACCAGTCGGGGCGCGGGTCAGACGTAATGGAGCGGAAGTCGTGGTACTTGGCGTTGGGGAAGCTCGTCGTGTTGGCGCCCGAGAGCTGTACGTACGGGCTGACGCTGCCGTCGACGCCGTTGCAGAGCGCGTTGACCTGCACGGGGAAGAGGTTCGTCGCGTCCTCGCCGGCGTACGCCTCGAGCACCTTGTCGGCGACGACACTGATCTGGTTGCGGTGGAACGCGACAATGTTGTTGAGGTTGAACACCTCGCCGCGGATGCTGGTGAACGAGTCGTCGCCGCCCTTGTGGTTGCTGAACTCGTTGGCCGAGTAGACGTGCTCCTTGGGGCAGATGATGTTGCCGAGGAACGCAATGACGAAGATGGCGGCGGCGCAGATGAACCAGATGATCATGTTGATCGCAAGCTTCTCGCGCCACGCCATGCGGATGTCGGGCCGCTTGAGGCCGCCGCACCACGAGAGCAGCGGGCTCGGCACCCACCATGTGAGCAGCCACGTGAAGCGCACCCAGTTCTTGCGCGCCGACGTCGTGCGGATCTCCTCGCGCACGATGCCCGCATCGACAGGCGCCGTGAAGCCGGGCGACGCGCCGCCCTTCTCGTTGACGTCGGCGAACATGTTGCGCGACGGCGCGTAGGCCTCAGAGCCCATGATCGACGGCGCCGCAAAGCTCTGCGCCGTGTAGCTGCGCCGCGGGCCGAGGCCCGTCATGTCCGAGTAGGCGCTCTTGGCGTCGTCCATGCTGTCCTCGCGCCCGGGCGTGCCGCCGTGGCCCACGAGAGGCAGCGCAGCAGTGCTGCGCTCCTGGAACGGGTTGCCGTACGTGCCCACGAGGCCCGGGCTGCCGGGCGCCGTGTTGCTCTGCTCCTCCAGGACGCCGAGCGGCGAAAAGGGGTCGGACTCGCCACGCGCGGCGGCGTCGGCGTCCAGCAGCGCCTTGCGCTCGTTGGCGCGCACCTCCTCGGGGTCGGCCGCGCGCAGCTCGTCCTCGAGCTCGCGGAACGCCGAGTGCGAGAGGAACACCTTGACGCGGCCAGACGCGGCCTCAGCTTCGCTCCAGCCCATGACCTCCTTGACAGCCGAGAACTTCTGCTTTGCCTCGCCGCCCGTGGCGCCGTGCAGCGTGGCGGCGGCGAGCGAAGGCACGTCGGCGTAGCGCTCGCAGAACTCTTCGCACGTCATGTTCACGCTGTACTCGTTGAGCAGCTTGCGCGCCATCTCGACAATGCCAAACGTCTTGATCTGCTGCTTGACAACGCGCGCCTCGAACTGGTTTGGCAGCTGGTTGTCGTTTGGCCGCAGGCACACGACGAACCACGGCTTGGTGTCGTCGAGCGTCTCAAAGAGCGTGTCGAGCGCGCCGCGGAACTCGCCGGCGACACAGTGGATGCTGGCCTTCTTGCTGCTGCCGCCAGCACCGGCCTCCTGCGCCGCATCATCATCAGAGTCGTCCTCGTCGGCTGCGCCACCCGGCGCCAGGTTGCCGCCGCGGCGCTGCGTGCCGGTGCGCCGGATCGTGCCGCCGCTGCGGCCGCTCGGCTTGCGCATCGACGGCTGGCGCATCGGCTTGACGGACTGCTGCGCGCTGACGATCGTCTGCTCGCTCTTGGGGTGCGCCTGCGTGGCGAGGGCGCGCGTCATGAAGAGGCCGCGCACGAAGGCCAGGCTCGAGCCGGCGCTCTGCGCGCCCGGCACGTCGGCGGCGCTCTTGCCCGGCTCGCTGTGCTGGCCGCGCAGCAGCGAGACAAAGTCGGGGCTGACGATCTCCGAGTTGCGCTCCAGCAGGCCCTCGGACGAGTACGTGACCGGGCCGGCAAAGTGGCTGATCGTGAAAGTGCTGTAGCCGCTGCGGTCGACGGGGCCGACCTTGAACGAGGGGTGGTTGCCCCAGCGCTTGCCGAACGCCTCGACCATCGTCTGGTCCGTCTTCTTGGGCATGCGGCGCGCCTGGTCGTCCATGATGTGCACGAGGCCGCCGGGCTGGTTCGTCAGCAGGCGCATGCACTCGGCGTTGTCAAAGAAGGCCACGTCGGGGCTCAGGTAGCTGATCTGCTCGTCCGCGTACTCGTCGCGGTTGCGCTCGAAGACGCTGCGCAGCATGTAGCGGTGCAGCGACTCGCAGGCGAAATTTATGCAGAACTGGTCGAGCGAGTTGCCGCGCGGCTGGTTCTGGAAGCCCGGCAGGTCGAAGACGCCGATGAACGAGTCGAAGTCGTCGCGGCAGAGCTTCTCGTTGATGTGCTCGTTGAGCCAGGCAAAGAGAAGCGAGTAGAGCGACTTGGCCAGCTCGTCGCGGTTCGCCGCCGCGCCGTCGGCGTCGAGCAGAATCGTGCAGACCTCCGACTTGATCATCTTGGTCTTGTACGTCAGCACCTCCTCGAGCTCCTTGGCCGCGACGCCGAGGAAGTCGGCGACGACCTGCAGCACGTCGGGATTGCGGATCGACGCCGAGTCCTGCGTGCGGTGGCGGTCCTGGAAGAACTCGAGGTTGCCGAGGTGCAGGATGGCCGCCAGCACCTGGCAGATCGACGCGACGTGGCGCTTCGAGAGGCCGACGTTCTTGAACGCCTGCTTCAGGCGGTTGAAGCGCGCCGCGTCTTCCCGCACGTCGTCGCGGTGCCCGCGCTGCGAGCCGAGGTAGCGGAACGAGGCGGCATCGCTGATGTGCAGGAACTCCTTCTCCTCGTCGCTGGCGCCCGCGACGAGGTAGTGGAAGACGTGGAAGTTGCGCTCGCTGCCGGCAGAGCTGACGACGCGGTTGCGCTCGAGGTAGTAGTCAAGCGTCTTGGCACCCACGATGCGCCCGCTCTCGCTGAACTGCAGCTCCGTGTACTTGCCGAAGCGCGAGGCGTTGGCATTCTCGAGCGTGCGCGAGTTGCCGAGCGACTCGAGGATGTACTCGCCCGACGGGATCTGCGACGCCAGCTTCGAGCCCTTCTTGCCCGGCGCCGGCGCGCTGAGGTCGACGAGCGTGCGCACGGCCAGCCGCCGGAGCTCAGTCTTGCCGGACGAGGTCTCGCCGCTAGAGGGTCGTGTCAGCACAGCGCACGCAGATGGAAATGACAGCGCAACTGCAGCAGATGAGACAGTCGGCTGCGGCAGAGACTGCCCGCTGCGTAGCCAGCGAGGACCCGCGCCGCGCTTCCGTGCTTGGCCAGCCGTCTGCACCGCCGCAGGGTCGCCCTGCCTCCGCCACGCCACTACTCACGCAAGCAAGATGCTCTGGTCCTGACCCGTGCGGCGCATGTAGAAGTACGCATCACACGCCGTGCCGAAGATGTGCGGCGGCAAGCTGCGCAGGCGGTTCTGCTTGCTCGTCTCGCGGTAGTCGCGCGTGTAGTCGCGCATCGCATCGTCGCTGTTGCGGTTGCCCGGCGCGGCGAACGGGTTGACGCTGACGAGCACCGAGTCGCTGAGGCGCGTGTACGGCAGCGCCGAGAAGAAGCGGTCCCGGAGCACGCCGAAGATGCTGTCGGCCGTGATGCTGCCGAGCTCGGCGAGCACGGCCACATCCTCGGCCGCGGGCTGCGAGCGCGACGCCATGCTGGGCAGGGTCGGGCTCCGAAGAGCGTGCGTAGCGGAGAGGCGCTACGGATGAGAAGTGCGGCGCAGAGAGAAGCAGAGAGAGTGGCAGGTGGACGTCAGAGAGCGAGGTGTACGCCACGTGAGGCCGAGGAGGAGCGAGCGTCGGGAGAGGCGAGGCCGGCGAGCAGGACAGGCGGGCCAGGTGCGCAGGCTCAGTGAGCGAGAGCGGTGCAGTCGAGTCTGCTTGCGCTGCGCTCGAGTGATGCCTTGAGAGGGCGTGGTTGGGGGCGGGATGGAGAGGGAGAGGTGGATGGGATAGGAGGCTGCACAGCGCACCGCAGGCCGGCAGCAGAGGCAGCAGCAGCAGAGGCGGCTGGGCCGAGCCGCGCCGCGCGAAACGAAACGCGCGGCAGCGGGCGAGGCTGGCACGCCGCGCTCCTGCGCCCGGCGGCTGCGAGCTGCAAGCTGCGCTCGCCTTGCATCTCGCGTCTCGCTCGCGCCGCGGCACGGCCGCAGCTCTGCAGCGCCGTGCAGCACATCGAACGGTGGCGCTAGCGCCGCCAGGGTGCAGCAGAAAGCTCACCGCCGGTCAGCAGACGTGAGAGAGGCGTGACAGGCGCTCGGGCTTGCCGGCGGCCACGCCCGCTGCTGCCGCTGAGCTGGCTCGCAGCTCTCCGAAGCACCCCTCGCCAAGCCTCGAGCCTGCCAGCGAGCGTCACGGCATGGCGGCGTCGGCGGCTCGCGAGGTCAGGCGACAGGGGACAGCGCTCACAGCCTCACCGCCGGACGCCGCCGCACAAAAGTCAAGGGGCGGACGGAACTCCGACGCCGCGGCGTTGCTCGCAGCAGGGCTCGTCCCGATCTCGCGCAGGCGCGCGAGGCCATGTGACACGCGCCCGCCGTGTGTGTGACGCTTGACGGCGACGTGCTGCCACGCAGCGCATGCTGCTCGTCTGCGCCATGGTTGTGCGAAAGAATGTGCTCGTCGTCGGCGATGCTGCAAACACTCGAGCATCGGCCTTTGCCGAGAGAGCGAGGCGGCGAGCATCGCGCAGGCTCGCGGCGCGCCGGCTGAGGCGCTAGGATGCACCTCCGCGCCGACGCTGGCGCGCGCCCAAGGCCATGGGCATGCTTCAGCCGTGATGCGTGCATGCGTGGCTCACTAACACGCTGCTGCTGCACAGCATGTGTCTCCATCTGGATGCTGGTCGGCGAGGTCAAGGGGCGTCTGTGAGGCCGGAGAGGGGTCGAGGCCGCGCGGCACGTGATTGCTCCACACCCCGCGGAGTGCGCTCGGACCACCCGCCTCTGGAAGGGCCCAGGCCGCCCTCGAGCTCCCCGCCTCTTCTCTTCCTCATCATCAAGACGCAACGAGCCATTGCTGCCCGAGGGCTACACAGTACATCGCTGCATCAGAGACGGGAACGAGCACAGCAGCAGCAGCGCAGCATCTCCGACCGAGGCAAGGAAACAAGAGCGCGCACTCGGCCTCCTGCACGCCGAGCAGCCATGTTCTGGTGCGCACCCTCGCCGTTCGCGCCCTCGCGAGTGCTGACAGACCGCGGCCGCACAGGGTACCAGGCGCCTTCATTCCCGACCAGAACGGCGCCTCCACTTCCGCCTTGCCATCTCTCGACGAGGGCAGCACAGGCAAGGCATCTCTCGTCCGTCGACGACCGCACTTCGACGAGCCCTCTCCGCCTCCCTGGCGCAGTCGTTCCTCCGCTGTCCTCACGCCCGGAGCAGGCGCTGCGCTGCCCGCCGAGCTCGTGCTTGCCATCTTTGAGCATGCAGCATCAGGCGACGCACATACGTGTGCCGTGCTCTGCAGCCTCTCGCATGCCTACAGCTCGCATCTCCGAGCAAGGCTCTACCATGCTCCCGTCCTTCGGCGCGGCGATGCTACGTATGCGTTGCGACGCTCGCTCTCGGCTGCTACAAAGCTAGGCGCGCTGGTCCGACATCTCTACCTTTGCACAACCTCCTCTCCCTCTCCCCCAAGCGCGCTCTTTCCCCGTCCACCAGCTCCTTGCAGCGGTGCAGCGACAGCCGATCGCATCCTGCAGCTCTGCGGCAACGTCAGTGTCCTCACGCTCGAGCGGAGCGCATGCTTTGACTGGGGACCGGGTCTCTACGCAATGCGTCACGCGCGAGAGATCACGCTCGTGGGCGTGCGCACGGCAGAGGACTTTGTGGGCTTGCATGGCCGGAGAGAGATGAGAGAGCGGGTGGAGGATGCCATGGGAAGACATGAGCTGCCAGGCGTGCAGCGACTCCAGGTAAGCGAAGCTGGCAGCGAGCAGCCACGAAGCAAAGCTAAGGCTCATCCCTGACGCACAGCTCACCAACTTCACGCCCTCTTCTCTCTCCGGCATCCTCAACCTGCACACGCTCGAGCATCTCATCCTCACCTACCCGCTTCTCCCTCCCGTGCCACCAGGCGGCATGGCCACGCTCCGCATCCTGCCTCGCGCACACATGCTCCGACTGCTAGGCGACGTTGGTGCTGGCACCACGGGTCCAGCGCCTGGCGATCGGCTACGCCGCATCATCGTGCGCGCCCCGCCTGCTGTGCTCGCCACGATCGCCTCTGAGCTCGCGCCGCTGCCCGACGAGAGACTGCGCTTTCGATGTCTCTACTCGCCGCTTGACGATGCTGCACCGCCAGCACTCGATCTGCTACACGAGTGGCAGCTCGGCGTGCTTGCGGCGCAGCAGAGAGACACGCAGGCGAAGCGTCAGGAGCCACAAGCGGTGCCGCTGCATGCGCCGTGGGCAGACGAGCTGTCGGATGTAGTAGGCGCGACGGACGAGAGCGTAGAGCTGCTCGAACAGCTGGCGAGAGCGGACGCGGCGCGCCTGGGCCAGGAGGCACCCCTCGTGCCACGCAGCCTGGCTGCTGCGTTCTGGTAGTCGGTGCGCTGGCAATGCTATACCATGAAGTCCCGAACGTGCAGCGAAGTGCAGTGTGGAAGGAGTCGAGGGATGCGCGACGAGGAAGCAGGTCGAGGCATGAGCCGCACGGGCACGGACCGGGCTGCACCGCACCCACAGCGCATCGCTTCATCCACTTGCCCGCTGCCCAGACAAGACGCACGAAGAGGCAGCCTGTGACAGCTTTCATTTCTTTGCTGGGGTGATAAGGGGGTGGAGCAACAAGACCGTTGCGCGAGCAGAAACAGAGCTCGGACGTCTCGTGCACTGGATGAGGTGTGCCTCATGCAGCGACGCGACTAGCATCCAAGCGGCCATCGCCGTTCGCGCAGCCAGACCAGGCCTGCACTTAGACGGTGCCCGACTTGGCAATCGTGATGGTCGAGCGCGTCTTGCCCGAGTCGGTGCCCTCCTTCTCAATGGCCTTGACGACGTCCATGCCGTCGACGACCTCGCCGAAGACGGTGTGCTTGCCGTCGAGCCACGACGTGACGACCGTGGTGATGAACTGGCGCGAGGGAGTGTGAGCCATGGAGCAACAGCAGCAAGTGGTACCGCGGCGGCTACTCACGAACTGCGAGCCGTTGGTGTTGGGGCCGGCGTTGGCCATGGAGAGCAGTCCCGGCTTGGTGTGCTTCAGGTTGAAGTTCTCGTCGGGGAACCTGGGCGGTGCCCACGCGTCAGACCCTGCCGCTGCTGTACCCGAGCTGCTGCACGCTACTCACTTGGCGCCGTAGATGGACTTGCCGCCCGTGCCGTTGCCGGCGGTGAAGTCACCGCCCTGCAGCATGAAGCGCGGGATGACGCGGTGGAACGACGACTTCTCGTAGCCGAAGCCGTGCTGGCCCGTGCAGAGCTCGCGGAAGTTCTTGGTCGTCTTGGGCACGACGCTGGCGGCGAGGCGTCAGAGGCATGCGCAGTGCGACCGCAAGCAGCATCCACGAACGACTCACTCGTCGTACAGCTTGAACGTGATGCGGCCCATGGGGCTGCCGTTCTTGGTGATGTCAAAGAAGACGTTCTGCGACATTTTGGCGCTGCGGCAAGGAAGCGGGTGAGCAGGGTGCTCTGCGGGCGCCGAGCTGTGCACGAGCGGCAGCAGCGACAGCGGTGCGGCGCGGGCGCGGCGCTCACATGGAGGATGAGAAGTTGCGGATAGAGGAGGGGTTCATGAGGGTGGTGGTCGGGAAGGAAGCGTGCGGCGCGGGTGTTGAGGCCAACACCGCCCGCCGCGCGGCACGCCCGGCCGTCTTCCTCCCGCCGCCTGCGCGCCGAATGCGTCACCGCTGCCGTCTGGGCAGGCCCAAGCGCACGCTTCGCCGTGCCCCTCTTTCTCGCGCAGCTTCTCACAAGGTAAGCGGCGGCCTGCAGCATCAGCCCGGCCGAGCACAGCAGCACCCAGCGCTGTGGCGGCGGCGGGCCTGCAGCGCACGGGCAGGCCGCCAGCACGCAGCAGCAGACGCCGCCATGCCAGCGTGGCGGCGGCGGAAGCCGTAGGAAGGCGGCCTATGTGGAGTGGCTCGTGCCCTCGCTCGCCACCACGCCACGTGGCATCAGCCCGGGACGCGCTGCACCGCCACAGCGCCCACGCCTCCCTCTCTGAGCTGATGCTGCACCTGCACGACGGCGATCATTCGAAGTTCTGACAGGCGGTGCGGCCGGCGAAGAAACTCACGTCTTTCGGAGATGCCCATGCGTGCAGAGAAGGGAGAGCAGCGCTGCAGGGTACGCTCTGCGGTGCGAGAGAGGCCAGCCGGTGCTCAGCGGTCACGTGTCTGCGTCAGGAGCCTCTCCCGTCTGCGCCGCCGTACCGAGTCCCGCCTGAGTATGGATGCACCATCAGCGGTGGCATTCTGATTGCAAGCCGGCGGCTCAGGCCTCGTTGCCGGCACGGGCACCTTGGTGCTCGCTCCCTGCGCAGGACGGCTGAGCTGACGTCTCCCAGCCCAGGAAGAGGCGTGGACCGCGGGTGCGCGTGAGCCTCCACTTCGCCGGCGAGCGGCCAAACGGACGGTACCGCTGTCGAGCAGGCGATCCTCCACCATCCGAGATCCTCATAAGCAGCAGTCGGTGCGCATTCGGCGTCGCTCTGCAACATTTACACCAGCAAACATGTCCGCCGCACCGAAGACAATCCACCAGCTGCGCGAGAAGAAGGTCGTCGTGCTTGGCGGCACGTCGGGCATCGGCTTCGCTGTCGCATCAGCGCTGATCGAGGAAGGAGCCTCGGTCGTCGTCTCCTCCTCCAACCCGAAGCGCGTCGAGAGCGCCGTCGCTCGTCTCTCCGACTCGCAGCAGCAGTACAATGCCGATGCCTCCCGCGTGTCTGGACACGCGCTCAACCTCTCTGGCGACTGCGAGGCTGCGCTCCAAGCATTCTTTGAGCAAGTGGGCACCTTCGATCATCTCGTGTACACGGCCGGCGACAGTCTGGCGACGACGCCCGTCGAGAAGCACACGTACGACACGCTCGTCAAGTCGGGCAGCGTGCGCTTCTTCAGCGCCGTGCTGGCGGTCAAGACGGCGGTGCCGCATCTGCGCAAGGGCGGAAGCATCGTGCTGACCACCGGCAGCACGGGCGAGAAGCCGGTGGGACCGGGATGGGCGGTGAGCCATGACTGCGCAGAGATGCGAGGAGAGACGCTGACACTGCGAGGACAGGTCGTCTCGGGCTTTGCAGCCGGCCTCGATGGTCTGACGCGTGGTCTGGCCCTCGAGCTCTCGGCTCAGGGCCTGCGAGTCAACTGCGTCTCTCCTGGCGGTGCGTGGGCGGCGTCTGTTCAGCGACTGCCCCAGCTCACAGCGTGCTTTTCGCAGCGGTCGACACGGAGCTGTGGGACGGCATGCCCGAGGAGGCCATGGCGCATCTCAAGTCCGAGGCAGCCAAGACGTGCGTCCTGTTCTACTCCCGCCTGCCTCTCGCCCCTCGCTCACCTCGCTGCACAGCCCGACGGGCAAGTTTGGCCAGCCTCACGAGATCGCACAGGTGGGTCTCACCACGTTACTCAGGGAGCGTCAGCTGATGAAGACCCGTGGTGCGACAGGCCTTCCTGTACTTCCTCAAGGACACAAACTGCACCGGCCGCACGCACGTCACGGAGAGCGGCGCGCACCTGGGCAACCGACCTGGCGCATGAGACCGCGCTCGCTGCAAGACCTGTTGATTCCCGTGCCATCTATACAGTCCGTTGTCGAGTGCGAGGGTGTGTGTCGCTTCCAAAGCACCAGTTGCAGCGACCCGTGACAGGCGATGCTGCTTTAAGCTCCTTGAACCGGCGTAGCTGCAACTTCCGCGGGAGCACGGGGAGGAGGAGGGGCGCTGCAGCAACATGCGGGCCGCAGGGCTTGGCGTGAGGCGAGCTGCTTCGTCCGTGCTTCTGCCGACACTCTCCATGCAGCGCCGCTGGGGCTGCCACAGCGCTGGCCCGCAGGCCGCAGATGCACCAGCACCGCAGCAGGACGAGCACCTTGTGCCTGCGCGCTGCTGCCCGCTGCGAGGGTGCTCGGCTACTGCGTCGAGGTGGCTGGGGAGTGCCGCGACGGGGTCAGTCGCGAGTAGCCGCGAACGTGCGCCGGCCCTCAGCGCTGCGCAGTCTCCCGTCCACACGCTCGCTCCTCCATGTCGCCCGCATTCTGAAAATGGCTCTGCTTTCCGTGCCCTTGGTAAGAGGCGAGGAACGTGGCTGCGCTCCGCTCCTCTCAGCGTGGCGTTGCGGGAAGGGCATCATCACCATATCCCGCGGGCTCGCGAGCAGGCTGCGACTGCAGCATGCGGTTCGGCCTCCGCGCCGCCCATGCCGCCGTGCCGTGGCGGCGGCAGCGGATGAACAGCCCTCAGCTGCATGCTGCTCAGCGCGCACGGCAGCTGCAGAACCCTTGCGCGGTTGCGCCTCGTCAGCAGCCCGCGCCGATGACGCTCCCCCAAAATCAAATCGCCGCCTTGCTGCCCTTGCGCTGCGAACGCGGTGCAACGGAGGCCCAGACGCAGCAGCGGCAGCAGAGCAGGACAGGCTGATTCCGCGGCATGAGCGAAGGAAGGTCAGGCCAGGCACGCATCAGGCAAGGGCCGCAAGGTGGAGCGAGAGGCGTCAGCAGAGCGGAGGTCGAGCGGAGGTCGAGCGTCGGGGCCGCCGGAGAGCGCAGCGCGCAGCGGTGGCCTCCGCCGGGCGCCTTAACATGAAGGCAGCTTCGGCCAGAGCACGGCACCCACCACCACCTCTGCAACACCTCCATGGCGCCTCATCCGCTCTCCCTGGCGCTGGCCGCGCTGCTCGTCGCCTCGGCCGTGCAGGCCGCGCCGCAGCTCACGCCGACGTCGTACCTCTCCTATGTGCCCGACCTGGCGGGCAACGCCGTCTTTGGCACCCTCTACGCCGCCGCCAGCATCGCGCTGTGGGCGCACACGGTGCGCTGGCGCTCCTGGCATGCCGTCGTGCTGCCCATCGCCACGACAACCGAGGCGCTCGGCTGGTTCCTGCGCATCCCGCTGCGCCAGGAGCAGAACCAGGACAATCGCGGCCTCTACATTGCCTACTATCTCTTCCTGGTCCTCTCGCCCGCCGGCTTCCTGGCCTATTGCTACATCATCTACGGACGACTCATCAGCGCGGCTGACCCCGAGCTCATCGGGCGCGCCGGGCTGAAGGCCAAGTCGCGCTACAGCTTCATCCCGCCTCGGCTCGTGGCGCGCTTCTTCGTCATCTCCGACATCTGCACCTTCCTCATTCAGGCTGCCGGCGGAGGCCTGCAGACCGGCGGCAACTAGTGCGTGCCTTGGGCGTTGCTTCGCGGGCTAGTCGATGGCTGACACTCTGCCTTCGAACAGCGACCAGACACAGCTCGGCAACAAGGTCTTCCTCGCCGGCGTCAGCGGCCAAGGCGCCTCGTACGTGCTCTTCACGCTGCTCACCATCGTGGCGCACATCCGTCTGTGCCGCGAGGAGCCTCGCTATGCGCCGTGGCATGCGCTGCACAACAAGACGGCGCGTCTCTTCGTGCTGCTCTACGTCGCCAGCATTGGCATCCTGGTGCGCAGCGGCATGCGCATCGTCGAGATGGCGCAGGGCTACGGCGGGCAGCTCTACTCGCACGAGATCTACACTGTGAGTGTGAAGCGAGCATGCCGCAGTGTCAGGAGCAGAGCTGACACGTCTGCGCGCAGTTCACACTCGATGGCCTGCCGCTCATCGTCGCCGTCGGCGTCTTCGCCATCTGGTACCACCACCCGCTCGTCCTCGCCACACAAGGCGACGCCGAGCAGCGCGCCGCCGAGCTGGGCCTCAAGCGCGAGCGTGGAGCCTCGCCGTCGTCGCCGACCGAGATGAGCGAGAGCCGCGCGGCCGTGCGGACGCCGGAGAGCGAAGTGGCTTGATCTTGATACCCCTCCTGGACTGGCCTGCGCCACGTGTCCCGTCTCACGGCATTACATAGACTACCTCGACCTGACTGTGTGCCAGCGGCAGAGATGCTTCGACCGACTGAGCTTGCCGTGGAGAGCAACGCGCAGACGGGTGCAGCATGAGATGCTCCCGCCGATGCGGCCTTGCCTCCGACCGACGCTGTTCCGCTCGAGACGTCCACTCGCACGCCGATGCCTCAGGCAACAGACGATGACTTGCATTCAGCGGTGGGTGACGGGGTGCCCTGAGTCGCGGCGACACAGATAAGACGTGTGGGAGGCGGGCGGAGAAGGGGTTGCAGAGTGCATGCAAGGCCAGACAGCATGTGCGAGTCAGGTGAGGGGGAGGTATATGCGAGCTGAAGAGAGACGTAGTGCGAAGCGGGGCGCTAGAGACGCTTGAGGGCGCAGACGGTGACCTCGAGCTCGATCTCGTCGATGGGCGACGTGCCCTGATCGTCGAGGCGGCTCGAGAGCACGTCCCAGAGACTGTCGAGGACAAACTCGCAGGCGCCCTTGCTGAGCTTGCCCTTGTCCTTGAGCACGAGGCGCATGTGGCCCTCGTAGAGGCTCTTGAAGAGCGCCAGCAGGTGCTCGATGAAGATGACACGCGGCAGCGTGCCGGCGCGGTAGGCCTTCCAGGCCGGGTGCGCCAGACGCAGCGGCGCCACCTCGCTCGGCAGCGAAGAGGCGCAGGAGGGACGACGAGGCGTGACCGGCGGCACGCTCGTCGATGGCGAGTTGGCCACGCTGCCGGGCTGCGACTGCGTTGGGCGCGCAGAGTCGTCGCCGAGGCCGCAGCTCCACTCGACGCTCCACAAGTGGCGCACCGACTTGAGCACGGCACGCGTCTGGCGCGGCGTGCGCGGGTGCATGGGCAGCAGCAGCATGTGGCGCGCCACGTCGGCCTTGAGCATGCCGCACGACACGAGGCGCTGAATGCACGGCGCCAGCGTGTTGGTCAGCGCCGTCCAGATGTCGCCGTGCGGGCGCCGGGCCGGCGAGCTGGCGGAAGATGCGGAGCGCGAGCGCGAGCGCTCTGGCATGCCCGTGCCATCGTTCGGCGTCAGCGGCGGACGCGACAGCGGCGAGCCTTCCGCAACAGGCGGAGGCGCGCTCTGGTCCTCGCTGCGTGCGATGAAGGCCATGACGAAGACGCCACCAGGGCGGAACTCGTGAGCGCGCGCAGAGAGGAACGCAGCCAGCTCGGCGTGCGCCGTCGTCGCCAGCGAGACTTCCGGGTTGCGCGGCGTGTGCGCCCAGTGCAGGTCCATGAGGGAGAAGCCGACGTGCATGGTGTTCGGCGGCGCAATGCGAGTGGCAAATCCGCGCGTGACGAACGAGGGGAAGATGCAGTTCTGCAGCGAAGGCTGGTGCGCCGCCTGCCAGTGCGAGTCGAGGTACGAGTCGCTCTGCGACTCGAGCGACTGCATGAGCGGCCGGAAGTCGGTCTGCGGCGAGTCCTCGTGGATGACCGAGAAGGTCACGTCGCTCGGCTCGCCATCGTTGGCACCACTGCCCACGACCGTCGGCGCGCCGAGCGTGGCGCCAAAGTAGCCGCCATCGTCGCTGCTCGGTGCCGGAGCGGCAGCTTGCTGCGGCCGGCGCGCATGTGCGCGCTCTGCGAGACGCGAGATGACGTGTGGCAGCAACGGCGTAGAGCGCGAGTTGAGGCTGCCGTACTCGGCGATGGAGACCGTCTCGCCGGCACTCTCGAGCAGCGGCACGCCTGCAAGAAGCGTGTCCAGCACGCCGGCAATCTTGGCGCGCACCTGCGGGCCGAAGTGACCGCCGCCGCTCATGCCCGCCAGACCGATGGCCAGAGCACCGAGCGCTTGCTCGTCGCCGCGCGCCGCGCCCGCCGGGCCGTAGCCGCGCAGCTGCGGTCCGGGCCCGCCGTCGCCGAGGTACGAGCCGCGGCTCTGGGCGTCGGGCGAGAGCATGGCCTTGTTACCCAGCGAGGGCGTGTCGGCCAGCGTGCTGCCGCGTCCGGAGGCCTGCGCGCCGTTGCTGTGCCCGCTGGTGCTCTCCGAGCCACTGACGCTGGCGTATCCAGCGCCGCCTTGGCTGTACGAGTGCTCGTCTTCGGCAATGGACGTGCCAGCGAAGGACGAGCCGTGCGCGCCGTAGATGCCCGAGCGTGCAGACGCGGAGCCAGACGAGTCGAATGGCCGACTAGGGTTGTGCGTGGAGCCGCGAGGGTCGTGAGTGCCCGAGCGGCGATGCGTGCGCGCCTGGTCAGAGGACATGCCGTGCTTGCCCGGGGTCCGCTCCCTGCCGGCTGCGAGGCCACCAGTGGTGCGTCGCCGCGCCAGGTCCGCCTCGGCATGAGCGCTCACGGGCCGGTCCTCGAAGTTGGGCCGGTCGGACTGCATCGAGTCGATGGGGCTGACCGTTTCGCTGCCGTTGAGCTGCGACTCGGTCAGATGGAACGACCTGCCGATCGCGGCCGAGAGGTCCAGAGGCGTGCCCGACGGGCCACTGATGCTTGTGCGCGCAAAGCGCGGCTCTGTCAGGCTTCCCAGCCCCGACGGACCGCCAGGCAGGCAATTCGCCAGCGCTGCAGCAGCCATATTGACACCCAGGCCAGCGGCCAGGCCGGCGCTGACGACGTTGCTGCTCTCAATGCTCGCCGAAGTCATGTTGCTGCCAGGCATGGAGCTGAGCGGCAGGCTCAGAGGCGGCGTGATGCCTTCCGTCAGGCCGATGCTGACGAGTGTCGAGTGCGAGAAGAGCGGCGCGCCGCCCGAGCTCTCGTTGCCGTACTCGAGAATACTTGGCGAGGTTGCCGTCATGCTGCCACGCCGCTCGGAGATGCCGAGCCCTTCGAAGACGCCTGCTGCCTCTGCGCCCGCGCCCACAGAGCCCAGGCCGTGAGATAGACCCACACGTTCCGCTGAGCGATCTGTGAGTGTGTCGTGCGGCGGTGAGGTGCGTGTCAGGCCGCGAGAGCCGCGCAGCGAGCCACGCCGGGGCATCGAGTCCAGCTCGTCGAGCGACGCAAGCATGTGCTGGTCGCGATCCTCGCGGCTGCTGTGCGACGGCGACGGGGCTACCGAGCCGGTCTGCGACTGGCTAATGCGTGGCGTCGACGGGCTCATGGAGCGCGGCGCCATGGCCGTCGGAAGCTGCGTCCGCACTCGCCCGGCGGTCAGGTGGGGAGCAGGCGGCCACATGGCCACATGCTCCGACGGCTCCGGCGGCAGAATGTCGTGGCCGGGCGTGCTCATGCGGCGCGGCAGATCTTCCGAGATGTGCACCGTCTTTGGCGGCAGCGCCTCCTCGCTGGCTAGCTGCCGATTGAAGCCCTTGCGGCAGGACTTGCGGCCCAGAGACGCCGCACGGCCGAGCGAGGCGCCGGACGACGTGCCCGAGGCAAGCGGACTGGACAGCGGCGGGCTGACGGGGCCGCGCGGTGGGAACTGGTAGGCGGCGGCGCGCGGCTGCTCGTCGTGCGGGTAGGCCTCGATGGTCTGGTGCATGGAGACTGGCCGCACCGACGACTGAGGCAGCGCCGCATTGCCAGACCACCAGCCAGGCTGCGGCGAGCGCGAGCGCGAAGCCGGCTGCGGCGACGGCGGGAAGCCATTGCGCATGCGCGGCATTGTGGCATGGCCCGAGTCCGCAGTGAGGCGCGAGGAAGAGGCGTGCGGCTCGTCGGGATGGCGCATGTCGGCGCCTCGCGTGAGCGGCGGACGGGCAGCGAGAGCTTCGGCAGCCCAGCGCCGCACCTCCTCCGTCTCGACGCGCTTGGCGCTGGGCCGCTGACGGTCCATGATGGAGTCGGAGAGGCGGCGCGGCACGCCGCCGTCGTGCTGCGGGATGGAGAGACTGCCGGTGCGGCGTGTCGGAGGTGGAGCGAGTGAGGCGGACATCTCGGCGGGCTCTGACAGAATCGCAGAGCCCGTCATGGACTCGAACGCCGCAGGAGTCATCTGTTGTTGGAGAAGGAACAGATGCGTGTCAGCGCGAGGCTTACACATAGGAGCTCGCAGCTTCGGCTCCCGGAGCCAATGCGCAGCCAGAGATGCCCGAGCGGCGGCATGAATCAGGCCACGGGCCAGGAGTTGCCGCACAGACGCAAGGCCACATGCCCAACGTCTCGTCCGCCGCCGTCGGTGCCGCCGGCGTCCAACTCGGAGGCGCGCTCTCAGGGCAGCAGCCGCTGCGCCTCGGCGACCACGCGCCGTTGCACTCGGATCCCGATCTGAGCCGCAGAGGGCTTGGCAGCAAAGCATTGCGCTGCCGATGCCTTGCAGCGACGGCTGCGGCGAAGCAGAGCCAAGGATGCCGCGGCGGCGGCGGCGGCGGGGTGCGGCGCGCTGCACATCGCCCGGCGAGCGGCCGCGCTGCAGCTGCGCGGCTGCCTTGGCGCGCGCCCGTGTGCGCGGCTGCGACTGCGTACTGACTCCAGGAAGGCAGACTCACAGCTGAGTGGAGAGCTAGCGAGACAGAGCAAGACAGCGAGGTCGTTGCGCAGATCTAGATCTCGCCGCTGCGCGCGTCACCAGACGTCAGGCGACGGACGCCGGACGCCACTGGTTGCGGCGTGCGAGAGACGCACGACTGCGGCGCGTGCCGGCGCCCGCCCGCGCAGAGCGTCCAGAGCGTGCGAGGAGCGGCCGACGGAGCAGAGGCGTGGCAGAAGAGGCGAGGCGCAGCTGGCGAGGCGTGCTGCTGCGGCGAGAGGCTGACAAGCAAGACGCCGCGCCTTGCTGGACGCTAGACGCGCGCGCGACCGCTGGGCAAGGCACGGGGCCGAGGCTGGGCCGGCGGCTGCGGCAAGTGCGAGCTGCAGAGGCGCGAGTGGCAGACACGGCAGAGACGAACGGCGAGGTGTGAGGGTGGCGAGATGGACGAGAGGAGGAGAGAGACGCAGGACCAGGAGGCGCGGGAGACAGGGACGGGAGCGGCAGCATACAGGCGCAGGAGCGTCGCAGGTGCCACCCGGCGGCGCTAAGGCGGCGAGCCTTGTCGGAGCCCTCGCCGCTCTGCTGCCGCGGCGCGAGGTGTTGGTGCGGCCCGGCGCCGCGTCGTGCCGTGCAGCGAAGCAAAGCGAGGGGCTGTCCCCGAGTTCGCAGCGCCCGCTGCCGCTGCTGCTGCTCTGCTGCGCTGCCACGCAAGACGCGTTCGCAGCGGAGTCGAGTCGAGTGTGCCTGGCCGGGCCGGACGCTGACAGGCGGGCACGGCGTCAGTGTCCCCTGCACGTTGTCCAGCCGACGAGGCGCAGCAGCAGAGCAGCACAGCAGCAACCGGCGGCGGCGGAGTGCGAGATGGCCGTGCGCGTCGGCGAGTGATGCCCACGCTCGTCCGCGCAAGGATCGAGCAACGTCGGGCGTGCAGAGAAGCGCAGCAAGCGGTGCAGCGAAGCGTCCAACGACGTCGAGCGTCGAGCGTCGTGAAGAGCAGAGAAGCTGGGCCTCGATGGCGGGTGCGGAGGCGAGAGTGGGGCGAGACGGGGCTCAGCTGCCAGTTGCAGCTGCCGCCGCCGAGATGCGCTGCTGCCGCCTGCAGCGCCAGGACGCTAGGCGGACCGTAGCGTCGGGGCACCACGCCGGCCCTTCGGCCTCGATCTTCGCCTCCTTCCGCTCGCCCGTCGCTTGGCTGCATCGCTGAGCCGCAGCGCGGGCGATCTGCACAGACAGCGCACAGAGCTGCTTTCTGTCCGACGTGCTCGGCGTCCGGCGCAGCAGATGTTGGAGCGACGCGAGGGCGAGAGGGCGGCACGCGACTTCGCGAAATTCGAGGGACGGCGCCGCCATCCCCCCGCAGCTGCCGCAGCGCGCCAAATGAGGCGGCAGGGTGCAGCCACTCTCACGAGCGGCTGCTCTCCTCACCCAGCACACACAAAGGGGTGCGGACCCTGACATCCGAGGAGGCGAGTCGAGTGCTTCGGCACGAGCACGCTCGCGGCAAGGTCGGCTCGGCGCCACCGCTGTGCGTCCAGCGCATGCCGCTCCCTGCACCGCCGCGCCGCACGCCCGGCGCCGTGCATCCGCGCGTGCGAGGAAAGCCGCGGACCGACGGCGTCGGACCTGCCGTGCCGCGCAGCAGGGAAGCTGCCCCGTCGTCCCGCCACGCGCACGACGCCTCCGAAGAGCGAGAGCTCCCCCTCGACGAGGCGCAGAGCATGCCGGATGGCGATGCCTTGGCCAGAGTCGAGAGACGCCCCGCCCGGCAGAGCTGCGCCGTCACGCTTGTCACATGCTCCGCTTCGGCGCATCTCTCGCAGCCGGAGCTGCTCACGCAGTCAAGCCGAAGGGATGCCTCGAGCGTCGTGCGCTCTGGCGCTGCGCTATCAGACGCGGAGTTGGGCGCGGAGTGTGCGTCGGAGGCAGCGGCTGGGCGTTGTTGCCCACCTGGGCCTTGGCCGGGCCTCGCATGAAGACCCTGAACGTCGGCTTGCTGCGTCTGGGCGTCAAACGTCGGGCCGCAGTCGCATCGCTGTGCTCTCCTGCTTCTCGCAGGCTGCCAAAAAAGGACTCGGCGCAGCGCAGCAGGCAAGACGCGGACCCACATCTCCTGCTCGAGCAGCATACGACGAGGCGTTGCACGGGCTGCGCGCCACACGGCTGCCGCAGCCTTTCACAGCACAGCCTGCGGCCTCGCCTGCTCGACGTCTGACTCTGACTCGACTGACGAGCTCGAGCTCGACGTGCCACGTGTGCCCGCGCGAGCCATCGCAGCAGGACGAGCAATATCGGGCACGCTTCGGCAGCGCTCTCGCAAGTGGCAGCGCAGCTTGCTGGGTCTGGGTGGCAGGGTGCAGCCGCTGCAGGCCTGGCGCGCGCGACACGAGGGACGTCCACGCTAAACGCGCCCAAGCGTGGCCCTGCGGCATGTCTCATGCACCACTTCCCACACCTTTGGGCCGCTAGACGATGAGCGAATGACTTGCGCGGAACTACGTGACGAAGAATTGGGAAAGAGACGGACGATGCATGGCAGCTCGAGCCCGCTGGCGAGGCGCTGGGCCGAGTGCTCGAGCGTGTACACCTGGTCCGTGAGGAAGAGAATGTGCGACAGCGAGCACGGCTTCGACGACGAGCGGAGCCCTGCAAGCGCACCTGTCAGCTTGTTGGTCAGCACGTCTCTCCATCTTGCTCACCATGCTCTGGACGCAGCAGACGCTCCTTGCCGCCCGGAGCGGACGGTTGCACGAGCGTCCAGCCGCAGCGCACGGCGACTGGGCTGAGGTGTCAGCCAACGCGTACCAAGAGCTTGGAAGTGACGCACCATAAGACGCATCGCGGCTGCTCAAATGCATATGCTCCGTGAGCTCGGCGACCGAGAGGCTTGCGTACACCTCTGCGAGAGCCTCCAGGCAGCGCAGGCGCACCTGGTCTGCGCGACGTGTTAGCTCTGGAGCGTTGAGGAGGAACAGCGGCCCGGCTCACGGTGAGCGAAGCGGAGAATGTTCAGCAAGGCGCTGCAGACACCCTGTAGCTGCGGTCCGACGACGGCGAGGTTTGTCGGCGTCGTGAAGGTGAAGAGCAGCTGGTCCGCGTCGTAGAGCGCCGAGTACATGGCGTTGTCCCAGTCCTTGCGGCGCGGCTGCTCGCGCTGCAGCAGAAGGACACGTCCCAGGGCATCGACCAGCGGATGCTCCGCTCTGCCATGAACGAGGAGCGGAGCTGCGCTACGACGGCATTCGTGAGCTTTGTCCTGCTGTCACTCCTGCGCACAAGCTCACGGGTCGTCCACAGCTACAGCGGCAAGCGCGTGCCACGAGTACACGACGACGTCGAAGTCGGGCTCCGCGTACACCAGATGGCGCCAATCCGGGAGTGCGTTGAGCTTCTGCGCCGCCTTACGGATCTCGCGCCAGTGGCCCTTCTCCGCCAGCTCGTAGAAGTACTTGTTCCATGCCAGCATCTGCGACGTCTCCGCCGCTGGCTCGGCGCGGCGCGATGCAGCTTGAGGCGCTGCGTGTCTCGTCAGCTTGAGAACGCAACGCGTCCTCTGTGGCAAAGCTCAGTCTCACCTTGAGTGCGTGCTTGCGTCGACGACACTGCCGGTGACGCAGCCGCAGCATGCTGTACCACGTTCGTCGCGCTGCTCGATTGAGCATCGCGCGCTGGCGCCGTGTGAGACGTAGCAGCCGGGACGTTGGCACGGGCGCTCGCGGCCGCGGCCTGTGCACGGGTCACCGGAGCACTGTTCGGAGTGATTGCGTCCGAGAGCTCGATGCTCGAAGCATGCGGCGTCGCCTCGACGGGCGTCGCGTGTGCCTTCTCGTCCGGGCTCGGCTCGGCGACAGGCTTCATAGCCGTGTCGTCACCCTCTGCACGAGACAAAGAGGACGGCAGCGTACTCAGCAAGAAGCCTTCCCGAGGAGCAGCAAGCAGACTCACCAGTGGCGGTCTCAGGGACTGCAGCACTCGCAGGCGGCACCGGCACCGGCGCGGCTTCGGCCGTTGTCGAGCGCTCCACTGGCGCTTCGACCTGGGTCGAGGCAGCGGCGTGCGACGCAGATGCACTCACGTCGCTGTCCACGTTCATGCGGCGCACCTTGGGCGAGAGACGGGAGCGCGGCACCTCCTGCTCCATCTCGAGAGGATCAGCCGGCGGCGCGCGGCGTCGAGAGGGTGGCTGTGCGGCGTGCTGCGGCGCTGCGCTGGCGGCGTCGACACGCTTGGCAGCGAGGAGCGCGCAGAGCGAAGAGCAGAAGCGGGCAAGAGTGGACACAGACTGACGGGACAAAGGGTGATGGAAGAGCGGACGATGGAGCTGCATCAGCGGCTGCTCCTCCAGATGGAACAGGCCGCTGATTGCTCGCCGAGTCGTCTAGACGACCGAGCGCCGCGCCACTTTACGCGTGCCGTGCGCGACGACACGTCAAGGGGCCGCGCCGCGCCCAAGTGCAGTGCTGCGCGCGCCGACCTCGCAACACCTGCCTGTATGCTTGCACTGCTCCTCCTCTCACTCCTCTCGCAAGCAAAGCGGACGTATATATTGACAGCGAAGGGCAGCTGCAGGAAGAGAGGTAGAGTAAAGGGAGCTCGGACGCGGGACGCCGGGACGACAGGGCACGAGGAAGGAGGCCAGCTCGAATGAGCACAGACGGAGCCGAGACGCGAGACATGGTCGTCGGGCGCAGGCATACTGGGACTGGCCGTGGAGAGAAGAGCGGACGGGCGGAGGAGGGCAAGATGGGAAAGGCGGATAGGCGAGTGCGCGCAAAGACTTGAGGCTCGGGCGCTCGGCGAAGGCGGGAAAGACGAAGGCGGACGGAGCGCGGCGCGCACGGGCGGCAGGGTGGAGGGAGGACGAGAGCAGATGCGGTATAAAGGCCGGCAGCAGGAACAGGTGTAGAGAGAGAGAGGTCACGGCGAAGCCGTCTAGTCGTCGTGCGATTCCAGTCCGATCTCGCGCTTGAGCGGCGACGAGTGCGGGTCCGCCTCGAACTCGAGCACCTGGCCGTTGTCCTCCTCCTCGCCCTCGGACGCCGGCTGGCTGGCGAGCAGCGACGGCCGGCGGCCGTTCTGCTCGCTGCCGGACATCTGCGCCGAGCCAGCGACCTGCGGCGAGCCAGTCGCCGAGTCGCTGCCGCTGCCCGCCACCGCGCCGTCAGGCTCGCCGGCGTGCACGCGTGCGTGCTGGTTCAGGTTGTCGTGGCGCGAGAACTTCTTCGCGCAGCCGGGGTACGGGCAAGTGAAGGCTAGAAGGGAGAGTAGCGTCAGCACGATGCGCAGCCACCAGCACGTCCACCGCCACTCACGCTTCTCGTCCGTGTGAATGCTGCGCACATGGCGCTTGAGGTGCTCGCTGCGCTTGAAGCACTTGCCGCAGCCGGGCACCTTGCACGTGTACACCTTTGCGCCCTTGCTCAGGTTGGCGATCTCGTCGGGGTTGCTCGGCACACGGCGGCCGCGCGAGCGCTTGGTGATGATGCCCGTGTACAGGTTCTGCGGGCTGGACGCGTGCGACGAGCCGACGGAGGGCGTGGGCGAGTCGTGCGGCGAGGGGTGCGCGCCCTGGTACGGCGACGACTGCAGCGAGCTGCGTGCCGAGCGCACGGGCTGGCCCGGCGTGAGCGGCGACGACGTCGTGGGCTCGGCGCCGCGCATGGCGCCGACGCGGCGCGAGGGCGCCGAGTGCGAGAGCATCAGGGGCTGGCCGCCGTGCGGGTGCGGCGCGTGAGGCTCGTCGGCGAGCTGCGCCTGCGGCCACGCTCGTGGGCTAGAGTATGGCGAGGGCCCTTGGTTGGGACTGTAGACGTTGATCGGGCCGGTCGGACCGTGCGGCGGCGCCGGCGAGCCGGGGATGCTGTCGCTGCTGCCGAGCGACGGCGAGCCGCTGAGCTGGTGGCCGCCGTGCGTGGGCGTGATGTGCGCGGGGTTGCACGAGAGCATGTGCTGTTGCTGCTGGTGCTGCTGTTGCTGCTGATGCTGCTGCTGCTGTTGCTGCTGCTGCTGTTGCTGCTGAGCGCGAGCGTGCTCGGCAGACTGCGGCGACGAGTGGCTTCTGGGCGGACCGTCGGGCCGCGGCGACGAGAAGACGGCGGGCGGGCGGTCGGTGAAGAGGCCGTGCGGGTCGGCCGCAGCGTTGGCGTGCGACGCACCGTGCGCCATGCTCGGGCCGGACTGGCTGTGGCTGCGCACCGGGTAGTGCGCGGCGACCGGCGCCGAGGCGGCAACGATCGTGCGGTGCGCCGAGACGGCGAGATGGTGCACGTCGCGGTGCACGCCCGACATGGCACGCTGCGGCGTCTGGAAGCCGCCGTGGTGGCCCATGGACGCCGGCGAGTAGCCCGGGTGCTGCGGGTGAGGGCCGAGGCTCATGCTCTGCGCGCCCTCTACGGTCTGCTGCATCGCCGCCTCGGCTGCGGCGTGCTGCTGCATAAGGTGGTGGTGGTGCGCAGCAGCAGCAGCCGCATTCTGGTCGCCGCTCTCGGAGATAAACTCGGCGAGGTTGAACTGGGCGAAGGAGCCAGACGGGTGCATGCCGTGGCCGCGCATCGAGCCGTTGCTGCGCGCATGCATCAGCTCGGGCAGGCGGTCGCTGCCGCGCGTGATCGTCGTGCGGCGTCCGCTGCTGCGGCCGACAGTGGCATCGTCGTAGAGCGACGTGGACTGCGCCGGGTGGAGAGGCGCACGCTGCTCGCCGCTGTATGCGGCGTGGTGCGGGTGACCGCCCGCCCACCCCTCGAGGGTGGCCGTGCTGGTGTACTCGCCGTTCATTGCCGCGTCCGAGTCGTTGTCGAAGTCGGCAGCGTCGTGGTAGTCCGAGAAGTCGGCCTCAGAGGGCGTGGTCGACGCGACGGAGCTGGCGGCCGAGGAGACGAGCGAGAGACGCTGCAGAGCACGCTTGCGTTGCGGCAGGCCGAGGCTGTCGAAGCGCACGTCGAGATCGTCGTCGTCCTCGTCGTCCGTGAAGCTGGCGCAGCGCGGGTGGTCGATGTTGCCGAGCGTGTACGGGTCGAGGGAGCTGTCGGAGTTGCTGCGCTTGCCGGTGGCCGAGCCAAAGACAAACGTGCCGGACGTGGCGTCGCTGAACGAGAACGACGTGGCGTGGCCGAAGGAGTAGGGCGAGTCGGTGTCCGAGAGGCTGCCGGGCGACGAGGGCAGCGGAGAGCAGGCGGTGACGCTGACGTCGAAGAGCGTGGCGATCGAGTGCACGGGGTGCGAGGCGTGGTGGTGGTGGGCGCTGAAGTACGTGTCGTCCATTTTGGCCTGACTTTGAGGGGCCGGCGCCGCGGGGGCGACGAGCACGTTTGCAAAGTGATGAGCTTCGGCTCGAGTGCTGGCGGCCTGCGAGTGCCGAGTCGGGCCTGCCGGCGGGCAGCGGCGGGCAGCAGCGGGTGGGCTGAAGAAAAAGAGGCTTGCTTGCGGCGCTGGCACTTTGCGAGCGAGCTGCGGCGGCGCGCCTGTGTGGTGGTGACGCGCGAACGTGTCAGGGGGACGGCCGAGGCACTGATTGCACGGCGGCGTAGCGCGGCGCAGCTAGTTCGGGCGCCGTCGGTGCGGCGAGAGGCGACAAAGTGCTGGCGACGAGAGACGCTGCTGAGCTGGCGGCGTCGCTGCGCTGGCAACGAGAGGATGTGATGGGCGAGGAAGGGTTCGTAAGATGCCGTTGTCGATATGTGACGCCAGCGGGTTCGTGGTGCGTGGATCGTAAGCGAGATTGCGCTGCAAGTCTCGTGTGGTCGTGGCGAGATGGAGTCGTAGCCTGCGGCGGTGCAGCAGGATGAGGGTCGTGGGGATGAAGCGAGAGCGAGGTCGTGACTGGAGGAGATGGCGAGAAGAGAAGAGGCAATCCGGCCGTTCGGGAGCAGACAGCCGGAGCGAGGATGGAGAGGGGAGCAAGGAAGAGGCCGAGGTCAGCAAATAGCTCGCTAGATGTGGGGTGCCGTAGCACAGCATCTCGTCATTTGCCGCAAGAGGCACACGACGACTGATTGGGACGGTCGGCACGCCGCCGGTCTGGCGTCCTTGCCGGCGGAGCTGGCGACCGACCGCACCGCCGCTGTCGCATCTCACACCAGCAGGCCTTCAGCCGGCGACGGCTGCTGGCGCTAGCGTGCTGCTTCGAGGGCCTAGAGCAGCTCTTTGCGCGGCGCCGAGGCGCTGGGCTGAGCGCTTCTCCGTCCACGGCCCGCCCGGGCCGCGACAAGCGCCTTCATCTTGGCCCTGAGGCCGCAGCGGCGGCGGGTGATGATAGAGAGGGGGCGCATGCCGTCCGGAGATGCGCGGCCCGCGCGCTTTTTTTCTGCACCGCCCTCCTGATCGCCGTCTTGCTGCCGCGGCGCGCTGCGTCTCCCGATGTCCAGCGTGCCCTCATGCCACTCCTCTCCGCAGCAGGCGAACTGCGAGGAGCGCGGATCGGGCGCGGCGGCGCGCCGGCAGGCCCGAGCGGCGGGGCCAGTGGGCGTCCAGGAATGGGCACCGTGCCAAGCCACTTCATCAGCGCGAGAGGCGCGAGCGCACCGCCGCCGCTGCCGTCCCCACCGCGCCCGCCACCGTCCCAGACGCACCGCCGTGCGACTGCGCCTTGACGAGCCCGCTCTCGCGCATGATGGCGTGAGGTCGATCCGCCGCTGAGTGCGCGAGGCGCTCACTGGGATGGCCCTTCATCACCCACACGCGCGCGCGTAGCAGCACGCGCCTGCGAGACGCGCCCCGCCGCCGCCGCGCGAACAACAGCAGCCAGCATCGCAGCATGTCGCTGGCCGCCGCGCGGCTCGCAGGGTCGACGATCGCTCGCCGTATCGAGCGAGAGCCATGCGAGGCGTTCTGTGCTTCATGCTGCTCGCCGCCGCCGTCTGCGCCGCCGCCGTCGGTGCTGATGAGGCGGTGCGCTCGCCGCCTTGTGTGGGGCTGCCCTGCGCGTCGCCGCGCCTGCCGCTCGACCGCGTGCGAGAGCGCCGCGCGAACGCGCACACCACCGCCGCGCGTGCAAGCAGACTCACGAGGGTCGTAAAGCGGGCAGAGCCGGCCTTGAGGTGCGTGAGCGAGGGTCGTGAAGCGGGTGGACGGGACGGTGGAGAGACGGCGGCCGCGCAGGCAAGGCGGGCCCCGCGACTGCGCAAAAGTCGCACCAGCTGCAGCACGAGGCCGTGCCGTGCTGACGGCTGCGGCCGACACCGCACGGCGGAAGCGGGCGGCAGCAAAGCAGCAGCACGCAGCACCACGCCAGAGCGGCGCAGAGGCCGTGCCGGGCAGCGCAACTCGACCCTCAACGGTCCGGAGCGATCAAGGCAGGTCATGCACGAGGCGCACGGCGTGCATGCCCGCTGCCGCGCTGCGGTGCTGCTACGGTAGCGCAGCGCAGGCGCAGTGCAGCAAAGCGGCAGAGCAGCACGCCTCGCGATCAAGAGCACGTCGCTGTCGCTTGCTGCTGGACCCTGCCGAGCGCGTCGCATGTGCTCCTCGTCCGCCTCTCGCGCCCGCCGCGCGCCGCAGAGCAGGAGGCGCGGCGCAACGTCGCAGCTCCGAGCCCGGCCTGCCGCCCACGGAGGCGTGGGAGCGCGCTGCTGGGCACGCCACACGGCGACGGCAGCAGCGGGCGGGCGGAGCCGCACCGCAGCCCAGCGCGCAGCGGACCGCTCGACGACGGCACCGTGGCACGACGTCAGCCTGCGCCCCCACCCGCCCTCTCTCTACTCAACATTGCTGGGCGCGGCGGCTCGTTGTGCTGCGGCAGCGTGGGGATGTTGGCACGAGCGGCGAGGTGAGCACGGCAACCGTGATGCTTGTCAGCCGTACGCACACGAGCGACGCGCAGCACCGCAGCGGGAAGGAGGAGCTGCAATGCTGCTGCGGGTGGTGGTGCAGCGGGCCCGGCCCGAGGGACAAAGGTGTCGGCCGCAGCGCTGCAGCGGGCCATCCATCCGCAGGGCTCCTCGGCATCCGGGCGGCCTCTCGCTCAGCTGCACGGATCGGCACCACAGCTTGCGTCCGAAGCGAGCGAGCGAGCTGGTGCTGCTGCTGCAGCCAGCGTCAGCTGTGAGCCAAGATCGTCAGCTGCAGCAGCGCGTGAGTCAGCGAGGGAGGGGAATGCTCCGCTGGCCGAGCGTCGACAAGAGCAAAGCGCCGCTGCGGCAGGTGGGTCTGTGCGGCTGCGCAGCTCGCATCGGGATGGAGAGCACGGCCATTGGCCAAGCGGCGCATGACTGGCGGAGTCAGCGCTCGACAAGCTACGCTCGCTTTCTCCGGGCGTGGCCGTGCACCACAGCGAGTCAACGTGAAGCAGAGCAGCGTGCAGGCTGCAACGCCGAGGATGCTGGGAGCAGGACGCTTGTGCTCGCTGCGGCTCGCCTTGTTCGCGTCCGCGCATCGGCGCTCCCGATCCCGCGCCGCGCGCGAAGAAGGCTTCTGTGCAGCTCGAGCGCACGCGGTCGGGCGCAGCGCAGTGCCGCACCTCGCACCGGCGCTTACGACAGGCTTTTGCGCTCAAAATCCTCCGTGGCTTAGCGAGCACCAGAGTGAGAGCTCAACGGCTACGGACAGCGCGCGTGGAAGCGGGCACTAACTGGAGAGTGACGCTTCCGATGCAGCCGGGCCGGCCTCTGACCAACTCGATCAGCTGCTGGCAAACCCCAGGCAGCTTGCTCATGCCATAGCGCAGTCGGAATCGGCGCCGAATGCTGCATCAGAGCGCTGCTGCTGAGCCGCTCGTCTCTCTGCCTTCCTCACGGCGACCCCGTGGCGCTCGTAGCGTAAATAGGCAGAGCGGCATCCGCCTTTGCTGGACTGGAGGTGCGCCGTCAGCTCCCGGCTCATGGTCTCATAATCCAGCGCAGTCAGACATGACATGTGTCGTTGCAGCTTGGGAAGTGCAAGCTTGCAGCGGAGAGGAGCACAGACCGAGGTGGATGCAGCGAGAAAGGGCGCCTCGACGCCATCTGCCGCGCCAAACGTCGTGGGGTGGCCGTCGCTGCACCTGCTGCGGCGCACCCCGCCCTCTTCCCCGACAGATGGCCGCGCAACCGCCGCGCTATAGCGTAGGAAGCTCGCAGCTGACCTCGGCTCCAGAGCGACACAGCGACGCAGCTTTGACGGCTGCACGTGCGGGCGCGAATGGCGGGCGGGCTTGCGCGGCCGTACGGGCGCGCCCCGCGGCGGATGTGGAGGAGGCCGCGCCGCGCCCGGAGCGGGCTTTCGCTTCGCCGGCGACTCGCTCGCGGCGCCTTCTTCGCCGCGTGCCGCTTCGGCATCCCCAGCATGGCCCGTGCAGCTCGGCACAGAAGCACACTCAGCATCAGCACGAGCTCGGATCGACCGCCGCGCGGTGCTGCGGCGGCCGAGGGAAGACGTGCGCGAGGCGGCGGCTATGGCGGCGTCCCGCAGCGAGCTCCACCTGGCTGCGCACGAGCCCTCGCACCTGGCCGTTCTTGAGCGCCGCTCGCCGCCGCGCCGTGCTTTCTTCCTCACCACCACCACACCAGCACCAACCATGGCACCGCAGTTCACTCTCTACTCGCACAAGGGCGTGCGTATCCGCCGCGCATGCCCAGCAGCACTCCTGCTCACCTCGCTGCACAGCCCGGCCCCAACCCGCTCAAGCCGGCCATCCTCATGGAGAAGCTCGGCCTCGAGTACGAGGTGATCCCGCTCGTGTTCGGCGACGACGCCGAGACGGGCGTCAAGGGCGCAAAGTTCCTCAAGGTCAACCCGAACGGCCGCGGTGCGTGACCGCGTGCGCTTCCTCTCGCCTCGCCCCGCTGACGCTCCCGCAGTGCCCGCTCTCGTCGACCACTCCAACAGCGACTTTACCGTGTGGGAGTCGGGAGCGATTCTGCTGTACCGTGCGTGACGCCGCTGCTGCCTCATGCGAGCACGCTGACACCGTGCGCAGTGGTCGACAAGTATGACAAGTCCGGCCAGTTCCACGGCAAGACGCCCGAGGAGCGCGCCATCACCAACCAGTGGCTCACGCACCAGCTGTCGGGCCTCGGCCCCGTGCAGGGCAACGTCAACTACGTGAGTGGCGCGTGGAGCCACGCATGCGCTGTCTGCTCACACGCTCGACAGGCGCATCACTACTGGGAGGGCACGTACAATGAGAAGCCGCAGAAGAGCGTCTTCACTCGGTGAGTGGAGCCGCAGCGTTGCTCTGCGCCGAGCGCTCACATGCTACCGCAGCTTCGAGGGTGAGACGCACCGTCTGTACGAGCTGCTCGACTCGCAGCTCGCGCAGCAGGCGCAGCGCGGCTCGCAGTGGATTGCGCTTGACCGGCCCACGATTGCCGACTTCACCTTCTACCCGTGGGTGGCCATTGCCGGCTTCGGCAAGATCGACACGGCGCCCTACAAGCACGTCACCAAGTGGCTGCAGACGCTGCAGGCCGACAAGGACGTCAAGACGGCCGACTCGAAGCTGCCCAAGTGAGGGCAGCTCGGCGCTCTAGCTGTGGCTCAATGATATCACTTTGCTCTATATGACTTAGCCTGACGTTGTTGTGAGGATGAGAGACGCGGAGCAGGGAGAATGGCGAGAGCGCAAGGTCAAGGTGAGCCCACTTCCGCGCAGCAAGGCGCAGCTCAAGTTGCTCACGCCTCATGCTGCGGTCCCCAGCAACTCGGCAAGCAAAAGTCGGGAGTGAGCGTGCCGCTCCGCTGTCACTGAGACCTGCTGACGCCAGCTCCGCCCCGTCACCAGCGAAGGCAAGAAGCGGCTGCGCGCCATGTCCTCCGGCCGCGTGCAGGTGCCGCAAGAGGCGTTCCTCAGCGGACAGCCGGCCGAAGGCAGCCAAGTCAGCGTGTTGAAATACCATAGCACGTCAAGATGCTCGCTTGACATGTGGGCAGGCGAGTGTCAGAGGGTGACCGCTGCGGTGTGGGTAGTGCCTCTGCAAGAGCACCGACGCTACTCCTTTGGCCGTCCCGGCCTTCTCCCTTGCCGCACGGATGCCGCGGCTCGACACCATCCGCGATCGCTCAGGCAGAGCTCGAGCGCAGAGGCAGCTTTAAGAGGCAGACCGGCTGCTGTTGCCTGCCACGCGGCTCTGCCCCCCGTCTCATCTCGCTACTCTTACTATCTCCCTGCCGGTGCTGCTGCGCCCGAGGCCGGCATTCGTCGGTCCGCTGCCTCGGCCCGGAAAAGCTGTCGAGGCCGCAGCGCCGACGCCCTTGGGTGCAGTGCTGGGCATATGAGTGTTAGAATAGTTCTAGAATATATTCTACCTATTCCCTGCGTAAAGTCTGACACAACTATTTGCTTCATATTATTCTAGAATGCTTGCATGGAATAGAGAATAATTCTAGAAGTATTCTTACTATTCCCACCACCCTCTCTGCCCCCATCATGACAGTAATGCACTGTCCTCCACCCGTGTTGCAGAGCTAGAACACTTCACAGCATGACCCTGATGCCTGTCTGTGCATGTACAAGCGCTCAGATGCCGTCATCATCTGCTTGAAGTCATCTGATGAGTGAGCAGTATGCTGACTCAGCACAGGTGCCAGTGCAGCTCTGTTGACTAGGGGTGTCTGTCACACCGCTTGCCCTGACAGAACATGCTTGCTGATGTACAGGGCAGTATATGATGCCCAAATGGGGATTTCAAAGGCAAAAGCAAGCACTCAAAGTGCCCTGACATGGGCGCCGGCAGTGGTCAGACGCTGGGAGGGAATAGTTGGAATAGTTCTAGAATTATTCCTATTCTATTCTCCAAATTCTTGGCATCCAACTATTTGTTCCTTTTATTCTAGAATAGTAACAATTCCTATTCTCTAGAATACATTTTAGAATATTCTAAAATAGCAAACATTTTGCCCAGCACTGCTTGGGTGGCAGAAGCTCCGACTGGATGTGGCGTGCGACCTGCAGTACCTGCAGTGCCAAGTGCAGCTCCCTCAATGAGGCGCTGCGCCGCCGCTTTGCGATCTTGCGCAGACTCTCACTTGGCTCTGCAGAGTCAGAGTGGGCAGGTGCCGCTCTGAGCTGCATTCTGACGCTGCCGTTCTAAGCTGACTGCAGCTGGACTCTAGAACCCTACTGAGCACAATCGCAGGGAGCATTCAGGATACATGATGGCACAGACAGAGCAAGGTTTCAAGTGATGCTGCGCCTGCCGCTGCCTCGCTGATGCCGAGTCGCTCTGCGGCGGCATCGCCGACAGGAGACGTGTGGCGTCCAGCTGCATGCACCTCGCTCCCGCGCCTGCATGCCGGGAGGCTGCAGCACCAGCACGCAGCACCAGCGCTGCGCTGCACCTGCGTGCTGAGGCAGCCCGTCAGCGCTCAGCCAAACCTGCATCTGCTGCGGCATCGGCCGCGGCCGGATTGCCTTCAGGGTCCGCACGGCGCGGCGCAGTACCCAGGCCACGGCAGCAGCGGCGCAGCCCCGGCCGCAGCAGCAGTCACTCGGCACTCGCTGACTCTCACTCTGACTTACTTTGCAGCTGGCATCGGCTGCGGCTGTCGCAGAGTGCAGCAGCAGCAGCAGCAGCAGCAGCAAGAGCTCCAGCACTCAGATGCAGAGCGCAGCAAAGAGAGCTCGGATGCTGCGCGTATAACGTTTAGGCGTCCGGGTACGGGAGCGGCTGCCTCCCGCCGAGGCTCGCCGGTGCGTACCTGCATCCCTCGCTCCAACTCCTGCATGCTTGCACCCCTGCAGCACTCCCGCTCAAGCCCTCTCGCTGCACCAGCCGCAGGTGCAGAGCGTGATGCGGCTCTCGCTGCAAGGGCACGAAGCCACATCGTGGTGTCCTCGGGCGCCCACATCGGCTCTCTCGTGCCGAGGCGAGGCCAGGGCGTGCGGATGCTGCGACTGAGGCGTCGCCTACATAAGGGCACGCCTCGCCGACTCGAGCACCTGTCGCTGCAACCCACCGCCCTCCGACAGACTCTCAGCCAGCATGCGCTACCTCTCCGCTCTCGTCCTCCTGCTGCCGCTCGTCGCCGCGCTGCCCTCGTCGCCGATCGAGGCGCGCGGCGGCAAGCGCTGCAGCACGTCGCCGCAGTGCGGCAAAGCCTCGCTGTACTGCAAGCGCGGCACCTGCTCGCCCCGCCGCGAGCTCAACGGGCCTTGTTACAAGGACTTCGGGTGTCTCTCCTCTCGCTGCGTCAACAAGCGCTGCGTCAAGGCCGAGGCGCCCACGACGCCCGCGCTGCTGGCCCTCGGCGCCAAGTGCGCGACGAGCGTCTCCTGCGCAAGCGGCTACTGCGGCAAGGCGCGCTGTGCTGTGCCCCTGCCCGTTGGCAGCGATTGCTACAAGGCAGTGAGTCGCGACCCAAGACACAGAGTGGCAGAGCACGTTTTGACGTCTTTTTGTCCAGGTCGGGTGCACGTCGGGCGTGTGCACGTCCGGCAAGTGCGCTGCAGCCTCCACGACGCCCACCACCCCAACGACGCCGACGACGCCGACGACGCCGACGACGCCGACGACGCCGACTCGCGACCCCGTCATCGTGCCGGGCAACCTGGCAGAGAATCCTTCATTCGAAGATGGCACGCTGGAGCCCTTCACTACCAACGGCGCCGTGACGATCGTCAAGGGCGGCGCATACGACGGACAGTACGCTGCCCAGCTCAAGCCCACGGCCAACGCGCCGGCCGTCATCGGACAGAGCCTCGGCGGCACCAAGAAGCGTGCCATCATCAGCGCCTACTACGCCTCCATCAGCTACCTCGCCAGCGACGTCTTCATTCCGCTCAGCGAGAATGCCTGCTCCATCACCGCGCTGATCAACGGCCACACCCGCGGATACGACGCCGAGCCTGTGTTCGTCACGACCGGCCAGACTGACTGGGTGCAGCACACCTTCTACGTGCCGTCCGACCAGGAGATTACCTCCATTGCCATCGGCACGGCGTGCGACAAGACCGCCACTGCCACTATCAAGATCGACGGCGTTTCCTTCGTCCGGGCTGAGGGCCCAACAAACGGGGCAAACTGGGACCTTAGAGGCAACCTGCTCAGGAATCCCGTACGTTGCCGAGCAGCGGCGCCTCTGGACGCACGCTGACGCTTCTTGCGCAGGACTTTGACAATGCGGGCAAGTCGTGGACGGTGTCTGGCGACGTCACCTTCGATGACTCGGCCTTGACCAACGGAGTGGACCAGAGCATTGGCGTCTACTCGTGAGATGCCAGATGCCGTGCGTCGCCACACACATGCTGACGCCGCTTGCTCAGTCTCTTCAAGGCAGCGACGCCTGCCTCGGCGAGCGCACCGTCGAGCGCTTCCCTCACGCAAATCTTCAACACGTTTGGCGCGGCCGGATCCATGAACGGCCGCTTCATCCAGCACGTGGACGCCTTTGCATCCTCGGTTCCGAACGCTGCCTGCAGGCTCATCTACTCGCTGAACCACCAGGTTCTGACGACGATCGGCATCACGCAAGTGGATGGCCCGTCCTACGACGGCCAGGATTACTTCCGCGAGCACAACACGGACCCGAGCATCACGTACACCACGCCCGGCCTTGGCTGGCCGGCCGAGATGAAGCTCTCGTGCGACCCGGGTGCGTCGGCGACGGTGCGCGTCGACCGCATGTCCGTCTTTGCCAGCGCCAATTGAGGCAGCCAGGTACTACCAAGCATCCTGCCCCTCACGCTGTTTTCGGCAGCATGCCGTTCCTCTCATGCATCCCTGGGTCGCTCCCCTGCGCCGGCCTCTGTTCACCTATGCGTCACCCTTCTCTCCATCGTAACCAGCGTATCGCGTGCCTTTCTGCATGCACGCTTTCGCCCATGCCTGCTGTGTCACGTGTGGCGACGCCGGGAGCGAATTCAGCCGCATTGAGCGCCACGCGGCGGACCCTGACGTGAGCGTGGGAGGCGTGTGCGTGGGCGCCAAGAGCCGCCGGCGCGGGCCATGTTCCCAGGTGTTGGTGGCGCGCGCATCTGGCCGAGCGTGCCTCGGGCATCTGCGGGGCTTCCTGGTGGGCCCGAGTCGGGCGACTCGGGCCTGCTGGATCCGAGGAGGCGCCGACGGCAGCAGGCGGGGGTCTGTCCGGCCAGCGTGCAGCCCGCGCCGACAGCAGCCGGCGGGCAATGGAAGGATGCGCGACGGCAAGCGACGCCCCGCGTGGCGCTCCCACGTCCCGCGCCGAGCGCCGGCGGACGCGTGCGCTGCGCTGCCTCGGCACGCGGCGAGCTGTGCGCTGCTCGCCGCCAGCTCGCCCGTGGCGTTGCATTCCGCGGCGTCGCCACGCGCCCGACGGCTCCGCTCGCAGCTCCGCAGGCGCCAGCTCCCGAGCGACGCTGCGGGGCAGGCGCGCCTGCGGCCGGGGGGCAGAGTGAGAGCAGCAGGCGCGATGCAGGGTGCAGGCGTGAGAGCAGCGGCTGGGGCCACGCGCGCGCCAAGCCACGGCGCGCATGGAAGCCGCCGGCGGACCCTGTCCTGGTGCTTCGCTGCGCTTGCGCCGCGCGCGCACCTGCAGCGTGCTTCGACTGCCTTGGCCGACGCACGCGCTGTGTCGGCGCGCAGCGTCAGGCGCCAGGGCAACGCTGCGGTTGCGGCGTCGCGCAGAACGCAGCATCACCTGCACATGCCGCTCGCAGCATGCGGCAGCGGCGGCGTCGCGGCCGCGTCACATGTCTCGCCGATCTGCCGATCACGCTGCAGCCACGAGAATGCCCCAGCGCGAGGCACGCCGCCCCCACGGTACCCCTGCGTGGGCGCACGCCGCCTCCGAGTGCCTGCCGCTGATGTCTCCGGCGCTGCGATCTGCGGGCTGCATGCGGGCGCCTCGCAACTTGCCGGCAGCCCGCAGCGCGCAGCAAGTGCCGGGCGCAGTCCGACGGCCGCGCCCGTGGTACAGGACAGCTGCGGCTTGCCTTCCCCGACAGCGTCTGCCTCGGTGCCTGGCGTGGTGCCTCGTACCGCAGCGTCGGCGGCGTGCCCAGCGTCCATGCGGCCTTCCCGCTGCGTTACCTGGTCGCTGACCGAGCGCCACGAGGCGCACACGTGCGGCGACGCCGCATTCGCTGCTCAATGCGCCTGCTCACACCGTGCACGCCGCTGGCCTCTCCCAGGACCGAGACAGCGGCCCGCGTCGCATGCCAACACGCCTGGCTGCTTCCCGCTGCCTTCTCTTGAAGCTGCCACAGCGCAACAACTCGCCTATGACGCCGCCGCATTCGCACTGGATGGGCCTGCTCGCATCGCGAGCTCCCCGTGGGTGGCGCAGATGTGGGTTCTGCTATGCGTTCCATGTATGTAGACATTCGAGCGGCGCGGCTGCTCTCAGTACGGAGAGCTGCGAACACCAGGCTGCCGTGCCGTGCCAGCCGTCGTCAGCCAGCGTGCCATTCCAGACAGCCATGCGCTGTCAGCCAGCTCGTCATGCCGCAAGGCTGCCCAGCCGCGAGCCAGCTTGCCATGCCCACGCAGGAGGCCATACATAAGGCAGACCTCCGACGCCCCATCCTCCTCGAACATCATCCTCCCAACAGCCCCTCCGGTCCCTCAAGCACCATGCGCTACCTCTCCTTCCTCCTCCTCGCCCTGCCCCTCGTCGCCGTCGCGTCGCCGACGTCGCCGGTGCTCGAGGCGCGCACGCTCGGCCACCCCTGCAACAAGTCGTCGCAGTGCGGCTCCGTCAACAACTTCTGCAACCGCAGCAAGTGCTCCGTGCGCAAGCCCATTGGCAGCAGCTGCTACAAGTCGATCGGCTGCATCTCGAACAGCGTGCGTATCTGTGTGCCCTCGGCCTGCCGCCGCCGCTGCTGACCGCCCTGCAGTGCAAGGACAAGAAGTGTGTGCCCGCCGGCGTTCTCAAGATCGACGAGAAGTGCGAGACGAGCTCGTCGTGCGAGAGCGCGTACTGCGGCCGCAGCAAGTGTGCCGCCAAGCAGGCCGACGGCAGCGCATGCTACAAGGCAGCGGGCGTGCGTGCCCTCCCGTGCTCACCCGGTGCCGACTGTCGCTGACCATGCGCGCTCCACAGTGCACGTCCGGCATCTGCACGGACAAGAAGTGCGTCGCCAAGTCCGTCGCCCCCACGCCCGACCCGAACCCGGAGCCGGAGCCGACGCCGACGCCCACGCCCAAGCCGACGGAGCCCACCGCGCCCGTTGACGTCAAGAACAACGTGTCGAACAAGGGCCACTTCGAGTCGGGCACGCTGGAGCCGGAGTGGGAGTCCAGCCAGAAGGTGAACCTCAGCTCGGAGGACGCCACGGCCAAGGACGGCACGCACTACGTCATCTTCGACGTGCCGGCCGGCACGCCGGGCACCCTGTCGCAGGACCTCCCGGCGCCCAACCCGCCGCCGAGGCGCCGTGACGAGCTTGAGCGCCGCGCCGTGGTCGAGTCGTACGACGCCTCGCTCTGGTACCGCGTCCCCAAGTTCGAGCAGGGCTCGGTCAGGAGCCAGTGCAACCTCTTCTTCGGCATCAACCGCGAGGCGTCGAACGCCGTGCCGACGGACTACGCTATCCAGCCCATCACGGCTGTCACGAGCGAGTGGGCCGAGTACAAGGTCCTGCTCGAGAGCGAGCCGCACATCGCCGACTACCAGGTCCACGTGCGCTGCGACGGCCTCGCGTCGACCACCGTCCACGTCGACTGGGTCAGCTTCGTTCCCAACATCCAGAAGGGCCGCGGCGACATGGGCATGAACATCAACAACAAGGCGAGTGGCGTGGCGGCTGATTGTGCTCGCCGTTGCTCACGCTGTCTCTTCTTGCTCAGGGCAATGTCGTAATTGATGGAGGGTTCAACCTGCAGGCGTCGGAGTGGACGCTCATCGACGGCGAGTACAGCGACGCTACCCCTGCATACCTGGACGACGAGCAGCGCGACAACGGCCACGTGTGAGTGAAGCGACGGCGTCTCTGTCTACGTCGCAGCTGCTGATGCTTCATCCACAGCATCCTCACGGGCTTCCCGGACAACCAGCAGTTCTCCATCGTCAAGCAGCGCATCAACCTGCACACGGAGGAGGGCGACAGCAACCTCAAGCTCTCGGGATCCTTCCGCTGGCGCACCACCGACTTCTCCAACAGCGACCCGGCGCAGAAGTGCAGAATCTACCAGAGCGTCAAGGGCCCGAGCGGCCAGGACATCGACCTGCAGGTGATTGAGGTCGATGACGAGGACAACGCGGCGCCGAACGACGGCTTCAAGGAGGCGGCCACCACCGCCCTGACCGACTACGTTGCCGAGAACGACGCCAGTGCCCGCGTCTGGGTCAACTGCGACGGCGGCGCCTCGATGACCGTTGCCATCGACGCCATCAAGTTCTTCGTCGACGGCGGCAGCTAGACAACTACCCTCCTCTTCTGCCTCGCACTTCCCCCACGACACCCTCTGCGATGCGCGACTGTCTCAGTCTGCTGCCCCTGCCGGTCGCCCCTCGCTCGCCCTCACCACACCCTTATTACCCCCCACAGATCCTTTACCCTCGCGCTGCGCTCGCTGTCCTACGTACCGGCCTCTCGCGCGATAGATTTCATTCTGCTTCTCGCGCTCATGTGTGGCTGTCTGGGAGTGTGTGAGCCTCTGTGACCCAGCTCGTGAATTGTCGTGTGGCTCGGCGCTGCAGATGAGCGCGAGGCGGCGGACGCACCGCGGAGCTTGCCCGGCCATACATCTTCGTGCAAACGCTACATGACTTCCAAAAATTGCATTGCGGCACTGTTTTGATTTGTTGTCTGCAACCTCATCGTCTCTCGACGCGCTTTCAGTGACTGATAGGCTCCAGAGAGCCTCCCGACGCTCTCTGATGCACGAATGCACGCGACAGGGACCCGTCGCGCGCTGCGAGCCGCCGGCCGTAGGCGGGTGCAGAGGAGTCGGGCGCGCGGCGGAAGGTTAGCTCCGGTGCCTGCCCCGTGCTGACGGCGGCGCGGTGCAGGCACGCCGCCGCGGCGCGCCGGAAGCGCCACGCCGCGCGCGCGGAGTGCGGCACGCTCAAAGGGGCTGCTCCTTCACTGCGGCGCGGCTCTGCTCCGCCTCGGGCTGCGGCAGCCGCGGATCGAAGCGAGTGGAGTGGCACTGCAGAAAGGCGAAAGTGTGGTGTGAGAGACGGACCGCTCCGCTTTGCATCTCCTGAGCGCAGCCTGCAGCGCCGAGGAGGGTCAACGCTCGCAGCGGCCGCAGCCGCGAGACGCCATGACGCGCCGCCGCGGTGTTGCTCGCGGTGCTTGAGCGTGCATCGGCCGGCGGAGCGCTCCACCAAGCAGAAAGGCAGACGGCAGCCGCGCCGGCGCTGGAGCTGTGCTGACGCCTCCCGCTCCGCGGCCCGACGCTCCCGTGCGCGCGTGCATGCCGCGGCGTGCAGACGCCGGGCGGCAGCGCGTGTCTGCTCAGCCGGCTGCTGACGGGGTCCAGCAGCTGCAGCGCAGAGCATGGTGCAGCGAGCGCAGCGCGCAGCGTTCGCAGGTGCTGTCGTCGATGGGCGCTCGGCACCGAGGTGTCTGACGGCCGGCGGTAAGACGCTGGCCTGCTGCAGCAGCAGCAGCAGCACGGCGGCCGTGTGCGCGGCACCGTGGCGCGCGCTTTGCCCCCTCGCCTCTCTCTGCCTTTGCGCGCGGTGCGCGGCTGTCGTGGGCCGCTGGCCGTTGCCGCATCGCAGGCGCTCGACCGCTGCATCTGCTCCACCCGCTCCATCGCTGCCTCTCACCGCCATCCCCACTGTCCGACCCCCTTCCCGGCGCCCACCAGTCCTCGCCCTCGCCGCTGCGCTCTCGCTGCCGCCCGCCGTGCCGCCTGCGCACGTGTTTGTGCTCCGCCTGCGCGCCGCCGCACACTTTCCGCGCCGCCGCGCGCCTCCACCGGCCCCTGCGATCCGCGGCCGCGTGTGTGTCCGCTGCGCACTTCTGCGTCGCAACCACCACCTCTGCCGCCGCGCCCCCCAGCCGCCCTCGTGCTGCGCTCGCCCACACACGCTCCTCACTGCGCGCCAGCTCACGCGACTGCGGCCAGTGGCCTGCCGGCCTAGCTCTGCGCCCGCGCGGCCCGTCCGCTCCCGCACCGCGCCCTCGCGGCGCCGCTGCGCCCCGCCGCCGCCATGGTCGTGTCGAAGAAGAAGGTCGCGAGCCCGCCGCTGAAGCGCAGCGAGCCCAAGGGCCTGGCCAAGATCTGGGCCACGCTGCGTGCCATCCAGCTCGACCCCAGCGTGGCGTTCCAGAAGAAGCGCCCGCCGCCATGCCCGCGCAGCGTCTACTTCAACGAGCCGCTGCCCGCCGAGGCCTTTGACAAGAAGGGCAAGCCGCTGCAGGGCAAGAACGGCACGCACAACTGGACGTATGCCGCGAACCAGGTGAGCATGCCGTGGGTGTGCTGCTCTGTGGGCTGAGCTGACGTCGGCGGCAGGTGCTCACTGCAAAATACACCATCTTCAACTTTGTGAGCTGGCGCGCTGAGGCACCGGTTCTCGCTTACACTGCTGACGCACTGGCGCTCTCGCAGATCTTCAAGAACTTGCTTGAACAGGTGAGCGATCGACAGCTGACGGAGTGCATTGCCCACCCTGAGCGGCATCGCTGACCCTGCCTGCAGTTCCGCCGCGTGGCGAACCTCTTCTTCCTGCTGCTCGTGATCCTGCAGTTCTTCCCGAGTGCGTTCTGCCCGCCCCTCTCGCACGCGCTCTGGGCTGACCCCTGTCGCAGAGTTCGCCACGATCAACCCCGGCCTGGCCATGCTGCCGCTGATCGCCGTGCTGGGCATCACGGCCATCAAGGACGGCTACGAAGACGTGAAGCGCCACCAGTCAGACCGCGCCATCAACCGTCAGCGCGTGCGCGTGCTGCGCGGCGGCGGATGGACTAACCCCAACGTCATGGAGCCCAAGGCGCGCTCCTTCTCGTCGACCTTCCGCGCCATCTACGACCAGTACCTCGGCGGCAAGCGCCGCCAGAGCAAGCACATTGCCGGCGAGCTGCCGGCCAACATCGACGGCCCCACCGGCCAGGTGCCGCAGCCAGCGCCCGTCGATGCTCCCGGCGGCGGCTCGGCGCCGCAGCCGCTCGAGGGCGCCGCCGACTCGTCGGCGGACCTCAACGGCCAGCCCGCGGGCCACGGCCTGAACCGCGGCATGACGTCGACGAGCTCGCTCGGCCTGTCTGGCTCGCACGGCATCCGCCGCCAGGCCTCGGGCGTGTCGCAGTTCAGCACCGAGTACGAGACGGACCCCGAGGGCCGCGTGCGCCACCGCGGCCGCCTGCTCTCCGAGGAGGAGACGTCGCGCTTCTACGCCAAGAAGGCGGCGCGCTGGAAGAAGACGATCTGGGAGGACCTGGCGGTGGGTGACTTTGTGCTGCTGAAGAACAACGAGGCGATTCCGGCGGACATTGTCGTGTGCGCGACGTCCGAGGAGGAGGACAGCTGCTTCATCGAGACGAAGAACCTCGACGGCGAGACGAACCTCAAGTCGCGGCACGCCGTGCCCGAGCTGGCGCAGACGCTGCGCACGGCGCAGGACTGCTCGCGCGCGCTGATCCGCGTCGACGGCGAGCCGCTGGACACGAACATGTACCGCCTCAACGCCTCCGTCGTGCTGGGCGACCGCTTCGACCGCGACGGCCAGCCGCTGCGCTGCCCCGTCACGCTCAACCAGTGCCTGCTGCGCGGCTGCAACCTGCGCAACACGGCCTGGGTCATCGGCCTCGTGCTCATGACGGGCGCCGACACGAAGATCATCGCCAACTCGGGCAACACGCCGTCGAAGCGCGGCAAGGTCGAGAAGCAGATGAACCCGATGGTGTGAGTGTCCACGGCGTGACGCGCGTCAACAAGGCACTGACATGCGCCGCACAGCTACGTCAACCTGCTCATCCTCGCCGCCATGGCCGTCGGCTGCGCCATCGCCGACGCGCGCATCGAGCACTACTACTTCGATCGCGCCGCGTACTGGGAGTACCTGGCCATCTTCGGCGACGACAATCCGGACATCAACGGCCTGGTCACGTTCGGCAACGCGCTGATCACGTTCCAGGTGCGTCGCGGCGCATACACGTCGCAGGATCCAAGCTGACCACCGCCGCAGAACATCGTGCCGATCTCGCTGTACATCTCCATCGAGGTGGTGCGCACCGTGCAGGCGTATCTCATCTTCGACGACTACGACATCTTCTACGAGAAGACGATGCGGCGCACGACGGCGCGCTCGTGGAACCTCTCCGACGATCTCGGCCAGATCAAGTACATCTTCTCCGACAAGACGGGCACGCTGACGCAGAACCTGATGATCTTCCGCGAGCTGGCCGTCGGCGGCATCGCCTACCACGGCGACTCGCCGTCGGCGTCGTCGGACGAGCTGGGCGAGAAGGAGCGCAACGAGTACAAGGCCGGCGCGTCGAGCGAGTCGGGCTCGTCCGACAACAAGCACGACCCGCAGCGCAAGCGCGTCAAGCCGAGCAACGAGGACGTGGCGCCGTTCAGCGACGCGCGGCTCAAGGCCGCGCTGCGCAACCCCGAGGACGAGCACGCCAAGCTGCAGGGCTGGTTCTGGCGCTGCCTGGCGCTCTGCCACACGGTGCTCAGCTCGGAAAACAAGGAGACGGGCATGCTGGAGTACAAGGCGCAGAGTCCCGACGAGCAGGCGCTCGTGCAGGCCGCCGCCGAGGTGGGCTTCACGTTCTGCGGCAAGGACCGCAACACGCTGCGCATCCAGACGCCGTGGTCGACCGAGTACGAGCAGTACGAGCTGCTCACCGTGCTCGAGTTCACGTCGGCGCGCAAGCGCATGAGCGTGATCCTGCGCCGCCACTCGGACGACCAGATCATCCTCTTCAGCAAGGGTGCCGACAGCGTCATCTTTGAGCGCTCGGCCGCTGGGCAAGAGCAGCTCAAGGCCGAGACGGACGAGGCGCTCGAGGAGTTCGCCAACAAGGGCCTGCGCACGCTGTGCCTCGGCTGCCGCGAGGTCGAGAGCAAGTACTACGAGGAGTGGGCGCACCGCTACCACGAAGCGTCCGTCTCGCTCGAGGCGCGCGAGGAGCGCATGGAGGTGCTCGCGTCGGAGCTCGAGCGCGAGCTGACGCTGCTCGGCGCCACCGCCATCGAGGACCGGCTGCAGGAGGGCGTGCCTGAGACGATTGCCGACCTGAAGCGCGCCGGCATCAACGTCTGGGTGGCCACGGGCGACAAGCTCGAGACCGCCATTGCCATTGGCTACAGCACGATGCTGCTGTCGAAGGACATGAACCTGATCGTCGTGCGCGGCGGCGAGTATGGCCAGCCGAACTCGGCCTACAACCAGCTGCGCACGGCCGTCGAGCGCTTCTTCGGCGGCCACGAGGCGCTGGAGCGCATGGAGCACCAGCCGCCGGACGAGGATCTGGAGGAGGGTCGTCCGTCGCAGTCGGGCCACCGGCCCTCGGCACAGGCGCGGCGCAGCACCGCCAGTGCCGCCTCACTCGTCGGCGAGGACAACGGCGAGCGCTCCGGCGGCTTTGCGCTGGTCATCGACGGTGCGGCGCTCGGCCACGCGCTTTCGGAGGACTTCAGCAAGGACCTGCTGCTCGACATCTCGACGCAGTGCAAGGCCGTCATCTGCTGCCGTGTCTCGCCGCTGCAGAAGGCGCTCATCGTGCGCCTGATCAAGGATGGCCTCGGCGTCATGACCCTTGCAATCGGCGACGGTGCGAACGACGTCTCCATGATCCAGGTGAGTGTCTCGTGGAGCTCTGTCGCTCGGCATTCGCTGACACATCTCTCAGGCTGCGCACGTTGGCATCGGCATCGCCGGCGAGGAAGGCCTGCAGGCCGTCAACTCGTCCGACTACGCGATCGCGCAGTTCCGCTTCCTCAAGCGCCTGTTGCTCGTGCACGGCCACTGGTCATACTACCGCAACAGCACCATGATCCTCAACTTCTTTTACAAGCAGATCATCAGCATCGGCTACCTCTTCTGGTTCCAGATCGTGCGTATGCTGCCTGCCGCTCGCCTGCTGTCCGCGCACTGACACGTGATCCGCCCCCGCAGTACTGCGCCTGGTCCACCACCCAGGCCATCGACTACGTCTACCTGCTCTTCTGGAACGCATTCTGGACCGTGGCGCTCGTCATTGCCATCGGCATCTTCGACCGGCCCATCTCGGACCGCGTGCTGATGGAGGTGCCCGAGCTGTACCGGCGCTCGCGCGAGGGCCGCTACTTCGGCCTGCGCCCCTTCCTCTGGTTCATGCTCGACGGCCTCTACCAGGCGACGGTGCTATACTTCTTCCTCTGCTACACGTACGACACGACGACGGCGCGCAGCGACGGCTACGACATTCAGGTGAGCCGCCGCGCGCGGGGCGGACGGAAGCGATGCTGACACCGTGCGCAGCTGTACGAGTGGACAACGACGATGGCCATCGCCTCGGTCATGGCGGCGAACCTGTGGACCGCCATGTGGGCGAACGCCTGGACGTGGTGGCTCTTCGCCGGGTTCTGGCTCGGACCGGTGCTCATCTTCGTCTTTGCGCCGATCTACGCGGCCTTTAGCCCCAACACGATCTGGACCTACGTGAGTGATGCCTGCGGCGAGGTGTGCCCTGCGCCTGCTGACGGCCTTGCTTGCAGTCGTACGGCAACAACAGCTTCCTCTATCCCTCGGCCGCGTTCTGGTTCGGCGGCATTCTGTGCGTCTGGCTGTGCGTCGCCCCGCGGCTGCTGCTGCGGCATGTGCGCGAGACGTACTACCCGCGCGACCTCAACATCCTGCGCTGGGTCGACAAGCAAGATCCGCACCACGACTACATCCACGACCCCGCCATGCCCGCCGCGCGTGCGGCGCGCGAGTACGGCGTGGCGCTGCCGGCAGCGGCACACCACGGCGACGAGGCGATGCGCTCGCAGACACGCAGCTCCGATGGCCACGCCCTCATGCCGCCGGACCGCGAGTCCGCCTTCGCGATGCATGCTCTGCAGCCGACGGCCAGCCGTGCGAGCAGCACGCAGCACGACATGCTCACGGGCGAGTCGCGCCCCGTGCGCGGCTACAGCTTTGCGGGCGAGGACGAGTCGGCGAACCAGGCACGCCGCTCGCGGCGGCGTCTCTCGCTCAAGCAGCGCCTCATGCCCGCCTCGATGCTGCGCCGCGCCGAGCAAAAGCGCATGAGCACCATAGCCGCGCGCGAGGAGGAGGCCGAGGCCGACGAGGCCGACGAGGCGCGCCGCCGCAACAGCGTCCTGGCCGGGCCCGGCGTCGAGGAGGACGATGATGACGACGACGAAGAGCGCGAGCGCGCCGCCCAGCAGCCGGCTCGGTAGTGCTCGCCGTCGTCTCCCTGCCTCCCGTAGATAGTCTCCTTTCCTGCTTCGCGCGAGCGTCTCCTCGGCATTTACCCCCGCGCGCATGCCCCATCCACTCTCTTTATAATCTCTTCGACTTCTCCCGCCGCTCTCCCTCGCTGTGCATATTTCCGAGAGCTCTTCGCCCCGCAATGCGCATGATGAATCTTGAACCCAGTGTGCATTCAGTCAGAGTGCTCGAAGGCCTCGAGGCTGAACGAGGGCGCCTTGCGCAGTGCATCCACGCCGCTGCAGTCGGCCGCCTGCACGCAGAAGCTGCCGCCGGCGCTCAGCGCCGTCTGTGCGCCGGCAGCGACGTCGGGATAGGGACACCGGATCTGGGGCACAGTGAGCAGCGCAGCATGCTGTGCCTGGCGCGTCTCTACGCACCTGCTGCGGGAAGGGACACGGACACTCGGCCGGCCGGCCGACGCAGGCCAGCGTGTCCGGGCATAGGTAGCGGCCACATTGCGCTGCGCGCAGTGGTGTGAGCGTGCGGCGACAGAAGGCGAACGGTAGCAGCAGCTCCAGCGATGAGCACGCCTCGCAACCCTGGCCGACGCCGCCCTCGTCGCACTCACCGGCCTGCACGCGTGCATGGAACCAGCTGGCGTCGCCGGCGGGCGGCGCCTCCTGCTCCTGCTGCGCGGCGCCGTGCTGGAAGAAGTGCTGGAAGAAGTCGGCGCGCGCCGTCTGCAGCAGGCAGACGGCGACGAGCAGCAGCAGCAAGCCGAGATGCATGGCGGGCGCGAGGCGAGGAGGTGGCGGCCGGGAAGGAGAAGCTGCGACGCGCATCTCAAGCCGCCTCCACGTCACGCGGAGCGAGGCGGATAAACCGGCGAGGCGGGCGAGTCATGCCCAGTGCAGCTGCCCGCCGCGATGCGAGCCTTCGCTCAGCCCCACCACACCACACACAAGAGACCATGCCTGCGCCGCAACACATCGTCATCCTCGGCGGCGGCGTCATCGGCCTCAGCGCCGGCATTGCGCTGCTCGACCGCGCCGACGGGCCGCGCGACGCCGTCACCCTCATCGCCGCCGAGCTGCCGGCAGACGGCACACACGCCAGCGGCAGCGCTGTGGCCGCCGCACCGGCGCACTACGCCTCGGCATGGGCCGGCGCGCACCACGTCTCGGACGCGCGCGAGCAGCGCACACGCAGCTGGGACCAGACGTCGCTCGCGGTCATGGCACAGCTGGCCGAGCGCGGCAGCGACAAGTCCGGCAGAGGCGAGGGCGCCAGCGGCCTCTTCTGGACGGCGCAGCGGGAGCTGTGGCGCGCACCTGAAGACATTGAGAAGCTCGTGGGCTGGTACCCAGATGTGAGTGGGTGCTCGACTCACGCGCGACGGAGTGGGCGCGAGCTGGAGACGCAGCGCTTGGAGCTGCGGTCGCTGACCACGCGGCAACTCAGTACAAGCCTCTGCCTTCCGCCTCGCTGCCCGCCGGCATCGCTTGCGGTGCGACGTTCTCGACGCTCTCCATCGTGGTGCCGGAGTACCTACCATGGCTGCAGGCGCGCTTCCTGGCGCTCGGCGGCCGACTCATTCACGCCAAGGTCAACTCGCTCTCCGACGCCCTTTCTCTTGCTGCCTCGCCCACTGCGCCAGCGCGTGGAGCACCGCCGCCCACTACGCCACCGAGCGCTCTCATTGTATCCCCTGGCCTCGGCGCCCGCACACTTGGCGGCGTGCGTGATCAGGGCGTGCACCCAGTGCGCGGCCAGACATTGCTCGTCGAGGCACCGTGGCTTGAAGAGGCGCGCAAAGGACAAAAGCACTGCGCCGAGGGCCTGAGCGTTGTCCGAGCAGAAGGATGGCGGGATACGTATGTGATCCCGCGCGGCGAGGGACGCTTCATAGTCGGCGGCACGCGACTCGTGAACGACGAGTGAGTAGCGCAGCGGCTGCGCGTCGCAATGCACCCTGCTGACTGAGGTGCTGTACAGCGACGCAGCACCGCGTGCCGAGACCACCGCCGAGATCCTCAAGCGCGTGCTGCCGTTCGTGCCCGAGCTGGCCGACCCCTCACGGCGCACGCTGCTCACCACGCCCTCGCCTTCCGACGTGCGGGTGCTGGCGACCAACGTCGGCCTGCGCCCCGCTCGGCAAGGCGGCGCACGCGTGGAGCGCATGTGCAGCTCCGCAGCTGGCGTGCCGAGCAATGTGCCTGTCCTGGCTTGCTATGGCTTTGGCGGCGTCGGGTACCAGGCGAGCTGGGGCGCGGTGTTCGAGGCGCGTGATGTGAGTGCCTGCCGCGAACAAGCTGTGTGACGAGCCAAGGCTGACTGGTCGGACGCAGCTGCTAGACGATGCTCTTGAACGCCCGCGCCTGCCACAAGGCTCTACACTCGCAAGCTTGGCCTCGCGCTCGGCAGCTCCAGCGGCGCGGCTATGACCAGGTCAGGTCAACCATGAATGCATCGGCATGCGGATTGGGCCTGCGAGTAGCCCACGGTCTGAGTTGCTGTTGTGTGGCTATGGCAAGCACAGCAGAGAGATGCCAGTCACGAGACGGAGGAGCAGGCTGGACCAGGCGCTCTCCAGCACAGCACAGCCTCGTCTGGCTCGGGCGTTCACACGCCTGCACGGCGTCGCGCTCGGGCAAACAGCGCAGAGAGGACCTCGGATCGGCAGGCACACCCTCCTCGCTGACGGCGTCCGCTTCGTGGTGGCCTCGCTTCGCTGCTCCAGCGTCAGCTCAAACAGCGAGCCAGCACAGCCTCTTGGTCAGGCCAGACGCCCCAAGAGGCCGCACGAGGCACAGGAGTGCAGCTTGGCGCGCTGCCGTTGGGAGCACAGGGGTTGTGGCGCGCGCCGTCTCGGTCGCTCTGCTGCCGTCTCCTTTTCGCGCCTCGGACGCCGACGCCTGGCACGACCCACGAGCTCAGCGCTGCCGATCTGCGGCTGCATCCACCCTGCGACGCTGCTCATGGCGCATGCAGCGGCGTGCAGAGGCGTGGCTCGCATGCGCTTGAGAAGGAGCGGCGCAGCTGCGAGGCAGCCAAGCTCCGTCGCTGCGCTCTCTGCGCAATTTCCTGCGCTGCGCCGTCCAGGCCCGTCAGGGTGCAAGGCGGCGTGGCGCGACAGCGCTCAGGCGGCCGTCAGCGCGCGCTTGCGCCGCGGTGTCTGCCCCTGTGCTGTGCCGAGGCGCGGCGCGGCAGGGCGCGAGTGTTTGGGCGCCGCGTCGTTCGATGGCGCGCGCGGCGGCGCGGCGCTGTGCCGTCACCACGAGCAAGCCGAAGGCTCGCGGCGTGCCTGCGCTCGCCTGCCGCTCTGCCGCACGCGCGCATCCGAGGCTCTGAAGTGAGCTCCGCGACGCAGCAGCCGCCGCGGCGCTCGGCGCCGCATGCGCTGCTCCTTCCTCGTCGTCGCTGCCAGCCGGCCCGTCTTCACGACCACACCTCCACGCCGCACGCTTCTCCTCGTCGAGCTTCTGGCAGCCACCTGCGCTGCGAGCCTCTTCCCTCGCACTCTCTGCGCGTGGACGCTTGCTGCCCGCCGCTCGCCCTGCTGCCCCTGACGACGCGCGACGCTCCTGCACGACCTGCCACGCCGGCATCCGCCGCTCCTGCCTCCTCACGACCTCCGCTCGCCCGTGCGGCCCCCTCTGCCCAGCATGGCCGCCGACGCATCGGCGCCGCCCGCCTTTGCCTTCCACGACCGCTTCGCCGCCGCGAGCCCCACCAAGCCGGCAGCGTCGAGCGCCGCCGCGGGCAGCAGCAGCCTGGCCGCCTCGTCGAGCGCGCCGACGCTCGACTTTGACTTTGGCGACTTTACCAACTTCGACTCGAGCGCCGCCTTCCCGGCCTTCTCCGTCGCGCCGGCGCTCGCCAGCTCCAAGGCCTACGCTGCTCCGCCGCCGCCGTCGCAGCCGCAGCCAAGCCCAAGCGTCGCCGCACTCGAGGCGGCCGTGGCTGACGCCGAGGAGCAGGAGCCCGACGACGGCGCCGCAGCTGCTGCTGCTGACGCTGAGCGTGCCTCGCGCGACGCCGAGCAGGTCCGACAACGCGCCGCCGCCGCACAAGCAGCGCAGGCGGCGCAGCGTGCGCCCGTCGTGCCGCAGCAGCAGCCACAGCAGGCGCCGCAGCAGCCAGCAGCGGCGCCGTCGAGCAGCACCGACGACCCATTCAGCAGCGCCAACATGTATGCGTCTCCGCCGCGCAAGTCGGCACGGCCAGCACCGCCCAGCGGGCCCAGCGGCTACAACAACGGCAGCCCCGGCGCCGGCCCGCTGCCCCAGCCGCCACGCCTGAACACGGCCGAGAGCCACAGCAGCGCGTCGATGTACTCGTCTGACCCCGCGGCTCCGCCAGCTGCGGCGCTGGAGCGCATGTCCATCTCCAGCGCCCGGCCCGCTCCGCCGCAGCCGCAGCCGCAGCCGCAGCGACGAGAGCCGCGGCCCGAGCAGGAAGAGCGCGCGCGGCCCTCGTCCTTCTTTGGTATGGAGCAGCCGACGGCGAGCGTCGACGCGGCAGGCTTCCGACAGCCGCTGTCTCCGGGCGTGCTCGACGCTGCGCGCCCGGACCAGGCGCGCGGCGATGCCGAGAGCGCCATGTCGCGCAGCCGCCCGTCGTCCTTCTTTGGCGTCGAGGCGCCGGCCGGCTCCAGCCGCCCTGGCGCAGCAGCCGAGCAGAACGGCGCGCAGTCGCAGGCTGCGCGCATCGCGGCCTACCACCGCGGCGAGGCGGAGCGCTCCGCCGCTGCAGGCAACGGCAGCGCTGCCGGACACGGACCGGCGCCGTCGGGCAACTACTCGACGCTCGCCGGCGGCACGGGCAACGGGCCCATGCCCGGCCCGCCATCCGGGCGGCCTGCCAGCATTGCTCCGACGCTCAACAGCGGCGCGCTGCTGGACCACTCGCACCTGCGCCCCGGCCAGCAGGCGGCGCTGCTCTCGCACAACAAGACGCTCGAGCTGTACCGCCAGAACGCCAAGAAGACCAACGACCCGAACCTCATCTACGAGCTGGCCGTGTTCATGATCGACGCGTCCAAGACCATGGGCGGCAACGACGCCGCGTCGGGCGGTTCGGGCGGCTCAGGCTCCGGCTCTGGCGGCGCCGACGGCGCTCCGGGCAAGGAAGAGTCGGCGCGCGACGAGCTGGTGCGCGAGGCCGTCGGCCTGCTGAAGAAGATTGCCGAGCGGGGCCACCCGGACGCGCAGTACTTCCTCGCCGACTGCTACGCCAACGGCATCGGCAGCCCCAAGGGCAAGCAGGACTTCGACCACGCCTACCCGCTCTTCGTGCTCGCCGCCAAGCACGGCCACGCCGACGCCGCGTACCGCGCCGGCACGTGCTACGAGAAGGGCTGGGGATGCCGCAAGGACGCGGGCAAGGCGCTGCAGTTCTATCGCAAGGCGGCGGCGCAGAGCCACCCGGGCGCCATGTACCGCCTCGCCACGGCCGAGCTCAACGGCGAGCTGGGCCTCAAGAAGTCGGCGCGCGAGGGCGTCAAGTGGCTGAAGCGCTCCGCCGAGGCCTCGACGCCCGAGTTCCCACACGCGCTCCACGAGCTGGCGCTGCTGCACGAGCGCGGCATCGACAACATCGTCTTTGTCGACCCGGAGTACGCCTGCGAGCTGCTGGCGCAGGCCGGCGAGATGGGCTACGCGCCCAGCGCGTACAAGCTCGGCGTCAACTACGAGTACGGGCGCATGGGCTGCCCGCAGGACGCCGGCCTCAGCATCCACATGTACAACATTGGTGAGTGCAGCGTGCGGCGCGTGAGTCGCAGGTTGCTGATGCCGCGTCTCCCGCAGCTGCGCAACAAAACCACCGCGAGGCGTGCTTCGCGCTCACGGCGTGGTACCTCGTCGGCGCGCCCGGCATCCTGCCGCAGAGCGACACTGAGGCGTACCTCTGGGCCAAGAAGGCCGCCGAGCAGGGCCTGGCCAAGGCCGAGTACGCCGTCGGCTACTTCACCGAGGTGAGCATGTGTGATGCGCGCAGACGAGCACACGTGCTGACCACTCCGTCGCGCGCAGATGGGCATCGGCACAGTCAAGGACGTGCGCGAGGCGCGCGCCTGGTACCGCGCTGCCGCCGAGCACGGCGACAAGCGCGCCAACCAGCGTCTCGCCGCACTCGGAGCGCAGGGCAACCCGACGCTGGCGGGCATCGGCGCCACGCCCGCCTCGCTGCTCGTCAACGGCGGCGCACCGGGCCCGCACATGGCGCAGGCCGCGCTGGCGGCACAGACGGGCGGCGCGTCGAACGCCTTTGCCGCGCAGCCGCCCAACGCGCCCTTCCCGGGTCAGATGGGCGACGGCGCGGCCTCGCAGATGCCTGGTGGCCCTGGCGGCTCGTACCCGACGCCCATGGCCATGCGCACGGCACAGACTGCGGCGCGCCAGAGCGCTTACGAGCACAACGTCGCCGCCGTGCAGGCCCAGCAGCACGCGCAGCAGCAGCAGCAACAGCGCGGCCCGCCGCGTGGCGACCCGAGGCTCTCGCAGCAGCCGCAGCAGATGCGGCCGCCATCGATGCAGCCGCCGCCGCAGATGCGTCCGCCGTCGACTCAGCCGCCGCCGCACATGCGTCCGCCGTCAACCCAGGCGCCGCCGCACATGCGTCCGCCGTCGATGCAGCCGCCGCCGCACGCGCCTGCGCCGTACGCCGCCGGGCCCATGTCGCCCGGGCGTGGCGGCCCGCCGCCGCAGCAGGCCTACCCGTCCTACCCCTCGTCGCCCATCGGCCCGCCTGGCGCAGCAGCAGCAGGAGCACCCGCCGCGGCGCCGCCGGTGCCCGACAAGAAGAAGGGCTGGTTCGGCCGCGCATGAACGCTGAGCCTCGACGACGCACGCCTGTCCCGGACATTTCTCCTCATCTCTCTCCTCGCACATCTCACCCACTGATGCCGCACTCTGCGCTCGGCAGGTGCCCATCTCGCCCACCTTGCATCTCCCCTTCCCATCGTACATCGACTCAGTCCCCCGCGCGTCCCTTGCGGCCCGCCGAGCGCGCGCCGGACAGGCATCGGCGGCGCCGCTGTGCACCCACCTCGCTCGCGCGTGTGTCTCTCTTCCCCTCCCTAGAGCAATGATCATTCATGGCACCTGCCGCTGCGCTGCACAGTATCGACTTCTTCACCTGCCTCTGCCCGCGACCTGTCGCCTGTGAGGCTGTGGGCCAGCTAGCTGCCTCCTCGGCTTGAAGTTGCTGCAGCTCAAGGTCAGGGGCGTCGCTCGCGCGCACGGCCGCCGCGCGTGCCGCTCCACAAGCGGAAGGCGCGCGGCTAGCAGCTTGCTTCCGCTCCCCATCCTCTCTTCTCGCGGACCGCAGCGCAGTCCCGGTCTGCACGAGCATCACCTGCGCCCTGTCTCTGCGTGGCATTGCGCTCTGCGTCAGGCCCTCTCGGACTGGCACACAGTCCGCCGTCGCTGTCGCACTCGGCAGCGAGACAGGAGCAGCACGATGGCCTCCTCCTCCTCCGCCGCGCCGAGCGGCTCCGCAGCGCCCGCTGCCTCGGCCACAGACGCCGCCGGCTTCTCGGCTGCCGACTTCTTTGACACGCAGACGCCGCCGCCCACGCTTGCCGAGCATGCGGCCGCCGTGCGCGAGTTCGTCGAGAGGCACCGCGGCAAGAGACGCGTGGTGCTTGTCACTGTGAGTGCGAGGGCAGATGGGAACAGCGCTGTGCCGTGTTCGCTGGGACTGGCGGCACGCTGTGACATGTCAGAAGCGGCTGGGCGTCTCGAGTCGAGCCTGGCGACAGCTCTGGCCTCCATGTCTGCGACGATGCACTGACACGATGCACATCTTAGAGCGGAGGCACGACGGTTCCGCTGGAGCAGAACACGTGAGTATGCGGTCCATGTGGCAGCAGGGTCGCTGGTGGACGTAGGCTGGAGCGGGAGGCCAGCCGACAACTAGCGAGACGCACCTATGCTTCACTTAGCGTGCTCGGTCTGTGCTGACACTGCCTCAGTGTCCGCTTCCTCGACAACTTCTCCGCCGGCACGCGAGGCGCGACGTCCGCCGAGTACTTTCTCTCGTCGGGCTACGCCGTGATCTTCATGCACCGGCAACACTCGCTCTCGCCGTACACGCGGCACTACAGCCACACGACGAACCCATTCCTCGACCTGCTCGCCGAGCCGCCGCCGGTGTCGTCCTCGCTGGCGTTCGCGCTGCGATCCAGACTCGACTCATCTAACGATGAGAGCGGCACTGCCACGCCTGGCGCCTCGATGGATGCAATCCGGGTGCGGGCCAAGTACACTGAGCAGCTCCTGCCCGTGCTGCGTGCCTACCACAAGGCCCAGCGCGCTCAGACGCTGCTGCGCATTCCGTTCGTCACCGTCTCGGACTACCTCTTCCTGCTGCGAGACGTCAGCAGGGAGATGCAGCTGCTGGGCAGAGATGGGCTGTACTACCTCGCGGCGGCAGTCAGCGACTTCTTTGTGCCGAGGACCAAGACGGTAAGTGCAGGCAAAGAGGGCCCGTGGAACGAATTGGGCCATAGAGAGAGCAAACGAGCCGGCTGCGTGCAATGCCATCGAAGCGAACGACTCGCGCAGTGGACTAAGGCGGCAGCCGCTGACACCTCTCTATGCGCTCAGCCGCAGCACAAGATTCAGTCTGGCAAGGGCTCGCTCATGATCGAAATGGACCAGGTGCCGAAAGTGCTCAAACCGATGGTGGAGCAGTGGGCGCCGGAGGGCTTCGTCGTCAGCTTCAAGGTGAGCCGTCCTCCGAGCGTGCTTGGCTGTCGCGCGTTGCTCACCCTCATCTGCGACGACAGCTCGAGACGGATCCGGATCTGCTCATTCCCAAGGCGCAGGCGGCGCTCGAGCGCTACGGCCACCAAGTCGTCATCGGCAACGACCTGGCGCTGCGCAAGCAGGAGGTCGTCTTTGTCGAGCCGGCACGCGCCGGCAGCGCAGGAGAGCGCGCATACACGCACCAGTGGCTGCGCCTCTCCGAGCTCTACCCGAACGGCACGCACACGGGCGGCAAGGGCAAGGGCGGCGAGGTCGAGATCGAGGAGGACATCGTCCGGGAGCTCAGCACACGGCATCAGCGCTGGATCGAGCAGGGCCAAAGGCAATGAAGCCGCGTGCAAGCCTAGGATGTCAGAAGAGTGTGAGATTGAGCGTGGCGACAGCAGGAGACGTATGAGATACAGGGACGAGCAAGAAGACACAGTGTGAGGTGCGAGAGGGAACAGAAAGAGACGAGACGGCGCGCTACGTCTTGAGGAAACGGTAGCGCACGCGGTCGGCGGCGACGAGGAAGACGGGCTGCTCGACGCTGGCAGCCTTGGCGTCGCGTGCATTGATCTGCTGGCCGACGGCGTGCGCCAGGCCACCGCCCTGCATCGCCTCGGGCAGCACGACGTAGCCGAGCGGGCCGCAGTCGCACTCGGCGCAGAGCAGGTACTTGACCTTGACGCTCAGCTCCGGCGCGTCGGTCTGCGCTGCGCGCTCAGACTGCTTCGGCTTGGCAGCCGCGGCCGCAGCGGCAGCGGCAGCGGTGGCTTCTTCTGCAGCAGCGCGCTTCTTCTCTGCGCTCCAGAAGATGCTAGGCCGGCGCACGGGCTTGCTTTTCCGCTTTGCGCCGCCTTCCTCGTCGACGGAGGCGAGCGGCGGCGAGGCCACGGGCAGAGGCGGCGGCACCCACGTGTCGTCCTTGGAGAAGCCAATGTTGTCGAAGGAGAGCGGCGACGAGACGCTCCAGAAGCCGCGCACCGGCGTGCGCGTCTGGCCCACGCCGCTCTGCTCGCCAAAGGACGGCACGGCGGAGCGGATGCGCGAGAGTGCCGAAGGCGGCGGCGGTGGTGGCAGCGGAGCCGTCGGCGGCGCCGGCGAGTTGGGCAGCGAGAGCGTCGGCGACGAAAGCTGTACGAATGCGGCTAGATGAGCACACTGCATTGCGCCTCTGCGCACTCAAACTCACCGGTCCAGTCTCGGCGATCTCCCACTCGGCCATGCCTCTGCCCATCAACTTGCAGCCGCACTCCTCGCGCGGGCAGTATAGCTCCGCGATATTTGTGCCCTTCTCACGATTGACGAGACGAGCCTCAAGCGCGTGGAACGCGTCCTCGACGGCCGTCTTGGCCGCCAGCGCCTGTCCGAGCACGCTCGAGTAGGCCGTGCCGGGATTGCGCGGGCCTGACGGCGGCGACGAAGAGGACTGGCCCTTGAGCGCGGCCAAGAGCTTCTCCTGCGTCATGCCTGCCGGCAGACTGCCGTTGGCAGACGTCGGCGGGGCGGCTGCGGCAGACGGAGCGGCACTGCTGGGTGTGGCGCTGGGCGTCGGAGAAGTGCGCGTCGGAGAGGCGCCTGCGGCTGCAGTGCCCCTTTCGGTGGCGGGGCTGGATGGCGCTGCGCTACCTACTGCCGGGCTGGAGGCACCGGAGCTGAACGAGCTAGGGCTCGGCAGCGGCTCTGCGGCAGCTTGCGCGCTCGAGCTCTCGCTGTCCGAGGCGCTCTTGCTCTCGACGCTCTTGACGCTCTTGCCGTCCGCCGACGCATCCTCGACGATCTTCTTGCGCATCTCGAACCAGCCGCCCGTGCCCCACTGCACATGGCTGACGCCAATCTTGCGCCAGCCGAACTTCTCCCACATCGGCGTCACGTCGTCGTGCGCCAGCAGCGCCACACACTCGTAGCCGCGACGCACGTTCTCGGCGCGCCGCAGCCGCCGCATGTACTCCTCAACGAGCATGCGTGCCATGCCTCGCCCGCGGTACCCCGGATGCACACAGATCGAGTGCAGGCACACCAGCCAGGCGTCCTCGTCGCCGCTGTGCACCGACATGCTGCGCGCGGTGAGTGCAGAGGCGGCAGTGGAGCACATGTAGCCGATAAGCTGCCGCGGCGCATTGGCGCTGATCGAGAGCGGGCCGGCGAGCTTCGGCGGCGGAGCGGGCAGGAAGCAGCCCAGGAAGAGATGCGGCGCGTGCTTTTGCCGGTAGCTGTGGGATGCAGGCGTCAGCACACGGCTCAGAGACTCTTGCTAGGGCAGCGCGATAGCAAGTCGCAGCTTCAGGGCCCAGCGCCATCGCGAGATGCAAATTCTGCGCAGCAGGCTCTGAGAGGATCCGCCAGATCGACGCAAGAAGAGACATGCGCGGCAAGCTAATCGAGCGCTGTGCAAGCATCGGACAGCGCGCGAGGCCGCGACACAAGCGCGCAGTCGCTGCGGATGGTGCGCACAGGCACAAGCAAGGGCACACTCATCTACGCTGAGTGGATGCTGCTGCTACAGTCGCCGCTACGGCAGCCTCATATCTCTCCACAATGCCGCGCTCGTTCAGCCACTCACCGCAGCTTCTCGAGACTGGCCGCGTCCTCGCCGTACGCCTCCTTCTCCATCCTCGCCGCGTTGCCCACATCCTCGGGGCGCAGCAGATCGAACGTCATGCCCGCCGGAATCTTGCCGTTTGCGCTGCGCTCCGTCGTGGCGCCCAGCGAGAGCGACGCGATCTGCGCCAGGCCCGGCGACGTCTCGCCATCGCTCGGCGGCGAGGCGCTCATGGTGCGCGCCACGCCGCCGCGCGAGGCGGAGCCGCGCGGCACTGCTGCTGCGGATCCGGCGCTGGCAGGCGAGAGCGGCGGCGAGCTGCGCTCCAGCTCCTGCGGCTCCGACGGCGGCGTGCGCGACTGGCGGCTCGGCGGCTGCGACGAGCTTGCGCCGCTGGTGCTGCGGCTGCCGGCGGCGTAGCTGGTGCTGCGTGCGTGCGCCGACGTCGGCGTGTTGCGCCCGCTCGTGTTCTCCTCGCTGCCGCCGGTGTTGCGGCCGCCGGCACTGCCGGAGCGCGGCGTGTGGTGGCGCCGCTCGCTCCACGCCGACGTGCCGCTGCTGCTGCTGCTGCCGTTGCCGCCCGAGGCGTGGCCGGCGGTGAAGCTGAGCGAGCTGCTGCTGCTGCCGCTGCTGCCGGGCGCCGGGCCCGCGCCGCCGCCGTGGCGCGAGAGGGAGCGCGAGGGCGGCGGGAAGAAGGTGAGCGGGTTCATCGCAGGGGCCGTGGATGTGCGATGTGGTGGTGTGGAGAGAGGCGATGCGCACGACTGGCGAGGAGAGAGTGCGGCAGATGCGAGGAGCGGCTCGGCTTTCTCTCGCTCGCCCTCCGTGTGCCCGCCGCTCGGCAGCGCTCGGCATCGCGCCCGTCGTCGCGCGCGCGCGCGGCCGCAGCGCCGCCCTGATGGCCGCGCGAACCTCGCCCGCTGCCCCGGCCGTACCTTGCTGCGCCCGCGCGCTCGCTGCTCTCCTGCCTCGCTCCCGAGCTCTGATTGCGCACGCGGTGCGCAGACGCCATCAAGGCACGCCGCCCGCCGGCCCCGCTGCGCTAGGCTGCTACGCCGCCGCGATGACGCTTGCCCCACCATCGCGCTCGCACGAGAGCGAGCGAGGAGAGACCGCCGTGCTCGTCACCTCACACGCACGCAGCACCTCGCCGTTCTCCCCCGACTCAGGCACGCGGCCAAGGCTAGCCCGTCACGTCAAAGTGCGCTCCTCTGATGCACCTGCTGCTTCGGCTCAACCACCGCAAGCTCCTCTGATGGCGGGCGAGGAGGAGGGGCGCGACGGAGGAGGAGGCGGGCCGCCGCTCTTCGATTAGCCGCCGGGCCCGCGCAAGAGAGCCAAGAAGCGGCGCCCCACAGCTCCGCCCGATCCGTCCCGCTCGCTGCGGCAGCACACACACGGCCATCTCCCACGCCTTGTTCGCTGTGCACGCTCCATCGCCCATGCTCGAGCCTACGCCGCAGCACGCCGAGCGTTGCAGGAGAGCTGGCTGCAGCGCGCGGCGAGGCTCGCAGCCGCCGCCGCCGCGCGCGCGCGCCGCTTTATCCTGGCGCGGCGCCCGAGCTTGCGCCGAGCGCCGCCGCACTCGAGATCGCGATGGTCTGCTCGCCTCCTAGGCGGGAACGAGCGAGGCGGTGAGCAGGCCTGACCGCTGCCCAGCCTCGCAGCGAGAGTCACAGCAGGAGGCTGCATGCTGTCAGAGCGAGCCAGCGCTGCGGACCGGGCTTTGTTGCTGCTGACGGCTGCCCCTGCCGCTCTGCACTGCGCGTGCCCGGGCGGGCGGAGTGTGGGGTGGCAGCCGTGCCAAGCCGGGCTGCACCCTGCGCCGCCCTTCTTCGATGCTCGTCGCTCCCGGCATCCGGGACGGTGCGGGGCCCCAGCTGGCCTCAGCCGCTCAGCGTACAGAGCGGCATCAGCGTCGGAACACGGCACGAGCACAACATCGAAGGGCTGCGCGCTGGCGGCCCCCAACCTTCCGCTTGGCGCGATCGGCCGGCAGCGACGCGCAGCTATATCAGGCATCCGGAGATCTCTGCCCTCCGTCGCGGCCAACGAGACCAGCCCGCATTGCACGCAGTCATCGCAGACGTGGAGCTGAGCAACTGCTCGTCGCAGTCGACCTCCTGCTGCTGGGCTCCACACGTGGTCACGCAGCAGGGCCAGAGCACGTCGACGAGCCTGCTGTCCGTCGCGCCCTGACGGCAGCCACGTCACGCGACCACAGCCAGAGCGCTCCTGCAGAGCCAGGCTTCTCCGTGCGTCGCCGTTCGGGCATCCACGAAGCTCGCTCGACGCCTCCAACATGGTCCCAGGACACGCATTGCTGCATTGCCATGCGCCTCCCTGGCCGCGTCTCATTTCTGCCTGTTCATCGAGCGTTCCTTGAACACTGAGAACTCGTCCTGTCGCGCGCAGAGGCAGTCAGCAGACGCAGGGCCTTCGCAGCCATTCTGTGCGCGCCGCGTGCGACTCACGAGCAGCATCTTTGGGCGGAAGGGCCACTTGTCGTAGGCCTTGGACAGCGCCACCCACTGCTTGATCGTCAGGCTCCACACGGGCGTGTCGGGGTTGATGGCCTCGTCCTGCCGGTCCTGCATGTCCGGGTGGTCCGGATGCAGCTTCCGCAGCACGTTGATCGCACCGGGCGCCAGGTGCCTGATGTGTCGTCGGGTGAGCATGCCGCACGAGAGACTAGAGCTGCCAGACAGCCAACACTCACTCCATGGAGATGCGGATCGGCTGGCTGCGCAGCACAAAGGTGTTGCGCACCATATGCTCAAACGCCTCCATCTCGCGCGTCACGAGCAGCGGCTGCGCCTTGGGCTCCACGACGATCAGGCTTTTCCGGAGACGGTAGTCGGCGCGGTGCTGGCGCGACTCGGCCGCGCGGTCACGCTCCAGACTGTCCACCTTCTCCGCGCTGAGGAGCTCCTTGCTGAGCGGGCACGGATAGATGTGCGAGGCCAGCGGCGTCAGCTCCGAGGGCTCGACCGCTTCTCGTACGTCCGTCAGCGTCTGCGTCGTCACGCCCAGCTTGTGCCGATGCTTCGTGCCAGGCTGCGCCAATGCGCGCTGGCAGAGAAGCGCCGTCAGCACGCGAGCGACCTTCTCGCACTCGCTTGGCGCATACTCACAAGCGCCAGCGCCTCGGAGCACAGCACGACCATCTTGACGCGCCCGTACTGGAAGAGCCAGCCGCGCGACGCGACGGCGGCGACGAGCTGCGCATAGAGCTGCTCGCCGTGCACGGAGTTGGGCAGGTGGCAGAGGAAGATGATCGACGACGGCTCTGCGGGCAGCGCACACGAGCGGTCAGCGCGGCGGCAGCAGCGCAGCTGCGCAGACATCGACGGCACCTACTTTGCCAGTCGGGCGCATCGTGGCTGCGTGGGCTCACGGGACCCATGACGAAGCCGCCATCCTGGACGGCCGCGGGGTCCTGCAGATGATCGAAGGCGCCGGCACGCCGCATTCTTTCGTACGTGGTCCAGCGGTAGGCGTTGCCCTTCTCGATGTACAGCCGATCCCCCGGCAGGCCGCGCGACAGCGTCTCGTCAGTTTTGAGGCGCTGCGGAAAGAGGTGAGATGTCGTGGGCGGCAGCGGACGACCGAGGCACATACCTCGAGGAAGGAAAGCATCGAGGGGTTGTCCTCCATCGCCAGCACCTTGTCCACCGCCGGATGGTCGAGCAGCAGGCGTGTCACCGAGCCGACGCCTGCCAAGATCTGTCAGTGATGCGCGCAGCAGCCGCAGTGCGCCCTTGCCACACACCTGCATACGCCTCCACCACGGTGACGCCCTGCTTGCCGTCCAGGTCCATCTCCTCGACGATGCGCTCGGCCAGCGAGCGGCTGCGCACAAAGTAGCGCCCCTTGCCAAGGTAGCCGAGGATCTTGGGCTCGAGCTCGTGGCGCCACTGGTCCAAGGGAGGCATGTGCTCCGGGAAGTTGTCGTACGGATCGGCGTGCAGCACGGGCCCAAGCTCCGGCGGCGGCGGCGGCGGCTGCCGCGGCAGCCGCCGCACCCGCGTCGCCGACGCGCTGATGCGTCCCGTCATCGAATGGCGGTACAGGTCTGGCGGCATGGAGCGGTTGTTGGCGTCGAAGTACTGCAACACCTCGACGATGCGCTCCGGCTCATAGCCGCCGCGCTGCAGCTCCCGGAAGATGCTCATGGGCACCCTGCGGAACTGCTTAACCCTGGGCACGCCCAGCTCGCGCAGCGCCTGGGCCTCGCCGGGCGAGACGCGGTCTATTGGCTCAGTGTCACCAGAATCCTCGTGCTCTTTGCGGCGCTGCTCGCGCAGCTGCTCGAAGTGGTGCAGGGCGAAGGTCCAGTGCGGGTGCTTCTCGAAGGCGGCGCGGGCGCCGGCAATGTCTTCCAGCGAGCCCTCCAGCGCTGCCGCATTCGCCGCATTCTTGCGCGCGCGCTCGCCAGGTGGGCGCCCACGCTTGGGCTTCGGCTCCGCCTCGGCAGCGGCATCGGTGCCTGTGGCGGGAGCGACGGGCTCGGCTACGGGCGCCGCAGCGACTGCCGGCGCGGGTGCGGGTGCGGCGGCTGCTGGGGCCGAGCTGGAGCTGGCGCGCACCGCCGCCGCCGCCAGCACGACGCGCGGCCGCACCGCCTGGCGCGCCCATGCCGCAGCGGGCCGCAGCAGCGTGGCGTGCAGGGAGTGCACCATGGCGGGCGGTCGCGGGGTGCCAGGGTGTGCGGGAGTGTGGAGCGGAGCAGGGCTGGAGCGGACGGCGGCATACACCGCGTACGAAAGTCGCGGCCGGCGCACGCAGCTCGAGCTCGCCTCGGCGACACGCGGCCGAAGATCGCCGCCGCGGCCTGTCTGCGCAGCCTCCACAGCGCTGCGCCGCCGAGCGGAGCCTGAACGTGCGCACGGCGTGGGACCCGCTCCGGACAAGGGTCCGCGCCCTCGCCGCCGTCTGATCGGCGCACGCAGCAGCATCAAGAGATGCCTGTCCCTCGGCGTGCCAGCCGCAGGAGCTGCTCAGAGCAGGGAGCGCTGGCTGCCATTGCTGCGCTGGACGGGCAGCCGGAGATCGGGACACGCAGGCGCTCATGCAGGGGGACGGCGTGGCTGGGAGCGGCGAGGCGGGCGGCCGGCTGCTGCGCGCGCGTCGCGTCATCTGGGCTGCGCGGTGACTCGCGGCGTGCCTCGCCTTGCCCCGCGCTGCGCCGATGCGGTGCGGCAGCCGTGCGCGCGGCGGCGTGCGGGTCCCTCGCCCTCGCCTCGCCTCGCCTCGCCTCGCCGACGTGGAGCTCGCCCACTGCGGGCCCTTGCCTCACACCCTCATCTACTCTCACACACGCACACTCCAACACCAGCCAGCTCTCGCCTCTCTCTCTCGCTCTTTTCGCTCGTCATCACGCCCAGCCTCATACCTCCTGCGCCGCTCACACATACCCTTACCGCTCCCGCTCCCACGCGTCGTGCACGCGTCTCTTTCTCTTGTCTCGCTCGTCTCTCCGGTCGCTGCCCTCACTCTCTGCTCGTCTCTCTGTAGCATCTCGTCTCTCTTCTCGCCTTTGCCGCTTCCAGCGCACGCTCCACGCCGCGCACTCCGCTTCCATGCCCAGTCCGCCCGGCACCGCCTCGTCGACCGCCGCCGCCTCCTCCACCTCTCGCACCTCGAGCACGCGCCGCAGCAGCAGCACACGCGCGCCGCGCTCCTCGTCGCCCTCGCCGCTCTCCTCCTCCGTCTCTACCGGCGCAGCCGCCCCGGCCGCCGCGCCTGCGCCGGCACCACAGCCTGCCGTCTCGCGCCGCATCAGTGCCACGCCGCTGCGCGCACCGCGCCCGCTCGAGGCACTCAGCGATGCGCTGGCACATCTCGGCTCCAGCGCCTCGGCGCTGCTAGCACACCACGCCAGCGCCGCGCGCAGCCACGTCTCTGCCGCTGCCGGCGCTGCCACCGCCTCGTCGCCCGCGCCGCAGCCCGCCGAGCCGGCGCCTGCCGAGCTGCAGCTGCCCGATGCGGCGCAACGTGTGGCGTGGGCGACGTGGGAGCGCGTCTCGGACGCGCACGTCTTTCTGCTGCTCGGCTACGCCGCCGGAGGCCTGCAGATGTATGCGCTGCGCGACGATGTGCTGGAGGAGCGACTAGACATCCGAGGTGTCCTGCTGCCCAGCGAGGACGCCGCCGGAGCCGTGCTGGCCGCGCGCCTCAGCCACATTGGCGGGCAGCTCGTGCTGGCGTGCGCAGCCGAGCAGGGTATTACGCTCGCCGCGTATGATCTGGCCACGCATGCAGTGCCACGAGCAACGCTCGTGCGTAGCGCCTCACCTCCGACGACTGCGTCAGAAGTGCAGCTGCGTGTGTCGTCGAGCTATGTCGTGCTGGCGCACGCCGGCAAGCTGCACGTGCACTGCGCCAGCACGCTGGCAGCGCTGCGCATCATCGACGTGTCGAGCGGCAGCAGTACGCTGCCTGCATTCGACCTCTCCTCACGTATCCTCGCCTATGCCACGCCGACGCCGCCGCGCAGCGGCACTGGCGTGATCGCCTCGCCGCCGGGCCACAGCCTTTTGCGCAGCGCCACGTCGCCACGTTCTGCCTCGAGCAGCTCCTCGCATGCAGCCGCGGCGCTGGACGCCGGCGTACAGCTCTCTACGCATGCGTACAAGCTTGGAGGAGACGTGTTGGGCGCGGCCAAGACGTGGGGTAACGCGTACTGGACTTCGGCCGCGACAGCAGCAGCGACAGGCGGAGTGGCAGGGGGCGAAGCCAGCAGCCCGGCGAGGGCCGGCAGTCCCTTCTCGCGCTCTGCGCCGCAAGCTTCGCCGCGCGGCGGCTCGCCTTCGTCGCCGGCGCTGCTGCCTCGCTCAGAGGCGCCGCGTAGCAGCATCGTGGTGCTCGACCTGAAGCGCAACCGCACGCTGGCGCACTTGACGCCAGCGCATCGAGGCGCCGATGTTCGCCTCGTCAGCCTGTCGCCCAACGCGGAGATGCTCCTCACGGCCGATGAGAGAGGGCACGGAGCGCTGGTGTTTGAGCTGAGGCCGGGCGTGCTGGGCAGAGAGGGCGCCAGCTGGCTGCGCTACCGAGTGAGTCGTCGTTGACTCGTATCCTGCTCCGTTTGCGCAGTCTGCTAACGCGTGCTCGCGTGCTTAGCTCTTCCGCGGCCACACAACAGCCTCATTGATCGACGCAGCATGGAGCCGATCTGGCCTGCTCACGCTGCTATCAGCACGAGGCACGGCGCATGTCTTTGCCCTGCGCAATCCGCTCGTGGCGCCTTCGAATCCGGAGCCGCCGACGGAGCTGAGCGTGACGCTCAACGCCATCGCACGGACCAGGCGCGTTGCGGACCAGAATGCGCCAGCGGTGCCAGCAGCCGAGGGAGCGCAAGAAGAGGCGGTCGACGTGCCGCTGCCGGCCCTTGCGATGCTCGAGACGCCCATCCGCAATGCGGAGAATGCTGCTTCGACAGACGAAGCGGCAGGAGCAAGTGCAAAGACTGCAAGTCTGCAGCTGATGATCTTCGAAGGCCTCACGGCGGCCATTGCACTGCATCATGTCACGCTGGCACAAGAAGCGCTGCCTTCTGCGCCAACCATCAGCCCTAGCTCGAGCAGCTCCGGTCTGACGCAGATGATGCGTCGCGCGAGCGGCATGAGCCTGGCGATGTCGCCTGGCGCTCCTCCTCGTCGGCCTTCCTCCGCGACCCCAGCAACACCGGCGGCGCGTCTCGTGGCTTCGTGCACGCGTGCTGCCTGCTGGAACGAAGTCGCGCGCGCCGACGATGGTCTAGAGGTCCGCCTCCCCTTTGCCTTGTCTGCTACGCGCAAGACTATGGATGCTGCACCTCCAGCAAGCTGGATCTCGCGCGCCGAGATCACCACGCATGGCGGCGCGCCGGGTCCGCTGTACCTGTCGCGTCAGATGGTGTTCAACACCTACGACCTGCCTACGCTGGCGCGCAGACGCAAAGTGCCGCTCTACGTCGAGCTACATCGGGCCGCAGCGAGCCGCCTGGTGGTGCGCGACGAGGTCGAGGCTCGCTCAAACAGCGAGCCGCAGGACGGTGGCACGCCAACTTCGTTCGACGAGCGCCTCGCCTCGGCTATGCGTCTGTCCGCCTTCGACTCGGACGCTGCTCGCTCTGCGTCGCGCTCGCCTTCAGCCCACATACCCGCATTCCCACAGGGCGGCAGAGCACGACAGCCATCTTGGACATCGCGAGCCAGCGCCGGGATCGCCGCCATCCCCATCCGGGCCGGGGCGCTCGGCATGAGCGCGCGTCGCGGATGGAGCAGCGGCACACCCGAGAAGAAGAAGGTCGCGCCGCTGCTCAGCTTCGAGGAGGCACCCGACGATGCGGCGCTCTTCGTCTCTGCGACGACTCCTGCATCGCTCGGCACCAACGAGGGCTCGCTGCGGCGCGTGGGCCTCCTCGAAAGCGCCTCGAACGGCTCGTCTGCCGAGACGCCGCCGACGGGCAACGAGAGCGAGGACGAGTGGGACGGCCTGCGGGACCGCGAGTTCCAGCCGCGCAGCGTGCCCAAGATGGACGACGAAGAGGTCGAGGTCAAGCGGCGAGAGGCGTCCGAGGATGTGGTCGGCATCTTCGGTGGCTTTGAGGAGGATGCGATTGCATCACGGGCGACAACAACGCGCGAGGTAGATGGCGGCGTAGAGGCGGCGGAGCCGCTCAAGGCTGCGCAGCCGACGCAGCTCTTCTACTCGCGCCATCTCGCTGCGTCCCTCACTGCGCCGGGCAGCATGCCTTCCAGCCTCTCGCGCGCGATGCCCGTCGGCATCGAGAAGGACGACGCAGCGAGCACGAAGAACGCAGCGCGGCCATCGAGCTCGGCACCTTCGAGCGACCCGATCATCGTCGACGCGGCTCGCAGCACGCGTGTCGTCAAGAGCGCGACGCAGAAGACCGGCAAGGGAAAGAAGGGCCATCGCGACTGAACAATGGACGTGTGGCTGTGGGCTCCGGATCTGCTCCTCATCTCTTCCCGTCTCTCCACTGGGCCACGACGCTCGTCGTCAGCCACGCGCCTCTTCTGCCTCCGTCTGTCGGCCCACACCACCACTTCCAACGAAATCTCACTCGTCTATCACCCTGCATTGCATTCATCGCTTGCCTCCCTGCGCCTTCTTCACCAGGTCGTCGAGCGCCAGCGGCTCCCAGTCTTCGCCATCGCGGCTCCACACGACGTCGTCGTCGAGATAGAAGACGACGCCGCCCTTGTCCATGCCGCGCGCGATGCGGAAGAGCGGCAGGCCGTTGGTCGGGTGCGACTTGTCGAGCGGCAGCACGAGCAGGTCGGCCGCGGCTGCCGCCTCCTCGACGATGCGCCGGAAGGAGACGGCCTCGCTCTGCGCTGCGGCTGCCGGCGGCGGCGCTGGAGCAGAGGCGGCTGCAAACGCGGCACGCGACAAAGGCGTCGTGTCGGGCTTCGGCAGACGGGTGCGGGCAGCAGCATTGGGCGCCTCCATCGCCTGGTTGACGAGGTCGAGGCCGCGTGCAAAGCCCTGCTTGACGCCCGGCAGTGCCGCGACCTCGGCCGGGAACTGGGCACGCCAGAAAGAGTACCACTGCGCCACCTCGTCGAAGTCGACGCCCGGCTGCGTGAGCCAGAGATGCAGCGTCGAGAGCCACGCGGGGAAGAAGTCGGCCTCGAAGAGACGGCTGAGGTTGAGCGGCCGCAGCAGCGTGCGCCACTGCATGACGGCGACGAACGGCGCCAGGTCTTGAGCTGCAGGATTGATGCGCAGCGACTTGAGATGCGCAGAGAGCTTCGGCAGCACGAGCGAGAGGAGCATGGCTTCCCAGTCCTTGCTCGCATAGACGTCCTGCCAGCGCGAGAGATCGGCCGGCACCCCGTCGCTGGCACGCCAGCTCTTGAGCGACGAGCGCAGCCGCCGCCGAGCGTCCTCCATCACCTCGGTCATGCGGTCGCCGAGGACAGGCAGCCACGGGAAGATGATCGTCGAGAGCGGCGTCTTGCTGCGCGGCTCCCACTCGGCCACGGCGGCGCGCAGCTTGGGCAGCAGCAGCTGGTCAAGAAGGTTGTCGTAGATGAAGCGCGGCAGCAGCGGCGTCCACGCCTCGAGCAGCGCGATGGCAGCTGCCGACGTGTGACCGCTGCTCGACGACGGACGCCAGGTGTTGTTGAGGGCAGAGCGCACCGGCGGCATCCACAGCGTCCACAGCAGCACTTCGTACGGGCGCATCGAGCGCGCCGCATCGTTGCTGGGCGCCTTGCGCTCATTGCCATACGCATCGACTTCGCGCTTCTGCTCCGGGCTCTCGATGCGTAGCACGCGACGCCAGCGTCTCAGCTGCTTCGTCAAGCGCTTTGGATCCTCGAGCGGCTGCCAGTCCTGCATCTCGCGCTTGAATGTTGCCGCGATAGCGCCGACCAAAGCTTCGTCCAGCCCGAACTGTTCCACTTCTTGCGCCGACTGCTCCATCTTGCCCACGACGGCCTCGAACGCTTCCAAGCTGCTCGCATCGGCTGCGACGCCTTCCAGCTGCCTGACCAGTGCCAACGCTGCACGAAGGCTCTGCGCATCAGCGCTTATCTTGACTCTCCGTCGCTCGGCCTCGTCGCGCTCTCTTATAAGCCAGCGTCGGCGTTCAAGGATACGCGTGCCTTCCTGCGCGAGGCCCTTGAGCAGGCTCGAGTTGTTGGTGCAGATGAGGCGCAGGTTGTGTCGCAGCTCCGGCAGCTGCGTCGTATCGGCGGACGGCACGCCCTGCATGGCAAGCGCCTGCGAGAGCGACGAGACTTCGACGACTTTGGCGCCCGTAGCGTCGAGGATCGGGCCCATGTCGGCGCCGGCAGGAGGCGCAGCGCCGGCCTCTTCGAGGATCTGCTCGTACGTGCGGTGCTCGACTTTGGGCTTCCTCGCCTTGCGCTCCGTGCGCTGCCACGCCTGCACCTTGATCTCGCCGCTCTCCTTCTTCTCCTTCCGATCCCTGCCGCGTCGCCGCTCCTTCGGCGCCTCTTCGTCCTCGCTGACGGCCTCTCCTCTCCGGCGTGCCTCCTCCTTCGCCTGCTTCGTCTTCTCGCGGAAGCCGCCAAAGGCGATACCGGAGCGCTCCGGCCGCTGCTGCACCTCGATAGGGTTGATGATGCCTTCTCCCTCCTTTCCTAGGCCGCCGCCCGACCAGCCCATGCGTGACATCATCATCGAGGCAAAGGCACCGCCATGGCCCGGCGCGATGGGCTTGGCGGGCGCCGAGCGCAGAAAGGATGGCTTGGGCTTGGGTTTCGGCTGGAAAGCTGTTGAGGCGCCGAACGAGGATGGCACGCCAGCCGCAGAGAGCGCAGGGTCTGCTCGCGGCGCTGGCTCATCATCGTCGTCGTCGTCGATGTCCATGGCGTCGGGCGCACGGGCACCGATGCCGCTGCGGGCCGGCGCTGCGGTACTGCCGATGCCACCGCGGGGAGCTGCGGCACCGGCACTGCTTCCAATGCCGCCTCGACTTGGCGGCTCCCCTGCGCCTAGCCCTGCCCGCGCACCTATGCCGCCACGACTGCCGATCCCACCCCTTCCCGCATCGCCCCTGCTGGCGCTGAAGCCCGCCGGCTCGAAGCCCTCCTTGGAGTCGGCCTGCCGCCGTGCCTCGGCCTCGGCAGCTGTCGGCGGCAGCGCGCCAAATGCAGGCCGCGTCTCGAGCTCTTCCTGCGCCGTTGCCGGCTCTCGCGCCAGCCGCGAGGCGGGTGAGAGAGAGCGCGACGAGGAAGACGAAGAGGAGGAGCGCGATGAGGCTGAGGATGATGATGGCGCTGAACGCTTAGAGCCGCTGGGCCCTGCCGATGATGACGAAGCCACGAAGGCCTGCCCGCTGTGGCAGGTGTCAGCAGCCAGGCTTGCCGCTTCGGCCTGCTGTACTCACGCTGCGTAGTTGGGCCTGCCTCTCGCCTGGCCCTTGCTCTTGGCGCCGCCGAGGCCGCGACGCGCTTTCGGCGCCTCGTCCTCTTCGGCAAAGACGCCATACAGCGCCTCCTCCTTGCTGCGCTGTGGCCGCCCGCTGCGCCCGCCGTCGTCGTCGGAGCCCGAGGCGCTGGAGGCAGACGAGTAGTACTCGGCATCGCGCGGCCGTGCCATGCCGGACATGGCTGCTGCAGCTGGAGCGCGAGACGTACGCGCTGCGCCAGTGAAGGCAGCGCGCGAGGAAGAGAAGCGTGAGGGCGAGAGGCGAGAGGAGATGTGAGGAGCGGACGAGAAGAAGCACCGCCGGCGGCGGCGGACTGGAGGCGAGACGCGCGCCATTACAACAATCCGCGCGCGGCAGAGAGCAGAGCGCACACGCGACTACAAGTCCACGGCGGCCGTTGTATTCGCCCGCCCGCTGCGCACGGCTTGCACTTGGCCCACCCACCCACTCCTAACGCGCCACCACCACCTCCCGTCCCTCGTCCCCCCACCCGCTGAGCACCCGCTGATTGCAGCTGCCTCTGCTTCGCACTCTTCCTCGCTTCCTCTTCCTCACGACTCCGTCTGCAGTCGCGACAAGCCGCGAACAGCAGCACGCCTCCGCTGCCTCGTGCACCTCGCTCCACTCCTCCAACTCCGCCGCTGTGCTCGAGCCTCAGCAGCTCGTGAAGCTCTCATCTGCGTCTGGCTTGCGCCTCATCTCCACTTGCCAGCACACCGCGTCGAGCTCGCTCCAACATGGTGCGTGCCTCCGCTGCTGGCCCGCTCCGCTGCCACTGACCGCTCGCACAGTCCACGCCCTCCAAGCGTCGCCTGATCCGCGACTTCAAGCGTCTCTCCACCGACCCGCCGGGCGGCATCTCGGGCGCGCCGTGCGCCGACAACCTGCTCATCTGGAACGCCGTCATCTTCGGGCCCGCCGAGACGCCGTTCGAGGACGGCACCTTCAAGCTCGTGCTGACGTTCGACGAGGCCTACCCCAACAAGCCGCCCAGCGTCAAGTTCCTCAGCCGCATGTTCCACCCCAACGTCTACGCCAACGGCGAGCTCTGCCTCGACATCCTGCAGAACCGCTGGAGCCCGACGTACGACGTCGCCGCCATCCTCACGAGCATCCAGAGCCTGCTGCACGACCCCAACCCGAACAGGTGAGTGCAGGCAAGGGAGGGCAGGACAGGGTGCTGGAGGGCCAGTGCGCAGCGGAAGGACGCAGAAGCGCTGCGCTCGAGTCGCGGTCCAATTGTTGGTGGACATGTCGCTTGCAACGCAAGCGTCTGCGTCCGGGCTGGGACCGCGTACTGCCGAGACGGTCCGCGCACTGGTCACTCCTCAGCACATGTCCATCGTTTGCTTTAGTCCGGTCGGGCGACCGCTTGCAGTGCTTTGACGGCGCCGGGGGTTGTGCCTTGGACCTATCTGCGGTTTGCATGTCTCGCCTTCGGCACCGAAGTTGCATCGCTTCCGCGTCAACTCTCTGCTCACTGCGTTTGCTCTCTCTACAGCCCTGCGAACGCCGAGGCCGCCCAGCTCTACCGCGAGAACATGAAGGAGTACGTGCGGCGCGTCAAGGCCACTGTCGAGGCTTCGTGGCTCGACGAGGGCGAGGGTGCGGGCCTCGAGGCCGTCGCTGAGGAGGGCGCCGCGCCGGCCGCAGGCGCTGCGCAGGGAGAGAACGCTGCGGCGGCTGGGCAAGCGACGGCATAGACCAGTCGAGTTGTGCGTGCCTTCACCGTCCCTCACGAGCAAGCTCGCTGTCGGCGTCGTCTCGACCGCTCACGGCGCCGCTTCATCCCTTCACAAGTCTCTTTCCACCGTCGCGCGCACCACCTCCCTCCTCTCATCTACCTTCACGATCCTGCACCCTGCTCGTCTCTCGCTCCAAGCACTATTCCTCGACGCCATGTATCTCAGCCTTGTTCCTCCATCAGATTCGGCACCCCAGCGCTCATCTTCCGCGCCACCTTCCTCTCTGACCTCAACACCACCTTCCACCCTCTTCCCCAGCCTCGATCGTTCCAGCCCTCTCAGTCCTTGCTTCCACGCGTCTACCACTGTTCCTGCATCGAATCTCTAGTCATCAAGCACTGCGCTGTGTCACTGTCTGATGCATTTCAGACGTCCGTATGAAGAGAGGTGCAAGGATGAGGGATGGCAAGAGATGTCCGAGCGGGCGCGGCAAGGATGATGGAGAGACGAGACTGCACGGATCAGGCGTCTGCTGGCACGTTCTCGTAGAAGAGCAGGTAGGCGTGCTTGGTGTTCAGCACCTCGTCGATCGACGCCGGGCGCACGAGCGAGTCGGACGTGAAGAGCCAGCGGCGCTGGTCTGGCACGGCGGCCGCCGCTGCGGTTGCACCTGCGACGCTGCTGGCCGGCGTGGCGGCCGACGAGGCAGTGGTGGCGGGCGTGGCGGCATCGGCACTGCTGCGCACACTCGAGGCGCTACTGCTAGTCGTCGTTGACGCCATCGTGCCTTCGGACGTCGACGGCTGCATCGTGCGCGCGGCATCTGCGCCGTCCGCACCAGCCGCACCGCTAGCTGAGGCGGACGAGACAGACTTGATGCTCGCGCTGCCTGCGTCCGACGTGGCACCCAGGGCGGGCGAAGAGGCTACAGACGGGCGACGTGAGTCGCTCGTCGTCGGCGCCGGCGTGGTCGAGGACGAGGAGGTGGACGGCGCGGGAGGAGCGAGGACGAAAGCCGTGTAGTGGCCGGATGACATCGTTCCTTGACTGCAGGCGAGACGACATGGGTCAGCGGGTGGAACCCTGTCAAGTCAAGAGCAGACTCACTGCATCACGACCGCATACAGCCGGTATCTCGTGCTCGGCGCGTCGCCATCGACGACGCTGGTCGGCTTGGTCTCCGGGCGGCCGCGCGAGTGCCAGTGCCAGCGGTGATGGCTCTCCTTCTGGCGCTTCTCCTCCACTTCGCCGCCGAGCATGGCAGCCTTCTTGAGCGCACGTTCGTCGCTCGATGCCTTCAGCATGCCGGCGCGGTCGTACTCCTCGCGCGGCGGCGCCACGAACGGCGCAATGTCGAGCAGCTCGGGAAAGCTGACGACATCGTCGATCTTCTTGCTGCCGCCGGCAAACGACGAGAAGCCGTAGGTGCGATTGACGTGCTGGAAGCGCTTGAAGTGGAACACCAGCACAGGCGGCGTGCTGGCGATGAGGTAGCGCTTCAGTGCGCGCTGCGCGATCGACTGCGTCGAGCGGCGTCTTCGTGGCGCGCCCGACGAAACGCGCAGCGTCCTGAGCGCATCCACTGGCGCACCGCGGTCCGAGGCCGAGTCGGTGCCTCGGCCCGTCGACGCCTCCGTCTCGGAGCCCGTGACATCACCGCTCTCCTCGTCGCTTGTGGCGTACTCGCTGCCTGTCGTGCTGGTCTTGGCAATGGTGCGCAGACTGCCCGGAATCGCCTGCGGCGCACGCAGACTGCCGTCGGCGCCCGGCCAGCGCGGCGATGCAGTGGCAACAGCCGGCGTGGCGGGCGACGTCTCGATGATGGGAATCGGCATGCTGCGCGTGATGCTCTGCAGCTCGTCCTCGCCCGACGTCTCGCCCAGGGACGAGGCACTGCCGCGTCGCGAGTCATCGGCCGGAGGAGGCAGATGAGAGGCCTTGATCGTGTCGGTGCCGTTTGCCACGATTGGCGTCGGCACGGCCACCTTGATGCCTTGGTGCGGCTGCTCTTCCTCGCCCGCGTCCGAGTCCTCCTCGTCGTCCTCGCTCTTCTCGCTCTCGGCATCATCCTCGCCCCTGCGCGCCCTGCGTCTCAGCTGGCGCGCGCGTTCTGCCGGCGTAAGCGGGTTCGCGAGGCGCCAGCAGCGCTTGCACGCATAGCGATTGTCGCCATCGAGCGCCTCGACGGCGGTGAACTGCATGAGCGACTTGACGAGGCCGGTTCCGGCCTGCGCAGCTAGCACATCAGCCTGCGTCGCAGGAGTGCCGCGTGAGCGCGCCGCGAGGTGCGCCTCGCTTGGCGCCGGCGCTGCGGCAGTCGTGCCTGCCCAGCGAGGCCACAGAAAGCCAGCGCTGCCGCTGGGTGCCTCGGCGCGCGGCACGTCGGCAAAGAGTCGTGTGATGTAGGCGCCCTGGCGGTTAGAGGCGCCTCGCTTCATCGGCTCACCGCCGCTGCGCGCTCCAGCCGCCGACTCCGTCTCGCTGGGCGGGTTTGGACTGCTGACGCGGCTCGGTGGCTCGCTCGACTTGCCGCCCATACGCCCGCTGACAGCGCGCAGCAGACCGCCGCTCGAGCTCGCAGGCGGCGCGTGGTGCTTGGTCGCAAATGCGCGCTCGGCGTCAGAGTAGGCGGCAAAGTCGGGCGCTAGCGACATGGCTGCTGCGTCCGGCACGCGCGCGCTGCTTGACGGGCCCTCGGCCGCGCTCTCGACGTCCGTGTCACTGCCGCCGCCGCGCGCCAGCAGCTTGCGCATCTGCTCCACCTCTGACGCCGTCGGGCCCGCGCCATTGATGTGAGGGCTTGGCGCCGGGCTGATGCCCGCCTTGGGCCGCGGCATGGCGCTCTTCGGCCGCGCAATGCTGAAGCCGCGAAGGAGCCCCGGCGTCGAGTCAGCCTCGGCCTCGCTCATCTGCCCATCCTCCAGACGCTGCAGCGCCTGTGCGGTCTCGGCCGCGGAACGCGGACGCGGCGGAGGCTTCGCTCCATGCCCACGCCGCCAGCGGTCGGCCATCTTGCGGATGCTGTGCCGTTGCTGTTGCGAGCGTCAGTGTGAGCTCTCGCAGCCGCCTTCAGCGCGCGAAGACTCACCTTGACGCCTTTCGTGTCTGACTCGGGCCGCACCGGCAGCGAGACATCGAGGAAGTCCTCGTACTGAGAGAGCGCAGGTCAGCCGGACAGCTCCCGCACCGTGCCTGGCGTTCGCGCCGCTTGCCCACGCCGCACTCACAGTATGCGAGACGTGCCGACACCCCTCGCACACGACTGCGCTCAGCAGCTTGCCGCCGAAGACAGCGTCGACAAACGGGCGCATCTTCGGCTCCTCCGGCAGCGGCGCAAGAGCGTGCAGCGGATCAGCGCGAGCTGTGGCACGAGGCGTATGTGCCTCTTCCTCGACCTGCGCTGTCATTGCCAGTGTCGCAGTGCGCGAAGGACGCGGCCTGCGTCGCGCAGACGGCGTCGCGGGCTGCAGCTTCTTGATGAGGTCCATCTCCTCCATGCGCATGGCATCGAGGAGATGCACAAGCAGCTCGTGCCCATCCTGCTGCCCATAGTCGCCGTAGTGGCTGTACTTGCGGATCAGCGCGCCCAGCAGCGGCTTGGCATTCACCGCCGGCACCTTGCCGCCGCGGCGATGCCGGTTCGAGTTGGCAGAGGGCCACGTCTGCTCGAGCGTGTGCCGAAAGGCCGTGTTCAACGGCACGTCTGAGGCGCTCGGCACGTGCGTCGAGGGCGCGATGAATGAGGCAGACGGCGTCGCAGCCGGCCGCGGCGTGGCAGTGGCCGACGTCGAGGTGCTAGGCGCGCCCGCATCGTCCAGCGTCGTGAACGGAGCGGGCGCGGCGAAGCGCGGAGGTGCAGGCGCCTGGCGGCCCTTCTCCTCGTCGACGAGGCGCAGCACAGGGCTGCGTGCGCGCTGTGCAGCCTCGAGCAGCTGCGCCGAGCTGTCTGCCGCCAGCAGCTCGGTCGCCGGACTGCTACTGCTGCTGCCGCTGGCCTCCTGCGGCGGGTGGTAGAGCGTGCGCAGGGCCGTCGTGACGCTGGCGGCCTGCAGCACCGAGTTGAGGAAGCAGGTGTTGCCGAGGTTGATGAAGCCGGCGTGTGCGGCGGCCGCCTCTGCATCGGCGGCCGAGGCCGGCGTGGCGCTGCTGCTGGCGCTGCTGCTGCCCATGCCGGCGCGGCCGTGCGCCGGGCGGTGCGGCGCCATGGCGCGCGAGAGGCGCGGCGGTTACTGGGACAGATGGAGCATGCGAGAGCGCAGAGGAAAGAGCGGTGCGAGCAAGGAGCGTAGGTGGGAAGAAGCGAAGGTGGTGGAGAGGAGCAAGCGCCGTGCGTTGCTGCGCCGCCGACGCGAGGTGTGGGATGGGAGGATCACCCACTCTGACTGCCAGCGCAGGGGCACTGCGCGCGGCGTGTGGCTGCTTCTCCGGCGCCAGCAGCGCTGCGCCGGCGTGCCTGGCCGAGAGACACCGTGGCGGCGTGGCTGGGCGCGCGCTCTTGGGGCGCGCGGCGCCGCTTGCAGCTCGGGGCGGAGTGCGCGGCCCGGGCAAAGCTCGGCGGCCCGCACCGCCGCCGACCGCAGCGCGAGCCGCCGCTTTGGGCATGGGCATGTTGCACCGCAGCGCCGCAGCGCCCCCACGCGCACCGCCAACGGCCTGCTGTACCACACCCGCTGATGCTGCATCTGCGGGTCTCGAGCATGAGCGAGCAGCGCCCAGACATGATGGCCTCTCATCGCTGCCTTGCGTCTACGCCGAGTCGGAGCGGGCAGGCGTCGCTGCTGCGTGACGTGCTGGCTGACGGCGGAGTGCGCTCAGGTGCAGCGTCTGCCGCGCGCGTGGCTCGGTGCTGCGTCCGCGGCCTGCGTCCGGCAGCGCAGCGGCTTCGCCCGCGCCAGCTCCCTCACGCCAGCGTTGCTCCTCTTTGCGAGACTCGACCATGGCCGTGGAGCCACGGCTCGCTCCAGGTAATGTCTGCCATCGATGCGGGGACAATCTCGCACGCTGCTGTGCGAGTGCACGCCTCTCTCCCGTTTCATCCAGAGCTGTGAGCGGAGAAGTGTGAGGCCTGAGCAAGGCGGACTTTCTCTTCTCTGCGATGCTGCGCTCGTCTAACTGCCTTCCGAGAAACGCGGTGCGCTGGTTGATGCTCAACTGAGTGGATTGGCCCACAGAGCCGTCTGGACGGTACCAGCGACTGTGTGGCGCGCAGAGCTTTGTCCATCTCGCGCAGCAAGCCTCACATCTCTCCAAAGGCATCTATTGTTTCCTGCAGATGTAGACTGAGGGACGAGAGAAGGATCAGCACACTGGAGCTTGGACTACGCCTCTGATGAGCTGCCTTGCACTCACAGTAGTAAGGGAACATGTCCTGCTCGCCCAGCGTGCGCGTCTCGATCTGCCACGCCTCGCGCTGCAGCAGTGGCCGGCGGAAGTGCGGCTGGCCAAAGGTGAGGTAGAGGAAGACACCCTTTGGCTTCAGCACGCTGCAGTAACAGGGCGTCAGAGCGATGATTGGGGCGGAGAGAGGGAAAGGACGCACTGCAATACGCCGTCCACCTCCTTCGCCACGTTCTCCTTGACGATCGCCGGCGGATCCCACACGCTCTCGTCCGGCTTGGTGGCCATCAGTGCGTCGAGCGTCGCTGCAAAGCCTACATCAGCACATCTTTCTCCGCAGATGCAGGCAGACAGGACTGCGCACCCTTGTCCAGCACCACGTCCCAGCTCTCCGCGCCGCCTAGCTCGTCCGCACGGGTCTTGAGGTCCCGGATGTCCATCTCGAGCCACTTCGTCTCGGGCTGGCGCGCACGCATGCGCTCAATCAGCACGCCGCTGAAGTCGATGTCTGGATGTGTGATCAGCTCGGCGCCTAGAGAGAGAAAGAGCAGCCAGCCGACGCACTGGTGATGTCGCTGTAGCCGTCGGCGAACATGTCTGCGCTGAGCGTGCTGTTGCCCGTGCCGAGCATCAGTATCCGTGCATTACGCTGTGGGATGAGCTCGTGGACGATGTCCCTGATGCGCCGTGTCAGCCAAGACTGTACACCTGCCAGAGAGAGCGGCATCGCGCACCGGATGTCGGCATACGTCTTGAACCAGTCAAAGTCGCCGTCTGCCTCGCGCGCATAGCGGGCGTCCCAGTACTCCTGGGTCTGGAAGGCCTCGTTGCTGTGTGGCTCGGTGCTTGAGCCGTCCATCATGCTGCGGGCTGTGTTTGGAAGCGTGTTGAAGAGGGCGAAGGGAAGGAAGCGAGGCGCGGAAAAGCTTGCACGCCTCGAGGCCAGCTGCTCCCACGCACAGCTGCCGTCTGACTCAGGCGCTTGCTTTGGCGCTACCCACTGCTCCACCTTCTCCTCCACCACACCTCTTCCCAGCCTCGCGTCTATCATCGCAGCACAGCCGTCTCTCAGCGCAGCCGCTGCATGTTCCACCTCGCACGTCCTGCCCTCCAGCTCGTCTCTCGCTCGCGCCTCTGCCGCGGCTCGCTCCCACTCGCCCACCTCGCACGGCCCAGCATGAGCTTTGTGCCGCCGCCGCTCTTCGCGCCCGAGCGCAACGTCGCCACGGCCAGTGGCAGCAGCAGCAGTGGCGGCGACGGCAATGCCAGTAGCAGTCAGGCAAGCGGCGAGAAGCAGCCCATCGAGCACATCACCACGCACGAGCAGTACCACAACTCGGGCGTCGCGGCCTCTGCGCTGCCCGCGTCGCCCATCGCGCTCTTCCACACCTGGTTCGCCGAGGCCAAGGCAGCCAACATCTATGCGCCCGAGACGATGACGATCGCGACGTGTACTGCTGCCTCGCCTCCGCGGCCGTCGAGCCGCATCGTGCTGCTCAAGACGCTCGAGCCGAGCGGCTTCACCTTCTTCACCAACTACGCCTCGCGCAAGGGCCGCGAGCTGGAGGCGAACCCATGGTGCAGTCTCACGTTCTACTGGGCCGGGCCACTGCATCGCTCCGTGCGCGTCTGTGGTCGTGCCGAGCGGCTCAGCACCAAGGAGTCGCAGGCCTACTTCGACACGCGCCCCCTCGGCAGCCGCATTGGCGCACACGCCAGTCCGCAGAGCCAGCCCATCTCGCGCGAGGACCTCGAGGCGCGCGTGCGCGACTTTGAGCAGAAGTTTGGCGTGCCGGGCGCTGCGGGACTGGACGGGCCAAAGGAGACGGAGGAGAAGCACATCGATGTGCCGGAGTACTGGGGCGGCTGGCGCATCGTGCCGGATGAGATTGAGTTCTGGCTCGGCCGCGAGAATCGTCTGCACGACCGCTTCCGGTGAGTCACGCCGGCTTGCATTGTTGCGCATCGGCTGACACACTCGAGCAGCTACACGCGCCCGACGGAGAGCACCAAGGTCGCCGCCGAGGACACGTGGACGCTCGACCGTCTGGCGCCATGAGCAGGCCCGCTGCATCGCACCCACCACGCCCTGGACAGTTCGCACCTCACACCCACTCGCAATGAGACATCATGAGCATTGCAATGCAGTACCCTAGCACACAGACACGCGAAGCTGGGCTGTGCCCTTACAGGCGCGCACCGCCGCCAACGAGCAGCTTCTGGCCATTGCTCAGCACCTCGACGGCCTCCTTGACCATGTTGTCGATGACTGCGGCAGCGTGCATCAGCGAGCAGCCTTTCTCTCAGCGCGGCGCGAAGCTCACTCGTGGCAGCAGGCAGGATGTCCTCGAGCACGGCCGCGACCTTGCCCATGAGGTAGCGCTGCGACGCGCCCTGCTCGGCCGTGCCCTTCTCGTCGTCGTTCTCGAGGTCGTGATAGACGGGGATGATGCCCTGCGACGTGAGCTTCTTGATCTCCTCGGGCCTGTCCTCCCACGACTGGATGTCTGCAGGCGTGAAGCATCAGCCTATGAGGTCGAGCGCGCTGTCGCAGCAGCTACGCACAAGGCGTGTTGCGCAGCCGCAGTGGGCGGCCGGTGAAGATGATGGTGCGGACGTCCGTCTCTGCGAAGAAATCATCAGCGCTGCAGGTGCGGGTGACAGGACATCAGGCCTCACCGTGCGTGGAGGTGAGCACGGCCTCCTTGTGCTTCCGCGGCGCACCGCTCTCCTCGGACGCCACGAAGCGCGTGCCGACCCTGCAGAGCCAACGTCAGCTTCTCTGCGCCAGGTCCCCTTGGCCACGACACGACGCACCAAACACCGTCGGAGCCGTAGCAGAGCGCAGCAGCAAGCGACTTGCCGCGGTAGATGCCGCCGGCAGCGATCGTGACGATGGGCTTGCCGGTCAGCGGGCTCTTGTGGCCGCGGCAGAGGTCGACGACGCGCGGGCCGAGGATCGAGGTGGGCACGTCACCGGTGTGGCCGCCACCCTCGCCGCCCTGGTAGATGATCATGTCGACACCGGACTGTAGAACGGCATAGCGTAAGCACAGCGTGCAAGGCTGAAGCGAGACGAGCAACGCACCGCAAGGCTGCCCTTGACGTGCTTGGGGTGGCCGATGATGCCGGCGCACACGATGCCCGCCTTGTGCAGCTTCTCAATGACCTCCTTGGGTGCAACACCGACGGCAGAGCTGACAGCACGCAGCGTGAGCTGATGCACAGGCACGAGCACAGTGCATCGGCACTCACACGAAGAGCGCGGCCTTCTCGGCGATGATGATGTCAATGAGCTCGCCGAGCTTGCCGCCAGTGTAGTCGTAGTCTGCCGAGGCCAGGTCGCATCAGGCGTCTGCCGCCAAGTACCCATGTCGCCGGCGTGCCGCCACTCACTCGTCTTGCGCGCCTCGCCACCGACCTTGGGCAGCAGCAGGTCGACGCCGAACGGCGCGTTCTTGTCCTTGAGCTCCGACTTGAGCTCGGCGATCTGCTCGCGCAGGAACTCGGGCGTGTAGCTGCCGACCGCACAGGTCAGCAGATGCCATCGAGGCGAGGTCCCACGGCGTGCCTCACCCGACACCGCCAATCACACCAATGCCGCCGCCGTTGGTCACGGCAGCCGCGAGCTCGGGGCCGGCAGCGACGTTCATGCCCTGTGGAGAAGATGAGCGCATGCAAGACGAGAGCTGCGCGGCATGAGCGACGCACTGCAAGCATGATCGGCGCCTGTGCGAGAGAAGGCGGTCAGCCATGGACGGCTGAGCAAGCACGGCGGCGTGCGCACCTTGATGCCGAACATCTCGGTGAGCGGCGTCTTGATGAGCTGCTGGGACATGGCTGGAGATGGGTGGGTGTGTGGAGATGTGTGCGGTGACGGAGGTGGTGGCGGGACGTGAGCCTTGATTGACAGACAGCATCGGGCGCCGTCAGCAGCAGCAGGCACAGCGCACGCCGCTCTCACCGCCGCGCGTGCGGTGCGGGGAAAGAGCATCTCTCGCAGCGCTGCTCGGCACCGGCGCGCCGCTCAGCCCCTGCCCGAGGCAAGCGAGCTCGCTTCCGGCACGGCGCCAGTGTGCGTCGCGCACGCCTCGGCTCAGGCACGGCCCGGTGGCCCGGAGCGGCAGCTGGCCGAGGCGCGTCACGTGAGTGCCGTGAGAAGGAGGCTGGCTGCAGCTGCTGGTGCGCTCTCTGCACCCTTGCTGCTGCTCCACATCACACAACGAAGGTCTACGATGCAGATGCGCATTTGCACAAACGACGTGGTGGGTGGGGTGATGGTGATGCTACAGAGTGCGAGGCGACCGGCGTGCGGCGGGGCGTAGGCGCGGCGCGGCACGAGAAAGACGGGAAGGGCCGAGTGAAGAGGACACGCCCTGGCGGTATGAGCGCGAGCGGCCGGGCGGCGAGTGAGGTCTAGAGGTGACGTGATGGGAGCGAGGAGCGACGGAGAGAGGATGGCGCAGGTCGGGCGTGGAGTGCACGACGGCTGGGCGAGCCTGCTCCTTTTGGCGCGACGACGAGAAGAGCTTGCGTGACGTGAGAGAGCGTGACCGAGAAGAGTGAGAGATGCGCGGAGCGGGCGAGCAAAGCAGAGTGGCGGAGTACCAGACGCGCCGGCGAGGCTGGTTGGCCGGAGTGGAGGGGAGAGGCGAGGCGAGGACGGTGCAGGCGAGCGAGCGAGCCAGCGCGCGAGACGAGCGAGAGGCCAGCAGTTGGCGCAGCGCCCTTTACATGTTGTACCAGTCGACGTTGAGCACGCCCTTGCTCATGGAGCCGAGGGCCTTGAAGGCGCCGACGCTGAGGTCGATGTCGTACTGAGGGGAGGGTGGAGGTCAGCGCATGCTCAGGGTTCACGAGGCATCAAGCGCGTCGGCTCACCTTGGCGCAGGTGGGGCAGGTGTCGGCGATGCGAGCGGTGACGCTCTTGCCGTTGCTCGTGTTGGTGATCTGTGCGCACAGCGGAGGTCAGCGCCCATGCTTTGCAGCGCGCGTGTCGCTCAGCAGCGCGTGCGCTCACCTTCAGCTTGCCGCCACACTTGCGCGCGCTCTTGAACTTGCTCGAGATGGCGACGACGCGGTCGTTGTCGCCGGCGTAGCCGCCGCACGAGCCAGGCTGACCGTTCTGGTAGTAATACGTCGCCTTTCCGCGCTGCGAGCGCTTCTCGATGGGTGCGCCGGCCACGAGGGCGAGCGAGGCCAGGGCGGCGACGGCGAGCGTGAGGAACTGCATGATGTGCTGATGTGGAGTGTTGGTGCTGAAGAGCGAAGAGGAGTGCCGATGAGTGGAGGTTGAGGAGGGCTTGAAGCGAGAGAGACAGAGTTGACGTGGGTGGGGGGCATCCTCGGGCTGCAAGCAGAGGGGGCTGGCTTATATGCCTCCTCGCCCTTGCTTGCCCGTGCGCAGCTGAGGTGCGGTGCGCCGCCCAAGGGGTCCAGCAGTGTCAGCGCCCGACGTTGTGAAGGCCGACGTGCAGGCGGCGCAGGCTGGCAGCAGCCGGCGGCCCTTCTGCTGGCCTGCGTGCAGGGCGCCTGTCGTCTCCGAGGGCAGCATTCGGGGGTTGCTGCTGGCGCGGCCGCGAGTCCGAGCGCTGCCGCCTGCAGCGCGCAGGCCGTCAGCAGATGCACATGGGCCGAGGCACGGCATCACCCGAGCTTGCACCCCACGGCGTCCGAGGCCGAGACGGCGCTGCGCAGTGATGCAGGCGTGCGCGCCGGGCGACGATTCGAGGGTACCTCTCTCGCGACGCACATGGGCCGCGACGGTGGAGGTCAGGCCGCTCGCGCAGCAGCGCAGGCAGGCCGCGAGAGGGCGCACGCGGCTCCGGCGGCGCGCGGCGCTTCTTCTTCGAGGAGATCGCCAGGCACCGAACCGGGGTGCTGCCGCGCGTTTGCCCGCGTGCACCGCGCCACACTGCCGCAGTGCCCGCGTCCGCGAGGCCGCCGGCACATCCGCCGCCCACGCGCTGCGCCTTGCTCGCCGCGCGCCCGCCGAGCGAGACGCTCTTCTCCCTCGCTCTCGCTGCGCTGTGGCTGCGCCTGCGCGAAGATCGACGTCGGGCAGCGAGGCGCAGCCGCAGCTTGCTGCTGCATGCTGTGGTGTGCGCTGGCCCGGTTCCGCAGATGCAGCGGTGTGTCGGCGCCGCGGCCGCTGGAGCTGGTGGTCCCGGCTCCACCTTCACCCTGACCCCTAGGCGCTGCGTTTGCCGGCGCCACGCCGGTCAGCGCTCGGCCAACGCGAAGCTTTGGGTGCGGCCAAGCGTGCTCGCACATGGTGCAGCGTGCGTGCGTGCACGCCGTGAGAGCCCTCGTTCGCCGTCGAGGCCTCTGCTGGCCGGCGCCGCGATTCTGGGGTGCATGCTCGGCCGTGGAGGGACTGCTCGCTGGGCGCAGCAAGCGAGCGAGGTGACACAGGGAGCTCTAAAAAGTCCGCGGTGGCCGGAGCGAGAGGTGCGGCGCAATGAAGGAGGGATCGCCGACGAGAGGCAAAGGCGGCACAGCAGCGGCACGAGAGGCGTCGTCCGTCCCTCGCCCGCTCGCCTCGCTTGCCGCCGGAGATGCCATGCGCGATGTCTGCGCGCGCCCGCAGATCTTTTCCTGCCCGCCGCGAGCCGCCGGCCGGCCTGCGCTAAGAATGGAAGCACCGACGATCAGGGACATCTCGCATTAGCTCATCCGATGCCGTCGAGCATCAAAGACGAGAGCAGCGAGCTGTGAAAGAGCAGCAAATCCAAGCAGCGAGCCGTGAACGGTGCCTCTCTGGGGAGCGAGCGTAGGTGTGTTGTGCTGCGGCGAGCGCGAGTTGCGATGCCTCGTGGGCGCAGCGCAGCCACCACGCCGGCGGGCAAGCCACCACCATCTCGAGAGAGCACACGCTGCGGGCTGCTGTGCAAGGCCGTCATGTCCTGCACCGTAGAGCCTCGCCCAACTCGCTGCTTGCACTGCAGGCGGTGCATGGGCTGAGGCGAGGCGACCCTCTGGCGCACCACAGCCCAGCGACGGCCCAACGCCGCCTCGTGTGACCCTCCGGAGCGAGGGAGCGGGCGGTGCTGGAGTGGGCCGCAGGATATGAGCCGCAGCGGTGGCCGGACGTGCGAGGCCCGTGCCCTGGCGGTGGTGGAGCGGATCTCTTTCTCGGCAGCGCGAGAGGCGACAGCCACAGCGTGCGCCGAGTGTGCGAGTGAGTGTGCTGCAGAGCAAGTGGGTGGGAGCGGAGCATGTCGCACACCGCGGCGTCTTTGATGCTTCTTCGAAGGCGGGCGCCAGCAAGCGCAGATCGTCGGCGCGGCGCACGGCAGAAGCGCCGTAGGCGAGGCTCGCCGGCCCACTCCGCCTGCTGCAGCTCGGCTCCGGCGGCGAGGGCGAGCACCCTCGTTTTGTGTGCGCGCGCCGCTGGCACCTGCGCCTGTCAGCCGCCTCTCAGCCCAGCCGCAGCCGCACGCCTCTGGCGGCGCAGGCACCGCATCGCCGCAGGATCGCTCCGTCGGCGCTGAGTATGCCGAGCAGCGCGCCATGTCGCTCTGTTGTTGAAAGAAAAGCTCCGGTCGAGGCATGCAAGCGAGCGAGGCAAGCGCCCAACGCAGGAACACTGCAGCGCTGCACGATGGCTTCGCATGGCGATGGCGCCTCTGCACTTGCGACATCATGGCGCAGAGGCACGCACACGTCCGAAGCTCCGAGAGTGGAGCACGTCTTGCGGGTATCAAGGATGGCGTTGAGCCGAGTAGGCGGACGCCGGTCTGGGCCGGCCTCGGACGGGGACGCGGTGCAAACAGACGCGGAGTGGGAAGCACCCCACGTCCCACGTGCGATCGACACCCGGAGGGCCCGCCGAGTCTGGGGTAAGGCTGCGCCATGTGTCTGGCCTCGCCTTGCCTTGCTCAGAAGCCGCCGACTCGACGAGGCTTCTTCTTTGGGCGGCGCTGCGCATGTGCGCCGGCGACGAGCTGCGACTGGGCAGCGTTGCCCGTGCCCTGCGTCTGCGTCTGCGGCTGCGGCGGCTGCGGCTGTGTGCTGCCGCTGCTGGCACGGATCGACGAGTCCATCTGCGACGTCTCGCGCGAGGCCGAGTGCGCCTGGTGCAGCTGCGAGAGCTGCGACTGGTGCATCTGCAGATGCGGCTGCGACCACGGCACGCGCTGCGAGGGCGTGCCGGCCGTGGCGATGCTCGGGGGCGCGCCGGCAAAGTCGCTGCGGCTGGGCGTGTAGGGGCCGATGCTCGGCGTGCGGGTGTAGGTGGGCGTGCGAGTGCCTCGGCTTTGGCTCTGGCTCTGCGTGCTGCGACCGCGAGTCGAGGCCGTGCCGGCGCTCGAGGCCGAGTCCCAGCCGCTCGACGAGGCGCCATCGTCGATCAGCAAGTAAGGATTGACGGGCACGTAGGCCGACGGCGCCGTGCCGACGTCCCACTCCGCCAGCAGCAGGCGTGCCGCGGCCGTCGTTGTGCGTCCGCCGCCGGAGCGCCGAGACGCAGAGGCGCGCGGCGTCAAGAAGGAGAACATCACTGGCGGAGGAGGAGTGGGCAACTTGATGCCCTGCGGCTCCTCCGTGTCCTCGTCGATGATCACAGGCCCATCGGTAGGCGGCGACGCTTCTCTGTCCTCGTCGGCCTCTTGCGGCGCAGGCTCGGGCACAGGAAGAGGCGGCGGCGGCTTCTGCACCAGCACCGGCCGCATGGCACCGACCTGGCCGGCCAGCCAGATGTCCAGCGTCACTTCTCGCGCCGCGACCAGGTTCGCGTCGTGAGCTCGCGAGCCGACCAGCGGCTTCCAGCGCTCGGCGAGCAGGTCCGCTGCTTGAATCCACGGCATCGTCAAGGCGCCATAGTCGGCGCCTAAGCGGCGCGGTCGGCGAGGCTCCACGTTGTCCGTGAGCACGTCGAAGAGCTCGGTGCAGAACGACGAGGCGACGTGCAGCGACATCTGCGGGCTGGCGTAGGCGTCGAGCGAGAGTGAGCGCATGACGCCCTCAAGCCTCGACGTGAGTGCTGAACCGGCGAGGTGCAGCAGCGTCGCAGACGGCAGGCTGGTGTTGAGCGAGGCTGCGAGCCGGGTCTCGTGCTCCGAGGTGCGCCGCGCAAGCGCCAGCAGATCGTGACTGCGAGATGCACGAGCGTCAGTAGTGAAGACGGTGCTCGACCAGTCACTTTGCTTAGGCTACTCACGCAGTCAGGAACGAGTCATAGGGCGAGTCCAGACGCTGCAGCAGCGTGGAGGCAATGTCAAACTGCTCAAAGGCGTGCTGCAGCGCATCGCCATACGTGACGCGATCGAGAGCGGACGACATGAACACTAGCCGAAGAGCACCGAGTGTCAGGCCTTGATCACGTCACAGAGCGTGGCGTGAACGATCACCCACCTTTGTAGGCCTCGCTCAGGTCATAGCCGCTCGACGGCGGCGCCACATGGGCTGGCGCAGCCTCTTGCTCGATGCGCCGAAGCAGCACAGGATCTGTGACTTCGAGAGGCAAGTCGCGCAGAGCAGCCTGCTCTTCCGCTGCTGCGGGCCCTTCAAACGCAAGTGCGCTGAGCCAGACGGCGCCCGACGACTCCATCTCGAGCATGCCGATGCGCGACGCCTCGTCGACGAACGCGCTCCATTCTTCGCTACGCGGATACGCAGTGAAGTCGACGAAGCGCGGCACAGAAGCTGAGACGGCCGAGGAAGCCGGCAAAGCAGAGGGCAGAGCCAGGGCGGAGCTACATCCGCTGATCAATGCCGAGCCATCGGCGCAGCTGCGCGCCTCGTAGAGCTGAAGCAGGCGGCCTCGTTGCGATGCCAGCACGACCCGCAGCACGCCCTCCTCGGCAGAGCCAGCGGGCACGAGGGAGAGCGACAGGCTCAGATCTTCGCCGCGATGATGCAGCCACGAGATGCGCGGCGTGCCGAGATGCGACAGGTCGAAGAGCCGCACGCTGCTCGTCGTCGCTACCCACAGCCAGTGGCTGTTTGGAACGGTCCGCACAGAGGTGATCTCCTCGGTCCGCAGCGAGCGCGGAATGGTGCTCGGCTGGAAGAGAAGGCGAGAGTCCATCGTCTCCCAGTCGATCAGCTGGATGCTGCTGCGCGTGATGAGAATCGCTCCGGCGCCGTCTTCTTGCCAGGCTACGCGCCACCACTCGCTCTTGGGCGATGAAGAGATGAACGGCAGGCGGTCGAAGGAGAGGTAGAGCGCGCCATGCTGGATGCTTCAGAACAAGCGTCAGACGCAGCAGTCAGAGGCAACGCGATGTCTCTAAGGGACAGGGCTCACCGGCTTCGCTGAAAGAGGCTCGCTTCCCAGCGCCAAACACGGCCAGTAGCATCGACCGCCAGTGCCCGATCTCGGCGCGTAGGATGCCAGCACCAGTGCACGATTGGCTCTTCGAGGCGTTCGACGGGGTACAGGCCCTTCTGCTGCGTCAGCGCCGACTGCGTCTCAAAGATGTGAATCGGGCGCAGGTAGAACTTTGGGTAGCCCTCTCTCCGCTCGGCGCGCGTGGCGCGTGCGATGGAGTAGACACGCACGCCGAGCCGCGTCAGCACGCTCAGCCAGGGCCCTGAGTGCGTCATCTCGTAGCTCGGCTCTGGCAGCGGCGGCGCGATGGAGAGCGAGAGAATGGGCGCCGCGGCGGTGAGGGCGGGCCCGGACGAGGGCACGAAGCGCGCGGCGCCATGCTTCTGGCTCGGCGACTCAAGCGTGTTGACGTCTGCGACATCGCCTCAGCACGCCGATAGTCTTCGAACCTGCACCGCAGGACTCACAGATCTCGCGTCCGTCAGCGCCCGCAGTCGAGAGCAGCAGCAGCGAGCTACTCGCGACCTTGATGCGAGCATTCTTGTCGCTCGGGCGTGTCGGATCCGGTCCGCGCCGACGATGTGCCGGCGCCACAGCCAGCAGGCGCGGCAGCTCGTCGACTGTGCCGCTGGCCGTGCCCAGTGTGCCCAGCTCCGCCTCGTCGGCAAAGAGCAGCGGCGCCAGCTCGCGCGCCAGGCCACTGGGCGGCGGCCTGGGCCGAGGCGCTGGTGGTGTGCATTGTAGAGAGTGACGCGTGGCGGGGAAGAGACGCAGGGGAGCGCAGACGCGAGCGGCGGGCGTGCCGGAAGAGGAGGCGAAGCGCCAGACGGTGGATGGCCCAGCTGCGACGGCAGAGTCCGGCTCTGAAGACGAGGACGAGGACGACGACGAGGAGTCAGAGGAAGAGGAAGACGAGGAGGACGAGCTGTCCGAGCTGGCTGAGCGCCGCCGCCGCCGTGAAGGTGCCGCCGATGCAACGGCCGGCGCAGCGAGCCATGCGGCGCCGTGTGCGCCGCAGTCGAGCTGGATGGACATGGCGGAGGTGGAGAGAGGGAAGGAGGCGAGGCGAGGCAGCGGCCGCTGTGACTTTTGGCGGTGTGCGCGTCGCCCGAGTGCCGAGGCGGAGTGCGGCCGCGGCTCTCGGCCCGCCAGCACAGCCGACGCCTCCTTGCTGCTCGCCTCGAGGTGGAGTGCGGGGTTCAGCAGCTTCCTTCCCATCCCTCATCCCCCTCTCCACTCCAGCATGTCCACGCCCTCGCTGCCCTCGCCCTTCCCCGAGGCGCTCGCCGCCATCGCCGCGCACCTGCCGGCCGACAGCCCCCTCGCGCGCCCGCAGTGGGGCATCATCTGCGGCAGCGGCCTCGCCGGCCTCGCCGACACGCTGCAGGAGCGCATCGACGTGCCGTACAGCGCCGTGCCGGTGAGTGCTGGCGTGAGGATGGAAGGGCTGCGTATGAGATGTCGTGCTGCACATGCGTGTTGCAGTGCTGCAACGGCGGTGCAGCGGCTTGGGCGCCGCACTGCGCCTCCACTCCTCTGCTGACCCTGTTCGAAGGGCTTCCCGCCGACGACCGTCGAGGGCCACAAGTCATCATTGGCCTTTGGCTTCCTCCACGACTCGACGGGCGCCTCTTCCACACGCGTGCCCGTCGTGGCGGCGCTGGGCCGTTTCCACCTGTACGAGGGCCACTCGCCGCAGGCGTGCGTGCTGCCTGTGCGCCTCATGAAGCTGCTCGGCGCAAAGGCCGTCGTCGGTGCGTCGCTTCAGGGCTGCAGAGAGATAAACGGCTCGCTGAATGCTGTTTCTAGTCACGAACGCCTCGGGCGGCCTGAACCCGGACTACGACGTCGGCACCATCGTCGCTATGCACGATCACCTCTCGCTGCCCACGCTCGGCGTACGTGCCTCTCTCACACATGCGCATCGCCTCTTTTGACCCTCGCCTTGCAGTCACTGAACCCGCTGATCGGCCACAACGTGCCGCTGGGCCCGCGCTTCCCTGCCACGTCCGACGCCTACGATGTGCCTCTCCGGCTGTCCTTCTTCCGCGCCGCACGCGAGCTCTCGCTCTTCGACAGCGTCGCCTCGGGCACATACGCCTACGTCTCTGGCCCCTCGTACGAGTCGCGCGCCGAGTGCAAGTTCCTGCGTTCGTCGGGCGCAGACTGCGTCGGCATGAGCACGGTGCCCGAGATTCTCGCGGCGCGGCATGCAGGCCTGCGCGTGCTGGGCATCTCGCTCGTGACGAACAAGGTGGTGGTGACGCCGTACTTTGACGCCAAGGCGGCGATAGAGCGTGAGGCTAAAGGCGAGGCGCTGGAGGATCAGACGGGCAAGGACTCGAAGGAGGCGGCGACGCACGAGGAGGTGCTCGAGGTGGGCATGAGACGCGCAGAGGACGTGCGCCGCCTGTGAGTGCATTCTGGGCAAGCAGCGAGCTCTGTAGCTGACGCTCATCTTCTTATGCCGCAGCGTCGAGCGCACCATCCTCTCGACGCCATTGTAGACAGACCTTGAGCAAATGCGAGAGAATAGCAGCCAGCGAGAGCGGTGAGCGGCCACGATCCGCGGAATTGGCTGACGCGTCGAGGACAAGGGAAGCTGCGCCGCGCGCACGGCACGCCCCGCCCCCTGAGCCGTCAGTCGAGTGTCTCTGCTGCCCTTGTCCTCGCCTCGCCGCGCCGGCCAAACGATGCCGGTAGCCACACTCGCCTTGTCGCATGATGCAGTGCCGAGCGCTGCCGGGCGGCAGCCACTAGTCATGCCCTTGTCCCAGCAGAGCGCTCACGCCTCGGCGCCAAGGCGGCAGGCCGTCTGCCGCCGTCCCTCCGCTGTCTCTCTCTGCGCCGCGAGCGCACCGCGCGCGCGCTCTTCATCGACCCTTGTCTCGGGCTGAGGCAGCATCCGCTCAAAAGGGCCCCTCGCTCATCAGCGCACCGCGAGCGCTCTAGCCCTCCTTCTTCTCCACCATCTCTCCACATCCACACGTCGCTGGCTCGACGTCTCGTCGCTCTCGATGCGACCTCTTCTTCTGCCCTCGCGACGCGGCGCGGTGACGCCCGAGCCTCTGCAGACGCACGCGTTGCCCGCACCACCACCCTCTTACCCCGAGCACATTCACTCGCCCTCACTGCCACCCGATGGCCACTACCTCGCGTCCAGCAGCGGCGCCTGGCCCACACAGCCGCCGCCGACGCCCTCGCCGCACGTACTGCCCGCGACTGATGGCCCTCTCAAGCCCTGGCTCGGCCTTCGGGCACGGCTCTTCCTCTCGCTTCTCTCGCCTAGCCTACTGGCACTGCTCCTCGTCGGCGCCACGACGCTGATCGGCGCACAGGACATTGACGACAAGATCGACGCCGCAAAGCTGCGCCTCGTCGTGGCGTGCAGCGGCGCTGAACAGAGCGCGGCGACGGCACTGAGCATGCCGCACTACCTTGCCGACAGCATCAATCAGCAAACGAGCGAGGCCGTTGAGGCCACAGTCCGAGGAGCGCTTCGCGTGCTGACGCTGGCGTGAGTTGGTGGCTCTGGTCAAGTGCCTTCGTGCCGTGCTGACAGCTCCTGTCTAGGCTGGTGGCGGTGGAGCAGCTGCTCATCTTCCTCACCGACACGTACCGCTCGCTCTTCTTCTGCTTCGTCGAGCTCGTCGTGCAAGGCAGTCTGAGTCTCCTCATGTCCGCCGTTGCGGTGCTCGACGACGTCATTGGCGATGCAGCTACCGGCATCAAGAGCACCATCCAGGCCTCGGTCAGCGGCGTCAATGCGTTCCTCTCTACCACGCTCGGAGGCTTCAACGATGTGCTCAAGCTGATCGGCCAGCATATCGACGTGCCGACTGTGGCGCAGCCCGACCTGAGGTCAGTCCCGCAACACGCTCTAGAAGGACTCTGTGTACTTATCACTTCTCGCTCAGCGCTCTAGACAACGTGAAGCTGCCCGACTCCTTCTCTGCAGGCCTCGTCAAGCTCAACGACACGCTTCCGACGTTCGATGACGTGCGCCAGCGTCTCGATGCGCTCATCTCGCAGCCATTCGAGCAGCTCAAGAGCGATGTGAACTCCAGTGAGTGTGATTCGGCATGTAGCGTACGCCCGGCTAGGCTGACCACTCGCCTACCAGCTCTCTCGACGTTCACATTCGACCGCACTCTGCTTCCTGTGCCGGCAATGCGCACCGCCTCCTTCTGCGCGGACAAGCTCGACACCAAGCCGCTCGATGATCTCGGCGGAGAGCTGCGCAAGCTCATCTACTGGACCGCTGGTCTCCTCGGCGCCGTTGCGCTGCTCCTCGCGGCCTTCAACATGCTCCTCGCCTGGTACTCCTGGCGCTCGATGCGCACGCACGTCGAGCGTACCCGCGAGGCTTTCCTGGCATCCGAAGCGCTCGCATCTGAGCGGCGTGACCGCGACAGCAAGGACTCGAGTGGCTCGCGGTCGGTTCAAAGCAGAGACATGCTCTCGACGCCTCGTCTGCTCTCGCTACTCGAGCTCGCCTCGCACCCGCTCCTCGCGCTGCTAGCCTTCCGCATCGCTCGGCCGCTCGGCATCCGTTCACCGCGAGGCAAGGCACATCTTCGCTGGTGGCTCGCATGGGTTGCACACCCCATGGCGATCGCGGCGCTCGCCATGGGCCTTGCAGGCCTCGCAGCCACGCAGGGACAGATCATTGCTATCCGTGCCGTCGAGTCGCACTACAATGGCGTGAGTGACACCATACTTCATCCGCCCTGCTTTCTCTCATTATCCCTTCCCTTTGTCTGCAGAAGATCGGCGCCTCCTTCGACCAGCTCGGCGACTCGATCCTCGCCGAGATGAATTCGGGCTTCACAGACGCAAGCCACGACTTTGCGAATCGCAGCAACGCCCTCATCATCAGTGCCCAGGACAATCTGGTATGTCGACCGTGACTCGTGGGTCCTTGCGTCATGCTCACGTGTCGTCCGTCAGAACAACAACCTTTTCAGCTGGGTCAACACAACCACCAGCACCATCGTGAGTCGCATCGTTTGCGCATGCTTCATCAGTCACTGACCCTTTCGCAGAACGGCACGCTCAACGAGCTCGTCTCGGGCATCGCCGGCGTGCTCAACGACAGCTTCAGCTCGACGCCGCTCTACACGCCGATGCAGAGCTTCATCGACTGTGCGCTGCTGAGCAAGATTCGCAGCATCGAGAGTGCTCTCAGCTGGCTGCAGTCAAACGCGCATGTCGAGTTCAGCACCGTCTCGGCCGACATTCTGCAGTTCAGCGACGCTCGCGCCGACGAGCTCGTGGCGCCGATCAAGCAGGCTGCACTCGGCTCGGGCGATAGCAACAGCGATGGCGTCGTCGGCTCGGTCGTCAACTCGTACGTGCGGCGCCTCGAGAAGGAGCGCTTCATGTACTGCCTCTTCCTCTGCCTCTACGTCCTCGTGCTAGCGATCGGTACGGCCATCGTCATCCGTCACTGCTCGCCTCGCAAGCCCAAGGAGATCGACGAGCACATCACGCCGTACCACGCTTCGTCACTGCCGCCTTCGCCGCCATATGAAGCTACGCAATCAGGCGCCCAGCAGCAAGACGCGACGGCTCAGGCGCATCGCTCCATCTCGCGGCCGCTGCATCCCGACGTGGCAGCGCTCTACAATGGCGCTCCGGGCACAATGACGCAGGCTGCAAGGCCGTATCAGGGACATCAAGCCGCCCGCTCGTGGGAGTCGCTGCTCGACCGACGCTCCGAGGAAACGTCTCGCACCGGCGCAGCAAGCCCGGCATCGCGCTTTCTCGCCGTGCCTAAGATCTTTCAGCGCACGAGCACCGAAACACAGCGGCAGACGGATGCCGTCACCAGCGTAGGCAACCTGGCTCCGCAGCAGTCTAACCGCGATGGACCCAGCATCCGGTCACGCTCCGTGTACTCGACCGCCAGCGGACAGACGCTGCCTGCTCCACCCGCTCGGCGGAGTCTGGCAGCTCGCGCCCTCGACAAACTGCACGCCGCTGCTGTGTGGTGGTATGCAGCGCCTGCACAGCGTGAAGCGCCTGCACAGAACACAGAGGCTGTGCAGAGCATATCGCCGGGAGCTCCGTCGCCGACGGCGTCTCACGACACGTTTGGCGTCCCGCGCTCTCGCACACGCGATGACGCCAGCGCATGGCACGGCTCCTCCAACAGCATCTCATCGACGTGGGCCGGCACGCCGCTGCGTACACACGCGACAGACCACCAGCCCTTGTCTGCACAGCCTGCCTCGCCGCAGCTGACAGGCGACGGCTTCGGCGGCCTGCTCGTCTCGCCCGAGCAGCAGCAGATGCAGGAGCGCAGACGCCTACGCTTCACGAGCACGCCAACTGACCAGTGCGACGCGCGACGCCGCGCAGCCGAGCTGGCAGGCTCGACGCCCGCTGCTGGCATGGCAGCCTCTCCAAGTGTGGAGCACAAGCCGCAAAGCCGCGCCTCGCCGCTCATGCCGCCAATCGACCGGCTCTCCTGCCTGGCCTACCTGCAGCCCACGCCCTCGCCTCCGAAGCCCCTACCACCGCAGCCGCGCGCATTCGGCTCCGGCTCGCCGCTGCTTCCGCCGCTCGATCGTCTGTCGTGGCAACGAGCGCCGCCTCGTCCGCTGCCAACGCCGCCAAGCCAGACGGCGCAGCCTTTGCGCTCCGCCACGCGTCCGCACTCGCTCAGCGGCACCATCAGCGCGGCGCCGACGAGCGTCTCAGCGCAGCCGTCTCGCGCCTCACTGCCCGTGCCACAGCCACAAGGCGTCATCCGCCCGGTCCCTCTCCGACCACACTCCTTCTCTCGCGCAGCCGCAGGCGGCATGCATCCACGAGCCGCGGCGCTCAGCACTATCTCCGAGCGCGACAGCTCCGGCTCAGCCGGCACGCGCACCGCACACTACTTCTGATACCCCTTGGTCGCAGACCACTGATGGCAGATGAATGATATATCGTCACACTCACGTATGCAGCCCCCTCGCCCCATGCCTGCACCCCTGTCTAGGCCGCGGCCGCGGCCTTCCGTGCCTTTTTGGCCGCCTTCCGCGCCGCCCGTTCCTCCTCCGTCTCGCCCTCTCGCTTCTTGCTCTTCCCTGCGGGAGCCTCCTCCGGCGGCGGCACGAACGCCTTCTCGCGTTCGCGCTCGCGCTCCTTTGCGATCTCGGCCTGTCGCCGCTCGCGCTCCTCGACCTGGCGTGCCTTCTTCTCCTTTGGCTTGAGGAAGTACTCGCCGGACTCGATCTGCAGGTCGATCTTGCTCATCTGCGGCGCCGGCGGGAAGGGCGTGTAGACCTTCTTCTTCGCCGGCGCTGCTCCACCGACAGGTGCGGCATTGGCGCCCGACGGGCCAGCGGCGGCAGCTGCCGCAGCCGGCTTCTTCGCCTTGACATTGCGCTTCTTGAACTTGGGCAGGAAGCGGTCCCACGACTCCTCGGCGAGCTTCGGGTCCTTTGCCAGCTCGCGCTTGATCATGAGCTCCTGCAGAGGGCATGCGTCAGTCGCCAGGACATGCGCCATCGGGTGCAGAGAAGCATCGCACCTTGATGTGGTAGATGGGGTGGATGTTCTTGAGGCAGTCAATGACAATACGCCGAACCTCCTTCAGGCTCTTGTACGGGCCCATGGCGCTGACTGTGTTGCCCTGCACGAGCACGTAGCAGCCCGTAAGCAGCTCAATGGCCTGGAGAAAGGGACAGAGGTCAGCTCTGCAGCAGACGGGCTGAAGACAGCACACGACAAACCTTAAGCGTGCTGCCGTTGGGCCCGATGATACGCTGCCGCCGCTTGACGAAGCGCTCCTTATTGCGCACGAGGTTGCCGATCTTGATGATGTCGCTCGCCACGCCATCGTCCAGGATCTTCACCGCCTGTAAACAATTGGTGAGCGCTAGCTCTGAGTTGTGTGCCTTGCTCGCAGCGGCACCGGCCATCCCACCTCGGCAACCGAACTCACCTGCGTGAAGGGCACACTTCGGCTGAGCAGCTTGATGAGGTCGCGCGCCTTGAGGATGATGTAGGGGTCGTACGTCTTGCGCGTGGTGCGCACCGTCATGCTGCCCTCGACCAAGTCGAGCGTCGCCGTGAGGCCCTGCGCCGCCGCCGCATCAGCCGCTGCGCAGCGGTGGGCAGCGCCAGGGCGCGAGACTCACATGCTTGTCCAGCGCAGCCGTGACGGCACCCCAGCTCTCGCGCAGCCGCCGCTCCACGTACTTTGGGAAGAGCGTCGAGAAGCTGCGGAGGGCGTCAGTAAGGTGGCGGCGGGCCGAGGCGCGCTGTCCGACGCACCTGCTCTCCTCGGTGAACGGCCCGGCCTTGTTGTCGTCGGGCGTGAACTTCTCCACGTGCCAGTGGTTGACATCGTCGGTGTCCCATGGCTGGACGTACACAGCCATCAGCGTCTGCTGCCGCATCTGTGGCGCGGCCACGACGCACCTTGTCCTTGCGGTAGCGCTTGTTCTTGTTCACAGGCGCAGCGTCGCCGGCAGCGCTCGAAGCGCCGGCATCGGCGGAAGCCGCGGCAGCCGGCTCAGACTCGGAGTGCGTGCGCTTCTTGGCCATGCTGGCGGGAGGTGTGACGCAGGTGTGATGGCGAGATGAGGTGCAAGAGGCAAGAAGCGTCGCTCCACCGAGGCGAACCACGCGCGCAGCCAAATTATTTCGCCAGCCGCGAGGGCGCGCAACTCCGCGGGCGCCGCGGAGCAGCGCGCTGGCCAGCCAAGCCTCCACGGCGCCTCGAAGCGAGCTCACAGCAAGACGAGAGGGCAGCGTGCAACGTTGCATCTGATTGACCAGGTGTGCAGCCGGCAGCGAGCTGTGTGAGAGTGCAGGTGGGGTGTGTATGTATGTACGCGAGGGGAGACCCTCGAATGTGAATGCTGGGTGAGGAAGGCGGCGAAGAGCGCACGGGCAGAGGAAGTATGATGCAGAGGGTGAGAGAGAAGACGAATGCCGCGACAGAGAATGAGTGGATGTGGGTGAGTGAGTGTGCGTGTAGCAAGTGCAATGAGGGGACGACGGCGTCTAGGCATGTGTGTGCGGAGCGGGAGCAGAGGCAGGAGAGGCGGGCGTGCTTAGAGCAGCAGCGAGGCCACGGCGGGGCGCTTAGAGCAGCAGCGAGGCCACGGCGGCGCCGCAGACGAAGAGCGCCGCCGAGCGCACCGAGAGCGTCGGCGCGCCCGAGCTCTGGCCGCCAGACGACGTCGAGCCGCCGTTGTTGTTGCCTGCCGAGCTGCCGCCGCCGGTGCTGCTGCCCGTCGGCTCCGAGCCGGCCGAGCTCGTCGTCGACGACGGCGGCGGCGTGCGCGCCTCGATGATGAGTTCTGCGCCCACCTCGGCGAGTCCGTACGTTGCCGTCATCAGATGCGCGCTGAGGGCGATCGGCACGATGCTGGCATCGACGACGCGCAGGTTGCTCGTGCCGTACACGAGCAGGTTGGCATCGACGACGCCGCCGTCGGCGCGCGGCAACTGCGAGCACGTCGAGCTCGGGTGGTACTCCGTCTGCGCCTGGTTGCGGATGAACGCTTCGAACTGGCGGTCCGTCTGCACGCCGCTGCCCGGCGACTGCTCGTTGCCCAGTGCAGCAGCCAGCGGCTGCGTCTCGCCAACGCGCCGTGCCAGCTTGAAGCCCTCGCGCATGATCGCGAGGTCGATGGCGGCGCTGAGGTACTGCGGGTCGATAGCCGGCGCCTGGAAGGGGTCGGCACTTGTGGCTAAAACGGTGCCGCGCGAGAGAGGCGTCTGACTAGCCAGCTGAATCTGTATGCTGCCGAATACGTATGCGAAGAGCAACTCCAGAGGGCTGCCATTCGCGGCTGGATCCAAGACTTTGTCGAGCTGCGCCGTCATCGTCGCGTTCCACGCGCGCTTGACCTCGTCGCGCATGTTGGCGGCGCTGATGCGCTGCGCCACCTCGGAGCGCGCGTCGTTGACCAGATCGGCGGCGCTCGAGCCGAAAAGTGTCGTCATGTTGACGTAGCCAATGGCCGAGTTGACGAACGAGTTCTGAATGGCGCTGGAGGAGGGGTCAGTAGGCGTCAGAGCGGCCAAGCGTGCAGACACGCACCTCGCGTCCGGGCCCGTCACAGGGTACGAGCCAGAGCCGGCAGCCCAGGAGACCGACGAGGCCAGATGATCTTGCAGGTTGTGGCCCACACCGGGCAGATCGATGATCGAGTCAATGCCGATCCTCTGCAGCTGCTGCGCGTCTCCGATGCCACTGAGCTGCAGGATCTGCGGCGAGTTGATGGCGCCGCCGCTGATGATGACCTCGCGGCGTGCGTTCACCGTGTGCACCGTCTGGCCCGAGGCCGCGGCGTACTGCACACCGGTCGCTCGGACTGCGTTGGCGTCCGAGGCGTCGGTCAGGACCTTTGTCACGGTGTGGCCCGTGAGCACCGAGAGGTTGGGCCGGTCCTGCGCCGTGTCGAGGTAGCCGTTACGCGAGAAGGAGCGGCTCCAGTCGTTGGGGTTGATGGAGCTCTGGGCCACAAAGGCGCCCCAGTTCTCGCCGCCGTAGCTATCGCTGGAGATCGCTGTGCCCTGTCGGAAGTGTCAGCTTCAATCGCGCCTGCAGATCGGTACACCGCCGCTACTCACCGTCGCGGCCATGCTCTGCAGGAAGTCGTTTGTGCTCGAGTATGCGACGCCGGGCCACGACGTGTAGATGGACCCGTCTTGGCCGTGCGAGGCGGCATTGTAGCTGAGGTCGGGCAGCACCTCCTGCACCGAGGCGCTCGGCGGCACGAAGTGCTCGCTCTTCTTCATGGCTCTGTAGACGTTGTCCCACCCCCAGCGATCGCTGTCGCCAGCCAGGGCGCCCCAGGAGTTGTGCTCCGCCGCACTGGCGCGCACCATGTAGAGGCCGTTGACGGCACTGCTGCCGCCGAGCACCTTGCCGCGCGGCCACGCCAGCTGGCGCCCGCCCATCTCCGCCTGGCCCTCGGTCTGCCAGTTCCAGTCCTGCGCCGAGCGCAGCGCCGAGTTGTACAGGTTGCCCGCGGGCACGAGGATGCGCTCCTGGCCCGCGCCGTACGCATCGGCGCCCGCCTCGATGACTGCGACGGTGAAGTTCGAATCCGCCGAGAGGCGGTTCGCGACGACGAGGCCGGCGAGGCCGCCGCCGACGACGACGTAGTCGAACGTCTGGCCGCTGAGCGTGTTGCCGTTGCCCGTGACGCTGCGGCGCAGCATGCCGGCGAGCGGCGAGTCCTGCGAGCTGAACGATGGCGCGCGCCGCTGGGTCGAGGCGCCGCTGACCGCACTGGCGGCCGCGACGACAAGCAGCGCCGAGGCGGAGGCGCCGGCGAGCTTCATGGTGAGAGAGAGAGAGAGAGGGGTGCGCGGTGCTGTTGTGCCAGCAAGCGTGTGAGAGAGGTGCGTGCGCTGCCGAGAGACTGGAGAGGTGGTGGTTGCGAGAAGGCCCGGCGGCGAGGTAGAGTGCTTGAAAAGTGGCGCTTGAGGTGACAGGGGGCAAGAGGGCGCCCGAGGGGGTGGCACTCCCTTATGGGGCACTTCACCTTGCGCCGCCTGCGGCTGTGCTGTGCCTGGCGCTGCCGCTGCTGCACGCGCTGCATCTCGCTGCTCCCTCTCGCCGCTGCAAGCGAAGTGCGGGCACACGACCGCTGCGCTTGGCCTTTGCGCTCTGAGCTGAGCTTGCTGCTGGGTGCGCTTTCGCCGCTCGCTCTGCACACTGCGCGGGTGCCGTCTGTCGAGCGAACCCTTGATCGGAGATGCACGCGCGTCATGCTGCTTTTGCGCTCTGCAGCTGCCGCACCGCGAGACGAGACCGCGGACTTGCGCGGCAGCCGCGCGTGAGCGCCAAGCCTTCTCTTGCACGGCACGTCGGCCGTGGCAGCTCCGTCGCCGCCATGTGCCTCCTCGGCCCATGCGCCGTCGATCTGGCGATGGCACCCCGACGCCGATGCTTGCTGACCTCGCAGCGGCTGCCACGAGGTGCGGCGCTGTCGCGGCAGATCCGTCGCCTAGGCCGTCCCTCAACGCTCGGCCATGTGGCGCTGCTTCCTCTCGGGGTGCGGTGGACCTCGAGCGTGACAGCGGTACGCGCAGCACCGTCTGCCTGCGCTGCACCTTGACCACGCCGAGCTCGCAGCACGAGCTTGGCCAGCATCGCGCATGCAGATCGCAGCAGCACGCATCTGTTCTCTGTTCTCTGCACGCTGCGGCCGATGCGTCACGGCATATGCGACCAGCCGCACAAGCGCAAGCACGCGGCCTGCCAAGGCTGCCGGTCCAGGGGCCGGCACGCGTGGGGCGCGCTGCGTCGCAGCTGCGAGAGCGAGAGGGGTCGGGCCGCGCGGCGCTGTGGGCTGCTCTGCCGCGGAAGTGCGCCGCCGACGCCGGCCCCGGTGCGGCCGAGAGCAGCCTCGTGACAGCCGAACATTCTCGTGCGGATGCGTCTCGTCGTGTGCCTGCCTCAGCCGCGGCTTATCCGCGCGCCGTCCGTGCGTCCCTCCCACAACCTCCTCTCTCAAGCCGCACTGCCATGGACCACGGCGGCATGGATCACGGCGGCATGCACCACGGCGGCGGCGGCATGGACGACGGCGGCAGCTGCCTGCCGGGCGCGCACTGTGCGCCTGCGCCGCCGTGCAAGATGAACATGCTGTGGAACCGCGATGCGACGAACGTGTGGTGAGTGCGACGTGGAGGCTGCTGCAGCCGCGGCTCCTGCCGTGTCTGACACTCTGCCGCCCAGCATCATCTTTCCGAGCTGGCAGATCACCACCGGCGCCACGCTGCTCGGCTCGCTCGTCCTGATCATGCTCCTCGGCATCGCGTACGAGTACGTGCGTCTCTCCATCCGCACTCTCGATGCGCGTCTGGCAGCCGCACACGGCCTCGCCGGCAGCACGCCACATGGGCTAGTGCACCGAAGACGCGCCAGTGTGCTGCCGACGAGCGCGGCGACGGCGGTGGGCAATGGCTTGCCGAGTGGCATGAGGAGGACACTGAGTGGGCGAGACGAGGAGGGTCCGGCGGCCAGACGGAGAGGCATCATGTGAGTCGCAGGTCGAAGGCAGAGGATGCAGAGACAGTACGGTGCTTTGAGTCTGGCGACATGGTCGTCCGCGTGCCTCGCATTGGAAACCGGACTGCGGCTCGATACTGGCAGGCTAGAGGAACGGATGCCAGCCTGCCACGCCAGTCCCTCGTCGGCTGCATGCTGCCCGAGCGTCTGTGTGCAGTGCACTGCGCATTCATGCGCAGAAGGCTTTACGCCCGCTGCCATCGCTGACCACTCACCTTCTACAGCCCGCCGCTGCTCATCCCGCCGCGCGCCCAACTGCTGCGCTCGGCGCTGTACGGCGTCTCGGTCGCGCTGTCCATGACGCTTATGCTCATCTTGTAAGTCGTGCCACGCTGTCGTCCAGCCTGCTTCATTCGTGCATCTTGCTGACTCGCTCGCTTCAGCATGACGTGCGTCTCTCAATCGCGCGCACGGGTGCGCTGCCCGCTCACCTCTCTCCCTCTACTCCGCGCTCAACAGATACAACGCGCAACTGTGAGTTCACACTCTCTCTCAGCTGTGTGCGCACAGCTCACATTTACCTCACGTAGCATCGCAGCCGTGCTAGCAGGCGCCGTGATCGGGCACTACCTCTTCTCGCGCGACCTGCAGCACCAGGTGGGCGACGGCGTCGACAAGGGCGTGGGCTGTCACTGAGAGGGCTAATGATGATGGTGATGATAATGACGGGGAGAGGAGTGCTGGTATTACAGGAAGGAAGCAGACGGCTCATTGAGGTGGCCGCGGCTGCGGTGGCGAGCCCTGCGGCTGGCCCCACGCTGCGGCACTCCATTGCGTGCCGGGCTGCTGCGGGTCATAGGCGGCGTAGTCCTGCTGCTGCTGGCCTTGCGCCTGCGGCTGCTGCTGCTGCTGTTGCTGCGCCGCGTTCCATCCCCATGCCTGCTGCTGCTGTTGCGGCGGCATCGCTGCGTGCTGGCCGTACTGGCCGTAGTTCTGGCTCCACTGCTGCTGCTGAGGCTGCGCGCCAGGCCAGCGCTGCTGCGGCTGTGCATAGTACGGCTGCTGCTGTGCGTGCGGGGCAGCGTACTGATACGCGCCAGTGCTCTGCGCCTGCTGCTGCCACTGATGTGCGAACAGCGGGTTGATGTGCGCGCCAGGAGGCGGAGCTTCGCCAGTGAGGAAGATGGGTGGCGGCTGTGCCGGCTGTGCCTGTGCGAGCGCCGGAGAGGCGGTTGCAGACGAAGAGGAGCCGGCGGGCTCTGCCGAGTCCCAAGAAACTTGCGGCTTGGCCGGCAGGCCTGCGGGCCTCGAGAGCGGCAAGCCAGCCTTGGCGACGCCATTCGACGAGCCCTGCGATGCGGCTCGCTCGCTCTGCGCGCTCAGCCCCGCGGCGACGCGAAGCGGCAGTGCAGAGACGGCACTTGTGGAGGGCGCCGGCGTCCACGCGCTCGGCTCGTCGTACGGCAGCGGCATGGCTCTGCCCTCTGCCCTTGATGGACCGCCGGCGTTGCCGTTGCTGAGCGGCGCATCAAAGTCCGGCCTTGATGGCAAGCCGCCCGTCCTGCCGTTGCCTCTCTGCTGGTATCCACCGTCTCCCTCGTTGCCCTTCCGCTTCCCTGCTCTCTTTTTGCCCGCGGCCCCTCCTTTCTTGCGCGCCGCTCTTGCCGCAGCTTCGGCCTCATCGTCGCTAAAGTCGCGCTCGTGCGCATCGACCTCTTCGTCGTGCAGGTTGCTGGCGTCGCTGCCCTTCTCCTGCCGGAGCTGCCGGGTCAAGACGTACACGCTGCTCGCGGGGTCATACAGCACCGCACGCCCGATTGTGACGCCGACGCGCTGCACGTCGTCGGCGGACTTGAAGCGCAGAGAGTAGAGCGGTGCAAGGACGGAGCCAAAGGTCTCGTACACCTGTCGGATGGAGTCAGCGAGACGAGGAGCGCGGCGTGGACGACCTGCACTCACCACGCCCAGCACAGTGCGGTCCTCAAACGCCAGCGTACTGCCGCTATCCAGCACGCTGTACTCTCCCTCGCCCTCTCCCTCTCTTCCCGCCTGATCTCTCGGCCGCGGGCGTGCCTGCTGTTGCTGGTGCGCCTCGCTGCCCGGCTGCTTGCGCGCCACGTCCTGCGCCACAATCACAACGCTGTCGACGATCGAGAGGATGTGGCCCAGCGGCCGCAGCTCGACGTGCTCGGCTACCTTTTCGAACGGCAATGGCTCTGGTGGCGGCTCGATGGCCTCGTTGGCCGTCGTAGGGCCTGAAAATGGATCGCGCGGCCCACTGCGCCCCGCCTCGTCGTCTGACTCATCGTCACTCATCATGGCTCGTGGGCGCTTCTTCTTGCCGCCGGCTTCGGACTCGCTGGATGACGACGACGAGGACGAGTCCGAGTCTGAATCTGAGTCAGATGAGTCCGAATCAGAGTCCGAAGAGTCGGAAGAGGCAGCGGCTGCAGGTGCGGCGGCCGAGATGGGCGCCTCGCCGATCGAGACGAGCGCGCGGTTGAGCATAGAGCGGGCGGCGGCGTCGTCGGCTGCGCTGGCCACCTCAGCAGGCGGCGCTGCGGTCTCAGCCACGCTGTACACAGCAGTTCAGGGTCAGCAGTGGAGCAGTACTAGGGCAATCTTTGCAGTAGCCCAGCACAACGACTCACTCCTGCACGGCCGCCTCGCCCTCCACTGCGTCGTCTCCCACCATCTCTGCCTCCTGCTCCGCCGGCGCCTCATCGTCCCAGCCCGGCGGCAGCACACCTCTCGATCCGCGCGCCGCCAGCACTGCGGCGCGCAGCTGCACGAGCTCCTCCTCCTGTGCGCGCAGCTTGGCCTCGAGCGAGAGGAGCGTGGGGTTCGGCGGCGGCACGGCATCGGTTGCGGCGATGTGCGCGAGGTCGTCTAGCACAGCGGCGGGCGCGGATGCCGGCGACTCTATCGGTGAGGCAGGGGCATCGACTGCTGGCTCCGATGCTTCGTCAGACTGCATGGGCTGCGCAGGCGCTGCAGAGGCATGCGCGTGAGGTGCAATGTGCTCCTCGGGCGCCGGCGCTGCGGCCTGCGCCTGCTCTGCCTCTGCCGGTGCCTGCATCGCCGAGCCGTACTTTCGCGAAAGAAGAGAGACTGATGAGGCGAGAGATACGCGAGCGAATCGGTGCTGAGCGCTGAGATGGATGCGGCGGCGGTGCGAGAGGTGCGGAGGAGAGGAGGAAGCGCCTGCCTCCACGCCGCGGCTGTGCCAAATTTCGCTCGGCCGAGCAGCGCGCCTTGCGAGCCGCGGCTCTACTCGACTTCACGCTGCGAGAAGAGCTTCTCGTGCGCGCCCCGCCTTCTGCTCCTCTCTCCACCCCAATCCTCCAGACAAGTGCCGCACAGCATGCCCGACGGCAAGAAGCGCCCGCGCAAGGTGCGTCGCATGACTGCTGCTGCACACGTCGCTGCCGCATGCTGACTCGGAGACACAGCGCGCTCGCAAGGCCAAGCCCGACGACGAGGCGCAGCCAGCTGCGGCCGCACCGCTCGAGACGCCAGAGCCGGCCGCTGTCAGCGTCGCTGCCGCCGCACCGCCAGCTGCACCTGTCGCAGCGCCAATCCAGGCAGCACCAGCCGGTGCCGCAGCTGCGCCAGTCTCGCGCTCCAAGTCCTACGCCAAGCCCGCGCCGCCCGCTCCAGCATCTACGGCTGAAGCAAGCGCGACCGGCGCCTCGTTCTACGAGCGCGTCAACCCGCACAAGCCCTCGGCGCTGCCACGCCTGGCCGCCTCGCGCGGGCCGCGCAAGTACACGCTCAGCGTGGCGCTGCCAGGTGCGATTGTGCGCAATGCACAGACGCCCGAGCTGCAGGCGCGCCTGGCGGGACATGTGAGTGCGCTGTGACCGTGCGAGTCGCCGGGCGAGGGCTGAGCGGCATGCACGCAGATCGCACGCACGTGCGCCATCTTCTGCGTCGACGAGATCGTCGTGTTCGACGAGGGCGCCGTGCGGGAAGAGGGCGAGTGGAAGGGCAAGGCGCGCGAGGAGAACGACGGCGGCTGGGGCGACGAGGGCGGCGAGCAGGCGCAGCAGCAGCAAGCTGGCGCACCCCGAGGCTTCGACCCGAACGCCTTCTTGGCGCGGCTGCTGCAGTATCTTGAGACCCCGCAGTGAGTCATGCCCTGGAAAGCGCTGGGACAGGCCAGCGCTGACGATGCCTGCGAAGATATCTGCGCAAGGCTCTCTTCCCGATGCATCGCGATCTGCGCCTAGCCGGTCTTTTACCCCCTCTCGATCTGCCACACCACCTCCGCTTCGAAGACCACGCGCCGTACCGTGAGGGCGTGACCGTCGATGCGCCGCACTGGGCACACGCAGCGGCAGGGAATAGGAGGGCGCCGGAAGGAGTGGAGCAGGTCTGGGTCAATGTCGGCCTGCGAGACCCGATTGAGGCGGACGTCAAGGGCGCGCAGGTGCCGACGGGCGCTAGAGTGACGGTCAAGATGCCAGAGGGCGCACGGCATAAGGGTGAGTCGTTCCCAGTTGCCTAGCTCGTGCCCCTGCTCACACGCGGGTCCGGGTGAAGGCCGCCTGGTCTCGCCGCGCGAGCCCGTCGAGGCGCACGGCCAGTACTGGGGCTACTCTGTCCGCCTCTGCCCTTCGCTCTCCAATGCCCTCACCACTGCGCCCTTCTCTCCGGCCGGCGCAGCTGCGACAGGCTATGACTTGGTGATCGGCACGTCCGAGCGCGGCGCTCCTTTGACGCACGTCCTCTCGGCGACGGCGCTCGGCACGTCGGTGCCGTACCAGGTCGAGGGCGCGACGCGGGAAGCGCAACCGCTTCCGGCCTTTGACCACGCACTCGTGGTGCTGGGCGGCCTCAGTGGCTTGGAAGTGGCGGTCGAGGCGGATGCGGGAGTGCAACTGAGCGCAGATGAGGCACATGAGCTGTTCGATGCGTGGATCGACGTGGCGGAGGGACAGGGCAGTCGGACGATCCGCACAGAGGTGAGTTGCGCCGTGTCGCCCGTTCGCGCCTTGCTTGCAGGCCGCATGTATAACGTCGGGCCTTGCTCACACTGCATCTCGCGTCGCCAGGAAGCGCTCATGATCACGCTTGCGCGTCTCAAGAGCTCACTCGAGGGGTTGGGTCGATGAGCTGCGGCATGCAGCCGTTACACGCTTCAAGAGAGGGCCGAGAAGCCATGTCATCGCAATCGCACCTGCTCCTCCATGTCGCACAGCGGCACGTATCGCACCCTGAGAGTGGCGTGTCAGCTGCGTGGGAGGGCGGTGTCGAGAGGACTACGCACCCCATCAGCGACGAGCGCGTCACTTTGCCATGCTCGTCCTTGTCGATCTGGATGATCTCTCTGCGCGCCACGGTGTCAGCCGCACCGCATGTGAAGAGGAGCAGCGACGCGCTGAGTCACTCACTGCTGCCCGTCAGCGCCCTGTACGGGACACACGAGGCGCCCCGGGCTCGCCAGCTGCTGCAGCAGCGCCGGCGGCACGTCTGAGGGCGCCGCGGCACCGACGTGGATGGCGGCGTAGGGCGCCAAGCTGGGATAGCCTGGCGGCCGAGAACACATGAGCATCGAGGGCAGAAGGTAGTGCTCGAGTTGTCGCTCGCTCACCTTGACGGCCATCGCCGACATGCAGCTGCACGTTGCCCTCGTCCAGATCAGCGCCGAGGCCATCGTCGCGCAGGCTGGCTTCAGCACGCTGCACCAGCTCCGCGATGTGCTCGACGCCCACGACCTGCTTCGCTCCCGCGCGTCTGAGCACAGCGCACAGGTAGCCACTGCCGCTGCCCACATCGAGCACCCTCGCATCCTGGAGCGAGACGTAGGGCGCCAGAGCGCACGCGAGCAACGCATGCATGTGCGGCGCACTGATTGTCGCGTTGTGCCCGATGGGCGCGGGTGCGTCGGCGTAGGAGTCGTGCGGTGGGCGCAGATAGTGTGCTCGGTCCGTCGCTTCGAAGGCGGAGATGACCGAGGGCACGGTGAGCAGCTCGGCGCGCACCAGGTTTGCGACGAGGCCGGCGTTGCTGCGTGAGCTGTGCGGGAGATGAGTGCTGCACTTGCGCAGGGCGCTGCCGCTCGACGCACCCGCAGCGCCAGGCCATGATCGCAAGTGAGCTTGAGGAACAGCAAGCTAGGCGTCTGGCTCGTGATTGTGCACCAAAAAGCCTGTTGCTGTCGCGCGTGGCTGGCTGCCTGCTCGCTGAATGAGGTGCTGAGAGTGCCGCCGGCGTGGTCGGGCGCGGCGAGGTGGAGGTGGGGGAGCGGACAAAACAAGCTGCGGGGAATTTTGTATTGCATCGCGCGGCAAGTTGTAATCTCGATGCGCCGTCGCCGCCCTGGCCTCGCTCGCGCCCTCGTGGCCGGCGCACCCATCGAGAAGCGCTCGCAGCGCGGAAAGGCGACGTATTACTACCAGAACGGTCAGCCGCAGCGCCTCTTCTGTCCGGAGTGGCGCCAGTGCTCTTCTGGCTGTGTCTGACCTTAGGGCTCCGTGGCAGCCCTGGCGGAGAAGTCCGCGCGCGCTTGAACGCCCTTGCCGGCTGCGAGAACATCGCGCAGCACGCAGACGGGCGGCGCGGCGGCCGCGCGGCGCAGCAGCAGGGCACAAGCAGCAGCTCAGCGCCGCGCGCGGGCCACGTGCTGCTCCCTCACCCTCATCTCCCAGCCCCCTGCCCGCATCGCCGCCCCGCTGCCGTCTCCGCTGGCTTGCCTCTCAAACGCACACGCACGCTCCTTCTCTGTCCAGCGCAATGGATGCCGACGACGCCTTCACCTCCGTCACCTGGGACCGGCGCGACGATGCGGCGCTGCACAGCGGCAGCGGCAACGGCGCCGGTGCCTCCTCCTCACGCACACTCGACGAGGGCGGCTTCACCTCGGCGCCAGGACCGGCCACGCCCGGCATCGACGGCCTGACAAGGCACGCACTGGCACCGCTCGCGCGCGGCACGCACGAGGCCGACGGCGAACAGCCGGCGTGGCAGGGCTTCCTGCGCGTGCAGGTGTGCGAGCCGCGCAAGGAGCACGAGGGCACAAAGGAGATGTTCTGCAGCTACGGCATCCGCGCAGAGGTGAGTGCGTGCGGCGACAGGTGGTGGGAGAGGCGAAGGGGAGCAGAGATGGGCGAGATGGCTAGGGGCAGGGTCAGACGGGCAGCTGGCGAATGGCAAGCACACAGCAACGAGCGGCGCATGGAAAGCTGCGCGCGCTCTGTGAACTCCTGCATGGGTGACGATATGCCACGCATCGGTGGTGCAGATGCTTGGATGCTGCTGCTGGCGTGACACCCTGCACCACGAAGTCTCGCCTCCCTCGGACAGCCCACTGACGCTCTCTCTCAGACGAACCTGGCACACTTCAGCCGCACGCGCCTCACCACCCGGCGGCGCTTTCAGGACTTTGTCTTTCTGCGCGAGAACCTCAAGAAGGACTTTCCCGCATGTCTTGTCGCGCCGCTGCCGGACAAGCACCGCATGGGTGCGTGTGATGCCCGCTCAGGGTCTGCCTGCGCTCACGCCTCGTCGCAGAGTACTTTACGGGCGACCGCTTCAGCAGCGAGTTCATCGAGCGGCGGCAAGCAGAGTGCGTCACGGCCAGACAAGCGTCGCGCCGGGCTCCACTGACGCTCCCTTAGCTTGCAACTCTTCCTCGAGCGCGTCTGCCGGCATCCGATCTTGCAGCGCGCACAGCTGCTGCGCACGTTCCTCGAGTCGACAGAATGGGTGCGTCGCGGAGACCATGCCGAGACGCGCCACCTGCTGACCTGCTGCAGCACGTCGACATGCACTCGCACGTCTCGGCGTCGAACGCCAACGCATCGGCCGACGGGCATTCGGGGCCGGGCGGCAGTGCGCCCGGCGGCCTGCTCGACGGCCTCACCGACACGCTGCTCAATGCCTTCTCCAAGGTGCGCAAGCCCGACGAGAAGTTTGAGGCGATGAAGGAGAAGCTCGAGAAGCTCGAGGAGGGCCTCGGCAGCACGGAGCGTGTCGTGATGCGAGCGCGCGCCCGGCACGGCGGTGAGTGGTCCCTGCGTGTGATGGACTGATCCCCGCGCAGCTCACACGCTGACGGTCATAGGACCGCCTCCCCTTGCCCCTCCCCCGAAACCGCCGACGCCCTCGATTGCCTCTCGCCTGCGTCTGTCTTCCGCGCCGTCGGGCCAACGACCCTCGTCCATCACGCCCGTGCCGCACTCGTCTACGTCTGCGCTCTCCTCGCCTCTCTCGTCGCCCGTGCTCTTTGCGCCGAACCTTGGTCTTGACCCGCAAGACCTGGCCGGCGACTATGAGGAGTTCGCCAGTGCCATCGAGGGCCTCGGCTATCTCGAGAGCGGCATCACCGAGCCGCTCAACCGCTTTGCCGCGGCGAACCTCGAGTGGGCACGCCTGCAGCGCCAGCTGGTGAGCCACACGTCAGGAGCACTGAGCGTCGCCCTCTCACACACCCTCGCAGGCGTCCAACTCGACGGACGACATGCTCTCGCACACGCATGCGCTGCTCGCCTACACGCACTCGCACCGCTCTGTGCTGCGGCTGCGCGACCAGAAGCAGCTCGACTTCGAGGAGCTGACCGACTATCTCAGCTCCGTCGTCACGGAGCGCGACCGGCTGGCCAGCCTGAGCAGCCCGCACGGCGCGGGACACGGCCACGGCGGCGTGCGTGGCGCCGGCATCAGCGGCTACCTGCGCGACCGTGTCGACAGCCTGCGTGGCGTCGACGAGGAGCGGACGCGCGTGCAGCGCATGCAGCGGCTCGATGGGCGCATCCAGGAGGTGAGCGCAGCAGCAGCGAGGCCATAGTAACGACGCTCACACTCGCCTGCAGCTGCAAGACGCCGTCACGACCTCGCACGACATCAGCGTCGCATTCAGCCAGCAGGTGGCGCGCGAGAACACCGTCTTTACGATGGCCAAGGAGCAGGAGGTCAAGGAGATGCTCGGCACGTACGTCGACGGCCAGATCGACATGTGGCGCCGCGGCGAGGAGCTGTGGAAGAACGTGCTCGATGCGTGGCCAGAGCAGGAGACATGAGGGCGAAGGCCAATGCATCGATAGAGGCGCAACGGGTGTGATCGGAGAGTGGCCGGCTGAGAGGGTGACTCGTTCAAGGTAGGCCGGACGACAAGCGGCCCGCTCCGGGCGGGTGCAACTCGTGCTGTCGAACGACGATCCGATCAGATGTTGAGGAGCATGGCGAAGGCTGTGCATGGCACATTCCAGGACGCCGTCGGACCGCACCGCTGTGCAGATCCTCAGGTGTCTGACAGCGTGGCATAGGCAGCCTGCAGTCGGGACCACCAGACCCACGGGAGCGCGGCGGCTGCAGATCCTCACGAGCACAGCCCGCCGTGCGCTCCGCTCCGCAGCCATTGTCCGCCTCCGCGGCGTGCTTGAGGCGCAGCAGTCTGCCTCGCAGCCACAGCATTCCGAGCGGCCGGTACCAGCAAGCTGTCCGAGTCTCTCAGTGATCGTCGCGCGTGGCGTCGAGGCGGTGCTGGCGGGGCTGGCGGCATGCATCTGCCTGTCGTGCCGTGGCTGCGGCGCGTTGCACCCTGCGCACCGCTGTTCTGGGCCGAACGGGTCCGGCCTCGGCTGGACCAGCGCGCAGACCGCAGCACTCAGCGCACCGGAAGCAGCGGCACCGTCATGCGTGAGCTGCTTCTTCTGCAGAGAAGCATCCATCCGCCTCGAGGTCGGAGGAGCGGCTGCGGCGAGCACAGCCTCGTCGCGTCCCCAGAAGGCAAGAAGGGGATTTCACACGGTGATCGACGCGCGCTGCGGCACGCCGTGCCTTCTCGAAAGCCGCGGCGCGGGCCGAGGTCGCAGCGGCTCAGCGCGCAGGCGCCACGTCGCTCGCGGGTGGCGGCGCGAGTGATCAGGTGTTGCTCTGACGACATGCTGCGCTATCTGACGCCGGCGCACGAGCCACCCCGGCACCAGGCACGGCCTAGAAGTAGCGTCGCCGGCTGGCATGTGCCCGACAGCGCCAGCAGCAGCTCGCTGCTCGTGCTCCTTCCGCGCCGAAGGCAGCCGCAGCGCTATCAGACTCCGCAGGAGCGAGCCGAGCCGCTGCACGCTCTGCAAGGCGACGGCAGCGCTCAGCATCAGTGCAGCGTTGGCGTGGGCATGACTTCATGCTGTTCGGAGCTGATGCTGGAAGGGGCGAGCCGGTGCGAGAGGCCGTGCCCAAGCAGGAAGGTCCACACGGCATGCGGCATTCGGCCTCCTGGCCAGCGCGGCATGCCGGCACCCTTCACCCTTGCCCCTCTTTCTCCTGCCTAATTACGCACTTTGCCCGAGAGGCGCACTGCGAGCGGCACCCCTGCAACTGATGACGCGCATCCTCGCGGCAGCGCTGAGCCGCACCGACCTGTGCTGCCACAGCAGGCAGCGCTCAGCAGCGTCGCCGGGCGACGAGAAGGCTGAGCGAGGTGAGGACGAGCGAGTCCCGCGCCGTCGGGGTGCTCGCGGTGGCGGCCTGCGCGCGGGGCGCGGGAGCAGGGCGAGGGAGCGGAGCGGCGCACGGCGCATGAGGCGGTGCCGGGCTGCGCGGCGGCAGAGAGCAACACGCAGCGAGCATGTGGAGACAGGGGACGTGCCGCCTCGGCACGCAAGGCAGCCGGCGGCTTGCCAGCGGGCCGGCATGCGAGGCGGCGCCACGGCAAAACGCGCTGCTGCGCCCCGCGGCCGTGCGCGGAGCTCGCTTGCAGGCAGCGTGCCGTCATGCGCAAGAGGCGAGGCGAGCCCGAAGAGGGCCGCTTCGAGCCCTGAGGGGCAAGGTGGCCTCCTGTGCTGCTGCCAGCGAGGCGAGGCAGAGGGATGCCATGGCCCCGGCTCCACATCGGGCAGGCGGCCAGTGTGCAGTGCAGAGCGAGTGACGTGCCGAGGCGCGCACGCCTTCTCGCGCGCACGTTCCACCTCGCTGCCCTCGCCGCGCCTACTTAAGCCGGCCCCCGCCGCCTTCACGGCTCCCACATCCTCACCACCACCTCACCACACTACATCACACCGCCACCACCCACATCTCTTATCATGGACGGCTTCATCAACAAGGCCAAGCAGTTCGCCGAGTCGGACCAGGGCAAGAACCTGATCAACGAGTACGTCGGCGGCAACAAGCAGGGCCAGCAGGGCGGCCAGAGCGGCAACCAGGACGTAAGTGATGCGAGGCAATGGTGCGAGGCGGTGATGCAAGACGATGTGGTGGAAGGAGGACGAGACCCATGCGTCGCCGGCTCTGGTGGGCTGCGCGCAGCGGCACCGGCTGCAGCATCGATGCTGACACCCTGCACTGCAGAGCTACGGCTCGGGCAACCAGAACTCTGGCTCCGACAGCTACGGCTCGGGCAACCAGAACTCGGGCTCGGATAGCTACGGCTCGGGCAACAAGTCGTCGTCGTACGGCCAGGACTCGACGTCTGACTCGTACGGCTCGGGCAACAAGAGCTCGTCGTACGGCCAGGACTCGACGTCTGACTCGTACGGCTCGGGCAACAAGAGCTCGTCGTACGGC